TCAGATTTGCACTGGGCAGCTTCTGTGCTCCTGACTAAAATTTGGAACAGGACTGCGATAATGAACAGTGGATTCAAGGCAAGTTGGTCTTTGAACTTCATGGTATTGGTTCGGCAATGTTTCAATTTTTGAAGGGATAATCTGTTGCAAAAAGTTGCCTGGAGGATAGAACCTTAAGAAAGATGGGTGGAAGAAAGTATTCTCATTTTTGCTCACTCTTGAGGAAAACAGGTCATTCTTATGCCCAATATCAGTGCAAAACTGACAACGGAATCAATGTAAATTCAATGCAGATCCATACCCAATGAAAATAAGTGAGAGGCACTGGAATGAAAAAGACAGAGAATCCAGAGCCAAAGAATATGAAGTAAGGAGAGATTGGAACACTCCTCTTACTGTGTACTGCAGTCATAATTAACAAACGGATTTCCCAGCATTCTACCCCTGCATTCTAAAGCCATTCTTCTGACCGCGACTAGGGCCCCTAATCAGCCTTCATAGAACTACAATATGTTCATAAAAAAATCTCCAGGATTGGAGTTCTTCTCGGCGACAGAGATTGATGGGATGTTAATGACAGGTTTGAAGGGATGCAATTTAGGCTTGTCTAAAACCCTAAGCCCTTGAATACTGCATTCTGACGACTGATGAAATTCTGGGATTGGCTTGTGAACAATTGCCATTCAAATGTAAATACAAAAGCCAACCGGAGGCGCCCGATGAATAGTAACAATAAGAAGAATAGTTATACCAATTCCAATGACCCCAACAATAATGTGCCTGCATTATCCAATACCCAATGCATGAAGGAATTTACCGTACCACACGCCCAACAAAAAACCAAAAAAATCACCCGTGTCGGTCATCAGTCATGAGAGTGAATCGCAGGTCTGCCATTGGTACAGCGCTCTCAAAACCGCCACACCGCCAGACTGCGTCTCCACGGTCCGGCCACGGCCGCGGTCGTTATAATCCTTCTTGTTCTTGGCAATAGTACTGTGGGCAGCAGCCCCAGCCCCAGAGGACAGCGGGAGATCGGAGAGGATCGTACTGCGGTAGTCCACCGCGCCGGCGGGGAGAACGCTAGTGTCGACGAGCTCATCAGAAACACCAAGAGCACCGTATTCCCTGCCCCACCAGGCTCCGAACTTGCCGTCGTCGTCGCGAGTCATGAGAGCTGCCTTGGCATTGTGTTCGATCCAGCCGCCATAGGAACGGCAACGTTCCAGGTGTTTCCCGTAAACTTCATCCCGGGGACTACCCTCGGTGTGTGCGGCGCTGCGGCGGCGGGTAGCATCGCCAACCAGGAATCGTTCTTCCTGGGGTCGGAGTGGTCGGCAGAATTCTGCTAAGTGGTGGAAGAATATCCCCTTGAAGGTCTGTCCATCTTGATTACACACTCCACGCGAGTCGCATACGTCTTCCAGGACACCGCCGCGACCTAATCCGGCCCATTGCTGGCTGTCGGTCTGCGGCCAGCCCGTGGCGCGCATCACGTTGTAGATCAGCTCGTGGCCGTCGCGGAAGTAGTCCTGGTCTCCCGTGGCTAGCCATAACCCTCTCAAACCACTCAGCAAGACGCCCTGGTTATAGGTGTATGCCATGGTATTGAGCAAGTCGCACTTCTTCGTGCCTGGCTTTGCGGCGCTTTTCCAGCCACTGATGTGGAAGCCGTCGCCATACAACCCAAGAGGCCCGGTCATGTTCGAGTGCTTGAGCCACGCATACCCATCGACAGCAGCTTTCAGGTGCGCAGGGTCATGTGGGAAGCCATCTCCGCCAGAATCCTGGCTGGCTATGAACGGTGACTCGATCGGGTCGCCGGGGAAATAGAGGTACATCCCGATACTGGCGGAGATATACAGCTCGTTGGTGATGGCGTTCTTATAGGGACCCAGGTAGGGGCTCCAGACCATCCCGCCATCACACAGGGTCTTGTCCCACCCGAGCGAGGCCAGCTCCCAGAAAAGACGTGCGCGGTGAGCGGCCGAGTCGCGGAACTGGGTCCCATACCACGACTTCATTGATGTTGCGGAGGATGTTTGGTAGGTGTAGTGAAGATTTGAGTGCAGGTCCTGGAACTTGATGTTCTCCAGCCAGTCCAATACAACCCACAACATATCGTCGTAGGCTTGCTGGCGCAAACCGAATGAATTCTCCCCAAAATAGAAGGTAGAGGTATGGCTGAAGAAGTGGTTGATGGTGTTTTCAATCGTACGGAAAGACGGAGTAATGTCGTGAGCCGTGTCAGTCAGGGACGCCAGTGTCGCGGCCACATGGGTGTTTAGCACGGCGGCCGTCCAGTCGATTGCGGTTGGCCACGTTCCCAGCCACAGCTGGAAGTAGTTGTCCTGCATGGCGTGTAGCGCCCCGATGAGGTCGTGCAGGGTCTTGTTGGCGGGTTCCTCGTCTTTTCCTCTCTCTTTAGTGGCATGTCCGAGTGAGATCTGATTGGGGTAGGCCAACGCATTGGCGAAGGAAAGAAAGAATAGCGCAATAACGAGAAATATGGATAGTGGGAGCCCAGCAGGGCCCTGGCGTGCGAGGCCCATTGTGACAATGCTGCCTGGTTTCCGAGGCCCTCCTGGGATATAATATAGGGCCGCGCGCAAGAGAGAAAGTGAAAGATGGGGGATTTTATGGTATGCGGGGAACCTGGTCTGGATCAAGGCTGACTAAGGATCCACTGCCTGGGGCATGAACTACGCCTGTAACGGTCCCTGGACAGACAGACAGTGCGGGCAAAAACAGGAAGAAATAAATAACTAAACGCTATGGCCTCAACTGCAGGCGGCCAGAGCCCGGGTCGCATGATGCATCTACATTACGCGGGGTGGCACGGACAGTGCGGAGAACGAAAGGTCCGGGAAACTGACTGGGTGTGCATTCATGAGGTGCATTCTAGGGCTAGGATCTTAGGTCATATCCATTCTGAAATAATGTCAGCATGCATTTCTTCTTGCCTGTCAGATCATCTTACCATTCTGGCAAGGTCTCACGGCGCCGGCATATGCCTCATCGGGGTCGTGTTGGGATACAAGCTTATATTATGCTCGCACGGATGTAACCCATAAAGATATGCCGGCGGGTAGTATGCTTCATCGAGAATTCGAGATTCATGGGAAGCGCAAAGAGGAGTGGGTGACAGCGCAGCGCGCTAGCAAAAAGAAGAGCAGGTATCACAAAGAAGGCGGCACGCGATCATGCATCTCTGTCCAACAGATCCCGGATCCAAATGCTTTGCAAAGGACAACGAAAAACACTCTTATTGCCGCTCGCCGCCAGCGCCAGCACCAGGGCTGCGACTCCGATCCCGACTCCGGCTGCGACCCCGACCTCCAGCACCAGCACCGCCCTTGGGTCCTCCGCCCTTACCCTTGCCTGTGGGAGGCGGGCGGACAAAAGCATAGTCGACGGTAATTGTCTGCTCCAGCAGCTTGACACCATTCAGGTTCTTGATCGCCTCGCTGGCTTCGGGGAGGGTCGAGTACTCGATCAATGCGTATCCCTGCGCGGCGCAAATGCCATGTCAGCCTTGCACCCAGTAACTGCAAAATGCCACCACAACGAAAAGAACATGGTCACTAAAATAATACCGCGCCCCAAAAAGAAACGCACCTTAACGTAACCCGTCCGCCGATCAAGGTTCAAACTGAAGTTTTTGATCTCCCCGTATTCCGAGAACAGATCCGTGACGTCCTCTTCTGATGCCTCCTCGTGGATATTCGACACGATCACAATCCATCCCTCGATACTGCGCACGGCGACTGCGCCCGTTTGGGTACTGGGCTCAAAGCCGCGGCCGGATTGCGGCGCGTCGTCCTGTGCGACGGGAGGGTCGACTTCCATTTCGTTTGACATGGTGAGGATGGCGGGTTGTGTGGCAATGGGACAATCTGGCACTGGTCGCGTTGACGGGATTGGCTAGTAAGGGGTTCTTGGATCAGTCTGGCTTTGGTCTGCAGGTCTGAGTTGAGGCGGGAGTCGAATTGGACGGCGTTCAAGTGGAAGCTCGTGTGCTTATGTAAGCAGATGGACTGACGATATTCCGGGACGGTGTATAGAGGCATACCTCCAGCAATAAACATACCTAAAACTGGACAGATTTTCAGGTGAACATGAAAAAAAGAAGCATAGATATATAGTAAACTGAAAAAAAGATTTACAGGAAGTAAAAGGTGATCGAAAGATCAAAAGAAAGTAAAACACAGTATGCCCTAGTCTAGCACAGCCTGCTCGCCGTCAACGTTGGCTTGCTTGTTTTTGCAAGGAGTATGAATGAGAGAAGAGTAAAGAAAATGATCTAGGGTTGAAAAGCAATCACATGATGTCCTCTCTTTCTTTCCTAGCAAGATTTATATGGGGGAATGCAATTTCTGTAGTTCTGTCCCAGGCCATGCTGGTACATTCAACAAAGGCTGTGGCCAATCAACAATATGGATACGTCAACCTGCCGACTCAGAAGAGATGAGCACTTCAAGATACAACATGCAATTAAAACTGTTCAAATTCTAGTCTCTGCGGTATGCAGTGCAATATTATTGTCTTATAGGGCCCAATACTCCGGTTTTTCTAAGTGGAAACAATATCAACAAGAAAACGGACAAAACGAGACCCAAGTAAACCAAGACCATCTCTTCAATAACCAACTATCTCCCTCGACCTCATTTCTCCCAAGCAACCCAGAAACATTTTACTTCATCCTTTCCTTTTCCCTTACACCAGTCATCCTTCTCGACTGCTCTTCAACGACGGACTCGAACATCTCCCGACAAATGTGGGGGCACTGGTAAGTAGTCCGTCTGGTCAATATTCGCAAACAAGCTGCCAAACTAAGGATAAACAGCGCCCACCACTCGTGCAACTGCCACCCAGCCTCACAGAAACCAACCACTAAGTCCCTCGGTCTCACGCTGTACGATGCCAAACAAAAGTACACTCTCCAGCTCCATGACGAAGATACCGAACTCGACGTGACCTTCGACATCATCACTGGTACCATGATCCTGAAACAGACGATCCGACTGTCCGGGATCTGGCCACGGGTGCAACAGAAGACAGTCATGTACGCCAACCAGGCGAACAGCATCTTCGTTAACCTTCAGGGATTGGCCGACGATTCGATTTTGCTTACATTCAAGATGCTACCGCCGCTGCCACCATCACCATCATCATCAGATGACGGGGACGATGGATCTGAAAACGAAACAACCAAGCAGAAACCAGGACAGAAGCAGAGCACACCCCCGGATCTGGCGACAAGTACGCGGATTCCTTCCCGACATGATAGACGAAGGACCGCTCTTCGAACAGCTCCTTGATAACTACTCCCGCGAGAAGATCCTCCGCTTGCATATCCCTGACACCCGGCACAAAGGCTGGAAAACAATCGCATTGATCCTACTCACATACCGCAAGATCGATCTACCGACCTGGCACAGGCTCGTGACAAGCGAGAAACTAACAGAGATTGCGGGATTGAACTGGAGGCTTGTTGAAAAGAAGACTGATCCAGAGGCGCAGAATCTGCGCAGACAGAGGGCTATGGATATGAAGACTGCGGCTCAGGAGGCGAAGATGAAGAGGGCCTCTTTCGTCCGGAGTCACATTGCGAAGGTTGGTGGAGGCGGACATTGGGATGTCGACAAAGGGGCAAAGAGATTGAATGGGTTTACTACGCTCTCGCATAAGTTGAGTCTGCAGAATGGGTTTGGGGTTGGGGATGGGAATCTTGCAGGTCTTGATATTGGTGGTGAGACATGAGGATGCGAGGTTGTACCCTCTAGCATGAGAACTGAAGATACGAGGACGATCCGTACGATATGAAGATTTACTCAAGAAGTAATGTAATGGTTGGATGTTGCAAATATTCATATTCCAAAAGGGGTCTGTAGCCTTTTGTTGTCTATGGAGTGGAGATGCATTCGCGACCCCTTTGTATATCTGTAGAATGAAAGAAGGAAAGTAGAACATAAGAAAGTACATTTAGACAAGAAAGAAACATCCAGATACCAAGTTAGCGCCTAGGAACAAACACAGCCCGTGCAGTTCCCTGATAGGAAGCAGTCTACTTCCGGTTGTTGCTCCGCATGCCGAGAATCTGGACCATACGGATGAAGATGTTGATGAAGTCCAGCTCGAGGCTAACACTCTCATTGACGACATCGCGCTGGATCAGACCGCGCTCGGCCAGACGAGCGTGGTGCAGAATCTTCTGCACGTCGTAGAGGGTGAAGCCACCGAAGACAGCGAGACCGCCGTACAGCCAGATGCGCTCAGACCACATCAGGGTGCGGGCAGCGGTGGCGGGCAGAACCAGGGGAGCGAATCCAGACAGGGCGACGATGGTCACACCGGCCAGCAGCGGGGCGCCTAGGTAGAGGTACTTCTCCTGCTTGGCGGTGGCGCCGACGAAGGCAATCGAGCCCATCATGCCAACGGTGTAGAGACCGGCACGGGCGAGTAGGGCGGGGTGCATGAACATCAGAGGGGAGAGGAGGGCGGCCTGGGTGAGGTTGAAGGCGGTCCAGAGGCCGTACTTCATGACGTAGCTAATTTCGGAGTTATTAGCAGTAGTCTCGAGATCCAAGGGAAAGCGGGAACATACTTATCCGGAGACGTGTAGAAAGTGCCGTACATCGTGCCAATGCTACCAACCAGACCGAGACCCACGACAACCCACGGGTTGAAGGCCATCAGACGGTACGACCAACCGTTCATGTGCAGAGCGCGCGCCGCAACACCGATAATACCAATACCGAGACCGGTGTGCATGAAGGTTTCATTCAGGAAGCTGCGCTCGAACGCGGGCATGCCACCGTCCTCGCGGGTCTCCCGGTTGAAGATGAAGTTGGTGGCCATAATGGTGCCGCCAACGATGGCAGCGCCGTACACCAGCTTCGAGGTCATGTTGCCGCCTTGAGCAGTGGTGGTGGACTGCTGCATGTATGTCCGGCGGAATGCATTCTGGAAGGTTTGACGGGACTTGTTCAGGATGGACGAGGCTCCCAGCGGCTTGGTGGCCTGTGACTTGAAGGGGGAGTTGTGGATGAAACGGGCGGTGTTGGAGGAGAGCTTGGGGGCTTGACGGAGAGCCGAGGATACGGCGAAGGGACGCCGGAGGAAGAACGCCATGGCTGCGATGGATGCAGAGGGAGTGTGAGAGAGATGGCAGATGGCGATGGGTTAATTATAAGTTAGTGAACGGATTATTACTCATTAACTCCGTCATCTTCCGCCTTCCGCTTCAAGAAAGTTCGAGAAGGTCACGGGATATCGGTCATCGCAACCTTCACTTCTGCAACTCGTGATGGCGCAACTAGAGACTCTGGCTCTGCCGCATCTGCCGTCATCGCTGCCCGTGCATGTGGCCCTCTATCGCGATGTTCAAAATTCCGCCTTCTTGAAGCAGCAGCTCCTGGGGGGCAATGCAGAATTCGAGTATGCCTTGGTCGATGCCAGCATGGTAAGCTGCACCGGTTTAGATATGCGGCGCAATCGCTGACGGAGAAACAGGTTCTGACCCGGGCACATGCGATCGCAGCCATATTTCGAGCCGTCAATGACTACATGAATGGACGACTCATGTCCCGCAATGTGCACTCGGAGATTGTCTTCTCCTTCAACCCTGCAAATAATGTAAATATATATATTTTCACTCCACCACAACATTACCGACTAACTAATTTTTAATTTCTTACACAGATTGCCGACTCCTTCCGCAAATTTGGAATCGCAGATACAACCAAAGATCTGCTTGTAGTCAAAGTCTCCGTGTCGCCCGCGATCACGCACGAGTCCGTTGCTGCTCATTTGGCTACCGCCATCCAAGGGACCTCTGTGCCATTTGACGACGAGACTCTCTCCGAGATGTCCGATCTCGCCAAGATCAAGAAGGCATACAAATTGGGAGCGCTACCATCTCCGTCTTCCAAGACAGAGTGCAACGGCGCGCCCGATAATGACGCGAAGCGGCAATTGGAGCTCTCGCTCCTAGGGGCAATTGCGTTGCGGGGCACTTGAAGCCGATACGATACCATGTTATTTGAAGAATCGCTCTCAGCAGAGCTCAACTCGAATTCGATACCCCATTCCAGCGCCGTGCCTGCCCAGAGTGTGCTTGTCTAAGAAGGTCTCAGGTAGCAATTGCTACTTGTTCGATTAGGAAGCACTGCGTAGCTCACAGACATCTTGGTCAATTGAACCGATCACAGAGCAGGGCTAGTGCCGGAGTCGTCGCAAGCAATCACAGAAATGTTCAAAGACCAAGCGACCCATTTGCTAAGTACATGAATAGGAACCGTAAAACAAGGACCTATGAATTTCCAGATATGGTTGGTTTTACCGATCCTTGTTTGACGCCACAATATCCTCACCTTCCCCTTGCAATCACTTCACAACTAGGTAATCAATAACATCTCTCGAATCACAGGATTACTAAATTAAACAGCAAGCGTTTCAAGCGGCTTAAGGCGTACGACTGAAGATTTAATCTAAGTCCACTCAGGTAGTATTCGTAAGGTTAACACCTCCTGGTCGAATCCCAGCACTTGCAATGAATACAAAGCGAACCGGTCGGACACCACGGCGTGTGCCACTGACTCTCATAGATGGGCGAGTGAGAGAGGATTGAATGTTGGTTATGAATAATTAGATCGAGTGGCCAATTGTGTAAATGCCAGGCGTTGCCCCCACCCAACTCTAAACAAATAACTTTCACCCAGACATCCACCTTCCTCCGACAACATTTTGACTTTTCTCGATCCCTCTGCGACGAATATGAGAGATCCGTGAGAGATGCTTTGCGCCACAACCTGCACATCCGCACGCGACCAACCCTCTCTCCTCCTCCACCCTTCAACGCGTAACTCGCGACAATGACCAGCACGACAGACGTGATCGTCTTGTCCTCCTCTCCGAATTGCACCCCTCAATCTCCAGCACGAGATACGGACCTCCTCGAAAGGGCACTGGGAATCCCGCCACAATGCTCCTCGCCACCGCCGATACCCTCCCCTCCACAGTTGTTCGAGCTGCCGACGCGTTCTGCATACTTTGCCACGGAAAGCAACACAACGAAGAGCTGGAGCACCTCACAGAAAAAAGGACGGCGAACCACCAAAACAGCGTCTGCTACGTCTACGAATCCGGATGAAAAGACGCGCGCCAGGAAGTCGCGATCGAAGGCGAAGGATATGGCTGAGTCTGGTCCAACGGCTTCTGATCACCCCGGACCGGACTCGGTGGATTCCAGAGACGGCGGGACGATAGAGAAGTCAGGGACGAAGAAAAGTCGGTCTGCAAAGACTGCTTCAAAGCGCAAGGACTCGGGCAATATGAAATTGGCTGGGAAAGTCACCAAGTCGGGTGTGGATGCGCCGGCGAAGAAGACCAGCAAAGATGGCAAGAATGCCGTTGATTCAATGGGCTCGATGATTGACCTGTCGAAGGGATCAAATGCGCTGGGGGAGGATGAGGAGCTACATCTGGAGGCTGCGACAAGGCGAAGGATAGACTGGACACCACCACCAGACACCAGTCCGGAAGACAGCGCCGTCGAAGAAGTGAATCAGAAGGAGGACAGTGAAGCAAAAGGATCTGGCGGATTTGGCACGCTTTTTTCCAGCTACAGCTTTGCTACTTCGGCAGCAACTTCTCGCGAGATGCGCCAAAACCCAGACGGTGGACCAACCAAGCGAAGGCGCATTGAGGTACAGTTCATGTCCATTACTATAACCGTGACCAGTGACTTATTTTGATCTAGCTCGTAAATTCGCATCTTCCAGCAACCAACGACGACAAGACAAGCGACACGAAGAGCGAAGCCTCTGACTCGGCCTCTTCTGCTGCGCAAACAAAAAGAAAAGGGACACAAACCAAACGGTTCACAACATTGACTGCTCGGATGACCGCGCAATACAGTATCTTGGAAGAGGACATCGACGGCGTGTTGGACAGCGAAAAGGAGAAGCCCAAACGCCGTAGCAAAGCCAAGTCCACGAACAAAGACCCCGAGTTCACAATCCTTTCTCCTGAAGCTGCTGCCAAGGCTTTTGATGAACAGGACCTCATGTTCGGCACATGCAGCCAGTTGGAGAGGGAAGATTCGCCGCAAACGCTGGAAGAGATGCAGGAAGCGATTCGTGCTTCCGAGAAGCTTTTCAAAGAGCAGAAAGCTTCTTCTGCTGATCGAAGTGTCACCTCTGCTCGTCCCATTTCCAGACTGATTGGCAGCCGAAATTTATGGGGAGTTGCCGCCAGGAATACCGACGGATCCTTGATTCGGGCCGAAGGCCTGGACAAAGTTGATTTGACAGAGCCAAAAGAGGCCAGCATGTCAATACACAAGCAAGATGAATTCGACTGGCTTGAGATCGATTGTGGAGAGCCTAAATCGGATTCACGGACGAAGACCCAGTTGCCTGAACAGTCTGCGCCGCGGTGTCAAGCTGCAATCACTGCCACTCAGCCCTCGAAAGATACAGAAAACAGCGACCCGCCCGTGAGCCCTCAGCAGCCTTCCATGCCACAGTATAGTGGGTTCACGGACGCAGAGCTATCCAAACAGGTAGCTGCATACGGATTCAAGTCTGTGAGGGGCCGAAAGAAGATGATTGATCTTCTCCAAAAGTGCTGGCATTCGAAACATGGCCGTGGCAACAAGTCTGCTGGTCCTACGCAGCAGCCCGAGAAACCGAAAGCTCGCATCTCTGCCAAAACTCAGATCTCAGCTCCAAGCAAGCCCAAGAGAACAAAAACTGACTCCAAATCATTCTCAAAAAACCTGCAGAACAGCCCCAAAGGCAAGCAGACGAGCCGCTCTTTTATCGACGTCGACGAGATCCAAGACTCAGAAGAGGAAATACTTCCTTCTCCAAGTCAAGTCCAGAAACGATACACGGACATATACTCCAGCAAATCCAGTAGTGCTTCAGAGCCTTCTCTGGACATGTCACCCACGGCACCATCACCGCCAAGTCCCACGAAACGCAAAACCGCTGCCCCTCGCAAGCCATCTAGCACCCGGCCGCCATCTTCCGCCCCAATCACGAAGCCAGCAACCAGACCAGACACCTCCAGACGAAGCAGTCTCCCAGACCTAGGCACACAGGTCACCAAGGCCGTTCACGCTCAGAAGCAGTCCCCCCTCTCATCCATGTCCAAAAGCCGCAGTAATCCGACATGGCACGAGAAGATCCTGATGTATGACCCGATCGTCCTGGAGGATTTTACTACATGGCTGAACGTCGAGGGACTTGGTCTTGTCGGCGAAGATCGCGAGATCAGTGCTGGGTCTGTGAGAGAGTGGTGTGAGGGGAAAGGTGTTTGTTGTTGCTGGAAGAACAAGGCTAGCTGGTAGGTGTGTATCTGAGACTGTGTCTGCATTTTCATTTGCATTCAGGGTACATAGGAGATGTCTTCTGAGATAGACAGTCTTTAATCAACACATCACACTCTGAATGACGGTTAGGATATCTCATTATCACCATTGTGCTGCATGGTGTCTATCCTTTGTATGAAAGCCATTGATAAAAGACGAACCTCCGCCGAAATCACGAAAATGTCAAGATCCACAGGTAAAGATCATCACACCAGAACACACCAAAGTGTCATTGAATGCCGCAGGCGAGTACCAACGCCCTAGTAGCGACTACCATAACACGCAGCCATTCATACATACCCCCAAGGGAAGCTGGCTATGGCTATCTATCAACCAACCCAGCTTTCAGCCGCGCCGTCTGCTCACACAAGATCTCGATCTGATCCTCCAAGAGCTCATTGCGGCGCTCGAGGGCCAGATTCCGCTCTCTCAGCTGCTGGATCTGTGCCTGCAAGCTGTTGATTTGCTTTTTCATTCGGCTCGCTGCGCCACGGACATATGTCTCGCCAGTGACTCGGTCGGTTACCTGGCAGGGCAACCCGCCTGCGATGCAGGGGGCGCAGCCAGTGGGCCGTGGGTCGCAGCGCATTTTGCGGAGCTGGAAGAGAGAACATGTGTAAGTAAGTAAGTAAGGACTGGTAGATACCATGCTAGTACAATGTGGGTGTATAATGTTATGGTGCTAGGCGGAGCAGAAGAGGATAGTGTATGTAGGTACCTTGCACCGATCGCATGCTTGGCCCGTTCGGCGTGAGTTGCGGACTTGTTCGCGCACTTGCTCTGACCAGTCGGGTTCAGGCTCGTGGCGGCTGCGTCGGCTGCGAGGTTGGCTGGTTGTACCGCTGACTTCGTCAGGGTTGGAGATGGGGGTTGAATTGGTGGTAGCAGTGGTAGTGGTAGTCGTAGTGGTAGAAGCGGCCATGAGCTTGGTGATGTCTTCGTTATATGATAACGGAGCCCGCATATGGGTGGAAGCTTGCTCGAAGGCCGAAAGATTCTCTGGTAGCTTATTAGATACCTCTGCGTGGTATCTGGTGAGTGGTTGTCTTACCGGAGGGAAGTATGCCTTCCATGGTGAATGTTTATTTGTACCCAGTGAGAAAAACTTGAGTATCGGGGATAGAAGGGCGGTTCGACGGGATGAATGATGAGAGCACCAGAGAAGAGATGCAGTGGGAGGCAGGCAGGAGAGCAGTGAGTGGATGAATAGAGCAGGAATTGGCCGGGAAAACAGTACATAAATGTAGGCGCCAACGTCATCAAACAAGCTGGGTAGCTTGCAGAAATTGCATAGATCTGAAAACATTAAAGCTTTATTGCACCCTGGAATTACTTCGGGTAAAGAGGTAGCTACTATTCGCTTTGATAGACTAAAGAATGTTGCAAATGAACAATAAGATACACTTGCAACATTAACAACAGAAGCGTTGTAAGAGATTGTCGTTGCCTTGCCTTTTGTTAGAATGGTGCAGAATAATGCCATTATCATTCATGTCTTGGATATTGCACATGTGCGTTCTTAGCCACGTGAGACATAGCTGGCTCGTCTATTGTTTCTTCCAGGAAGTTCAAAATGTCTCATTATCAAGACTTCGTGTTTCAACGTATTCTGAATGAAGTAAAAAGACCGCCTTGTTGGTCTTCATCTTGGGGATAGGTCCGTTATGGGAAGAAAGTACTATAGAACACCAAGAACGGTTTCTTGCACACAACCCTTTGGAAAACCCGATTATCCACTGTCTACATATCTACAGAGCATGTAAGAATTCAAAGATACATCAACATTCAATATAGACTGTGCGGGGGTGGTGGCGTAGAATACATTAAAAAAAAAATCGAGAAATATCTTACCTTTCCTCCCAAGAGAAAAAGAGTTTCATATCAAACAAGGATAGATAGATGGAAAATGTATTTCTCATGAAAATGGCAATGAGGGAAAAACTCCAAGAAAGACAACATTACCGTCAAATCAAGATAAAAAAAAAATAAAATAAAATAAAATAAAAAAAGAAAGAAGGCGGGAGAGGGGACAAATATTCAAAAACAAAAACCGCGCAATTTCAGTCTCTGAAACGCCTGCCCTGCCTGCCTGCCATGCTTGACCTGCCCGAGGAAGTACAAGAATGAGAATTTTGCAAAGAAAGAAAGAAACAAAGAAAGTTGGGAAAAGAGACAGAGGCGGTGGGTAGAATCAAGAATCAAATCCAGAAAGTGCAAGAAACATATCAAGCACATACAAAAAGAAAAGCTCCTCCTGCTCCTACACCCGGAACCCAATCTAACCGGGTCAAAAGTTAAAACTGTAAACATAGAATAATGAGAAGTTCTCTCTTCCCAAGAGGACAGAGTGAAAAAAGCCGCAACACCGAGGAAATGAGAGAGCGTCGTTTGAGGTCATGTGGCAGAAGAGACTGGACGAAATTAGTTTGAATGTTAGTGTCAAAAATGTGGAACAGACATACGATGTGATATGTGTTCAAAATTGACTCATGTGGGAGTCGAAAGTAGGTATGTACCGAAGCAGCGAACACCAAACGCCATCCACTCCAACTGGATGAGGGATATAGTTAGGTCTTGCTCTGCAAGACAGGACAGAAAGGACGGACAGGCTGTCTGTCCAATCATCATCGAAAGTTCTTTCCATTCGTAGCAACAACCTCAAAATGGATCCTCGATCGATACCGCGCCGGACCACCATCTTCAAGCCAGGACGTGAGATTCTTGCACTGGCTCACATCGAACGACTGAAGCTGGTGACATCCTTCTGCAACGGCCTCGACGCCGACGCCCGTGACGCGAACGCAGCCGCGCACGGATAGATGCTGCAGCGACAACAGGTGGAGCCCGATGCTCCGCAGGGAAGGGTCGGAGATGGCGGAGCCGCAGAAGGACATGTTGAGGTATTTGAGCTGAGAGCATTGCAGGGCGAGGACTTCGGTTGCTGTATCGGATAAGGCGCAGCAGAAGGACTAGAGAGACGGCAAATTAGTGGGTTTGATTGAGAAGAAGGAGGAAAGTTTGCCTACCAGGTCCAATTCCTGTAATGACTTGGCGGCGTTGGTTAGATGCACGATGGCGTTATCGGTTAAGTATGTGCAATCAGCTAGGCAAAGTTTCTTCAGGTTGGTAAATCGGGCATTGCCCCAATACTGGAACCCCTGATCGGTGATGGTCGTGCAACGCGTCAAGTCCATCTCTTCGATTCGGCCCGCAGAATGCGACGCAATGTGGTGCATCGAGCGATCCGTAACGTGCTTGCAGTATGAGAGCGTGAGCTTCTTCAACTGTGGACATCCATACACGATGCCATCCGCTGTCTGCATGGTAGGTTTAATGGACGACTTGCCCTCGCCTGGCGGCTTGGCATTGGCTGACGCAACCCATCCAACGATCCGGGCAAGGAGTGTGTCTCCCACTTTGCGACAATTGCTTAGATCCACTTCTTGCAGTTTAGTGGCCTTGTTGGCCATCTCGAGAATGGCGGATGCGGTGACCTCCCAGACGCTTTTCATCTTCCATGTGGTAGCCTGGGGCGCACAAGTACTGGCCAGCGCGTTGAAGCCTTCGTCGGTGATGTGGAAGCAGTTATTGATGTTGATCGAACGAGGCCGGGTGCCAACAAACGGACAGATGATCTTGACCAACACCTCGTCGGTGATTTTGCGGTTGTAGACACTCAGATCTAAATCACGAAGTAAACCGCCGGATTTGTTCAGAATTTCGGACCAGTGCGACGATACTGCGCGAAAGCGAAGAAGGTGATGAAGATCCAGGTACTGGAAGATGTTGAGAAGGACGCTGTCGGGAAACACGCCGCGATATCCGTCACCGAGCGGACGAGCTGCCTGATGCGGTTTCGAGAGACCAGTCATCTCGGGGAGGGCAAGGGAGGACGAGCTGCCGGATTTGGGCTCAGAAGACGACGACGGGCGTGTTTGCTCCCCCGAGACTTCTTCGGGGGTTAAGGGTGCCACTGAGCCTCGTCGGCTTCGCAGGCGCACCTTGTCCAAGCCGAGACTGAGGTAAGGATCAGGATCGGTGGGCCGCAAGACGGCCTGGTCCTGATCTTCAACGGGGGTAGACTGATGGGGACCATCCAGTTCGGTTTCGGTTAGTGTCAACAAGGGCATGGAGCGTCTGCGCGAGGACGTGATCTTGACTCTGTCGTCAATGGCCAAGTCGCTCATGGACGGTTGGGCGTTTGAGGCGTCGGTCATCACCACATCGCCATCCGCGGCAGACTGGAGTCTTTCCTGTGCAGTGCGCTCTACCTGTTCTCGAATGCTTGGGGGGCACTTCTCCCAGAATTCGGACAAAACATCACCGCTGAGCATAAGACATTCGACCTGGGTGACAGATCGAACAGTGGCAGTTCTTCGTGGGGCGAGAGACAAGCTGACCACTTCTCCAAAATACTGGCCTTGTCGTAGGCGAGCTTTAATTTCGATCCCAGAGCGCTTGACACCGTTGGGTGGGTGTGCATGATGCTTCTCAGTCTTTTCGGTCTTCTCAGTCTTCTCCGTGAGGACTTCAACCTCGCCGCGGACAATAAAGTAGAGTTCTCGGCCTTGGGAGTCTTGTTGGATGATGTCGGCAAAAGGTGGGAAAGACCTGGGTTGGGCATTGAGACCGAGGAAGTGTAGGATGTCGGCTGGCAGTCCAGAAAAGAGAGGTAACTCTTTGAGCAGCAGGCGGACATTGACCAGCCCATTGGCCAGCGCGCTGGAACCATCCCGCCTCCCAGGGCTCGGAGACTTGCGCTTCTTGTTCACAGAATTGGCACTCAACTCCTCATCTTCCGAAACCACCAAGTCCCGAGCAAAGCTCTCCCGCAGTCTCTTGGAGCCCCTCCGGATCGGGCCTGGTGGAAGATCTGGTGGGGGCACCGAGGTCTCCTTCTTTTTCTTCTCGAGGATCATCAAGCGCTCCTGTGCCTCCTCCCTGATCGCTCGCTCGACATCAGGGAAGCGCGGCAGAATGCTCCGGAAATCCTCTTTGGTCAGCACCACCAGCATACAGCGGGTCCGGGCGATGATGGTTGCCGTGCGCGGGCGGTCCATGAGCACGCCGATCTCGCCAAAGAACGCGCCCGGCTGGAGTTCAGCATAGATACTCTCGCCATCACGCGATGTGACCGAGACCGCACCCCGTACCAGCCAGTATATTGCCTTGGCCTCGTCGCCCTCTGTGAGAATGTAGTCGTTGGCCGCATGGAGCTGCGGGCGCAAGTGCTGGCCCACCTCGAAGAGGAACGACTCTGGGGTCGCCTGGAACAGTGGGAATGAGCGCAGCCGATCCACCAGTTCGAGTGGCAGTGCTTTGATGTTGGAGGAGGCCAACGGCGATGGTCGCGCGGGACGGTTAGGGTTCATGACCGAATCGAACGAGTGGATTAGGGACACCGTGTCGGACATGGGCGTGACGGCCTTGGTCGGGCCACCACTGGACCTGCCATGGCGACGCATTGTAGCGGGAATCGGTCCGATTCTAGTAGATTAGATGGAGGGTGGGTTCACAGGCGATGACGTCGACGAAAGCGGTGCGTGTCCCATCGGCATGGTCAGCACCCAATGGCGGGGAGAATGTGCAGCCCTAGCAGACCGACATGGGGGTTGGGATTAGACGTTCTAGGGAAGATAGAGGGAGGGAAGCGGGTTGAACGAATAATTTCGGTGTCGTTAGAGAAGTTGGAGAGCGGGGGTGGACAGAGCGGACTGACAGGCGAAAGAAAGAATGCTGAGCTCCACCGATCGGCTGGGAACCTTCGGAAACTCCCTAACTCTATAGAACCACCCCACAATAATGATGAAGTCGGTCGGAAAGAATTTAGCCCCAATTATTGAATGTGTTCTATAATTAATTATCCCGCCGTAAGATCAGCTGAGTCGACAAGGATGATTCATGGTATTAACATTGCTCGATAATGTACGTGGCGGAGTGACTGCGTAGTAGGTACATGCTCCATCTCGCAGAGAAGAAAAGAACCGTCAAAGAATCCTGTCGAGCGCACAGGACACCGGAGTGTCCCGCAGTGTGCCTGTCACAGCAAACGAACTGGCGGGAGGGGCGGAAAGATCACGTGGGGGAGTTAGGGTATCATGAGACTATAGTACAGGTTGGGTAGTAGCAGTATGGCTACCATCTTCCAGGGCAGACCGAGCAGCAGATTGATGCTTTGCAATGGCGGGCCTCATCAGACATGGATGGATGTGCCTCATTGGGGAGTCTGGCATTTCATCCTGGGTCCTGCGCATCGGTGCTTCCGCTGGCGCTGGCGATGGCCGATTTAAAGGCCGGAGATGGTGGGAGGGAAAGGGGACGGTGGACACCCAAACCACTTTCTGTCAAACAGCAGTCCCCTTGGACCGACGATTTCCCAAGACAAAATCCACATATGCTGGCCGATTGCCCTTCAAGCTTTCCAAGACATCCTGCAACAGTCCATACGCGAAGCTCAATTTCAGCCCGAGTTTTGCCGTGCGCGCAGCCGTATAGACATCATGGCGAGCTAAATCCAAAAGTATTAGCACCGGCGTCTCCAAAATGACCAGCGGCTAGAATCACCTACCCAATAAACTGTAGATCCCCGAGAAAGACAATCCCGCCGTTACCGTCGACAAAAAATCCCTCTCATCATGCCTCGCATAATCGACCGTCTCCTCAAATAGACAAAACGCCATTGCGCCAACACCCAGCTTACAGCCCATCTTCATCCCATCCTTGACACCACCAACGACGGACAGATAATTCTTCGTTTTGTGGTACTGGAACCAGCCGGACGAGGTCGTGGGGAATCGATGCGCATTCTCGGCCCGGAAGCGCAGGCCCGCTCTGTTGCTGCCGTGATAGTAACCCAGTGCGAGACCGGTCGAGAAGGCCGACATGGAGGCGTAGGGAATTCGCTTTTGGACATCAATGCCTAGGCGCGGTGGGCTGTCGGAGTCGAAGAGCTTGTGCCAGTGGATGATTTTGAGGAAGAGGGAGTTTTCGGGGGAGGACTCTGCTGAGGAGGATTGGGAGGGTTGTCCGGTCTCCATTGTGCTGGGCGATGTGACTGGGCACTTGATGGTAGGGTGGCTGTTCAGTATGAATGATGGTGGTGGAAGGAAGATCAGATGCTGGCCCGATGATTCTCCGGGCTCCGCGTCACGACACCCGCGCAGACACGACGAACACCACCTCAACCCTCTCACACATCGCCAAGATGGTATGTCCTGTCCCTGCCCTTGAACTAAGGGCCATCACGAACTAATCTCTCAACAGCCACCAAAACAAGCACAACTCAACCCCCGAGCCTCCACTCTCCTCTTCAAGAAACACAAAACCACCGTCCTCCTCGTGCTCCAGCCCCACGAATCACTGACCGCAGCCAAGGAGAAGCTACTGCAAGCGCTCAAGGCGCGCAATGTCACAGAGATCAATGGCGATCTAGTTCCCGACGACCCCGGTGCGATCGAGTTCGGCATGGCCGTGGACCGGAATGACCTGGAGAAAGGCTGGACTCGACTTGATGCCGAGACTGCCGAGCTTGGCGGCACAAAGGCGAAGACGGATGCAGCGGGGTCTTTGCAGGCTGCTGGATTGCAGGATGGGCATCCCGTGGCTTTTCGATTCCGGAAAGCGCAGGAGGCAGCTCCCGAATCGGAGGATGTTGAAGTCGAGCTAGAGGATCCTGGGTGGGATGTTGTTACGCCGCATTTTGATGACGAGGAGGAGCAGTGAGACTACTGTTTTACGACGAGTACACATCATATGGTTTATGGATTATGGCGCTGGGAGAGGACAAGCTGGGCGGGTTCATACAGTTGCATGGCGTTTCTTGGGTATCTTTAAAATCTGCAATAACATCAAAAGCGGGATTAATCCACTAGTTGCCAGCCATGCCAGGCCACGGGCTGTCAGTATTCAGAGAACGATCTCTTACCCTGTCGAGCATGGAAGCTGCAGGCGCCGGGGGATAAAGTGCGTGTCGATAGTCAAGGGACGTGTATATAGATGAAACACATACTGCAGAGACTCGCGCGGTGCAGGCAATCCATCCTTCCACGCACTTCCACTATCGCCACTCTGAGACGGTTGCTCGGAGCAACCAAGCACAGACAACGCGCAAAGCATCAACAAATCGCGGAGACACATCCTGCGTGTGCTGGAGCTCCACACGTTGTTCATTCTGCTCCTGCTCTTCTTACTCTCAACATCACCACCACTGCAGTTACTAACCCTACAGCTTTACTTTCCTCTCTCCCCTGGCATTGTCGCAGGGCGTCCCTCCTTCGCTCCTTGTTTATGATATCCCGCCCTATTTCGCAACTTGGGGACTACCCATCCACAACCATGGCTTCCGCCGGTGGCGCTTCTTCGATTACCGTGACCGTCCGAGTGCGTCCATTTACGATCAGAGAAGCGGCACAGATCACACGGACTGATGATGGCCCGCTTTTCCTCGGAGATGGATCGCTGGCCGGTGTACCTGCACCGAAGCTCAACCAGAAGGGAATCAGATCGATTGTCAAAGTGATAGACGACCGATGCCTGTGAGTATCTCCACTGCCGTTTGCATAGCTCATCACTAACCGTAGCTATCAGAGTGTTCGACCCTCCAGAAGACAATCCCGTCCAGAAGTTCTCCAGGAGCGTCGTGCCCAACGGCAAGCGCGTCAAGGACCAGACCTTTGCCTTCGACCGCATCTTCGACCAGAATGCCTCCCAGGGCGAGGTGTATGAATCAACAACACGCAGTCTGCTCGACAGTGTCCTCGATGGCTATAACGCGACGGTCTTCGCCTATGGAGCAACGGGATGCGGAAAGACTCACACCATCACGGGGACAGCACAGCAGCCGGGGATCATTTTCTTGACTATGCAGGAACTGTTCGAGCGGATTGAGGAACGAAAGGATGAGAAGACCACCGAGATCTCGCTCTCATACCTGGAGATCTACAACGAGACCATTCGCGACTTGCTCGTTCCCGGAGGGTCCAAGGGGGGTTTGATGCTGCGTGAGGACACCAACCAGTCGGTTTCAGTTTCTGGTCTGTCAAGCCATCATCCTCAGAATGTCGAGCAGGTCATGGACATGATCATGCGAGGCAACGAGTGTCGAACCATGTCTCCCACCGAAGCGAATGCCACCTCTTCTCGGTCACACGCCGTACTTCAGATTAATATCGCCCAGAAGGACCGCAATGCAGACGTCAGTGAGCCACACACGATGGCTACCTTCAGTATCATCGATCTTGCGGGCAGTGAACGCGCAAGCGCGACGAAGAACCGAGGCGAACGGCTGATGGAAGGTGCCAATATCAACAAATCTCTTCTGGCTTTGGGCAGTTGCATCAATGCGCTCTGCGACCCGCGGAAACGCAACCACATTCCTTACCGCAACTCCAAACTTACCCGACTGCTCAAGTTTGCGCTGGGCGGGAACTGCAAGACGGTCATGATTGTCTGCGTCAGTCCCTCTAGTCAGCACTTTGACGAGACCCAGAACACTCTACGATACGCCAACCGAGCCAAGAACATCCAGACCAAGGTCACCAGAAACGTGTTTAACGTCAACCGACACGTCAAGGACTTCCTGGTCAAGATTGACGAGCAGATCAACCTGATCAACGAACTCAAAGCGCAGCAGAAGGATCATGAGAATATCGCGTTTGCCAAGTTCCGCAAACAAACAGAGAAGAAGGACGCTGTTGTCCGCGAAGGTGTCGCACGCATCAGGAATGCCTACGAACACACCTTGCCCGAAAGACAGGAGAAGACGAATAATATGCTCAAGCTGAGACAGATCAGCCGCCGGATCGGCATTCTGTCTGCATGGATTGCTGCGTTTGATAATATCTGTGCTTCCCGCGAGACTGAGGGCGGCTTGGATAATCTCTGGGCAATTCGAAAAACTGCCCAGGGGATCCTGCTGGAGCTGGAAGGGAGCAGGCATCATTACAACCGGCGCCTAGCGCAGAGCACCTGGGACAGACCAATCATCTCCGCAGTCGAAAATGCCGTCAAGCAGCTCGAGGAATTTGATATCCGCGACAACAGCGACTACGATAACCTGAACCGGGAGGCGGAGCTACTCCGGTCCGTTGCAGAGCGTGAGGCACTGTCCGCCGTGGTGGAACAGGACAAAGCCGGGGAATCTGCTGCGGTGCAGGTTCTGCTGCAAGCACAGTTCGAGGTGATGGCCTCAATTGAGGACATCATGCAACTGAATGCTTCCGAGGCCATTCGAAAGGGACGGGTGATTCTGGGGAAGATGCTGGATGCTTGCACGACCTCGGCCTCCAACCTCGTCAAGCCGGATGGCAACATGCCTACTGCTCCACAGATGAGCGCTCCCAAATCAGCGAGTCCTCCTAAACCAAAGAAGAGGTTCAGCTTGGTCAACCTGCCTTCTGAAACCGTCGCTCCTCCCGTGGCTCTCATGCCAACTATCACCGCCTCGCCGATCAAGGGCTCGCCTCGACGCCGCAAGACCACCACTGGCCGGAAGAGCGTCAGCTTCACCCCGAAAAAGGTCCAGGTGAAGGCCAATAAACGATCTGTCCGGTGGAAGGACGACGAACAAGACGGGTCTCTAGCTGAATGGCAAAAGAGCCCACAGAAATCCGCAGAGTCTGCGGATGAAGCCAGCTCAGAGGCGGAGCCTTCGCTGCCTCGTGGTGCATCCCCGATCCCGCGAAACATTCCCGTCCGTGCAGGCAGTCCTGCCGCCAGTGCCTCCCCCGCGCCTGCGGGCGCCGAGCAGACATTGAGCATCCCCAAGAACGGCAGCCGCTTCAAGGCCGGGTTCCTATCTAAGAAGACCAGCAGTTCACCTCTGGTGCCACCTCCTTCAACCACTCTTCCCATGTCCGACAGCGAGAACTCTCCATTACGTGAGATCGAAGGCAGCAGCTTCTTGAACCGCCCGTCGCGAATCGCCGTCCGCACCCCGAGCGGGAACAACTACTCCAGCAGCCCCGTGTCAGACAGCAAGGAGCAATGGAAGACTGACAAGGAGGAAGCAATCAAGATCAACTCAGCCATGCGGCGCATCTCCAGCGGGCAACATCCCTCTTCTTCAGCCAACAACAACTCCCTACGAGTCCACCGCCGTCGCAGCCCCAGCTCCAACAGTACTACTCCTTCCGGCAGCTCACCGAGCGAGAACACTATGTTCACAGCATCCCAGGCCCGTCGCATGGTCAAGAGCGAGAAGGAGTTCGAGGCCAAGCCCCGCGTTCTCAGTCCGCGCACTCTCCCCGTTATGAAGAACACCGGTGGTGGTCAGCGGCGCACTACGCTAGGCGGCGAGATCCGCTCGCGCGATGTGAGTCTGACGAGTCGCGATGCTATCCGGCTAAGTGTGATCCCGTCGGAAGTAGGTGGTGGTGGGTTGCGCTGAGGCGGGCCAATTTTTGATCTCGATTTCGGAATATGATATGCCTGGTGCTATGGTGTTGTGGCCTCGAACTTGGAACTGGCGTTTGGGGGAGTGTGTAAACCGGATACCACTTTTGAACTGGATTACATGTATGCAGTGTTTGTTTTTCTTTTGTTTTGTGTTTATGTGTGTGTGTGTGTGTGCTGGACTGGACTGGCCTGGCAGTCCTGAGTCTCTTTCTTTCTTGACATATTTTTATTTCGGCGTGTACAATAACGACTATTCCCATGTTTCTTTTCTCTTCTATTCATCCCAGTCCAAAAGTATTAGTAGAGAGGACACCCCCCGTCTTTGTCATATCGGATGACGCCACCAACCCGATTAAGCTCCGAGCTCTCCATCTCTCACTTTTTCCCGCCAACACAAGAACACCCCACCCCAACAACCACCCCAGTAATAATCAGTCTACATAGTACGTTCTCCCCTTCTGTGGTCTATCATTCTATTGTTCAATGTCCTTCATCGCCACACCCTCCCTCCTTGTCTACCGCTTCATCCGCCCCTTCTCCACCACCTCGCCCATTTTCCTCTCTCTGACTGGAAGCTCCAGCTCGGCATCAGCAGCGCAGTCCTCGTCAAAAATGTCCAGCACACAGCAGACCGCCACCCTCGCCGCGGGCTGCTTCTGGGGTGTGGAGCACCTCTTCCGCAAGCATTTCGGGAATGGGAAGGGGTTGCTCGATGCTAAGGTTGGATATTCTGGTGGGAAGACCACGGCGCCTTCGTATAGGGCTGTTTGTTCGGGGGATACAGGTCGTGCGTCCCTCCCTCTTCTCCTCATGATCAATCTCCCCCCCCCCCCCCCAAAATCGGATCTAACTAACCATTCTTCTTTCTTCTATTTGTTTATTCAGACGCCGAAGCCCTCCAAGTTACCTACGACCCCTCCCTAGTCAGCTACCGCCAGCTCATCGAATTCTTCTTCCGCATGCACGACCCGACAACCATGAACCGCCAGGGTGGCGACGTGGGCACGCAGTACCGGTCCGCGATCTTCACGCACGGCGACGAGCAGCAGAAGACCGCGGAGGGCGTCGCGGAGAAGGTCGCTGCGCAGTGGTATAAGAAGCCGCTTTCGACGCAGATCGTCCCCGCCGGGCCTTGGTGGGATGCGGAGGATTATCATCAGTTGTATTTGCATAAGAATCCTTCGGGGTATGAGTGTCCGGCGCAGTATGTGGTCCTTCCCCTTCCCCTTCGTGAGAAGTTCATTGTTGATGGGTTGGTAGCTTTGTGAGGAATTTCCCGCCACTTGCGGATTGACTAGCTACTAAGCTGTAGGTCGGTCGGAGGAAGTGGATAGGTACTGTCTACTGGGGATTTGACAGTTGGTTGGTTGGGCAGACACATTGAGATTGACTGTTTATGTATATCATGACGAAATATATCTTCCACTGGGGTTGATTTCTATGACTATTTGTTCTTTGGGTAACTCCTCCACCATGTAGATATAGGTCAATTGTAGGACCGCTGACCACTTCTCAGATACAATGTCCAGGTGGTGCCGCGCTATCTATCTCATGGATGGAAGCCATTTCCACTATTCGAGGCAGCCCCGTGAGGATGTGAGTTGGACTTCTTTGTATGATGGGTATCTCCCAGTCCAAGTCCATGTTGGCAAATTCACTACTTTTGTTGTATGGGAGCGTTGCTGTAGCTTCACTAACTTTGTCTGGTCCCGGCATTGTACTATGAGGGTCGCCTTTTTCTTATCGACGGCACTCCTCTTCCTTTTCATAGTGACACTAGCCCTTCCTAGGCCTAGCTCATGGCCACGCCCTAACAAATTCACAAAAGAATATTTAGCAGACCATTTCTACGCAGGGAGACACCCATAGAAAGTTAGGACGTCAGGGAGAGGGAGGCGATCCCCAATCAAAACAAGCTGCACGCTGCAGGGCAAATTCTTGCCGATCGCAACGAGGCAGTGCGGCAGTAGACGCAAGGCAGGGTGCGGGAGTGTCGCACTAGCGGAACACGGCGACTAGGTGTGGCGATCCAGTTAAGTGGAAGCGCGAGGGAGGCTAGAAAGGTTGGACTGTGCGTGGGTTGGCTGTTCGTGCGGGCCTTGAAGATGGTATGGGATGGATTCTGGGAGATCCGATAGGTCGGGGATAGCGTGTTTGTCGATGCGAAGCAGGTTAACAAGTGATCGCTACTTGGGTCTTGGAATGGCACTCTTTATCCTCTTCATTGAAGTGAACCCTAACTTAGGCTACCATTGCCCCAGCACAGAACCAGCAAGGCATGCGATCAGGAGCTGCGCTAGGGGAACGGGGAATAAATAGGTGGTTCGGAAGAGTTATTTATGGCGACGAACCCAACCTTGGAACACACACACTATTGAGTGGGTAAATCCGTCGGAGAGTCCGGATTGAGTCAAGACATGTCTTACCCGGAGTTGAGTGACTATCCAAGGGACCCGCGTGAGACTGACCGGCTGCCATTCACGTAATTATGTCACGGATGTGACCTAACCCCTATTGATTCCTGGTGGATGATGTACTCAGTCGATCCCGGGGCGGCAGTGCCCCGTGAATGGCCTCTGCATGACGGACGGGTGTGGGTCGGGGTTCGTTTATCATGTTTCAGTACCTTGCGGATGAGGATTATGTCGGATGATGACCATGGCTGCCTATTATTATCCCTATCACTAGCCCGTCGGCTGGTACTGCCGGTTTAGCAGGTTAGCGAGATGACCGTTGCTGGTGGCGGTCCTCGATCGGGCCCAGGTCATCCCCATATTGTGTTGCCATGCGGTGCGACAGTATTATTGATGCACTCCCACCAATCAGGCTGATCACCCGCCCGGGGCTGTGGGGTCTTAGTCACCGTATTACCGCACAGACTCAGGGTTCTCAGGGCCGTGAGTGGGCCGGGGAGTATCCCGTTGTATTATTATTATTAAACCTTGAAAATCTGCCCCTTCTTCTTCCCTCTCTCCCCTTCCTCTTCTGTCCCCAGTTGAACTTCTTCTTTCCTCTTCCCCCCCAAAAGCAGTGTTCCATCTGCAGCCCTTCGTTTACACTATCTCCCGCTTGACCTCGTCCAATTCACTCGCTCGGACGTTGTTTCTTGTATATTTCCCCCCTTGTACATATCCAGCGACCGATTGACCCATCACAATAATGGTCCGCCTCGCGACTTCCCTGGTCCTAGCGGCCTCCCTGTCCGCCTCGGTCCTCGCCGCCGACTCCATCACCTGCTCCGCCAGCAGCCAGTGCCCAGAGGACAAGCCGTGCTGCTCTCGTGAGTAAACCCCTCGATGTGGAGGGAAACAACCAGTCGTTGACCCTTGTGCTAGAATATGGTGAGTGCGGTACTGGCGCCTACTGCCTCGGTGGCTGCGACGTTCGTTACTCCTTCGCGCTCGACTCGTGCGCCCCGATGCCTATCTGCGAGTCCAAGTCCTACACCTGGGACAGCATGGACAACATGGCCCTCAACACCAAGTACCTCGGTGATGCCTCCAAAGCCGACTGGGTCTACTCCGGCTTCCCCAAGATCCAGGATGGCTCCATGCTCATGACCATGCCCAAGAACACTGTCGGCACGCTGATTGCCAGCTCCCACTACATCTTTTACGGCAAGGTCTCGGGCAAGTTCAAGAGCTCGCGTGGTGACGGTGTGGTTTCCTCTTTCATCCTGATGTCTGACGTCCAGGACGAGATTGATCTGGAGTGGGTTGGCGCCGACTTGACCAACGTGCAGAGCAACTACTACTGGCAGGGTGTTCTGAACTGTAAGTGCTTTCCCCTTGTCCACACCGTCTTTGGTTAATGCTGACTCCGCGTAGGGCACCACAGCCAGAACCTGACCATCCCCGGCGGCGACTCCTTCGACGACTGGCACACCTACGAGCTCGACTGGAGCCCTGACCAGCTGACCTGGAGCGTCGACGGCAACGTGCAGCGCACATTGACCAAGGCTTCCACCTACGACTCGAGTACCAACCAGTACAAGTACCCTCAGACCCCCGCGCGCCTTCAGTTTTCCATCTGGCCCGCTGGTGCGTCTAGCAGCGCCCCCGGCACCATCGCTTGGGCCGGTGGTGCCATCGACTGGAACAGCCCGGATATCCAGCAATACGGTTATGACTTTGCGACCATTGGCGATGTCAACGTCGAGTGCTACAGCGTCCCCTCCGGCACGGAGCAGTCCGGCGACAACGCCTACATCTACACCAGCACTGATTCCATGCAGAGCGATGTCGCCATCGTCAACAACTCGACTATCCTGAGCTCCATGGGCGCTACTGGCTCTGACCCTTCTCTGGGTGCTAGCGCCAGCGGTTCTTCTGCTTCTGCTTCTGCTTCCGCTTCTGACAGCGTTCCCTCCTCTTCGAGCGGCGGTGCTGGCGAGCACTCTGGCAGCGGTGGCTCGAGCTCGTCTTCGGGCTCTTCTACCAGCGGCAGCGGCAGCGGCAGCGGTAGCGGTACATTCAGCCAGAACGGCAACAGCGGCTCTGGCTCTGGCTCTGGCTCCGGCTCTGGCCAAGGCAACGCTGCTCCCAGCCAGAACGAGCGCGTCCTGCGGGGCTCGCTCTTCGCTGTCCTGGTTGCTGTCGTGGTCCTGGTGACGCTGTAAATGTATCATTGTTTTGGCTCTTTTTTTGTTGGATATTATTGGGACTTGGGAGATTTTGCTCCTCATATCGAGTATATTTTTTTTTCTTTTTTGCCTCTTTATCAATTTAACTTCCTTCGTGACTTGCTTGTCTGTGGTGACACCACCCAGATAAATCAGCTAGTTCGGCACCCTTTCTTTGTTTGTCTGTACAACTGGACTTTTCTTGTTTTGACTGGACTGGACATTGAAAGTGCACAAACCCCATCTAATGAATTTTGCTTCCCTCTTTCTTGTCTTGTACGTTGGTGGATGGAAAATCCCATATATCACTATTGTCTCTATCTTTAGCGTTTGCTTTTCTTTGTCCGTGTCTCTCTTTCTCTGCCTGTTTGTTGGTAGGACAGTTTGCCCGCACACGATAGATAATTGGTACTAGCTACAGCTCAATGGTTACCGATAGGCAATTCTGATTCCTTTCCATTCCTCTAGTCTATTAGTTTGCCCTATAATAAATAACAGGTGGTTCGGTTATACTATGCCAAGTTTCCACATGCAACCAACACAACCAAACCCTGGTTGTCCTGCAACGTCCCGACCGGCCCTTGCAGCATGCCATAGCCCCCCATGCAGGCTGCCAGGTACACTTAATACACGTGGAGTTTGCCAAGACGTGGCTGAAAAGGATCGGAATGGAATATATGAATATGCATGTTGTATGTATGTATGAAAGTAAGGTCATTTGCGGCATACCCACTGACACCAGAGGAAATATAGATTGCAAACACACTAGTCTATCAACAACTCCCATCGCTCTTAAAGACAATTTCAGGCGAAGGTATGACAATATTTCCATCGGCCACCAACACACATGTGCCAGATATAGCAAGGTCAACCGATGATCCTTGGTCATCAATGGCCAACTTCATCAAGCATTCTCTGCCAGTTTTCAAGCCCTGAATCACCTCAACATAGGCAATCCCTCCATTAGTCTTCTGTGATGCTAAAATTGCTGGATTGGCAGTGGTCCACAAATAGGCCGCCAACGGCCCAGCAGCAGACCCAGTCGCCGGATCTTCCATCGACATGCTAGGGCTAAAGAATCGAGCCTCGAATCTAGGAATATCACATCGGCCATCGACAGCTGTGAAGACATACACTCCACTATTATGGCTATTGGTGCTAGCAAGCTCTTGGGCAATTCGTTCCTTATTGGTGAATGTGACTCGATCGAGCGCTTCCTTGCTGCGAACAGGAACCAAGAGGTGGCGCGCCGGAGAAGTGGTCACAACGCGGACCTCATCAAGCACCGTATTCCCCGCCGAGTCTTGCAGTCCGATATCTGCAGCCGTGATCCCGAGAGTCTCAGCTAATACGGCTTTATTGGCATGGCTGTCCAAAAGCTGAAGTTCTCCCTGTTGCATAGAAATAGAAATGGTTCCGGAAGATGACTGGGAGATTTCCACGGGCAAAATCGCCTGTCCTAGCTGTTGGTGGTAAAGACACCTAGCTTGGTTCTGAGGTGTGGAACAAAGCCCCGAATCAGCAGCCCACCACCACGCGCCGAGTGAGTTATGACCCGCTCCAAAAACCTCTTCTCCATTGGGGAGAAAGGATCGCAATCGGAGAGTGGCTTTGGGGTCTGTCGGAGGGCAAACAAAAGTCGTCTCGGACAAGTTGAATTGGCGGGCTATCAGTTGCATTTGTGTGGTGTTGAGGCTGTCGGAGGTGTTTTCGACTACAGCCAGTGGATTGCCCTTGTAAGCGTCGGAGGAGAAAACATCCACAATGTGATATCGAAGGGTAGGCATTGCAAACAATTAGTCGTGGGTTGTACAGATACAAAGAAAGGAAGAACGCAATAGATCAATGCAATGTAACCTTAGCACACACTCCGAGGAAACCTGCTCGCTTAAATACGTAAAGTATGCAACAATGTCTACTGCCATTATTAATTGGAACGATGACAAATGCGGATTTCTCGTATTCTCTCATTGTCGCTGCAATATACACTTTGGGGCGTGGTTGGACTTGCTTAGTGAGCAAAAACGACACCCTAACTGATCAGAAGAACTCACTCTTGGCGGGAAAACGGTTATTGTCCGACATTATCCCGTCTATCCTCTACAAATTGCATAGAGTAATCGGAACATTAGTCGTTCTCGCGTCACTTGTCTTGATTCAAGACGGGAAGACTTCCTCAAAGCTACGTCTCATCCGTGATATGATAGAGAGCCCGTCACTAACCACGTCTCAAATTGGGAAGAATATGAATGCAGCAAGATTAAGATCATAAATATTCATAGAATCTTGCGGCAATTTGGAAGCTCCACATCTAGCTAACTCGAATAATGTATAGGTTGATGATATGATGCCTTTAATTCATCTGAAAAAACATATAGTATAGCAATTGGGCTTACTGCTTCGTTCCAATTGTGAAGTTTATTGCCTTCTTTCAGCGACTGCCAGCAAATGATCCGCATTCCCCAGTAGTGCCTCATCATCTGTAAACTGCATCACAACATCCACCCAAAGCTCGTAGTCTTTTTGTGGCAAGGTCACCAGCTTTGAAGATAGCCCTCCACCAAGAAACCCTTCGCAAGGCACAATTCTATTTAAAATAATTCCCAACGTATGCTGAGCTGTGCAGAGCCCATCAACTGTTCTAAAAAGCTCCTTGATTTCGCTGACATGCGTATGGTGCATTGCACCAGATGGGTTTCTTGTATATTTGCCCGACAAGAGATACTCTCTGTAAAAGCCGTCGTACTCCGCCGCAAGACGCGCCGGGTCTCGTTGAGCAATATCTCTGAGATGCGCGTATTGAGTGACAAATGCGATGAGAAGAAATCCTCCGGGGCGAAGTAGAGTGGCGCAGGTGCAAAGGACTTTGGAACGTTCAGACTCTTCAAGGTGGTACATTGGACCCTGGCAGAGGATCATGTCATATGATGATGCGGCAAAAACAGTTTTAGGATCGTCCTTATCTGTGTGTAGTTGTATTGCTTTCGCATCAGCCTGGACAATGGCATCTAGAGTTACGCCAGACTCGGCAGCGAAGCACTTTGCGATGTCGAGCTCTGACTGCGATATATCGACGAGGGTAACAGAATGGCCCTTTCGCGTAAGCTCGACAGCTTGACATGTAGATTCTCATTAATCGGGACTATCGCCGAAACATCATATCTCCGGCACTTACCATATCGACCGGTACCTCCTCCCAGATCTAGGATCTTTAGTGGTTTCTGTAGACGTCGTCCCAGTCGTTCTAGACATTGATTAATTACCCTCATCGAAATCGAAAATTCAAGACGACAGGCATTAAGCCGATCGTGCTCCAGAGTGGCATTTTGGTTGTACCAATCCGTAATGCATTGGGAGTTGGTCATTTTGGTGAGGTATATTGGTTATTGTATTGGAAGTTTAGGGGCATTGTGAGTTATTTAAACCAGACTGGACTCAATGATACACATGGCAGCGTTGCATTGGAGTCAGTTAGCTGTCGTAGTTTGGCTCGTATTCGTCTACATGCTTGCGACAGCCGCTTTAATGCCTCATATTATTCGCAGGATGTTGACGACACAGCCCCACTGTCCGTTGCCCGATGTGCGCCCTTTACTTCGTGAGATCCTCTCTTGTCTATGCTGGAGAGAATTGAAAGCACGAATTTGGAACGTATCCGCCAAAGATAGCTCAATACATGTTGGGAGAAAGCTTAAGGTCACAGACAATCGGGACAGTGGCTACTTGAAGTTGCTACCAGAAGTGTGTTAGCAGGAGCACTTGGGATTGTGTCTGGACGAACACCATACGAGATATATGATTATCTAGGCAAATCCTGGGCGAATTCGAGCGAGTGGAAGAGGCCGCGCAGAGTGTCCAGGATTTACTTACGGCCGGCCTCGTCGGCAGTGTCGGCGAGGGCTTTTGCTTGAGGGCTTTTGCTTGAGGGCTTTTGCTCCAGCGAAGAAAGCGAGGCCGAAGTTCGTATTGGTGAGCTAATACCTTTATTGAGCACGCACCCATTGATCTAATTGCTTGACTTACAGTAGCAAGAGCCAAATACTAGTAAAGAGCCAATATAGTGAATGCCGCTTTATCCGATTTGCGTTTTCTCCGCCGGGGCATGTGCCGGGCTACGGGCAAGGTATTCGGTGCTTAAGGAACGCTCTCGTACTGGTGGACTGTCCGAATATTTAGGGATTAATGAGGAAGCTACGAAGGAAAACTATCAGCTGAGTATGGCCTTCCGCATAGCTCTGCAGTGCCTAAAGGTGACATTCAGAGCCAAGAACTTTCGCCTTGCTTTATCAGTAGCCAAACTCTGCCCCACATGTCTCTCAAAAGAGTTCATTAATAACGAGCTGGCCAACCATATCAATTCTCGATCCAAGGGGGACTATCCATGTCCATAGACCGCAAAGCTTTTCTCACATTAACCAAGTCTATCATGCCCGATCAGATGGCTATGCAGATACACAAATATTGATGGGCTGAGTCTGAGCTGAATCTGAGCTGAGTGAGCTGAACATTTCCCTGAAGGTTGATCGCGGCCCGGACCCCATCCTTCGTCGCTTCACCCTCTCCTTAGCTCCTATCCTTTCAACTATTTATCTTGATGAAGTTGCCCCTCTTGCGGCGTCGTAAGGCCCTTTTGTGCTACTGGAAACTTCTTCCAAACCCTAATACAGATAACCAAAACGTCGTCCAAAATGAGGGAAACGCGTTCTATCGAGAATTTGGAACCGCTTTTCCCACCGTCGACCGAAAGGCTACGGCGAACTGAGTTGAGCCAGCAAAGTAATGTCTGTGCCGCCCTGCCCAGCTTGAGAAATGAACAAGTTGGGGATTCTCTCTGTCATCATTGATCTAGAGCTAACTAAGTTTATGAATTCTTAGTTAATCCGGGATAATTTTTCTTTAACCACATGGCTACTTTTGGGGGCTGTTCTTCAAGGTTTTATTGTTTTGGTTTTCCCGGTCCCGTACGCAGTTCTACCACCTATTCTCATGTTGTCGTGTCTCTTTGCCAAAACTGGCTTGATGACACTTGGCCTTCTCAAAAATACTCAAATGGATGGCGTTATTGCTGGCAAGTTTTCCGCATTACTCCCCGATCGAAATGGGGTGTTTTCAGGAAAAGCCGAAGATCAAAATGTTGCATTGATTTTACTGGCCGGACGTTCAAACCAGTATGTCTAAGCCCCTTACTATTTCAATATGTTTCTCTGTTCCTCTGGCATTCTTGAGGTACCTGTCTCTCATATTGTCTCAAACTTAACAGTCCGATGGGCATATTCGGCCCTGGTTTCAAAGAGGTGGGAGACTACATGAACAAAATGCAGGCTCAGCTTTCAAACAATGCAATACGGTACAATTGTGAGCAAATAATTCCCTGTCTTTTTGCAGTCTGTCAGATTTAATATTATTCTCAATATAGATCTCGGCGCAACCTCCTGGCTAGGAGCTGGCGAGCGCTCAACAGCGAATCAACTGATGTTTGCAACGTATTTTCGAACCCTGGAAGATGTACACGCATATGCACATAGCCCGCTCCATCGTGAGGCATGGGACTGGTGGAATCAAGTCACGAAATCACACCCGCACCTCAGTATCATGCATGAAGTCTACCAAGCACCAAAAAATCACTGGGAAAACATATATATCAATAATCACCTTACAGGTATTGGTCAGTCCAGCCCCCTTTTCCATCCATGTGATGTAAATTCTTGGGCTAAGAGAATAATAGCTGCGACTCAAAGTATATTTAGACCAGGGACCGAAAGCGCAAACGCCGGAAACATGTGGATTCGCCCTGTTTTTGACGCCAAACAAGGTAAATTGAAGACACACAAGGGCAGAATTGAAAAGAGTGAGGGGGATGATAATGAACAGATTTCTGCTCAAACATCACGCATCTCTTGAAGAGCTCTAACGCTGTCGCGTTTGGCACGTCTGAACAAGGCTGTACTATGCGCGCTTTGTGCGGGATCCACGAGCTGGATACAGCAAATTAATTCCTTCTAGGCTCGATCATATCAAATCAGATCTAATCTAGCCGCTTGGAATGGCGCTTGGTTCAAAGTCCTTTGTGATCATAAGTAGCTCGTGCCTTGCCTATGTTCCCCGTGGTTGTACAGGGCTCCGTCCTCCGATCAGTACTAGAAAACGGCTCCACTTGTTATAATTAGCTTCTGTACTCTTTTCCGCTAGCAGATGACGGTCCACTCGTCATTTAGAATTTCCTACCAAGGCAACCAAAATCGCGCGATGCCTATTAGATCATGATTACCTTTAACTAACGAACCAATCATTGGTTTATGCAGGTGGCATCGGAGAATTTTGTATTGCGAGGCCACCCCTCTAGAGCTATGTGATACATATGCTCACTGGGATAGCCCCTCTTGCCTCTATTCATTCATATAGGGGTAACAACCTTAGGATAACCGTCATGTACCGCACATGCTTATAAGCCGATATCTGTCATATAATGCGTCTCATGCGTAGCATAGATATGCTTCCAAATGAAAATAAATCAACTCGTTTCCAAATCATACGCATCACTTGGTTCCCAAGGTTGGTCCCTCTCCACTGACCGTATGAGAACTTCATGGGCAGGGGTACGCGGGGAGATATCAAATTTCCACGGAACGGGGTGGCTAATCACGCCAGCCTGAAATTCTGGCTTGACGTCCACCTCCTTGCCGTTTTCGACGACTTTGGTGATATTGAAGACGGTAAGTGACTGAGCAATGTTCAAATATACCGCGTTGTCAGCTAGAATACGACCGGGGCAAATGCGACGCCCGAATCCAAAAACGGTTGTGCGAGGATCCATTTCTGGCCCCCGGCCGTCAACGCCCAGGAAGCGCTCAGGCTTAAACACCATGGGGTCATGATACACCTCGGGATCATGGGTGAAGGCCCTATCGTGGCAGTCAGCATTACGATACTATGAAAGGATAGGAGCCGACTTCACCAAATGTTAGGCATAACCAAGGAACCCTTAGGAATGAAGTAGCCCTCACATATGTCATCCCCAACTGACATGTGAGGAATCCCCATGGGTGCCACAGGATGCCAGCGGAGAACTTCTTTGACAATAGCATCGATATATGGAAGACTAGCACGGTCAGTCACCTTGGGAAGTCGGCCAGCTCCTAATACTCGGTCAATCTCATCTTGTGCTTTGCGCTGCACCTCCGGGTATATGGTCATGGCCAAAAGAAAAGTTTCAATTGAACAAACAGTCTGTAATTCATCAGCTGGGACTGCATGCCAAGCAGAAGTAAATCCTACCGTATCGGCTCCTCCCGTATAGAGGGAAGCAGAAGTCCATTTCGCGACGAGCTCTTCCTCGCTTCCAGAGACCGGATATCCCTCTACTTTGAAAAGATTGACAAGGTATGAAGGCTCATGTTTGCCAGCATCCATACGCCGCCGAACAAAGTCATACGGCTTATCTGCAACGGTTTCAAGGTTTTTCTTCCATTCCCGTGCAATGCTTTTGAATTTGGCTCCAGGGAACCAGGAAGGAATGTGTTTCACTACACTAGTTAGAGATCCACATAATTATCTACTAGGAGGTCTATAGAATCACTCACAAGCCGGAATAATATCCACTAGCCAGGCACCCGGTGTCGCAGCGATGGAGAAATTCTCTAGGGCCTGGTTTGCGATATGGACGAGCGGGTCTCGCTTGTGAGGCTCAATCGTGTATCCATATGCGATTTTCAAAATGATCGCTCCCGCCTCCCTAGATAGAGCGCTCAGTTTCCTATACAGGACCGGTTCTGCCTTTAGGCAACTTACGTCTGGATGTGCTCTGCAAATCTGGGCTTATCATTCAATACGCGCAACAGAAATCGGTGGACCTCTATCTCCTGCAAGTTGTTGTACTGCGCCACCGCTGCCTCCGACCCGAGGTAAGGTTGTATGGCTTTGCGATAGGCACGGAATCGGTCCGAGTATGTCTGCATTACCAGACTATGCTCCCAGCCCACCCTAGTCATTGGAATTTAAGCAGTGTGAAAATGGTATCACTGCATTGGGAGACTGACATTTCTGATGCAAAGACCAAGTTTGCCCGCGAAGAGTATAGTGCAGAGCGCTTTGATAGAAGCTCTGTTGCGATTCGGGCGTCATTGACAATGACAATGGTCTGGCCCATTACTGTAATAGAACTAATGGGTCCTGAAACATGTGAATGTGTTAATTAAAGGACGTAATCTTTACGGATTCACGTATTGCGCTTTTAGCGACCCTACCATAGAGGTCCTTGTGCTTCAACCAATGCATCCAATCTTGTGCTCCCCGGGGCGGTAGATCTGAAATGTTCCCGACAACTGGTTTCGGTGATGGGCCTGGTGGCAGTGGCCCATGGGCCTTGTTGCTTGTCAACAAGACCTTGATGGCATAGAGCAGGAATGCTCCTATTATCAAGCAGAAAAGCGAAAAAGAGACGGACATGGCGACCACAAGAGGCTTGATGCTGTGGCCGTGTTTAATTGAAAGAAAAGAGCTGATTGCAAGTGGAAACTGCTGCTGGTGGACTTTTAATTCCTTGCACCCTTAGGGCGACTAGCCACGTCATCCCTGTCTGTTTTGGAGTTGTCGAATCAAACACAGCGCGTGCGGGGGTTGAGAGTGAGCTAGGAGGCTAGGTTGTTTAGAACACGGGCTTCCCAAATCTGGGCACTAGCGAGGATATGAGGGAGAGTAACCCTCTCTGAGTAACTACTCAGGTCGGACTTAGTGAGCGAACGAGGGTGATCAATGAGGAGATCTGCGAGCTAGTCACCACAATCGACAAAATAGTGAAAAATTATCACACTCGAGATCTCATTCAAATATATCAATAATTCTTCTACGGCGTTTGCATCGCTTACCTACAAGGCCGTGTCTCGGCGATAAGCACATCTGGAAAAAGGCTCTATTAGGCTGGCTTACTTTGCAAATGTGTGAGGTTTACGTTCTGGATTCAGCAAATTCCTTTTAGACTCTATCATATCAAATCAGGTCCAATCTAGCCTCTTGAACGGCGTTTGGTACAATGTCCTTCGTGATAATCGGTGCCTTGCCTGTGGTCCCACAGGCGAACAGGACTTTGCGCTCTGATCAGCACTAGAAAACTGCCCCACTTGTTATAATATTAGATTATCTATTATTTCCGCTACCAGATAACGGTCCACTAGATATCTTAGAATTTCCTGCCAAGGAAACCAAAATCAACCGATACCCAATCAAGTCATGATCACCTTCAACTGACGAATTATCCATTGGTCATGCAAGTGGCACCGGAGGCTTCTGTGTTGTAAGGCCACCCTCTGGATCCATGTGATACATAAGCTCACTGGGATATTCCCTCATTGCTTCTGTTTCTTTACGGGGCAACATTCATACTGTATATACCGATATCAGCTGCCTCCATTCAGTCTTTATCTGACTGACTATTCGACCTTCCGCCTTACTCGATATTCATTCCACAGCTCCAGTAATCATGAAATACCTTCGATGGCTTACCCTAGAGCGCCGACAGAAACGACTAACATATGAAAAAGTACCGACTGACGTGATTATGCCCGTTCATTACTTTGACGACACACCGCTTTTGCGAAATATCGTACAGTACTTGAGCCTTCGGTTCAATGATATGCTCGACCCCGAAATGTTGCGGGCCTCTTTATCACAGCTTATCGAGCGAGAGGGATGGCGTAAGCTCGGAGGACGCATTCGTATAAATGTAGGATATATCAGTTGTGAACGTCGTCGTCCTGGCCGAGATGGACTTTCTGATGACGCTAACGATAATAGGCAAAGCAAGAGTTGGAGATTCACGTTCCTCAAGTCTTTACTTCGGACCGACCCGCAGTCAATTTTCATCATGAGGAGTTCCATGTCAGCATCAACGAACACCCACTAGCCTCAAGACTACCTGCACCCACCTCCAACACTCCGTCAGTGCACAATGGCCCTTCGGCGTTTAGAAAACTAGCTGTGACACCAAGTACACCAGTCTGTCTGGATGACTATCTTGCTTCTGATCTCCCACAATTGACTCTGAATGTTGTGTCCTTTACTGACGCGACGCTTGTATCACTTTGTTGGCCTCATATTGCCGCAGACGCGATGAGTTTGCGTCACATGGCCATAGCGTGGAGTCTGGTACTTGCTGGGAGAGAGTCAGAAATCCCGCCGATGCTGTCTTCTCACGATGACCCGATGATGACTGCTGGCACAAACCTTTCTTTCCTAGGGGCTCATATTCTTGAAGAACAACAAATCAAGGGATGGCGGTTTTTTCTCTGGGGCCTTCGCTTTGTTTTGGATTTGCTCTGGTGGCGGAAAATGGAAACGCGAACCGTCTTTCTGCCGCGGAAGGTTGTGGACCAACTGCGAAGCAGTGCATTAGCTTCGCTCGCGGGAAATACCGCGAACGATGTTGCCACTGAAGGGCAAGCGGTTTTTATAAGCCAAGGCGATGTGGTGATGGCCTGGATGTCATTGATGGCAGCCTCAGCCCTTATGTCCCCAAAATCCTCACGGGCAGTTTGCATAAGTAGTGCGTGCGATCTCCGATCGCGCTTACCATCTATATTTCCAGCCAAAGAGAAACAAGGTGTGTATGTGCAGAACGCCGTCTTTCCGTGCTGGACAAATGTCATGGCTCGTGAAATCATCGGAAAGACGGATGGTCTCGGAGTTGCAGCTCTTCGAATCCGTCGTAGTATCCAGACACAGACCACCGAGGCCCAAATACATGCTTTGGCACGGCTTACTCGATTGTCACTGGACCAAACAGGATTGCCGCCAATGTTTGGCGATACAAGCTCGTTCTTGATCACGGCATCGAACTGGTCAAAAGCTTGCCTTTTTGACATGGTTAATTTTGGCCCTGCAGTTAAGCTTACAAAAAGAGCTTCAAGGAGCCAGGGATCCGCTATGATTAAGAACAGGAAGGGTATTTGGAGAGAGACCAGACCTGTTTGTCAAGCTACTGAAAGTAATCCAGTTTACTACCATGTGGACAATGTGAGCCCGAACAACATGTTGGCACGAAATGCATTCTTCCTCACGGGTACGCCGAACGGCGACTATTGGATCAATGGATGCTTTCCGATTGCCGTTTGGAAGGCGGTAGAGGGGGTACTCAATGACAACTGTGTCCTATACTAGAACGAACATTTACCACAATAGGATAATGTTACCATATAGCACTCCGGGTCCCACATTACGCTCATTTCATTAACGTTAAGTAGTTACACTCGGTTTCGGAATGGGCTTCCGTGCTTCACATACAGACACTGTTTCGATCAGCCATGCCACTGAGCACCCAGCCAGCTATGCTAGATAGGAATATGTAGAATTCGGGGCCGCTAGGTTTAAAGATTAAGGTAGAAAGATCCGTTATAACCGAACCTGGTTTAGTTCATCCGCTATCTACCACCCTCGCCCTCGACCGGAACGCGATTGTACACGTGCGATGCGGCGACGAGGAATGATGCAGTTTTTGATAGGGCGGCAGCATCCGGGCACTACCCACTAGCGAACCAGACCCTATACAGTTGGAATCACTTGAAATCAGCCCGTTGACAGTAGGTTATAGACTTCGACTCCGCGTTCAAACCCCGCAACGCTGCCTACATTTGAGGATCCTAAGCTCGGCTTCGAAGCGGAGGTGTGGCCCCTAAGTCTAGCAACAGTCTCGCCATAGCCTTGTTGCCCTCAACCTCCGCGTAATACAGAGCCGTACGTCCCTCGTTATCCATCGCATCAATATTAGCCCCAGCGTCAAGTAGTCTCCTCACCGTTGTTGGACTCGCAGCCGCAGCGGCATAGTGCATTGCTGTATGTCCATCGGAGTCTTTCATCTCAATGTCGACCCATTCCCGATCCAGCATGAGTGTGACAATCTCGTCGCAGCCCCAGTCTGCCGCGGCGAAGAAGAGATGACCATGGCCCTCAGACATGCTCTGCAATCCAATGTCGGCACCGAGTTCGACGAGCGCGGCAAATGTGCTGGCTGAGTCGCCGTCCAACGCGCATGCGAGATAGGTGCGCCCGCCGTTCCCGATGGCGTTGGGATCCATCCCCCATCGGACCAGCTCGCGCACGGTGGCCGCCTTGCCCGACTCGATCGCACAGTGTAACGCGTCGCCGTACCAATTCCGCAGGTGCGGATTAGCGCCGTGGGCTAGCAGGCTCCGGGTCGTCAGCACATGTCCGCTCGAGGCGGCGTGAATCACGGGCGTGGCGCCCATCCGCGTCAGCTCGTTGACGCCATAAGCACCATTGTCGAGGAGCCGAGCGATCGCCTGCTCGAGCCCGTGGCGCGCCGCATGATGGAGCGCTGAGAAGCTGCTGCACTCGTCCGCATTCCAATATTCGGGGTTCCGGCCCATCGAGTATTGCCGTACCTGGTTCGCCACGGCCATGGCGGCTGGGGAGGAGAAGAAGACGAACAGCGTGGACCACACCTTTGCGTCGGTTTCGGTCCGTCGGGCGAATTGCCCCCAGTACATGGCGGCCCAGGCGAGAAAGGGGTACATTTCCATCCTAGATTGGATATCGCCCTCGGTCGGCCATGGCCCGTCCTCGAAGTTCTCAAAGACAAGGTAGCGAAGGCAAGTCACCGCAATCGTGGCTTCGGCTTGTGGAAAGAGATCCGTCGAATGGTCTCTTAAGTACTCCTGAATCGCGTAATGCGCAAGCCGTACACAACCCTCCCCGTCTACGGTCGCAAGACCTTGGCAGCATTCGAGAATGGTCTTTGTAGCCGGGCGATACTTGACGTTGACAGCTTTCTGTGCGCTGTGGATAGCCAAGGCATCGCTGAGCTCCAAGTCAGTCAATGCCCGAGTTGTGTAACTAAGCCACATGAGAGCACCCATTCCGAGTCGGCTGCGGCTCTCAGGGAGCCTTTGGATGCGGGAAATGGTATCTGCAAATGCGTCGCTGAGACTGTGGGACAGGTCCGCTATTCTGTCCTCCATCTCACCGAGAGTGGGCTCCTTGAGAATGGTACGGAGCCGTAAAACTGGGAGAAGAAACCTAATTATGTAGCGTAGTATACATGCGTCAGGAATTCTAATCTCAAAGCAAGTGGACAATATGGTGGTTTGTAGAGGAAAGGACGTACATCCCCTCTGCCCCTTGCATCAGCTTCTGAACCAGTCTGTTCACAAAGCCTTGATCGGCGATGTCATATATTCCTCCTTGGTCGAGCTCCTGGTAGAGGTAGGTCTTGAGATCTTCCTCGTGGGCCTCGATCATAATCTTCGGATGCTCCTGGAACAGCTCTATGAGATCTCGGATATGAGGCCGACTTGTGACCAGCAAACGGACTTGGCGACTTCGAACCACATTCCGAATGCTACGAAGGAAGGATTTCCGATGTTCCGATTCGTCCAGTCCATCAAACACTAGGTAAGCACACCTCAGGCCCGAAGCAAGATCAGTTAGTAGTCGCTCGCATTCTTGGAGAGGGATTTGGCCTTGGTGGCCGCTCTTCTCGAATAGTTCGGAAACGGAACTCGGAATTGCCGGTAGCTTCTCGAGAAGTTGTCTAAGGATAGAGCATAGAACTACCGACGTACTTTGAGTAGACTGGTCCTGGTGGTCAAAGTAGAAGAACGCGACAGGTGAAGCCTCGCCGGAGCCAGAGTTAAGAAGTTCATCGATGATGATCGAGCTGAAACATCAGTCGGCGCCCCAAAAGCAGCGATGGGCAAAGTCTTACGCAAGAGTTGTTTTACCCGAGCCTTGAATGCCATGACACACGAGAACGTTTGAAGGAGAGCTATCGTCTCGCCATTTTATAAATTCGTCTCTTTGAAGGATCCAATTTCCAGTATTTTGTGCCCTCGACGCTTGGATGAGCTGATGTTTCTGATAGTGCTTTGAGGTAGATATCCAGTTCAGAATGCTCCTTCTAGTCTCCTGCTCGATATTGACCTGAATCGCGCGCTTCTGATCTTTAACAACGTCGAGGATCCGAAGTGTGTCTGCTTCGAGTGTCTGGATGGTCCTGAACTGGTCTAGCTGCTGTCCCATCAACTTCAAAACGTCATCCGACGTCCGCGATAGAAGCCGGCAGCCATCGACCGACAAGGCAAATTGCATCCAGTTGGTAAAATTGCGTAATTCCTGGACCGTCTTCTGGAGCTCCTTCTCGGTGAAAGGCCACAGTAAGCGCCCCAGCTTCCTGTTTGCGTCTTGGCTCAGCCTGTTGCAGAGTGATCGCAGCTTTGCCTCACACGCCGCGGAGCAGGTCAGGAGAACTGAACTCTCGTGAAATTGCACAGCACTATCGTCTAATAGATCGCCCTTCAGGAGGTCGTGCAGATTTGCTACGTTGAATTGCAGCGCTTCAAGCTCGATTACCAAGGTCGCGATTGACTTCTTCGCCGACCTCACAGTGTCTATGTACTCTTTGGACGTGGTGATCGCACTGGCAATCAGGGGCAGAATACCCGCAAGGCCAAGTGATAGAGATATAGGGTCCATTGCCAAGATGTTAGTGACTTTGCAAAGGTGAGGGCGCGCATTTGTGGGTAGCTGAAGGACAGGTGGTAAGCTAGAGGCAGAAGAAGCGAGTCGAGGAATGGATCCAAGGTCTGTGCAATAGCCTGTGCCAAGTGCAGCACAGCCACAAACCCCTCCTCTCTCATACAGTGTAATGTATAACCGCTGTATCACGCAACTTGTCTGGATAACGCAGTATACTCAAGCCGACGATAACCAATGGGGCGAATGGCCAGGCGCATAGCTCTGCAGTGCGTGAGCAACTAGTATACAAATTAGTCGACTAATCAAATGCAGATTGTGCGGGAGAAGCCGTGGACCAACTCCGACGCACAAGCGTGTTTAGTCAACCTGCTAGAAGCTAACTAATGATTGGCCAGGCGCAAAACCAATTTCAACAAAAATACTATTATAATAAATGCCAACTCTTCCGAATGAACTTCCCAAAGGGAGTCTGTCTTGCTCGCTTCCTAATGCTGTGAATGACTGAGTAGAATATGCGATATGTCCGTAGCAAAAGAAAGGAGGGAAGGGCTAGAGGATTCAAGGGTATATAGTGATATTCGCAGCAAGTTTTGTTGTCGGCATGGCCGAAGAGGACTACTTCTCAATTACCAACACATAGGAGATAAATACGTCCTTCTCAAGTATACAAGAAGGCTGAAAATATGGACGTCAAAAAAGGAAGAGAGTTTGTGGGATTTTCTTGCACGGCAAACGGCTCGTAAGCCTCGAGATCTTACTCGGAACTGAGTGGCTTGCCTCTTTCCACGAGCCACTGGCATGACACATAACGCGGCTGTGCACTGGTCGTCGTAGTAAACAACATGTCGGAATTCGGGCGGTGGAAAAAGTGCAGGCAGCCAATGAGGCATCAATATGAGTCTGAATACCATAAAGCCCCTGAGCCTGCCAATCTAACTAGTTAAGTTATAGGGACTGAATGACTAACACAAACGAAATCAACAACACGATAGTCCGGCCAAGCTCTGGGATTCCGTCACAACACCCTACAACAACTCGTCCCCTCTTCACTCCTTCCCTACTGCGTTATTTATGTTAAAAATCTACACATCTTTAAGATAATCGGAAATGGCGGGCATGGACAAAATCTTTGCGGAGTTGCGCCAGACGCACAGCGCTCACAGGCGCACCTCGGCTATTCGCCAGTTCGCCAAAGCGCTCCGACGCGAAGACCGGTTCCGTCCAGCATGGGATGCCATTGGCGGAGCTTCTGGACTCGCGAGCCTAATGGCTGAGTTCAGCGTGAGAGATGTGCGCACCATGTGCACTTTTCTAGGGCGCACGGCGTCGGCCCAGAAGGCAAGGACCGAAAGGCGCGCAGAGCTCAGCGAGCTCGTGAGACTGATGTATGATGAGCCGGTGGATGACAGGCCCCTGAGGGCATTTTATCAGGATATCGTGCCAGCGTGTAGCCTCGAGGTGGTGGAAGAGTGGGAAGCTCAGCGAGGGGTCAAATGGACTCGACCGCAGCTGGAACGACTGTTTCGTGGGCATCGTGAGCAGCACGAAGACAAGTTTCTCGAGGACATCTTCTCGCCTGATGCCGAGGGCTTGACCTTTGCAAAGGAGAGGAGGCTCGTCTGCGGTAACTTGCCGTTCAACGAGCGGATCCTGGTGACTCTGGTCACCAAGGATTTTAAAGCAAAAGTCCAAATCCCATCCGACTTCGTGGACGAGCTGGTCAAGCCTTTGTTCAAGTACCTGCAGAAGCGAAGGTTTAATGACGGTATGCGAAACAAGTTCCTACATCTTGTGGTGCAGTGTTTCCAGAAATACGAAGATTCCCTAGCAAAGCAGCTGAATCTCTGGGAAGGAGGACTGATCCAATACACCATCCAGAGGTGGAATGACGCATCTCCAGCAGACAGCAAAGCGAAGGCAGACACAAAGGGATACTTGGTCCAGTTGATTTCTCTTCTGCCGGCCGATAAACGGCCGATCAGCCTAGATTCGATCTATCAGGCTGTCCTCGTGAACCCGAAACTCGGTGACGAGGCTAGGTACGAGCTCCTCTTTCTTTTCCTTCGACATTTGAAGAGGTACAAAATCGATATCGAGGACGAGTCAAAGTCGGGCATAGCGCGGCTGAAGGAAATGCCCGTAGCGAATGACTTGTGGCCGGCAACGCTGTTCTTCTCCGTCGCTATCGAGAAGGCATTGCCACTGTTTGAGAAGTTAGACGCGGCGAACCCAAGAAGCGAGTTTTTGGCCGCTGCACCTGGCCGTGGTCGAATGACGGTGCTGAAGCAGCGGCGGACCTTGGACGACGGTCGCGTTGGAGACGTTGAGGTCGTCAGGTCTCTGCTGATCCGGAAGTCCAGAACTAAGATTGGGCAGGAAGGCTCGGCTTGGCTTGACCGAGCTCGCACGCTCGTGAGTGAACGTCGGAAAAACGCAGAGCAGTCCCGCGAGCCACAAGAACGTGCATTCTGGGCCAAGTCGGCACTGAACTTATGCGTCGCTGCCGGAGACCTTGAGACCGTTCAGGACACTGTTCTGTGGGCCAGACGCTTTAACAAAGACTCACTCACGATCCGGGAGCTGTATAGCACCGACATATTCGAGACAAAAGAATTAGAAGATCTCTTGGGTGCCATGCCGCAATGGGATACTCCAACTCCCGTGACAGCCGAGACTGTCGTTCCCGTCTTGTTGAAGAAAGATATTGATCTTTCCAACCGGATCATAATAAATCTCATCGAGACCGCGGGCGCGACCACCCAAGAACCCGACTTTCAACGCTCCAGATGGACCAGCGTGCTCCGCCTCCCCGAGGTCGTGGCGAATCGGCGCCTAAACTTTTTCAGGAACAACACCAAGTCCTCTCCTTCAGACAACGTAGATGCCCAGGTTGAGATTGCCGAGAAACTTTGGAAGCCGACAGTGGACATGCTAGTGGAAGCAGAGGCGCTTTTGCGCAGACCGAGTTCGGCAAAACTCATCAGCAGCTCACGAAATGTTGGTGCCCGGGGACTCTACGTCTTTCAACAGCTCGCAGATGGTGGCATGTCCCCACCGCTATTAGCGGACTTGGCAAACTTCCTTCTAGGCCAGATGAGGGCGCGTCTGGGTGCCGAGGGATTGCGGGTACAGGTGCATGACACCGTCGACGTCGTCGTACGCGTTGCCCGCTGTGACCAGCCTGCGCTGGCTTCCCCCTTGATTCGTGATCTGATCATAGATGGGGACGGGGACGAAAATATTTCTGCATGGCATCGGCAGCTTCTCAGTGTGTCATTTCTTTCATCGCTTCCCGCCAAGGCAGCCAAGGAACTCTTATTTACCATGGCCAGTGCTATGAAGGAAAGGATGAGGGACCAGAACCTGAACTGGCGTCAGAGAAGCGAAAATGATACCTCTAGGAGCAAAGAGGTTGCAGTTGATACCGGCGGCCCAGAGCCGAGATCTATTACACCCAAGAAGTCCCAGCCACCTGCAATCAAGGTCACAACCATTAAGATGATGGCCCAGCTCTTACAAAACAACTTGTTCATAAACACCTCCTCGTCTTGCGACATCCTCATCAGCCTACTCGCGGAGGCACGTCATACTGACATGCTGATTGCAATCACCAGCAGTCTCATCAACGCTATGGAGGAACCAACCTGCCCGGCACAGCTGCGGATGCGCATCCTTGACGCACTTGAGACCTACGTCGTGCCTGTCGCCGCACAGCTCAGTGAACGTCATCCTCTTACTGAAGACGACTGGGCCGCTGCCGCTAAGGAGTCGGCCAATCTCCCTGCGGTGAGCGAAGAAGCGTCGCTCTGGGCTATGCTAGTCGATAAAGCCCACAGCGCAAAGTTGGACCCGGACGACATGGCACGGCTTGCGCAGCTCATCATGACCATACCAGAGCAGTCGGCCGCCAACAATGACCGCTGGATCAACCTCTTTCTTGCAAAGAATAATTTTACCCTTGACGACCATGAGCGGATCCCCAAGATTCCTGTAAGCCTCGGAATGCTTGCCTCGTTGTTTAGCGATTTGATGCCTTACATGCCTGTCTCAATCTTTCGCGTATTCCGTTCGATTGTGCTCACAAATCTGGACCCACCGCCAGGAATATCGCGGGTCACAGAGTCAGTCAAGGCGAACCGTGACCTCGTCAACTCCAAGGCAGGAAAGCACTGGCTCGCACTGTTCGATAATCCTGCAGACGCGGCTCTCAGACTCTGGCTTCAGCATGCCGCACTGGCATTGCAGAGCCCCCCCGAAATGATTAAGTCGAAGTTAGGGGATGGAAAGGCTATCACTGTTCAGATTCTGCAAGATTTTATTCTCTCAGCCGCGGAACGGCTTGTTATAACGGGGAACACCGGCGTGCTGGAGTCCCTAGTCTCAAAGCTTTGCCAGAGACGATTCGAAGGACGCCAACATTGGGAGAGCTGGCGGACAAACTGCATCGCTGTGATAAAGAACATTATTGCGAGAGTTGATGGTGTCCGCATCCACTCAGGTATGGACAAGCAGCCTCATACTGGAATCCGGGGAACTGGTATAGAATGGACTCGAGGTCGGAGACCAGTCATGATGCCTAATACTTTCCGACTGAGTATCAAGGCGCTTCCCATTCCCTACTCGTCATCTAAGGAGCCAGCATCGGTAGAAGAGATAGACGACTTCGTTTCAAAACTGTCAGACCGCATAGACTGGCTCATAGAGCGCAAGCTACCATACCACGTGGACCTCGCGTGGTTGAAGGATGAGGTCTGCAGAGTGCCGATATTTGCCGATCTCGCCAGGTATGGTGTCAAGCTGGCGCGGCTGCACAATGACAAGGGAGCGGGGGAGCCGTCTCTGGCAGATTATTTGCGTTTTGAGATGGTGGGGGAGTTTCTAATCAAAGCTGGGGATTTAAGCGATGAAAATGTCATCCGCGAGAGAAATGAGATTGTTCGTGGATTGACTGGTTGCGAAGCGGAGGGTTTGAGGATGATGGGTTTCAACATTATTCAGAAGTTGGAGAGCCAGGGAATAAAACTTGGGTTGACGACGGATGGAAAAGAGGAGTAAGGTGTGCGACAGGGGGAGGTTGATCAGTATATGTAGTATTGACTTATATTAGAACAAATGCGCAGTCAATAGTTACCGGTACCAATAATGGGACGATCAGACGCTTAGGTATAGTTGTCACACCACGGATTCCATTGTAAGCAACACTACGTCTCCCTCAGCCATTCGAAAGTATCTGGCAACTCAAAATTGAACTCAAGCTGGGCCATGATCCCCCAATCAAGTTCGTGCATCTGTCTATTGAGCTGGTGGTCGAGCACCCTTTTAATGATCTTCGCGTCGCAGCAAATTAACCCGTTGGCTGCCTCTGGCCGTAGCCAGTTGAGGAATCCTGCTAGCAAACACAATTGCTGCACTGCATAGCTGGTGCCAAGTTCAGCACAGCCACGAACCCCTCCTCTCCCATACAGTGTAATGTATAACCGCTGTATCACGCAACTTGTCTGGATAATGCGGTATACTCAAGCCGACGATAACCAATGGGGCGAATGGCCAGGCGCATAGCTCTGTAGTGCGTGAGCAACTGGTATACAAGACGAATTAAATGCAGACTGTGCGGGAGAAACCGTGGACCCGACTTCGATGCACAAGCGTGTTCAGTCAACCTGCTAGAAGCTAATGATTGGCTAGGCGCAAAACCAATTTCTAAAATACTATTATAGTAAATGCTAACTAATCTTCCGAATGAACTTCCCAAAGGGAGTCTGTCTTGCTCGCTTCCTGTAAGCTGTCGCTTTCTCCGAGCCGAAACCCGCGGCTCCTAGCTAGAGGGCCGTGCGAGGGCTGACGGGGTGGCCTGGTTTCACGTTCACTTACTGGGGGCCTAATAGGCGCAAGTAGACCGAAATTCGCACCGATTGATATGTATATATACTCTTGCTTTCAATAACTACCGAATTTCCCACCTGTCATTGTGCGCATAGCCCAATAAAGTTAACATTCTTGAGTACATATCCCTTTCACCATTTGATAAAATGTCCACCCAAGTCCAACCGCGAGGCGAATATCTGCTGGTGAGAAACACGGCCGAAAGCGAGAGGTACGCTCATAGTTGTTTGGAATACCTGAGAAGCGATCCCTACCTTGGATAAACTTTAATGTGGGAGAACATAGGCTGGAGATGCAATATAAAGCCTGGCAAGCGAATATTGGATATCTCCTTCATCCTGCCATCCAACAACATGATAGTATGCGCATTGCAGATGTTGGCACGGGGACTGGGTTAGTAGCAAATATACCGGAAAGATGGAAGGATCTGACATTATTTCCAAGAATATGGTTACGTGACCTCGCAGATGCTCTTCCAAATACTTGTCAGCTCGACGGGTTTGACCTCTCAGACGCCATGTTTCCCAGCAAGGATGCATTGCCGGCAAATATCACTTTCTATCAACAAAATCTCCTCGAGCCGTTCCCACATGAATATCTTGGTAAATATGATGTCGTCAATGTTCGAGTGATGGTGGTGGTTTTATCATCTAATGAGTGGGAGCCTGCTGTGCGAAATATGATGACACTTCTTAGTGAGAAGCTTCCCAGTCTATATCCAATTGATTTGGATTTAATCTGATAATGTGCAGAACCTGATGGCTATTTGCAATGGGTCGATTGTGCTGCACATGAGTGTGTAGTCAAAGGGGTGCCCGAGGGAAAACGAGCCATAAATGCACAACACGGAATCGACCTGTTCAGGAAGACTTTGAATGCGCTAGGGAAAACGCCAAAGTGAGTTCGAACCATTCCATTGATAATTAAAACCAATTTCCAGGGACTAACCAAAGAGGCTAATTCATCTTTAGTATTGCTCTCCTTCAGGGTATTTTCCAGAAAAGTGGACTGGTATCTTGTGAAGAGAAAATCTACACTCTTGACAACCCAGACACTCGGGAGAACGTCAATTTCACGGTTGTTGTTGGAATCCAGCATAGTCTGACAGCTGCATGCAGAATGCACAAGTTGGACGAAATAAAATCCATTGATCAGATTATGGACCTAAAGGAGGCTGTCTTAGGGGACTTAAATGATGTACCTTGTTATTATTGTTATGACGTTTACGTCGTTATTGGAAGAAAGTTAGCTTAAGGCTTGCCTAGCGATCAAATATATTTGCTAGAGATTGGTCATATAGCATCACACCTTCTCCCCTCGCCCATCAGCACTACATCACTGCCGGAGAGTTATGAAGAGTTCAGTTTATTATTCTTATCATGACGCCCACGATATTCAATTCACCGCATAGTTGTCTCCTCCAACTTACTGTTCTGCTGTCTCGAGGTCTGCAAAATTAGGAAACCTTCAGCGTCCGTCTCTCGTAGGGTATCGAGAAAGAGATGCGAAGGAGACTCAAAAAAGAGTCTTCGCGATAGGTCACGATTTTGAGATTGAACAATACGCCTGCGCATTATCCTGTACACATGGAAAAGCTAGATGCTTCTAATCGTTCTATTAGATGTCTCGATGCATGCTATTGTGGTGAAGGGGTGGAGTTACTCTATCGATATTCTGGCAGGTACCTATCAGGTCTATCATGAAAGATGTCCGCCCGTTTGCTACTCCACCTTCTTCTTCAAAGACATATTTATTATGATTCTTCTTGCATGTTTCTGCTATTTGCTATCTTCCTTTGAGAATGCAATTCTTGTAATGCATGCAATTCTTTCTATAAATATGAGCTCCTCTGCCCTACTGCTTGATTCTGTAGTTCATATTTGTATATCTATTCTTTATATTCTCTCTCATATGGTAAAAGAATGACCTTCTGACCTGTGACGTTTATTGCTATTGTCTTCCTACGGTTAGCACCTTCATTTTTCCTCTTCTGCTGCTGCTGTGACTAACGTGATCGGTGCCTGCCTTAAGGAGGTTCATCGACACGATGCCATAAATCAAGCTCATTCCTTCCCTTGTCAACTGGAACCAGGCCAGCTCGCACGCCATCTAAATTGCATTTACGTTCATCCTTGCAAAAATCTCTCTGCACATCTGCCCTCTGGACGAAGACAACAAGCGCTTGATCAATTTACGACACGACATATCACGGAGAAACACCCACCACAGCCTGCCTCTACCTACGGGCAGTAGCGCCATGTGTCTTTACGTCGGCAACTTTTACGACTGCAACCACGTCCGCTTCGAGGTCCATCTCTTCTGCCGAGCCTTGCTCTGCGAGCTGACTCGCATCAACGACCCAGTTGAGCGCACTTGTTTCGACCTGCCATTCAACCCAGACATCCCTGGCTGTGAGCCACACGCAGCCACTGCTGCCAACTCAGTTGAGCTTGCCTGGGATGGTTGTGGGGCCGCGAACCGGAGCAATGTAGTGCAGTGGGTGATATGTGTGGACGTGTGCGAGGATTGTTCCGACAGGCTGTGACCACTTTTCTTCTTATCTTGGCACATTTCTGGCAAGGACATAAACGCGAAGCAGACCGAGCCACTCGGACCATTTAACGACGTTTTTGGGATTGTATGGAAGTACGTACAAGCTAGAAACGGAAGGATATGCAGCCATCTCCATCTAGACTTCCATCCAAGCCAGTAAAGTCATTTCTGGAATGTATCACACGCCAAACCATTTCTCAACTCCTTTCTTCCTATACACACAACCTTCAGACCTATAACCATCTCACAAGGTAACATACTTCCTCCAATCGTGCTGATCCTTAAAACCCAACACCTCCCTAATCTTCCGATTACTCAAGGGCGCCTCCCACTGCCCCATCTTCCTCGTAATCGTAGTCCCAGGGCAAATGCTCTTCAAAAATTCCTCTGTCGGCACCTCCGTCGTGATAGTATCATTCGTAGCATTAAAAACCTGGAATCCCAACCCATCCTTCATAACAGCCAAATGGCAAATCTGGCCTAGATCGCGAGCATCGATATAACTCCACGCATTCCTTTTCCGCGTCTCAGGCTTCTTCACGAACCCCGCAAACTCGGCCTCGTATTGTTTGGGGTCGATGACATTCCCGATACGCAGGGCGTAGATATCAGCGCTGAATCTGCGCGCGAAGGCCCGCGCTGTTTGTTCACCGCAGATTTTGCTGAGAGCGTATGAGTCCATCGGATTGACGTCGTAGTCTTCTTCCAGCGGAAAGGAGTGATACTCCGAGTCTCCCTGCGTGAAGCAGACGCCGTAGGTGGTCTCCGAGCTGCCGATGATCACTTTCTTGATGCCGAGTTTGCAGGCTGCTTCGATGACGTTGTATGTGCTGACTACGTTGGCTTTGAAGGTTTCGTTGTCTGGGACGAGCATGTTGCGCGCGTAGGCTGCGAAGTGGATCACAGCATCTGGTGGGGTGGTTGGTTGTTCCTTGTCCAGATTGCGCTCGATCTCGTACTCGCCCATGTGGAAGTGCGAGGAGAGTGCGTTGAAGACTTGGCCGCTGTCTGTTAGGTCGCATTTCAGGGTGTACACGTCTGGGTTGAGGCCCACGCCGTCTGGGTTGGGGAGTGGGTTCAGATCCAGATTGAGGACTTGGTGGCCTTGTGCTAGGAGGTATGGGATGCAATGGCGACCGGCCTTGCCAGAGCCTCCGGTGAAGACGATGCGTTTTCCCATAGTGACAGATCGACAGATGAGTAAATGAATTCAGGGTGTAAACGGGATCAGCGTGACACTTAAATGCTATGTCGTCGGCTAATACTTGCTCCATTTACCCGCCCCACCACTCCCCGGCATTAATTTGACTTTCGTCAGCGGGTCAGTGGCGACTCTTAGTGGGCAATGTGTGGAGCTTGATTGGAAATCAACATTGCGTTTGTATGTGGATGTTATGGATGAAATAGATAACCAGATATCAATGCTAATCTCAACCCAGGACCAAACCAACGCCCGAAGAAACTGTAACCAAGATGCGAGATAGTATAAGATAAGAGGAGATTAATGCACTCCACCGCAGCCACAATCCCCGAGCTCCCGCTTCCTAAAGTCTCCATGGTACGTGTCCAGACCATCCGTCCGAAGGTCAGCGCCGAGAGGATTGCCCATCCAGCTAAACTCCTCGGTTGAGACATCCTGTGCAGATGCATCCGGAGACCAGTATGCGGAGGACTGTAGGCGCTTTGTGACACTCTCGATATCGAGATCCAGGTAGCTGGCCAGGAATGAGCCGACGTCGGTGTTTTCATGGTTGCCTACCAGCGGCCAGGTGTCTTTCGAGGAGGAAGCGTAGATGTTGACGTCGACCGCTGGGAGTTTTGTTAGCAATTGATAATGGTATGACTAGGACCATGTACTTACCAGAGTGGCCGTGGGTAGACCAGCCGAGCTGGGCGCGGCGGCTAATCATATCTGCAAAGACATACTGCGGCGGGGCTTGTGAGTCTGCGTGGAGCAAGGCGTCCACTTCTGTATCAGTGGCATCGGTGATACCAAGTCCTTTTTCCAGCAGGGTTTGCCGAATATAAGTCTGCTGTTTTGCCTTGTCGTCGTCCTTGCCCGGGCCAGACAAGTATTCTTTCAGCTTAGCGTCGAGATACTCGCTTGAATGACTCGCGTTGGCTAGCACGCCGGGAAGCCACAGATACTCCGGGTAGTTCTTGTGCAGCTGTCTAGCAGCGGACAACCCGCCAGTCTCGTGATCGGACGTGCTGACTAGCACGCCCGGAGTTGAACTTTTCTCCAAAAAGTCCAGGACGGCAGTAAAGGCCTTATCATAGGCCATGACCTCGTGCACTTGTGCAGCCGGGTCATTGCCGTGTCCGGCGTGATCAATTCGCGAGCCTTCGATCATGATGAAGAACCCCTGCTCACTGTCTTCAGTGGCCTTGCTCAGCACCGTGAGCGCCGCGCGAGCCATCTCTTCAAGAGACGGATACACCTCGCTCTGAGAGCGACGATCAATCTCATAAGGAATATCCTTCTCAGCAAAGAGACCCAGCAGGGGCAGTTTAGCCTCGGTCCCACCATTGAGCGCGTCGAACCCAGCACGGTCATGCATATAGTGGAATCCATTATCTGCCGCGGCGGCAACCAGATCGCGGTCATCGCCCCGACAGCTTCCGTCCGTGGAATTGGGCAGGAAATGGCATCTCCCGCCACCGAACATGAGGTCCACCACGCGTCCCAGGGGGTGTTCGCCAATTTCTTGTTCGGCGATGCTATCTTCGTAGCTTCGCAGGTTGGCATGCGAGGCAAAGCACGCTGGCGTTGCGTCTGTGATGCGCGTCGTCACTACCAGTCCGGTCTTGTACCCCGCCAACGCAGCAGCCTCCAGCACGGTCCCGCAGGGGGAGTGGTCCGGGAGTACCGAGATGGCCCCATTGTAGCTCTTGTGTCCGCAGGAGAAGGCCGTAGCTCCAGCCGCGGAGTCCGTCACCAAGCTGGAGCTAGAGCGGGTCCGCGACGTCCCGATGTGGTGCTGATCCAGGACCAAAATATCATCAATGGGTAGGCCGTCTGTTAGTTGCCTGAAACTCCTCGTCATCGAGAGACTGGTCGGTCCCATGCCGTCCGAGACCATGAAGATCAAGTTACGTTTCCCAGACGGCTTGCCGCCGGGACCCCACGATGTGGACTGGCTGTGGCTTTTGGTCGTTTCGTGCTGGTACACCACGGCGAGAACGACCACTGCAACCGTGGCGATGAGCGCCCAGGCGACGAGTCCAATCTCTCGCCAGACGACCCAGCCCCGTCGTCGTTCATCAGGGCGGGTGGTCCGTTCGCCAGTGAGGAGGGCATCCTCCTCCTCCGCATTGCGGATGGAGGAGTGGTCGGAGGATGGGCGCGGAGCCAGCAGAGGCTCTTCCCGCGCCATTGTGTGTGTGAAAGAGAGAGCGATGAATCAGAACAACCCCCGAGGTGGGTAAGGTTGCGGTAGCAGTGGAAGAGAAGCTGGGAAGATGGATGATGCGATAAGATAGCAGCTCACATGACCGGTCACGTTTTACATCATCGGGAAGCAGTAGTCATTCATATAAACACTAAATTACGGCCTTGTCACATTCCTCTGGTCCTATGACCTCCCCTTCCACCCGATCGGAATCAACGCTGCCGCAATCTCGTTGACTCCGCGCTCCGTGGCCAGCAGGTTAAACTGCGCCGCCGCATTCCTGGTGTCTTGGATATCCACACGAATGCCCAACGAGTTGATATGGCGCTTCGTCTCCGGCGAGAGAGGGAACATGGACGCCCCGAGCCCGAGAATGAGCATATCTAGACAGAAACAATTCCTTCGTTAGCACCAGTAGACAATCCAATCGAATCCAGTCAATCCCCAGGGGGTTGAAATTCGGGAAAACCTACCTGGACGCGGCCACACCATACTCAAAAGCCCCCAAACTTGCTCGTCAACCTCAAACTGGCCCTTGGCATTAATCATAGCCGCCTTCGCATCCTTTGTCTTTGTCTCCATCTCCTCAAACGCCTTCCACGGCCGCCAGGCGAACGCCTCGCCGCCGACGAGCAACAACGCGTCGCCGCCGGTGATCTTGACGCCACTATTGAGATGAAATCCACTGTCCAGACAGGCATCGATGGCTGTTGTCGGGGCGGGGATGTTGCCAAGTACGTTCAGCGCGGCGAAGTCGGTTTGTGTGTCTTCTTTGGATTCGGGGCCGCGGTCGTGGCTGGTTGGTTTGGCGGCGTGCGCTCGGGAGACCATGCGTGCTGGACGGACTGAGGTGGAGTTGTGGCGGCTGATTGATGGGATGCCATGGATTGAGGGTTGGGTGGTGTTGAGCGAGGTCAGGGCGCGCGGGAGGTGTTGAGATGGGTTCGGGCGCACAAGAGGAGTGCTGGTTAGAGAAGTGCGCAGGGCGCGCAGGAGTTGGGGTGATGGGGAATGCATTGTGATGTACTTTCCAAGATCGGTGTCAGGTCTGGAACTGGTGGTAGTGGTGAGTGAGTGGGTGAGTGAGGGAAAGGGAAAAGGGAAAGAAGGGCCAAGCTCTCCCGGCCCGAAGTGCATGTCTTGGCGATCAACCAATAAAGTACAAGGCATTTGCAAAGGCCTCGAATGAACATCTGTATTAATATATCCGTTCTGGCGAACCTAGCGATTACTCTAGTTTTATTTCCAGTTTCCCAACTGTAAACACTGCCCTGCCCCCTGCCCTGCGGTGCGTATGAAACAGAGAGACATGGAACGGTGGTGACATGCATACGGGGGTCGTATACGTCGTAAAAGGTGCCCAGAACGCCAAATTAAGAGAAGAGACAAAAATGCAATGGACCCGAAAGAAAAAGAAAGAAACAACTCGCCCCCTTTTCATGCAGCGTCCGGTTCATTCATTATTACTTCCCATAGGAACCTCGGAATTGTTGCTTTTTCTGTCAAAGGGAAAGAGTATCAAACATGTGCACACATGAAATACACGAAATCAAAATCAGTGGCGCGGATGCCCGGTGCCATTGTTCCGATCTTCGTCGGATTGACTGGAGCTGTCGTCACTCGGCCCGTTGAGGACACCGTTGGCCCGGTCTTGAAGAACTTGGGCTTCTTGTGCTGCCTTTTGTGCGCGGATCTGCTTCCGCCACATGCCGGAGTAGGAACCCTTCAGGGCCAAGAGCTCTTCGTGTGTGCCGCTCTCGACCACCCGACCGCCATGCAAGACTAAGATGCGATCTGCTGTAGTGATGGTGCTGAGCCGGTGCGCAATCACCAGCATGGTCCGGCCGTGTGCGAGGCTCGCCAAGGCTTTTTGGATCTGCTCTTCCGTCTCCGTGTCAAGGGCGGCGGTGGCTTCGTCCAGGAGAATGATTCGCGGGTTCTTGAGAATGGTGCGCGCGATGGCCACACGTTGTTTCTCGCCGCCGCTGAGCCGCAGGCCGCGCTCTCCGACCTTGGTGCTGTAGCCATCGGGGAATGTCAGGATCTTGTCGTGGATACTCGCGGCTCGGCAGGCTTCATAGACATCCTCATCTGTCGCCTCCGGGTTGGCGTATTTCAAATTGTACATCAGGGTCTCGTTGAATAATACTGTATCCTGGGGCACCACACCGATATGGCTGCGGACTGAATCGATGGTAAGATCCTGCACATCGTGCCCGTCAATACGGATACATCCCTTCTCGGGATTGTAGAAGCGAAACAATAGACGGAACACGGTCGACTTGCCGCCGCCTGACTCCCCCACCAAGGCTGTCGTGGTTCCGGGTTTACATTGGAAGCCAAGCCCATTCAACGCCGTTTTGCGAGCATCATATGAAAACTGCACATTATCGAAATTTATGTCGCCCTTGCACACGGCCAACGGGGCCGCACGGGGCTTATCAACCACCGATGGTTGCTCCCGGAAGAGCTCCAGCATGCGCTCTGCATTGATCAGCGCAGATTGGATGGAGCGATAGAAGGTGCCGAAGAAGTTCAATGGCCCTTGAAGCTGAGCCATATAGGTCAGCAGAGCAACGAACCGGCCCACAGGTTGCTGGCCCGTGGAGACCTGGTAGGCCGCAATAAAGCACGTAATCAGCAGACCGAACATGAAGACAGTGTTCTGGCAGGTGTTGAGTAGCGTCAAAGAGAAGAGGACGTGGTATTCCGCCTTTTGGTAGTCGCTCACTGCACCGCGGTATCGGTCAAACTCGTATTGCTCGGCGTTGAAATATTTGACGGTTTCATAGGAGACCATAGAATCGTTCCTGGGGTCATCATTAGCCACTGTCCAAAAAATACGCGCAAAGACAACTCACTTCACAGCATCTTCCTGTCTCGAAGCGTTCACCATCTGCCGCCTGATCGTAGCTCTCCACTGGGCCATGCGAATGGTGACGTACAAATACCCAAAGGTGGAAATCCCGACCACCAGAGCGTAGTACGCATCAAAGACAACGAGGAAGTATCCAACAGCAACCCCAAGATCAATCAACATCGGCACCACCTGGAAGGTGACCTGCTCGAGGAACGTATTGATTGAGCTCCCCTTGCTCAGGGCAGATAGGACTTCTCCTGTCTTTTTGCCCAGATGAAAGTCCAAGCTGAGACCGTGGACATGCTCAAAGGCGGCGGTGGAAAGTTCCATGTAGGAATATTGGCTCACCGGAATCCAGAGGCTGGAACGAACCGAGCTGAGCAAGCCTTGGCCGCCCTGCAACCACCGATAGACCACATACATGCAGATCTCAAACCACGGGACCCGAAATTCTTCCCCGCCCTCCTTGGCCAGGATATTGGTGATCTTTTCCACCTGAAACGGAACCATCACATTGACGACCCGCTGGGCAACAAGAAGCCCGAAACATACCACCACAACTATCTGCAGGCGGCGCGATTTGGATGGCCACAGGTAGGGGAAAAAGAGAGAGTATCCGCTCAGATACTCCCACCAGGTCGTTGATGGTGCAGTCGTTGGGCGAACCCACGGGTCTGGCCCTTTAGGCTGCTGATCGCGCGGGCCACCGTTGGTCGAGCCGTAGCCATTGCCGTTGCCGGTGGCGGCGCCAGACTCGGCAGGAGCAGGATCCAGCAAGCCTGTAGCTTCCGTCGGCCCGTTGGCCTGTCGCTGGGCCTTCTTCTCATAATGTTTCATGCTCAGAGAATTGCACGCATAGAGCAGCACCAGCACGAACAAAATGAGGACGCGCAGACTGCCGACGACCACTTCCAGGTATTCCCACATGGTAATTCTCTTCCGTAACCTACCACCTTCAGGATCTCCCACAATGGGCTCATGGTGGGGCGCCGTGTAAAGAGACAGGGATGTGCTGAGGATGACTAGTTCGATCGGGATGGCGACCGACCAGGAGACGAAATGAGCGAGTGTTGGGGAAGGAGAGGTGTCTAGTAAGGATATCAGGATGACCGAATACACGAAGAACGAGCCGACGATGCAGATCTATAGTCTGAGTTAGTTTTCGGCAATTTTTTGCTTTTTTTTTTTGGGTCCAGCCTTGCACATACAACGACCGATTGTCCCTGCCACCAATGCTCGGACCGTGCCGTCAACGCATGGGCGATAAAAATAATGGCATCAGCGAGCCATGTCACCAGGATGCCCACGGATAGCCAGTTGAAGAATCGTTTTACGGTCTTGGAGAACTGCTGTGTTTGGCGATAGCTGTTGGAGCTTCTCGCCCGCATCGGCAATGGGCGCCCGCCGGGGCCCATGCGTTGCGAATCGTGATTGTGGACATTTCGGGCCACGATCATGGTATTGGCCAGGAAGGCCACGACGAAGAGCACGAAAAGGAAGAGTGGGTAACAGGTGCGCAGGTACTGCAGCAGCTCACTGGCTGCGTGAGGATCCATGGTGGCCAGTCCTCCCAATATCCAGCACGACCAAAAGACGGTTCACACTATTTCCATGACACAGCGACCGAGAGAATCCCCGTGAGAGATTGGGGAAAGGGCCAGTTGGAAGGGGGCGAGTTGGAAGGGGAAGAAGGAAAGCAGAGAGAATGGACGGATTCGGGGTTCGGATGGTCAAGGATCGACGGGGAGCGAGAATGGCCGATCACGGACGGACGCGGCGGGGACGAGCACAGAACACCCACGTGGAAGCTTGACTTGGTCGAGGTTTCTTGCTTTTTATTAACTTTGCTTGTTGGAGAGAGGTCTCGTGCATAGGGCTGAGCAGAGGTCATGGGGGCGATGCCACGAGATGGGCCATGGGGACTTACAGTAGAGATAGAGTCTCTCCGATGCGGTGTGGGAGAGGGAGAGGGAGAGAGAGGGAGAGAGAAGAGGAAGAGGAGGAAGAAAAGAGGAGGAGGAAGGAAGATGATTGGGAAGGAAGCGAAGGAAGGAAGAGGAAGAGAGAGAAGAGAAGGTGAGGGGAATAATGACGGTGTAGACTAAGTCTGGCCTGAGGATAAGAATAACCAGAAGAATGATCTCCGAGACACAATCGAAATGTTTGCCTCCGAGTCGGATATACTGGCAGTCTGGTTAGAATCACATTTTTTAAGACCTCGATCTAGATCATTTAGTCCCGTCCGAGCCCCCAGAGATGTACCTATGATTAGCTGCAGGGGCCGCCTTAGCTCGACCGGGGGAGGACGAGTGGGTAACTAAACAGGGTAGACTATTCATGGCTAGCCCATAGTCTAGACTGTTTAGTCCGAAGCCATCCCTCATTCATCAGCATCATATTTGGATCGCTGTCGCCAGCACTCACCGCTCTCACCAACATTCCTCTCTCATCCATCCACACAACCCGCCCGGTTCTCTCCCACCCCAGCATGGCCGCCAACCATGTCCGATCCAGCTCGCTCTCCGGCACCTCCTCCCCCGCCACCGCCGCCTAAATATTCACATCGGGCTGCCAACGCGCTCGCCAGGTTCGCCCACCCGTTCTTCTCCGGGTCGCGTCCCCCGAGCCCGCAGAACGGCCCGGAGGGTCCCCGGTCGATCAGGTCCAAATCGCTGTAAGTGCTGCGTTCCTTCTTCACACGGGACACACCGCTCTTAGACCGGTCGTTTTAACACGTCGTGCAGACCCGGCGAACCCCAGACCGTCACCCATAAAACCGGAATCCCCATCGCCGCGCTCGACATCTCGCCCCAGCGCACGCACGCGGTCATCGCCGGCAAAGAGATCCTTAAAACGATACGCGTCTCGCCCGACCACTCCTCCGAAGAATTCAACGTCCGAAATGCTGTCATCGGCTACGCTTCCGCCCACCATGACGGGGGCGTGTCCATGCCGCACAAGGACCAGTTGAACGTACGCGACGTGAAGTGGTCCCATGGCAATTACGACCGGACAATTGCCACGGCCGTCGCGAACGGTCGCATTGTCGTTTACGACCTGCAGCGGCCCGGCCTCCAATTATGTCGCTTCCAGGGCCACAACCGCCAGGTGCACCGGCTGGCCTTCAACCCCCATTTCGCCGCGTGGCTTTTGTCAGGCAGCCAAGATGGCACCATCCGCATGTGGGATCTGCGAGCGGCTCCCACGAATCGCGGCACCTCCACGTGTGGGAGTAAGCATGTGTATCATGGCAACAGTGATGCCATCCGGGACGTCCGGTGGTCGCCCAGCGACGGCGTCGTGTTTGCGACCGCCGCGGACAGCGGCGCCATCCAAATGTGGGACCAGCGGAAGGGCAATGCGCCACTGATGCGCATTGCGGCTCATGATCGCCCATGTTTCTCGGTCGACTGGCATCCCGATGGGAAACACATCGTCAGTGGTGGCACAGACCGCCAAGTCAAGGTCTGGGATTTTTCCTCGTCCGCAGAACGAAGACAAAAGCCCGCCTTTCAGTTCCGAACCCCCCAGGCCGTCACGAACGTGCGCTGGCGACCTCCGTCGTGGGTCGGCGAATCACCGGGGTTAGGAGAATGGCAGTCGTCCCAGATCGTTACCTCTTACGACAAAGAAGACCCGCGAATACATCTTTGGGACCTTCGTCGTCCGCATGTCCCGTTTCGTGAATTCGATCGGTATGATTCCCCAGCAACCGATCTTCTCTGGCGCTCCAAGGACCTGCTCTGGACAGTCGGCGAGGCCGGGGCGTTCACCCAGACCGACGTCCGCTATGCGCCCAATGTGGTTAACCGCCGACCGATGTGTTCGGCGGCCTGGAGTCCTAATGGCGAGTTTGTCGCGTTTGCCCAGAAGCGGCCCACGCGGCGTGTTAGAGTAGCCGAGTTCGTAAGCCCTGAGGAGGATGAGGCGAGTCCCGGCGACAAGTCGCTGAACGACAGTCCCGGGGAGGATATGCTGGACGAGGCGGCCCTGGTCTCTACATTTCGGCACCGACATACCAAGTCCACCCCCAATCGACCATCCAAGTCGTTGGGCAATACCCCACCCGGAACAGTGGATAATGTCCTTCCTGTGCTTCCTTTAAATCAAGCCTTGGAAAAGATTGCGACCTCAGGACCCAATCAATTGGGTACTACCGGAAGCATCCCAGGTGCCACAAACGACGCCTTCGTTTTTCGATTCTTGGCAGGTCACTATTCGCCGCTAATGGATGAGCGTCGGGGCCGGCGCACATCCGTGGAGATCCTGAACTCCTTGATGGAGGCACTGGACCACAACGCCGAGTGTGCGGATGAGGTCGCGCTGACCAAGGTGGCTCAGACTTGGAGGATTGTGAAATTCGCCATCCTTCAAGAGCTTCAGCGGAGAGCGAGACAACAACCAGCGGGTAAATCCGGTCCCAAAGAGAAGTCATCCAAGGAGGGACTGTTGATGGACCGGTCACGACCAAGCGAGGAGAAGGTGAAAAGCCGGTTGTTCAAGGGTGTCATGGAGACCGAAGGCCATCGAAGTCTGATATCAGAAACCGAAAGTACCTCAAACATGACAACACCTCTTGCCAAACCATTGCCTGACTCGCCTCCGATGGACTCTTACGACAGCGGTGACTCTCAGATCCCTTCATTGAGCGAAGCTGCGATTGATGTTGATCCCCTACCGCCGTCAGTTCTCAGCTCTCACAATGGCTGGAGTATGTCTGGCGCCAGCGCCCATCGCGTATCCCCACTCCAACAAGGACAATCGGTCTCGAGCGCAGACACACACCCTTCCGACCAGCTCCGTGATCCTTTCGACCACAGGTCCGATATAGAACAACGCTCGGCCCCCCGCGCGATTGCCGGCAAGGCGGACTGGCGTATTCGAACCCACCCTGACTACCCTCGTGAAGGTTCTGAGGATGATTATGATCAGAAACTGGAGGATAAACGGGCCGCCATCCGTGACTACAAACAGGCCCCAAAAAAAGTCTTGACGCTAGAATCTCCCATGCAGTCCAATCGGCCTCCTGCACTCGACCCTTACCAGCAGCACGGATCCTCCGATAGCTTCCCAATGTTTTCGGCATCTACCGACAGTTCACATCCTTCAAAATCCGTGGGGGCCTCGTACTCGCCTAATGGCCGGCATCACGAAGAGGCGGATGCCGGCGCCGGCGGTCGACCCACTGGCAGACCCAGAAGAGAGTCCAACCTGGTTTCTCCTCAGGAAGCGGTGGCAGAGGAGGCCATGTCATTTGACGAGTCTCTCCTGGAGTCTGACCAAGTCCATCTCGAACGTCCATCTAGCCCGCCCCCGTTCTTGGCCGAGTCGACTCCACTAAAACAACCCCTTCCCGGAGACACCCAGCCATCCACAGACACCCCTCCGCTCTTCTCGGCTTATCCAACGATGCTGGACATCACGGAAGACGTCTCCCGAGTTGAACTCCCTTTCAGCCCAGATACAACAGACTTGAAGCCGTGGAGTATCGAAGCTATTCTGAAAGAGGCGGTCCGTTATTATCACAGCAGCAGTACCTCCGTCGACATACAAAACGCAGCTCATCTCCTCCAGAAGCTTCACATCCTTTTCAAGGACTGCGAAAAGATCCTTCCTTATGCAGAGTGCGAGCTCGTCTTCCAAACCTACAACGACCACCTGATCCGCCATTCCATGAACCTGGAGGCCGCAGAGCTGCGTCTCTCCTGCGTGCCTCATTACCCAATTGTGTACGACTACGCCCAAATAGACACTTCCATCAACGTTTTCTGCTATACCTGTCAACGGCCATACGAGAACCCGCGCCGTGACAACACCCGCTGCCACCGCTGCAACACCCCTCAGCCCCCATGCTCCATCTGCATGAGCATCGACCCGCCCCCGGAATGGGTGGAAAAGCAGCAGCAGCAGCGCACCGCCTCCCCTTCTCTCACAAGCCCCGATTCCGAAACCGAAACCATCTCCCACCTCTCCTCGCAATCCTCCATCCGAACAGAACCCCTTCCAGCCTCTGAACTCGACCTCAACTCCTTCACCCCGCCCCGCCCCAAGGGCTCTGCCCTCTGGTCTTGGTGTCAGGGCTGTGGCCATGGTGGCCACCTCGCCTGCATCACAACCTGGCTCAGTGACCTTACTATCAGCGCCGGTGGCTGCGCCACACCCGGCTGCACGCACGACTGTGGACCAGGTCCGCGCCGCGAACTGAACCGCCAGGCCTTACAAGCTGAGTCCAAGCGCCGCGATTCGGCGAGTCGTTCTGCGGGCGTCGGTCTCGTCAAGAAGGACCCCTGGACAAAAGGCGAGAGCAAGGCCGTCGAGAAGGTTAGGGGTATGCTCGGCGTCGCTGGCGTCGCTAATGCCCCTGTTGCTGGGAGTACGCCTGGGTCTAGTACTTCGGCTAATACGACCTCTGCTTCCGGGGCCACTGCTGTTACTTCGGGGACGATGTCGCCGAAGAAAGTGAGACTGGTCACTCCTAGTGAGCAGGAGAAACGGGCTAGTCGGTCGGCTGCTACTTCGAGGGAGTAGATGTAGGCAGTGGGTACGCCGGTGCTGGGCAAGACGATGCCCTAATAGGGAAAGTAAGATCTACACGTTACGGACTTAGTTCTAGTGTACTGTAAATACTAAACCGATCTTGGAACCGTCTTCGATGGGAAAGGACTAGTAGACAGAAGTATGGCACCATCCAGAACCTCAAGCTCTGAGAGTTATATAGATCTTTCCTCAACTACACCACACCCCAAGCAAGCATCTACCTTTATCTCTCAACGCCAAGAATGGACTCCATCAAATACACAAACCCAAGACAACTCCTGCAAGCACTAACCCACCTCTACATACTCCTCGAAAATCACCGAACAGGCCACCAATACCTCATCTTCTCCTCCGTCACGCGCACCCAGTTCGAAGAAGACCTCACCTCCCCACAAGCGCGTGCCTCATCCTCTAAATTCCTCAAATACTGCTATCACCATCCCACCCAGTCCCTAGCCGTCAAAGTCCCGCTACCGCTGCATTACCCTGGAGTGGCTAATATATTCAAGAAAATGGTTGACAGGCAGCTCTTCAAGATGGATCTTCTAGACACTGAGTACTGGAATGATGCTTTAGGGGATATTGTCTATATTGGGGACTGGGCTTTAGAACCAGATATTTCCTGGGTTCCGTCCGCGAAAACGAAATATACCAGTCCCTCCGTGGTACTCGAAGTCGGAACAGCGGAAGATTTTGCACAACTTGCCGATAAAGCGTCCATTTGGTTGGAAAGTTTCGAGTCTAACGTGCAGGCTTTTATCACGATTCAGCTTGACTACAACAACGAGGGTCTTGCTAGTGATACCGCCATCAAGATTGCGGTGTGGAGACTGGCTCCAACTAACAAGGCATATCAGAGCGTGTGGGTTGATATCGTTCGTTCGCGGGGCTTGCTCGGACGGCCGAGTACGTCTGCCCTGGGGTATTCGACTGATCCTGTAACCGAGATTGTAACTTCGGAGAAGGGAATTCGGTTGGAGCTCGAGCTTTTTAGTGGGAGGAAAGCTTCGAGAAACCCGTTCTCTGCAAGTGATGTTGTTCTTTCTCGGAGTTTGCTGGCAGGTTTTGCGGAGGAGTTTTGGGTAGTTAACAGGCGTGGTAGTGTGGATTATTAGATGGTGATGGGATAATGAAATTTGAGAGGGCCTGATAAGCTAGCTACTGGGTATTAACTTCACTGTTAAAAAACCATACTTCTCGCTGGCGACGGACTGTCATCCCGTTCCTATCACGGACGTACACCCACCAGAAAGCCGCGCACGGCACTCATACGGCGGTTCAACTGCTACTTGACGATCAAACCGGCGCGGATATGTCCTCCACCCCCGACTAGCAGTAGTTTCATATCGTCCTGTAAGTGAGGCCAGGACTCGCAGCAGCCCGATTCAATCACGCCGAAGAGCAATATGCAGAACAGTCGTGGCTTCATGTTGCAGAGCAGTCGAGGCATCAGGTTGCTCCCCTTCTGAGCCGCCGCCTCTCGGTGCCTCTGCCATTCTTTGAACAAATGGGCCTGGGTTTCTCCCTCTTGCAGGGGACACAGCCACAACAATCATATCAGAGCAGTACGGCTCCAAGTCATCATCACAATCCCAGAAAAGCTAAGTCCAATCCAAGATTTTCACGAGATCCACTTCATTGTCGGGAAGACTTTTATCAGACCGCTCGTGCCTGCCACTGAAACCGTAATTAATACCCTCCGGGCAATCACGATCTTCATCGGTCTTCGTCGAGGCGCTTGACGTTTCGAAGCTAGCCCATCACACTCACAGACGACCGACAGAGGCGAGTCGCTCGTGCCAGTGTCCGTAAAGTAAGTCGACACACGTTCTTCGCCATCTGCAGTTTGAGAGCTCAAAACGAGGTAGTTGAAATCAATTCTTATCGCACTACAGTCGAAGTGGCGACGGAATATACCTGTAGGGGAGGCAGGTGCCGATCGAAAACGCCCGGCGGGAGGGGGAGTCCGTCCTGGGTGAGCTCCCACTTTGCGGCCCGACTAAACTGCTCCGGATGGGCGCACAGCAGGGCTAGGTATCCGCACATGTCTAGCGCCTTATTCCACATCGGCGTTGCAGTAAGGAACCAGATGGCGTTCCGACGCAGGAGCCGCACCGACTGGTGGAGGCGAGTCCGGATTGTCTTAACTCGGAGCATCCCAGCACTAGTAAATGCACTATTAATTAGTCTGGGATCCATTGGAAACTCGATTTTGGGCAATGGGAGGACTAGACCTTTCTCCGTGGCCTCTTCAAATGCATCCTAAAGTTGATCCTAGCCAGAGTTTCTCTTGACGGGGTCCCAGGTCACTATAATGGTGATAGGAGTGTAATCGAAGGCTTGGGCTTGTGAAATCATGTAATCATCATCCTGAGTAGTGTTCACGGAACCAGGCTGCACAGGGGTCAATATGACCTGTGCCGGGTTGGTCGCGAGCAGGTCGGTCTCGCACGGGGTTCGAGGGGGCAGAAGGCTCAGAAGGTCGCCAATAATCCACTTCTCCATTTGAATAACACCTTACTTGATAGTCGATGACAGCTTCTTAGGCAGGTTTTCCAGCGAAGTACGCCGCAAATTTTCCCAGAATGTCCACATTACCGGAAGGCTCTTTTCAAGGTCTGTCTGGAGCATGGCCTGCAAGACTGAATTCCGTGTTGGAAATCTAGAATCGGCTGATTGGATATAGACTGTCAGGGACATATCTAGGCAGGCACAAGGTTCATGAACCTGAGAGTTTTGGTATCAATATCACGCGAATCGCTCGACACCCAGGTTAAGGATGTCAATCCGGTTGCGACCAGCTAACAGCGCCTCCCCGAAAACACCACGTCGTCGGATCCCGGGTCGTTGGCTTCTTGTGTGGTAGGGCTAGGGAACACCGTCTGCAGAAATTTCAGGTAATGAGTATGTGAAACAATTATCAAAAGTCGTGAACATACCTCGCTTTGTTCTAGTCTGGGCATGCCGTTTCGGTCATCATGAACAGCTCGATAGTCCTTGAGACACGATCTCCTTGTAACGTTTCCCGTTTGACGGTAATAACAGCCTTTATGGAGCCATTGCCGCCCACCAACAACGGGTTCATGTCATAATGAAGTTGTTCGTTCGACCCGCTCCACCGGGATTCTACCGAAAGAGTTCTTCACAGGGCCATATAATTCCTTGAAGCTCTCATATGTTATCGACTTGGATGGTCACGACGGCACATGAAAGACACTGCCGATACGTAGAAAACTGGGCAAATTGTCGCGCCCTTGGGTAGTCGCCGGAACAGTCTTGGCCGCTGTGGTTGTCACCGACGTTGATAACTGCGGTATGAACGAGCAGTTGATCGTGAAGGACGGAGGATGCAAGATAGAGTCTGGAAGATGGAGGCTGGAAAAAGGAAGAAGGGAAAGAGAAGAGGTGAGGTTGGGGTGTTTGCAGGTTTAAATAGGAAGGAGCTCTCTACCTCCAGGGGGTCTGGTCCCATTCAACCTGCGGGACAATCCGCTTGAATAGACAAAGAACCGAGTTAACCATGTTTGCCCATCAAACTTGGAACAATGTACAGAATTGAGGAACAATAATAGGATGTTTGTCTCTATTTATACAGACTTTACCACGACATACATCAATAGTAAGGACGTCTTGGCTTCATTCAACGCAGAACTACTAAGCCCTGGGACCACGATAAGGTGCAGTCTCGTCGCCAAAAGGGCACTGTTACCGGTAGGGCATACTGAACGACCCATGTTGACCAGCTTCTATCAACGAAGATGTTCTCGATCTCGCTGGGAGCGATCTCAAATTGGAAATCAGATGCCACATGAGTAAGATTAGCGGTTTCAATCTCTGCCTGATCAAGGACTGACGGGGTACTGCCCACCCTTTGCCTTTAGAGCAAAGGGTGGGCGGCAGCTTCCGTTACCTGGGAAGAGACCTGACAGGAGAGAGGTTGCCGCGCTGACTGTGGTGTAGTCGCGTCGGTTCAATCAAGGCCCTCAGTGCGGCATAACAACCTCGGCAATGTGCAGATCATCGTCGATCTTCTCAATATGATGGAGGGTGAAATCCCGACGGCTTAATGTAAGTTGGGCAGCCCCCCAACCATTTGGGAAATTTAGAACTGCACTTGATACATATCGCGATGATGCTCGGTCGAGGGATGCAGATCGAAAATCAGAGGATAACGACGGTGACCATTCGGACCTTGAGGACTGAAAATGCCGAGTAGGGCATTCATTAATTGTCGAGGGATAGCTGATAATGAGTGTTTCGGATACTCTAACCCCGCATCCTTTTCCTTTCCCCGCATACGTCTAACTGAATCCATCCGTGATGACTTCGGAACCATGTCCGTGTGGGTTCTCGAGGACCGTGAAACACCAGTAAAGGGCAATCACGTCCCGACGCAGTAGTAGGATGAGGGCGTCGCTATGCGAAGCTGGCTATAAAGTAATGCAGACATTGCACCGGCCCAAATGGCAGATGATATTCCTCTCTTGCTATCGCTCGCTTTTTACATCATCACATAATGACACAACAACAGAGCGCCTTCATTACAGGTGGCGCGTCCGGCCTGGGCAAAGCTATTGCCACCTGGCTAGCTGCCAAGGGGATCAAGGTGTTCATTGCGGATCGCGACGAAGCTGGAGCGAAAGCTGCGGCAGCTGAGATTCAGGGTGCATATAGTGTCGTGGATGTCACGAGCTGGGAATCACAACTGGCAGCCTTTCAAAAGGCTGTTGGCCTATTCGGCCGGATTGACTACGTCTATCCTATAGCCGGCATAGGAGAGAACAGCTTTCTTCCCACAACAACAACGGAGGAATTCCAGAAACCCAATTTGAGTATCATGGACGTCAATGTTTCTGGTCTGCTGTATACCGTCTCCCTCGCTGTACAACAGTTCCGGCGACAACAGCCCACTGTCTCTGGAATTCGTGGAAAAATCGTGGTCGCAGGATCCGTATGCGGCATCTATTGCTGTCCTTCCCTTCCCATGTACACGGCATCGAAGCATGCAGTCACGGGATTGGTTCGTTCCTTGGGTAAAGCTTTACTATCGGAGGGGGTTACTTTAAACTCGGTCAACCCAAATGTCGTGCGGACCAATTTCTCCACGGATAAATTCTATGATTCTTTGGACAGTGAGGGTTTGCTGACCCCGATGCAAGGCTGTCTCGATGCCTGCCAGCGGTTTTTGGACGATGATCAACTCTCAGGTCAAAATTTCGAGATCGGACCCAATTACGGCAAGGGCCAAGGGCTTGTGGAGCCGCAATTTGCGCCACTGGTTGATGAAGCACAGAAGCGTGTGTTTGATAAGCTGTTGGCTCGAGGCAACGCTCGGTGAATGATAACACGAGTCGGTACCAATTGAATATGAGATCTTGCCTGACGGCCTGCGTTTTGTATTAACCATTGCGTTCCTAGTTACTGTGTTTATTTGCCGCTTTGCCTTCTTAAATATATACATGGAAGACTTAGGGCTTATTATGCACCACTGGAACTTGCTACACTATTGCACGATAATGCGCGTGATGATAAAGGTTCTGAGCCATGACTCGCAAAAGAGCTGAATTCAGCACGGAGGGATTTGATTTATTCCGACCTGATAGTCCTTCCTTCGCCGATCGGTATTTGACCGAGAGTAGAGGTGTTGAGCAGAATGTATATGAAGTAACTTTTTAATAAGAGAAGATGTTCTTCCGTGTTAGATTGACACGATCTAGCCTATCCAACACCCTGGACTGTTAGTGTGGGGGCGGTGGAGGCTGAGCAGAAAAGCACTGTAGTATTTAAAGCTGATCTTCCCCCACATGCCTATCCTCTACCTGCATCAATTATTGGTGCTCATCGCCTTATTAATCCGAAGATTCGTCCTTCTCCGCCCCCGTGTCTACAAAAAGAGGTACAGGGGGCAACATGTTAGAGTTTAGTCCGGATATATGGTATCTCGTGTTCCAAGTAGTACGGCTTACCATATCAACTTTGATTTGACTACATTGCTAATAAATCTAACTAGCTGGATACGCAGGAAGATATCCGCAATGTATGTGAAGTTTCAAGATCATTCCACATATTAGCCATACCATTACTGTACAGATCGGTCGTCTTCAGAGCGTCGGAAACAACCACTCGCAGAGCCGACTGGGATACTTCCCCAAGTGAAGCTTTAGAACAACCTCAAGAAAAGCAAGGTCACTGTCCGCTTCTCTTTCGACTGTTGGACAATCGGAACGAGAGACTACGAGCTTTCGTGCGTAATGTGACATTCGAGGAGAATCGTTATACGAGTTATGAAGACAGAATCTATGAAAAACCTGAGCGACCCAACAATATGATTGCCAAACTGGTGGAAGCACTGCCAAATTTGGAGAATGTCTTGTAATATGCATCACTCTCTCACGATTCCTGCGACATGTGCTAATGACAATACAACAGCTTTCATACTGAATACCCGTTAGCAGACGATTTTATACATGCAATGTGCAACCATGGCAAATCCCCCAAACTCCATTTGCTCAGAGAGCGTGGCAAAACTCAAGTCACAACCCAGATGACTTGTGTTCACACACTACATATCAGGGTGCGCGATTGTATCACTGGCTGGAGCAGGGACATTTATTCATTACCCCCGGTTGAAATTGCTCTCCACAAGCTCTTTGCTGTTTGTCCAAATCTTCAGGAAATTTCTGTCCAGATTTACAGCTTTCGGACGGGATGTTGTCTTCCCACGGAACATCGTTCGACAACAATCGAGCCCCTCAAGCTGGGTGAAAATCAGTCTTTCCCGCCTTTGCAAAAACTTTCATTGAGTGGATACTTGCCGAAAGAAGTTGAAATACGCTATTGGCAAGACACGTCCCTTTGGTCTAGGCTCAAGTCACTTAGCCTGGGACCGGAGAAGACCCACGAGTTTCTAAAACCCATCACTGGCTGCGTGCAATTTTTGGCAGCATTCAAGATCACCACCTACAGTGACCCAGAACTAGACCAATGCCAAGAACTTGAGGATTTTTTGCTTTCTTTTGGCTCTTTGGAAGTTCTGACCATCAAGGGGTATTTCCCATCTGTTGAAGCGATCGGCCGTCATTCCAATTTGAGAAACCTCACATTGCATACAATCGAGGAGCCTGGTCGAGAAAGGCCTACGCTTGGGGAAGAGGGTCTCAAAGTTCTCAATGGTTACTGTCCCCATCTCGAGAGCTTCGAATTGGATGTGCGCCGTAACCTTCAGTGGGTGAGTATCGAAGTGAGAATTATAATGCTTTTCGGTATGAAAACTAATCATTTTTCTTCCAGCCCAAGGGTCCAATCATTACTCTAGCTAGCAGATTTCGCAATCTTCGTCATGTTGAGATTCATGTTGGACTAGAAATCAGAAGACTTCATGGACGATTCAAGCACGATTTTGGCAGTCACGATGGCGATAAGGAAGAATGTGACGAATATGGTGCAGACTGGAACGCCATTTTGGACTACGTGGAGGACCAGACAGAGAAAATTCTGACACCTTCGACTGCCAGGGATTTTGGACAGCTCTTCCTTGATAACAGATGCCTATCATCAAGGGTGCAAAAGGTTTTCCTCAATACTGGCGAACCATTACGTCGTTTTCCGCAACGGCCGCCAGGATATACGGCAACAGAAGAAACGAATGCGACGTCCTTTGAAATTCAACTGCCACAGAATGAAATCAGTGAGCTGGTTGTGACTGAGTTAGATGTTAGAAGATACCTCAAGGATGATTGGTGAGGCCAGACATTTGGCTCTACCTCGAACTGATTGTCATTGTTCAGTCGGACATGATACAATCGTCGGTTAGTTGGTCGATATCATTTACCCCGATCCCTCGCCGAACGACAGGCAGATACATGCAGACAAGCTTTAAAGCCCTAAACCCAAGACCATCTAGTCCAAAGAAAGCGATAATAAAGCAGGTACTCGGGCGAGCAGCGGCAGGGGCACATGAGCGGCACGTCTGGGAGTACGGTCCATACGTAGTTAAGCCACCTCTTTTGGCAAAGTCTCGCGTGCACGAACATCCGTGCTGATAAGAAAAGCCTTTTCTCTCCCTTCGTGCTTTTCAGTACACGTAATGATCCATGAAGACTTGTACAAGTTCCCATCCAAACAGAATGTGAGTCGGGGATGCAGGTACTTGCAGGTCACATGGCACTATCGTGTAACCCCTCTCCTTCTCACCTGCAGGTAAGACGCTCGTTCGCTCTCTTTAACAATTAAACCGATCTCCCTCTTCGGGCTCCTCTCCTCCTTGGTCTTCTGATCTATTGGAATAAACGTGTCCCCTTCTTGTTTTCATGGCTGTGCTGCCTTCCCCGGACGCCGGCCCCAGCAAAGTCCGGTCGTATTTGCTTGATCTCCTACTTCAAGAACACGAGGCCCCTTCCAAACTCGCCCAAACCTCTGCCGATAAGTGGGTGTTAGGCCACGGGAGGGACCTGCGGCGGCAATCCCGGGAGCAATTCAGCCAGCTCTTCGGAGAGTCAGTGGGTCCATATGTGTACCAAAGCGTCAGAAGAGATGTGGAGGCCGAACGGCGATCGTCCCCCGAATGGAAACGCACCTACTGGATCATGGTGACTGTCAGCGTTGCTGCTACCCTCTTCCTGATCCAGGCGTATTACTCGAACTCGCTGGCGCAGAGGGTGGATAATATAGGATATGCGATGGTGAGTTTTGGGCCGACCATGCTTCTCTGTGCGTTTGGATCGCCGAGCGACAATATTTTCTCGGGAGCGTTACTAGTAGGAATGTATATAACAGGTTGTGCGCTTATCTGGTGTTTGTACAAGCTGAAGTTGATAGGGTGAAGTTTTAAGGGCCAGTGAGGACCTATCGAGTATACAACCATAGTAGATTTTTCGACCTAGAAACTACATAGCATACAATCGACGCGCCCTTAACGAACCTGGAATTCATCACACATTAGTTGATTAGTTGGCATCTTTGGGTAGGTGGGGCTAGCTCCGCACGAAGCTCGAGGCGCAGCAACACATTCACCTTTGGCATTCACGAAACTCCGACCAGCTTTTCAAATCTACTGAGGCTAATCTCTGAGTCTAGTTGATCTGCGTCGTTATTGCGATGGCGGAAGTTGTTGGTGTTGTTTCGAGCGCCATCACTTTCGCGACCGTTGTCTCCCAAGTCACGGAGTCTATAATCACGATCAGGGACTACTGGAGCCAGTTTCGTGATGCACCCAATGACCTCAAATGTCTAATGCGGGATCTTGAATTGTTTGGACTCATTCTAGCTGAAATCGAGGAAGATCTATCACAAGATGCTTTCGCATTCGCCCTAAAGGGCAGTAAGCACGCTTTGCAAAGTTTGGAATTTTGTAGAGAAGCCGCGACAAACCTACAAACGATATCTGACGACCTTTTGCATGACATGAATTCCTCTAGTCATCTGCGAAAATCTTATGCTGCCGCAAAAGTGGTAATGCAGAGAGGGAAAGTAGAAAGGCATATTGCCCGGCTACGAAACGCGATTCAATTGCTATCACTGTCCCAGCAGAGCTATACGAGGTTTGTAATATCTGATGTATTGCAATCCTCTTACCTGCTAATACAAGTAGAGCGCTTCTACGGGTTCAGCCTGATTTGATTGCCGAGAAACTAGCGCAAAACAACAAAACCACAGCAACATTCAAGCCGAAAACTTACGGTCATGGTGCGTTCCCATACGGGATGAACAAGAAAACTCAGTTTTAGCTGACACTACGAGCAACAGAGAGCCATTCAAAGAGCAAGCCACCTGATTCATTGAACGATACAACAGAAAGGGTGTCACGGGGCAAGATGTCTCACCACGCTCACGCATCCAAATATTTGTGGCGCCTCAGCTTACCATCCTGGCTGAGTTCAAAGGCTCTAGAAGTATACAGTGAGAGAGTTCAACAAGGCTGGCAATGGGTTTTTCGAACGTACAATGTGATCCCGTCAACATCGAAGGTAGTCTCATCGACGGTAGCTGGCAATATTGAAGATTTGCAAAACCTATTTGCCACGAAACAGGCCTCTCCTTTTGATCGAACAGATCGCTTCGGGTACACGCTCCTACACGTATGTAGAATTCCACATTCTACACTTGAAAGCCAAGAGTTACTAAATAGATTTTCAAGTACGCCATGCTCGGACCTAGGAAGGAGGAGGTTCTGAAATTTCTCCTCAATCAGGAAGTTGACTCTTCTATCGCAGGGGCCCATCCCAATCTCGAAACACCGCTCAATATGTTGGTATTCTGTGGGACCCTTGGACTTGGCAAGGGTCAGCCATTGCTTCCGTGTTTACGTCTTCTACTTCGCTATACGAAAGAAACCTCTTACGAAGACACACCAGAAGAAACGATAGGTGGAGATTTATCCCGGTTTCGTGGGTCAAGCGAGGAGTTCAGGTTTTTACAACAGCATTGCTGTCCTTCATATTACGAAATGCCCCAAGAAACAAGAATTGCAGTGGCTTCGAAGGCCGCATTTGGTGTTTGGGATGCCTATCATATGCCTAAATTGATCGAAACGATGCTTGGACCAACTCCTTTGTCAGCCAAAGATCTCCAAATCAAAGGGCCATGGCGTTTTGATTCAAAGAACACGACACTTGTACATTGTGTCGTGAGGAAGATTGGAGCAAGTCAGGCTGCTCTGCAAGGGTCTCATCCATGGAAAAGACAAGTTCGCCATCAAAGTCAGAGTTCCAGACTCTTTCTTTACCTCAATATGAGGGAAGGATACTATTATCTCTACAAATCGTAGAATAAACTGTTTATGGAGTTCTTGCAAGCTGGTGTGGATTTGAACCACGTTGTTGACCAACAGACCCCGTTGCTTGCATTCTTAGAGGGATATCTCGACTGGCTCGATGTGTCTAGATGTCAGATCTGGTCTCCAAGTGAGGCACTTCGAAAATGGTTAACAGATCTGAAATCTACTGGCATTGATTTACAGAGATTCGGGGAAATAGAGGACAGCATCTGGAAAAGGGAACTTATCCAGAGAAACTTTGGCTCGGGAGACGGAGAAAATCTTAGTTGCCATCGACTGATAGGATTCTCTTATGGCTCATGTGTTGACGACTGGACTGTGTGGCTATCCCCAAAATTGGATAGCTTTATAGGAGGTTTTTGGGGATTAGTAGAGCGACCTGCAGAGACGATGGCCGGTGGATGGCCCGGCGAATGAATGGCCCTAGCACCTTTTTGATTAATGACTTTTAATACAATCTATATTATAAATCCCGTCATTTTTACAGTTGCTCTAGGGCTATATTTCACCCTCCTTTCCATAAAGGTTTGAATATACAAGTTTATGATGAGCGCGCAGCATTTCTTCATCGCCGCCGAAAGCAGGCCAAAAACAATGCAGATATTTTCAGAAAAAAGACTCCCAAGCATAACCATCTCTTCCGAAGAGATATAGCGGAGATAAAATGGCCGAATATGTCTAAAGCACTGAGGCAAAGAGGGGGCGGGGAATGAGGAGCCAGGGAAGCTCCAAAAGCGAAAGATCGGAGACAGAGTCTCCGCCATGCTACCGCGCTTTTCGGTGATCTATCCGATCAAAGAGCTCTCCCAGGCAAGTGATTTAGCGCTGGACTATATTTTTATTCTTGAACTTTGCAACGTCAACATTCCCTAACAACTACCACAATGGGAGAATATCGGCCACCCGACACGTTTCAAATCGGCAGCAATAGACCAGGCCCTCATCCATCATCGACAGGCCGCCCCGTGGACCATCCGGAATGGCATCAAACAACGCCCAGCGGATATCAGGTGGGATCAAATCTGCTGGGTGAGCCCTGGAGTAACGATCAGCCTTTCAAAGTCATCGTGATGGGTGCTGGGGCTGCAGGGATTGATTTCCTCCACCATGCGCCTAAAGCTCTCGCCGGGCTCAACGTTCAGATCAAGTGCTTCGAGAAAAATGCCGACGTCGGTGGAACGTGGTACGAGAACCGATATCCCGGTTGTGCTTGCGATGGACCCTCTCCTAGCTACCAGTTCGCCTGGAGACCGAACCCCGACTGGTCGAAGTACTACTGTGGCTCGCCGGAGATTTGGCAGTATCTAAAAGGAATTGTCCTTGACGAAGGGCTAGATCAATATATCCAGCTGCAGACAAAAATCGTGAAGGCTTCCTGGGATGACACAAAGTCGAAGTGGATCCTCGTCGTCTCCAATGCCACGAAACAGTGGGAGGAGGAGTGTGATGTGTTCCTGAACGGCACTGGATTTCTCAAGTGAGTGCACTTTTGAAGAGGGTCTGAATCTAGTTACTAACGTTCTCAGTCATTGGAAATGGCCCAATATTGCTGGCATAGACACTTTCAAGGGCCGTCTGTTCCATACGGCGGCATACGAGGAAGGATATGATCTAAAAGGAAAGCGAGTTGCTGTTATCGGGAGTGGATCCTCGGGAGTCCAGGTTGTCGCATCGATATATCCTGAAGTATCAAAGCTTTACACTTGGGTGCGCAGTCCGACGTGGATCACCGCGGGCTTTGCACAGAAGTTCGCTGGCCCTGACGGAGCCAATTTAGAGTGTTGGTTTGTCCTGAAGATCTCATAAGTCAACCATAATTGCTGACCAAGAGATAGATTCTGAAGAACAAAAGGCAGAATGGCGCCGGCATCCTGAAAAATATCGCGAGTATCGCAAGGTCATCGAGGATGAGATCAACCTTCGCTTTAAGGGTGTATTGAGGAACACAGCTGAGTCCCATAATGGAAATGAGGTGAGGTTACATTGGACTCAATTTGATTTACATGCTTACAAGAATACAGTTCTCTTATAAAGAAATGTACCGCAAGCTGAATGGAGACCCCCGCCTGGTGGACAAGATCATTCCCAAAGACTTCAACGTGGGCTGTCGACGACCAACGCCGGGCAATGGCTACCTAGAGGCACTGGTCGGTGAGAAGACCACTACCTTTACGGAGACCATTTCTTGCATCACGCCGAAGGGTTTCAAGGACCATACCGGTCAAGAATACGAGTGTGATGTAATTATTTGTGCTACGGGTTTCGATACTTCTTTCCGACCTCGTTTCCCCGTTGTCGGTATTAACGGAGTGAGCCTTGCCGAGCGTTGGGAGAAAGTACCGGAGAGCTACATGGGTATTGCAGCGCCCAGCATGCCCAACTATTTCATGTTCACAGGGCCTTTCACTCCCGTGGCACAGGGAGCTATCCTGCCAATCCTCACCTCGATGAGTAATTACTTCTTGAAGGTTCGATGCCACTCTGATAATTTGTCAACTCGGGACATACAGGGCTTACTATTTGTTATTCTTAGGTCATCGAGAAGATGTACAAACAACATATTCGCCGGATGACGCCAAAGGAATCCGTTATTGAAGATTTTATGGACCATAGCCGTGCCTATCTTCAAAGGACGTGCTGGGCGGACCCGTGCAAGAGCTGGTTCAAGCAGGGCAAGGCTGACGGTCCAATTGTGATGTGGCCAGGATCTCGACTGTTGTTTTTCGAAGCTGTCAAGGACCCCCAGTGGGAAGATTACGAGATTGAATATCGGTCAGGCAATCGCTTCGGGTTTTTTGGCAGTGGATTTGTGCCGTATGAGTTTGGAGCCGCGGGAGAGAGCTCTCCATATCTCAATGGTGACTTTGTGCATGCTCTCCCTAGGAAAGAGGTCGAAGAAAGAATTGCGAAGAGCAGGGCCGGTCAGTGAACATGCAGAGGTAAACGATCTTCCTTAATGGGGTTGATGTCTCTCCTGTTGTTTTTGATTTGAATGAAATATAGCAAACACATTTAAATAAACAAAGATTTTGAAGCATCAAGCTCTTTAGGGTTCCTGTAGGCACATGTATTGATGCCTGGGTGCCTGAATGGGCTCCTTCCTTTGTAGACTATAAAAAACCCTCAACTCTTCCCTCTGCTTGCCTTTTCCTTATTCCTTCTTCCATCATCCTCCATAATCTCCACTCCACCCAAACTTTCTCTTTCAATAACAATTTGAAAAGGTCGGCGATGAACAGCGCGTTCAGGTTGGGCTCTATTCATGTCCACGTGGACGAAGCTATGATGGTGGCATATGGGCAACTGTCGCGTGAGTACCATGCCCCATGTCAAAGTTGGCCAACATCACGATACTGAACGGCATATTCCAGGCAACCACAGCGTCTTGAGGATCAACAAATCCTTTCTTGTGTTCGTGCCTTCGCAGTTCGTGGGTTTTATATCCACATTCTACAAGTTATATAAAAGCCAAAATATAGCTCTTCTCGATTGGACAGAGCCCAGAAGGGGGATCAGGGTGACAGGTACTGCCATATCCATGGCCCTTGGCGTGAACTCAGGCTAAGAAAATGACAGATCTATGCCCGCTGACAGGCAATCGAATCCGTTTATCAACCATGCCGCATCTCTACTACAAGAAAAAGCGACCGCGACAACCTGTCTCACGCTCTGTCTACGATTGTTTGGCTCCCTAGTGTTCTCAGTCGGAATGGAGCTGTCGATGGATGAGGACGCTGCCTATGCCGGCTGCAGCGTTAACATCGTCAAGCGCATGAAGCAACACAGGAGAGAGAACAGGAAGATTGAGCCCATCAAGAACCTCGTTTATTCGCACCTCCGAGAGCAGGAATTGACGTGCAAGGAGAGAATCCCAGCCTTGCTCGCGTTTCCTCTGGCAAAGCGGATGCATCTCGAACTCGTTGAGGGCATCTTTACTATATGGCTAGACACCCTAAACAAGCCAGAGAAGGACTACCGGATAGTGGCCTTGGCTAACTCTAAGCTCGCGCGGAGCATCCGCAAGGGGCCTAACCGTGCTGAGGTCAATAATCTGGCTTACCCACCGCGTTCTACCTCTTAAGTCTGCTGGGCCACCCCGGACCTGCGCCAAACCTCACTGCTACGCTAAGGAGGGCGAGGTTCCGGGACCCTTTGGCCGTGGAAAACTTGACTGGAGAGCGCAGAAAATCAGACTGTACCAAATCCTTTCCCATAGGTCATGCGAATGCCTATCCCACAGCCCATGCTCTTGCGGCAGAGCCGATTGGTCCTAGGTCGTCTCCAGGCAATTGTCTCCGGTTCCCCGTTCGGTGCTAGATACACCCGTGCGGACAACGCCTGTCTCTTCGGCATGCGGCGGCAAGCCAGCGTGCCCGCGAATTTACCAATCTCCGGCGGCGCGTACAGGAATCTTTCACAACCTGACAGATCTCCACGCGGGTCTTTGAGAGATTCATCAGGTCTTCGCACGGGAAGAATACGGCCGGCGCGGTTTGGAGAAAAGGCAGTTCAAGTCCTATACATCATTGTCCACATCCCATCTGCGAGTGGTGCGTCACCTGGTCCAGATTTGGGATAGGCATAGAGATTTCTAGGGACAGAACTAGATAGAATACAGCCAGCTCTATGTATATCATAATCTCTCCCTACCTTCAATCTCCATCTTGAACTTACGGACACCTACACATTATATAAACGAGAGCTAAAGTGGAAAAGAAAGGCCATGCTTGTATATTTGCGGGAAACCTCTGCGACGAAAACAAAAGGAACTAACTCATGACGCCTCACCAATAAGCGCTTCTGAACACCGAATGAGAGAGAAAAACAGATCATAGGGCACGGAATCCGAATCCACCAAGCAAGGCCAAGTGTTGGCGGTGGTGGATCAATGCAGAGAACAAATGTGTAAGACGAGGAAACAAACCAAAACAAGGCTAGGCACCCTCGCTGCCGAACTCCTCGGTCCATTCGGCGTTCCGCTTGAGATCGTCCTGGCTGACGGTGGGTCTGGAATTCGCGACCGCCTTGAGGAAATCCTTCAGGACGAGTGGTGGCTCGAGGAGCTGTTCTGCTTCGATGCTGAGCCAGGTCATCTCCACTGCGCCGGCGTCTCCTGGGGAGCATGGGGTGAATTTTTCTGCGCCCTCGTGGGTTACCTGTTTTTGTTTTTTCTTTAGTGGAAGGCATCTTTTTTGAAAGAGGAGCTGCGATACAAACCTTCTTATAGTGTGTCGCAGTTTGAATTTTGCGAATGGGCTGCATCAGAGCATCTTGCACGGCAATGCTGATATCGCTACCGGAGTAGCCATCGCTCATCTCCGCCAACTTCCGATAATCCGCCTGGGTCAGCTCGCACGGCGTGGAGCCCACGGCCAGCATGAACATCTTCATCCGTGCGTTGAGATCTGGCAGACTGATGTGCACTCGGCGTTGGAAACGCCGCCGAATGGCGGCGTCGAGTTGCCAGGGGATATTGGTTGCGCCCAAGATCAAAACGCCCTTGGAGTCTTTGCCGACACCGTCCATCTGCACAAGCAGTTCGGTTTTGATCCGTCGGGACGCCTCGGATTCTCCTTCGCCACGCGGGCCGCACAGAGCGTCGACTTCATCAATAAAGATGATCGCCGGCTTGTTTTCACGTGCCATATTGAAAAGTTGCTTAACCAGTCTTTGGTAGCGTTAGTAGCTTGATCCCCAGAAAGCATAATTGTCCGTACCTCTCACTTTCTCCCATCCACTTCGATACCAGGTCACTGGAGCTGACGCTAAAGAATGTGCTGTTGGCCTCCGTCGCAACGGCCTTGGCGAGGTACGATTTACCCGTACCGGGAGGGCCGTAGAGCAAGATGCCCTTCCAGGGCTGGCGCTTGCCCGTAAACAGATGTGGAAACTTTATAGGAAGAATGACCGCCTCTTTCAAGGCCTCCTTCGCGCCCTCTAAGCCCGCAACATCCTCCCACTTGATATTCGGCTTGTCAGACAAGATCGCGCCCTGGAGAGCAGACCGGAGCTTTTTCGCATCGGCATCTTCACTGTCGTCTTCCTTGCTGCAAGACTGCCGTTAGTACTGATATGTCCTTCAAAGATGGGCGGGTGTGCGTACTCTCCCTTCCCACTGCCCTGCGCAACACTGCCATTCGTACCCAACGCGCTAGGTTTCTTGCGATTATCCGCAGAGGCGAGGTGGTTCTTCAGCTTCTCGGCGCGGTCCATGTACTCGCCAGTCTTTGCGCGGATCATCTCCTTGGACCGCGGGTTCTTCTCCCATTTCAGGGCCAGCATGAACAACTCCAGCGCGGAGTAGTACTGCTGGTAGGCCTTCTCGTACTCGCCCTCATTGTCGTTCTCGATCGCCTTTTTGACTGTGTCGATTGCCCGCCCTAGGAAATCCGTATTGTTACTCATGGCTGGATGGTGGTGGTGGCGACGCGAGACAGAAAGCGGGGGAGGGAATCGAAGGGTTGGAGGGGTGTTGTCGCGTGTGGGTGATGGTGGGGGAGGAGGAGGACGAGAGGCGAGGGCGTAGGCAGCAATAGAGCAAAAGAGAGAGGTGGCGTATGAGTAAGGAAGTAAGTGAGTGAGGAAGTATGGATGGATGAGCGTGGGGAAGAAACAGAAGAAAACCAGTCAGTGATTTGGCGCGGGCGGGCAGACCAAGCAAGCCAGTGTCGTCAACGGGATCGCCGCTTTTCCCTCCTCCCACCACCATTTACCCGCCAGGCACCATGGACGCCCAGAAACAGCTGCAGGCCCTGTCCGACGAATTCCAGCAGCTGCAGACGGGTATGTATTTTTCTATTGAATGATTGTCATGATCATCACGCTGACACGCAGTCCTCAGAACTCGAGGGCCTGGTCGACGCCCGCCAGAAGCTCGAATCGCAGCAGCAGGAGAACCAGGGCGTGCAGAGCGAATTCGCCCAGCTGGACGATGAATCCAGCGTCTACAAACTTGTTGGTCCCGTGTTATTGAAACAAGACAAGAACGAGGCTGTCATGGCTGTCAATGGGCGGTTGGAGTTTATTGAGAAGGAAATGTTGGTGCTAGCAAGCATTCTCCCGCTGGATGATCGCGCTAACCGGTTGCTCCCTATACAGCAAGCGCATTGAGGGACAAATCGAAGAGGTTGAGGAGAAGAGTGAGAAGAAGCGCTCTGAGGTAAATTTGCGTTCGCCGTCCACTGCCACAGGCACCACGCTGACTGACGGCTTCTTCAGGTCATCCAATTGCAAAGTCAGGCCCAACAGCAGGCTGCGAGTGCTCCTGCGTAGGCTCGTCCCGGATGAAGAATGGGTTGAGGAACTACCAAAAACAGAAATATACCCTGGAAAGATGTGACGCAGAACATTTCATTACTAGTCCATCCCACTATCAACAGTTCAATTTTCATTGATTCATAACCAAAAACATAATGCACCTCTATCTATCTATGACTTGACCAGCAGACTGCGGCCGGACATCTCCGCGGGCTGCTCAATGCCCATGGCAGCCAGGACGGTGGGTGCGACATCACCCAACACGGCCTCCTCGCCCTGCTTGAGGCTCCAGCCTGCCGGGGCATTGGCCATGATGAAGGGGACCTTGTTGACGGTGTGGGAGGTCTTGGGGGTGCCCTTCTCGTTGAGCATCTCCTCAGCATTGCTATAGGCCAATTAGCGACTTCCTTATAACTTCTGCGGACGTACATACCCATGGTCAGCGGTGATCATCAGGACATAGCCGTTCTTCTTGCAGGCCTCGTAGATCTCGCCAATGGCCTTATCGGTGGCAGCAACACCCTCAATGGCGGCCTCGTACACGCCAGTGTGGCCCACCATGTCGGGAGGAGCGAAGTTGTTCATGATAAACTCGAACTTGCCCTCGCCAATGCGGGCAGCCATCTTCTGACCCACTTCGGCGGCACTCATCTTGGGGTCCAGGTCATAAGTAGCCACCTTCGGCGAGGGGATCATGTCGCGGACCTCGCCGGGGAACTGCTTCTCGATACCGCCGTTGAAGAAGAAAGTGACGTGTGCGTACTTCTCCGTCTCGGCGACGTGGCACTGCTGCACTTTCTGCTTGCTGAGCCACTCACCTAGCACGTTACCCATGTGCTGCGGCGGGAAGGCAACAGGGAAGGTGTAGTCGGTCTTGTACTGGGTCATGGTGGTGATGGAGATGTCCTTGGGGTAAGGGAAATCGGGGCGAGGAGAGCGGTCATAGTCACCCAGCAACTGCGTGATCTCACGGACTCGGTCAGAGCGGTAGTTGAAGAAGAAGAGAGTGTCGCCATCTAGGATATAATTAGTAAAAGTCTCTAGAAAGAAAAGAAGGTATCATACCCTGCACGCGGCGCTCCTTGCCACCAACTATGATGGGCTTCATGAACTCGTCGTTCTCGCTCTTCTCATAACGTGCCTTCATAGTCTGCACGACATCCGAGCTGTCCTCGCCTTCGCCAGTGACCAGGCCCTTCATGCCAATCTCAACACGCTCCCAGCGCTTGTCGCGGTCCATGATGTAGTAGCGGCCGACCACGGTAGCGATCTCACCAACACCAAGCTCCTTGGTCTTCTCCAGCAGCTGCTGCATGAACCCAACAGCACTCTTGGGGTCTGTGTCACGGCCATCGCAGAAGAAGTGGATGAAGACCTGGGGAATCTGCATCTCCTTGGCAACCTGGAGCAAGCCGAACAGATGAGTGATGTTGGAGTGGACACCACCGTCCGAGACCAATCCCAGCAGGTGCAGACGGCCATTGCCCTCCTTCGCACGAGTGAAGGACTTGACGATGTTGTCCACCTTGCCCATCTCACCATTCTTAAGCGTCTGGTCGATGCGCACGCTGTCCTGCCAGACCACGCGGCCGGCGCCAATGTTCAGATGGCCGACCTCACTGTTGCCCATCAGGCCCTCGGGCAGACCGACAGCGAGCGACGAGGCTTCCAGCTCGGTGTAGCCCTGGGCGGTCTTGGAGTTGGGCTCGGCGAAGCCGGACATGTAGGGCGTCTCGGCGGCGGCAATGGCGTCGCCATTGGCCGGAGAGTTAGGGCCGGCGACACCCCAGCCATCGATGACAACTGCAAGTTTGCATTAGCGTGATGGGTGTGAGGACCTGGGGAGCAAAGCAGATCATACTCAAAACGACTTTCTGGTCGACCTGGGCCATAGTGGGGGTGTGTTTTGTGTCTGGAAGAGAATCAATTGGTGTGAAAATGAATCAATCGAGCGCGATTCACTTACCTATTGACGACGATAAAACAGGGGGGAGGAGAGGATGACTAGAAAGAAAGAAAGCCCGGTGAAGGAATCAGTAATTACTAGTTGGAGGGGCAGAAGAGAGTTGCCGGTGAACTTTTGGGTTGGGCGACCGACGTCACTGCCGCTTCCGGTTCTTTCCTTCCACATCACCTCCTTTCCTCGGCTTGCCCCGACACTCAATGGCCTCCAGAACTCCTCTCACGGGCACTCCACGCCTCAAATCCTCGGTCGCCCCGGAGACTCCCATCAAGGACGCGACTGAGTCCACCGCGCCGCAAACAGTGCCGTTCCCGCCCCCGCAGACCTTTGAGATCATTCCACCTTTACACGGGATCCTGCTTCGCCTGCTCTCCCAGAAGAACACAGCAAGTGAACAAGGAAATACAACAGCACCTGCAGGAAATGAGTCCACGCAGCCACAATCCCAGCAGCCGTTAGACCCTAAGAACGGGACCGGGCCATCTTCCCTCGACCTCACGAATCTCGAACCGAACGCTCATCCACCTCTCGACGTCAAGGACCTTCCTACAGAGACCAGTTCCGTCAAGATTCGGTTACAAAAGGCGCGCACGGTGGTGGAGGGACTGCCAGACGTGGATCGATCTGTTGCGGAGCAGCAACAAGAGATTGAAGAGTTGGAGGACCATGTGGCCCGGCTGCGCTCTGTGATTTCCGACTTTGGGAGTCGGGCAGGAATGAAGGAAAGGGTCAAGATGGAATCCTAAGATTTGATGTTTGGTTTTCTTTTCGCAGTTTAATACCCCTTGTCATAGCGAGCATTGCAGCTGGGAACCACGGCGTTAATCATGAGGCGTTAATCATGAGGCGTCAATCATAATTAGGGAGGCAATCAATAAATTCTAGTCTTTTAATTCACGCAATAAAACATTCCATCTATAGTTAAAACAGAAGTGAAAACAATAATATTTGTCGATACCCAATCCACTCCTTCCGATGTCGCAATCCAATACGCCGGGCCGTCCTGCCTCAGGCATTCATCCCCCACCATCGTTTCCGGTCCAGCTTTTTTTTCTTCTTCCCACCTTACCTCTACCTCCCATCTTCTGCTTTCTTCCCTCTTTTCAGAAATCAGATCCTCTCGCTGTCATGGCCACTTACGCTCTGTCCGATGCCCACCGGGCTGTGAGTATCCTCCCCATTCAATGCCTCGATCTACATCATTGACTCATGGACTACAGCAAATGCACGATGGCCTCAAGGAGTCCGACCCCGAGATTTCCGCCATTATGGTAGGTCTTACCGATTGCTTATTATTAATCAGTGCTAATCAGTGCTCTACAGGAACTTGAGATCAAGCGCCAGCGGGAATCCGTCGTCCTGATCGCCTCGGAGAACTTCACCTCCCACGCCGTCTTCGAGGCTCTGGGCACTCCCATGTCCAACAAGTACTCCGAGGGCTACCCCGGTGCTCGCTACTACGGTGGTAACCAGCACATCGATGCCATTGAGATCACCTGCCAGCAGCGTGCCCTCAAGGCCTTCAACCTTGACCCCGCCAAGTGGGGGGTTAACGTCCAGTGCCTCAGTGGCAGCCCTGCCAACCTGCAGGTCTACCAGGCTCTCATGCGCCCGCACGAGCGTCTGATGGGCTTGGATCTCCCCCACGGTGGCCATCTGAGCCACGGCTACCAGACCGCCACCCGCAAGATCTCCGCCGTCTCGACCTACTTCGAGACCTTCCCTTACCGTGTCAACCTGGAGACCGGTATCATCGACTACGACCAGCTGGAGACCAACGCTGAGATGTACCGCCCCAAGTGCCTGGTTGCCGGTACCTCTGCCTACTGCCGTCTGATTGACTACAAGCGCATGCGCCAGATCGCGGACAAGGTCGGCGCCTACCTCATCGTCGACATGGCCCACATCTCCGGCCTGATCTCCGCTGGCGTCATCCCCTCGCCTTTCGAGTACGCCGATGTGGTCACCACCACCACCCACAAGTCTCTCCGTGGCCCCCGTGGTGCCATGATCTTCTTCCGCAAGGGTGTCCGCAGCACCGACAAGACCGGCAAGGAAATCATGTACGACCTGGAGGGTCCCATCAACTTCTCCGTCTTCCCCGGCCACCAGGGTGGCCCTCACAACCACACCATCACCGCTCTGGCCGTGGCTCTTAAGCAGGCCGACACGCCCGAGTTCCGCCAGTACCAGGAGCAGGTGATCAAGAACGCCAAGGCTCTGGAGAACGAGTTCAAGGCGCTCGGCCACAAGCTGGTGTCGGACGGCACTGACAGCCACATGGTCCTGCTGGACCTGCGCCCCAAGGCCCTGGACGGTGCCCGTGTCGAGGCTGTCCTGGAGCAGATGAACATCGCCTGCAACAAGAACTCCATCCCCGGTGACAAGTCCGCTCTGACCCCCTGCGGTATCCGCATTGGTGCCCCCGCCATGAGCACCCGTGGTATGGGCGAGGAAGACTTCAAGCGCATTGCCCGCTACATCGACCAGTCGATCAACATTTGCAAGGCCGTGCAGGCCGAGCTCCCCAAGGATGCCAACCGTCTCAAGGACTTCAAGGCCAAGGTCGCCTCCGAGACCGTGCCGGAGATCCTGGCCCTCCGCCAGGAGATTGCCCAGTGGGCCAGCACTTTCCCTCTGCCCGTTTAAGGGATGAGAAGGGATGACAAAAAGTTTCAACATCATTGCGTACAGATTACAAGAGTGCGTTACACGGGGTTTTATACAGGTCTGCTTCTTCAACCTTATGCGGGACATCTGGGATATGGGATACGGGATAATTTGATTGATGGTTTTTACGATGAAAATAACTCAGCCGCGCTTCTTCAACAGCGACGGCGTCACGACTTCCAAGGGGAAAAGTTTCAACATCTGGCGCGGGTTGTTGTGCTTTTGTTTTGTGTTCTTTTATTGCATATAACTGTAGCTCAATCAACATCTGGAACTACGCATCTTTCTACATATCGCGATTGATCTATACTCGCCGTCACGTGTCTTGTCTTATCGATAGTAAGGAGGGGGCGACGCTCTTCCTCTTCTCCCTCTCTCTTTTACTCTCATTCACTTTCTCACTTCCCTCGTTCCAGTGCTGGTCTCATCGGATCACCTCGGACCTGTCTCCGAGTCCGTTCCGGCAGTGTCGCTCTTGATCTTCGCTCCCGTCTTTCTCGATAAGGGTTGAACGACGTCCTTGCTATCTTATCATCACTGCGGACGCTCGCGGAGAGAGATCATCTGCCGGTACTACTGTATCACTGGACTCGCGGCCGTTCCAGGGATCCCAGCAGCTGCCGCAAGAAACAGGAAAAACGAGAAATGGCAAATACAGCACAGTGCTACTACTGCTTCGAGGTTCTCTCCGCCTCCTTCGAGGGCCGCAAACCCGGCAGCCTGCTCGCTATAGAAGCCCTCTGGGAACAGCATGAGCAGGCTAAGAAACTCGCTGTTCTAAAGGCCGAAGAGCAGCAGCAGCAGACGCCCGTAATTGAAGAGGATGACGAGGATGACGGGGATGATGCTGATGACGGTGGCCCGGAGAGTCGGCCCAGGGTGCTCAAACTCCCCATTGTGAGTAGTCTGCGCAGCCAGATCCCATCCGACTCATCGTCCAGCGCTGCGACCACCCCGTCTATCACCTCCAACACCTCATCCGACAACTCCCTGCTATCAAACTCTACGAGCGTGACAACTCCTCTCTCCGTGGAGCGCCGATATCCGCTATTCGTAACGTGGAACACGCTCTCCACCCGGTATCCAGGACACAAGTCGCTGCGCGGCTGCATCGGGACATTCGAAGCGCAGGAGCTAGCAGCGGGGCTGAGATCTTACTCCCTAACCTCGTCGGTACTTCCTTTCCAATAGCTCTTTCCGGACCATGCAACTAACGGATACAGTGCATTCGATGACACCCGCTTCTCACCAATCACGCAATCCATCCTCCCCTCGCTATCATGCCACCTCACCCTTCTAGGCTCATTCGAGCCCTGCGCGCACGCAATGGACTGGACGCTCGGCACGCACGGGCTGCGCATCTCCTTCATCCACCGCGGCCGGCGCTACGGCGCGACTTATCTTCCCGATGTGCCCGTTGAGCAAGGGTGGACGAAGGAAGAGACAGTCGAGAGTCTGATGCGTAAAGCGGGCTGGGACGGCCCCAGCGCCGGCGGTGGCGGCGGTGGTAGTGTTGCGAGGCGACTGCTTCGTGGGACCACCGGGGCCGGCTCTACCAGTAGTGCTGCGAACAAGCCCTGGGATCAGGTCTCGGAGTTTCGGACGGTGAGGTATCAAGGCATGGGGGCTACTGCTGATTATGCGGAGTGGCAGGAGTGGAGAACGTGGGTGTCTTCCCTTGAGGGTGGGTTGGAGAGGTTGGAGATGGCTAGATGACGATGACCTGGTATGAATACTATAAATGAATCTAGGTACCATGCTTTGTGGATCCTAGGGAGGATCTTTTTCTCGGGGTTAGGGTTTAATGCGATTAATGGCGCAAATACAAGGATGCTCTTCACAAATCCCAGGCCCATCATGTACACCAATTCAAGTTTCGAAACGACCGCCAAAAAATATCATCAATCGAGTACCGAAGTATATATCGATCAGGCGACGTATAAGTAGTAAAAACAGCTCCAATGACTCAAAATCATCTCGCATTTGCACTCCGACTCCACAACCCAGCAACCATCTCCTTAACCCTCCGCTCCTGTTGCCGGATCTGCTCCTCCGTCTGCCCACGCGCATTGCCCCGACTATCAATCTGCATAGGACCGTCACTAGCAGCAGCACCACCCTGCTGCGGCCGCTGGAAATCATGATACTGCTCCTCATGAACCTGATCCCCACTAACACGCTCAGGCTTCGGATCAACACTCATAACACCGTCCATCATGAACCCGCCACCCTCGCGCAGCTTATTGATCGCACGCACGGTGTCGATGGCGCGGTGCAGCGTGCGCCGCGCGTTGAAGTTCTTCTTCACAGTCGGCAGAAGGTCCTCGCCTGAGCCGAGTTTCGTTGTGGCGTCATGCGGAGGGTACACCCATGCGTGCTGGAGCGCTTCGTGCGCCGTCATCCGTGCGGCAGGGTCGATTGTGAGACACCGCTTTATGAATGAGCGCGCTTCTTGTGACACTCCGCGCCAGTACTCCAGTGGTGTGAAGGAGTAGTCTGCTGCTAGGATGGCTTGCATCTCTTCGAGGTTTGAGTCTCGGTCGAAGGGCGTGTAGCCGCATAAGAGGAAGTATGTGATTACGCCGATGGCCCAAATGTCACTAGTACACACAATGGTTAGTCGTGAAAACCCAAGGGAGGATTGATGTCACACTATACTTACACCGGCTTCCCGTGCCCGCTCTTCTTGAAGATCTCCGGCGCCATGTACCCGGGCGTGCCGCAGGTAGTCGTGAGTACATGGAACTGCTCCTCGTCCATGATCCGCGACAGCCCGAAATCGGCAATCAGAAGGTCGGCGTTGTCTTCGGGCGTGCGAAAGAGCAGGTTCTCAGGCTTCAGGTCGCGGTGCACGATGCCGTGGTCGTGCAGGTATGCCACGGCCGAGAGCACAGCTCGGATCAGGTCCGCGGCGTCGGACTCGTAGTAGCTGCCCTTGCGGCAGATGCGGTCGAAGAGCTCGCCGCCTAGGGCGAGGTCGGTGACCAAGTACACTATATAGTTAAACACAATCGTCAGCTCTGTTCTGGTGGTGACAACCCCCAAATTAAAACAATCACGCACGGTTGTTCATGGTCTCGAAATAATCCACCAGCGTCAGGATATTCTGGTGGCCCATAGACACTTTCTTCAGCACGGCGATCTCATTCCGGACCTAGTAGGCGGCCGGACATAATTAGCACCCTCTCTGGCTGGGGTGGTCGTGTGCGCTGGGATATATCCGGCGCGTTCTCGTACCATGTGCTCCCGCCCGGCCATCAGCCGCTTGTTAATCACCTTGGCGGCATAGTAGCGCCCGGTATCGATATGCACACACTCCTTGACGACAGAGTAGGAGCCTGCGCCCAGTGTTTTCCCCGTCTTGTACCGGCACGGCTGGACCTTCGGCTTCTGGCCGCTCGGCGGTTGGGCTGCCATCGGGAGGGGTGCCGGAAGTGGGGAGGGAGGATCGAGAGATTCGCTAATCGGAGGGGGAGGGTTTGAATAGATGCGAGAAGCCGAATGCTTCGTGAATATTTACGGCGCAGTCGATAGTTATGTACCTGGTTGGTTGGAAGGGAAGGGAGTCGGGCCAGATCAGATTCAGGTCAGGTCCGATCGGTCGGTCAGGCCGCAGAGTTGTTTCGCCGCCGGAGAAGAGTCCACACAGCGTCTGTTTCAGCCCTGTTCCAGCTGCGCCCGGGCCAACCAGTGTAGTTGTGTGTTGCGACTGGAAAGAAATTCGCGCTCGGGGATTGTCGATCGTTCCAACGTTATTTATGGATCGCCCTTGATTGTGGCGAAGTAGGAAATTGGTTAGATGATACATTTCTCGTGCTTCTCAGGTTATATCCAGGACAAGGCAAAAACAACAAAAAACAAACGCCGTCCATGCAAACCAAAGAGAAAAATTACATCGCGGCCAGCACGTCCTCCACAATATTCTCCAGCAGCTGCAAGTGATGGAACTTGGCGACGCTCTCCAGCACTCGCAACTTCTTCTGGACCTCCTTGAGATCAACAGTCGCCGCCCACGCTCCGCTACACGAGCAATGCTCCATAAACTCACTGACCTTAAGTCCACTGCACTTGGAACATTTCAGGTCTTGCGTCTGCCATTCCACCACCAGACCATGCACTTGCCCGATGAGGATCTCCTCCTGCGCCAGGCGGTCGTACTCCGTCTGGCAGAAGGGACAGCGCCAGGGTTTGGGGGGCGCCTTGCTAGCATCCGCGCCGGAATCGGGTAGGACGTCTTCGTCGCGGCAGAGGTCGAGGTCGCGGATAAGGCAGCACGCATTGCAGGTGAGTTCGGGCAGCTTCAGGCTGGCGCTGGGGTTTTCGAAGCGGCCGGCCTTGCTGAACTCGCGGACCTCGAAAAGAGCTAGTAGCTCGCGCCGCAGGAGTCGTGATTCCAGGGTCGTAGTCTTCGAGAGACTCAACACCTGCATTAACAACTTTACCAGCTCTAGAGCCGGATTTTGTTTGTCCCCATTGGCCAAAACCCCAGGTAAAACGGGGAAGGCGTAGTCGGACGCCAACTCCGGGTGCAGCATTTCGTCACGTTGTCGACGGATCAGACCCGAGATCTGCTTCTTGAGGGGCTTGGAGAATTTGTCTGTGAGTACGGCGGTGATCTCGTCGCTGTCTGCGTCGCTGGGCCGTCCAATGGGGATCTGTGTCAGGCGCGGCGTAGACGAAACTTCGGTATCTGGATGCTTCATTGAGTGCATCAGGTCGATATACTCGACCACCCAGTCGTGGAAGATGGTCTGCATAGGGATGGGCAGGAACCGATTCAGCTGCCAATGCATGACGGTCTCGAGGTCTTGATGCTCAGCCTCGACCACTTCCCGGCATCCTTTGCCGCCGTAATTGTACTCGTCATACCACACCAGATAATCCCAATACTCTTTGATCTCGAGGTCGATGAAATGGAACGAAGCGTTAGCGCGGATCGACTTGAGCACGTACTGGCTGTAGGCGTAGGCGTTGCCGACCTCAGTCTTGGTCGTCTGCAGTAAAAGTCGCGTCGAGCTCGCAAAGATAACATGCGAACCAACGCGGCGGAATTCAGCCATGAGTCTCTGGAACGACTTGCGCGACAGCAGTCGCACGTAGTTGTGCAGAGACCGATCGTAAAGACAGCTCACGGGGCTCTCAACCCAGCGGATCAGGTGCTGCACCATGATATCCGCCATGCTGTTACCTGCACATGCTTCCGTCCACCAGTTCTTGACCATCTCGCGCAGAACAATGGCACCGGCGGAGGCAAAGGCCTTCTCTGAGTACAGCACGCCAGCTTCATCTTCGGCACCCCCAGCCAGAAGAGCATCGCTGCCTTCCATATCGTTGATGATAGAAGAAGTGAGAATCGTGTTGATGGCGAGGTTGCGGACCTCCAGCTCAATGCAGACCGTGGAATATGCGCTTGGCACGTTCACCGAGGGCATGTTGACTGTATCCAAACGACTGAGAATATCATCTTTTTCGTAACCTGCATGGTCTGGTCGCGGGCCGGGAGACCACCACAGAACGACATTGCTCTGTTGGAGACGCCTGGCGTACGAGATATCAATCAAAAACCGAGGATCATCACTCTCCAGGTTGCAAATAGGAACATCGCCGTATCGAGCAAGCAGGGTCAAGTGCTGGATCCAAGCCGATAGATACAAGTAGTGGGTAACAAGGCGCTTGGCGATGAACGACTGCCAACCAAGCGGAGGGAGTTCCATGTCTGACACCTCGGGCTTGACGGAGAGGACAGGATACTCCTTCAAGATTGGGATGTCGTGACATAAGCGATCCTTCTGTTGAGATTGAATGACAAGAACCGCGGGCTGGTTCTCATCATTCCGTAGTTTCCTGACCAAATCACCGACCTCCAGGTGAGCTTTTCTTCGTGTCATTACCTGAGTGGTCTTGAAATGAATTTTGTCCTGATACTCAAACGCATTCTGTGACTCCTCTGTTGGGTTCTGCATCTTGCGTGCAAGGAGCTCTAAGTAGATCTTGTCCACGTTCGGGAGGCCCTGCACGTCTCTGGTGCGGTTGAGCATGATAATATGGGCCTCGTTCTTGGTGGTCGAAAAAAGGGCAAAGACCTGCCTGTCTCCGGAGACGACATGATACAGATAATGGTATGCCAGCCCGGAGTCCATCAGGTAGGGCTCTTTTTGGGTTGTATGAAGCAGCGAAGAAAGATCAAAGCCTCGGTCCAGTCCTTCTCCAAGAACGCCGCGCTGCTCTTCGTCAAAGGTACAGACACTGCCCAATTTGAGCACTGCTCGGACGCTTAATGGGATATGGCGCTCGTAAACGCCCTCAACGCTAGAGTGCTGGAAGAGAGCATCGACCCTATCTCCTTCTTGAAGGAAAGTATCCTCCGACAGCGTGAGCTTGAAGAGATGAACGGAAGGATGTCCATTGGGCAGAATGTGATTGACTTTCTCGACCTCACAATCCGGTACATCCACATCGGGTAGCGACTCTCGTTTCAAGTTGACAAAAAACTGCCGCGGAACCTTGACATTCAAGGCGTGAATCTTCTGGTCGATCAAGATGAAAGCTCGCACGATTCCGGGTCTGCCTGTCTCACAAAGCTGCAAGACTTGCCACGTGCTGATGTACAGCATTTGGGCTTGATTGCGGAAGAAGCTGCTCAGCGAGTTGGACGCAACGTTGACACGTTCACCAAACAGTTGGCGACGACGCACTCGGGCCTGCTTCTGGATCTTCCATTTTTGCTTCTGATATTTCAGGAAACCCTCGTAATCCTCCGTGATCGAAGGCATGGTCGAAGGAAGACTGGCAAAGGGATCGAGTGATGTCTTTTGGATGCCCTCGGGGTGTTTTCTCTTCTGAGCAACCTTGTTATTGGGGGATTCCTGGGTCGACTTTGCAAGCGCCTCGTCCATGTTGTCGGGATGTTGAACACGATGATCAAGAATGTTCGTTGATATCGACGAGAGGGGCTTCTTTTCAAACAATTCAGTCATTTTCTTCTGCTTGAACTTGTCGTCCTTTATGTTGATCCGCCGCTGTAGCCAATCCGGATGAGCAACCCGAGGAACTGGGTTTCGAAGTTTCTGGAGCGCAGCTGGGATAGTGATGAGCTTCTGAACGACCGACCCCAAGCGCTCGAGGTAGTAGTCCCAGTCGATAACACTTCGAGGGTCCATATCGCCAGGGTCTTCCTTCAGCCATTTTCGCAGGAAGAACCGCTTGACATTCTCCTCTGCCGAAAAGATAGTCACGGGAATGGCCCGCTCCGTAACGGGCGTGTTTCGTGGCCTTGAAGAGATAATGTATTTGCAGTTGAGGCCCTTGTCTTTGACCATCTGCTCACCCAAGAATTCTGCCAGACGCCTTGCGGTTGTGATGGACGTTGATTTTTGGTTTCCATATTCTTCGAGTGTCTTGGACATGCTGCGGTTTTCTGAAATCAGGTCGATCAGCTCCTCGTCAGCCAGGGTCGACCCATGTTCATAGAGGACGTCCAGCCATCGGTCCGCGACTCGAGCCACTGCAGCATACGTCTCCGCAAGGTTGGAACCTTCCAAGAAGAATTTGAAAATCTGGGTCTGGAAGATCTTGATCAATTTCAGTTCTCCTCTTCGTTTGACCTCGAACCCCTTCAGTTCAGCCAGGGAACCGTCATGATTGAAGACTGCATATCGCTTTTTCAAATTCTTGTCTTCTTCCTTGGAAGTTGGCAGGATCATTGCCCGGTATGGGCCATCAACTTCGAAAAAGATCGAGTTCTCGCTGTAGGTCTCGTACTTGTACTTGGCCGGGTCGACAAGTGCCTGGTACTGGTGGTTCGTATACCTTGCATGGACGAGATGATTGAGCATGACACAAGGATAGGAGATGCCCAGCTTCTTTCCATTTTTCAAAGTGAACGAAAAGTTCTCTGGGAATGTGCCGGGAAGCATGCACCAAATACCATCGGTATCCAGCTCCAAGGGTCGACCCAGACGCTCGACAAGCTCTCGGGCCATCTGGATGATGTGAGCACCTGTCAGACAGGTAACACCCGCCATTTCCATCGAATACCATCGAGAGCCCTTGCGCATGACGTAACCATAGAAACTGTTGAGAATGACCTTGTGTGCAAGCTGCAGTGAGTCGAACAGGATGATCATCTTCTTAGCTTCGTCGACCTCAGCCGCTGAAGCTCCCGAAGACTGCAAAGAATCGGCCTTGTTCTTCCAGACTTTTTGCTTGCCCTTGAAATCGTAACGTCGATCACGAAAACTGCGGACAGTGTCGACATAGAACGGATTCTCTCTCTGGCAAATGACTGCCTCCCGGACCATCGTCTTGCTGTCGTGGATCTTGTGGTAGATCTTCTTGCTGTAATCCTGCAGCCGCTTCTTGACCACACCGGCCTGTTCTTCGACGCTCAAGTCCCCGAATGACCTCATCGGACTATTGGGGTATCTGCCGGAGAATCGCTCGTTCCCAATGGCACGTCGGATCATGTTGTATTCGTCACGTTTCGCTGGCAGGAATTCACCTCGCCAGGCCCACGGCATTCTTCGGTCACAAGTCTTCCCCGGTCGGTTGAAATCGCAGGCGGCACAGTCCGACTCCTCGATCATAGAGTCGGGCTGCAGACGATTGGTGATCATGATGTTGGGGTACATGGAAGCGACGTCCAGGTGGTAGATGAAGGGAACCTCATCTCGGTTCGGGTTGTCTTTCAAGTCCTGCAACAGTGCGGCGATCTGTCCTCGGACCTCGTCGTAGTTCACAACATCCTCCAAAGACTTCTTCTCTTCGACCTCGATGCTGAATTTCAGAGCGTGATCCAGATCCTTGAGAAGCTCGTCAACCGCTGCAGGGTCAATGTTGAACGTAACAGGAATATCGCTCCGGAAAACACCAGCTTCAATACTCTCCACGTGGCCACCAACGTAAGTCTCCGACTCGAGAAGATGGCCGTCGTAGAATGCTTCGGGAGGATCTTTGTGCTTGTTGGGCAGTATGATCTCGTTTTGGTATGCTTGCACCATGAGCAGCATTTCGCAAAGTGTTCCCGTTCCTTTGCGCAGAGTGTCATCGGGGTTGAGAGGAATAATCGTGCAAAGCGAAAAGATGAACGGGTGGACATATTTCATGTAAAGGTAGTAGGTGGCCACGGCGTCGGAAACGGAGTATTCGGCCAGAGTCTGGGGACGCTCGCTTGCATAAGGTGTCATCAACTCCGGGTCAAGTTCATCGGGGTCGTAGCCCAGTTTGGCGACAGTCACGGCTTTTAAACCTCGACTTCCCTGGGGCAGGTAACTATCGCGGTTGACCCACGCAAAGCAATCCATGTGAACGCAATGGTTACTTTGGTAGATGTCCTCGCTATTCTTCCGGAAGCCGATCTCCGTGTACATGTCGATTCCTTGAACACTTGCTCTGGCCTCCACGAATGGCCAATCGAAGAAATCTCCGTTGTATGTAGCGATCACGGTAGGTTTGGCGATCTTGATGTGCTCGAAAAACCGTTCCAGAACAGCTCTCTCGTTGGGCTCATTGAAGATCACAAAGGGCCCGCTGTATTCAGGCTTCGGAGTATACTCGAAATCATTGATATCCTCGGACACGATCTCACGGTTGGTGATCAAGAACCCTTGTCCGTCTATCATATACGAGATCATCATGATCTGGTCAATCACGGCGTCGGGAAACTTCAGTGGGAGTTTCGTGGTTTCGATATCATAGGCAAGGACCACGGGATCGGCACGCTGAAGTCGGTCTTCCAAGCAGGTCAAGGAGATGGTGCCATGCTTTGCTTCCACATTATACCACTTTCCGATGCGAATGTCTGCGGTCTGTATAAGTCACAATCTTCCAAGTGCGAAAAAGGACACATACCCTTGTCGATCGACACTCGAACGTGGTACGGAACATCATATTCTCGGATATCAACAATAAAATCACTCGCTTGCATGTTGCCATTAGGTCGTTGCTCATTAATTATTTCGTCATCAAAAAGGTCGAAGCCAGCCGTCGTGCTGTCCAATGGTCAGCTCAGCCCATTGATGGAATGACACCAAAGACACAAACCTGGTAACCTCGACATAGGTGTCCATGACACTCGCGTTTTTCTTGTTCTTCTCTGCCAAGGGAAGCAGCGTCCTGCGGACATCAAGCAAGTCGGGAACATTCGCAAAGTTCAACTGGATGAACGTCCTTCGGTGTCCGAGGAGATGGTTCGGCAATTTCAGGTCTTCCTTCTCGAGTCGTTTGAACTTCTTGATCAATCCCTCAAACGACCGTCGACACCACTCCTCCACCTCCATCTCGTGGCCCTTCTTGACGGCGATGAGGAAGTAAGGATCGTATTCCACCGTCGCCTTGAAACTCCCCCCATCGTCCTGCAGAAAATAGTAATCCACGCCGGCACGGCCTCCTGGCACATTGGAATCTTCTATCGTGGTGCTATGCATGTTGATAAGCCATCCGGCCCTCGTCTCGCCGGACTCGAAACGGGGAAAGCCGAGGGCCTCATCGATGCTGTTGCCCAGGCGAAGGGCCTCCAGCTTTTCATCTTGCGAGGTTGCTTCCGTAGACCGCAGGGAGGAGAATTCGACGGTTTTCGTTCGGCGCGGCTTCGAGGATGAAGCATTGGACCGGAACTTGCTGTTGTTGCCATACTTGCTTGGTTTCCGGGAAGGCATTGTGGCGCTGTCGCCCAGCCGGGCTTCTCACTGTATCCAATGAGTGGGCAGCGAGCAGAGCATAAACAGCAGGCGCAACTCAAAGAGTTGGGGAGGTAATAGTTATGCCGGTGGAGTCTGCCTGTCTGTCGCCATTCTTCTCTTTCCACAACGCGACCGCGTCTCACGCGACAATGACTAAGCCTCTCCGGAATAACCTGCCGTTTACGTCCAGAGCGGATTTATTTTCTCCGGAGGTCGCGGATGTTGATCTCGAATTTATGACAGTGACTGATTATTGCCCAATCCGCCACACAATTCACAGCATGGCCGAGGATTCACAAGACCCTGGCCACCGCCAGTCCAATTCCTCGACCGATCCCAAAAAACCAACCCACGACCTCTCCCAATCGCAAGTCGGCAAGCTGTGGGACGCATTCGGCAACCCCGAAGAACCCGTGAACGTGCTCGCAAACGCAAAGTACAAGCCCCCGGGCAAGAGCGCCAAAGATGCGAACTACTCCGAACTCGTTGGCAACATATCCCTGCACGAGCTCTCCAATATCCACAAAACCCCGTGTGCACGGGACTCTTTAATGACGGGGATCGGGGCCGGGTTTGGAATTGGCGGGGTGCGAGCTATCTTTGGAGGTAAGGAATAAATGCTATGGGCATACAGATGGAGATGAATATAAATTAATGGATGGAATCTAGGGCTCCCCTCCTTATGGTCGGCCGGAAACTGGGCCGTCGGCGTGTTCGCCATCACCTCCCTGGCAGCGTATGAGTTCTGTCGCAAGCGCCAACGCGACGAGCTGACCGGCATGAAACAAGCGGTTGAAATGATGCAGGAGTTGAAAATCAAGCAGCAAAAGGACAAGGAGAAAGCGGCAGCGGCAGTTGCTGCTCGTGCGGCGGAAGAAAAAAGGCAGAAGAGCTGGACGAACGTGTCCAACTACAAATTCTGGTAACGATTCCTCATTTCTTACTGGGAGTCCCGGAGTTTTTTGTTTTTTTATATCCTGAAGTTGTATATTCCGACTCCTGTACTAGGAGGAGATAAAGTGATCTCATGTATCATAGCTGTTCCCCCGAATATTCATGGTCATTCAAATCCCATATCATGCACCGAGACACCTGTCCAGAAAGAAAATAAAAACGCCGAAAAGACTAGATCCCGTCAGCGGCATTTGGGGCCGGCTTAAACATCGAATTTGACCCGCTTCTGGATCGCGCCTTCATGTATGCTGCGCAAGCTATCCCGCTCGGCGTCTTCATGTCGTCTTTGCCGTCGCTTCTCACGGGCCTCCCGTGCTTCGCGACTCTTCCACTGGGCGACCTGCTGCTGTCGCCTCTGCGACCTTGCCCAGGCGATCGCCGCAGTAGGCTTGAAGCCAATCCCGTTGATCCCATAGCCGTCATCGCTGGGATCAGATGGGCTGTGGCCTGTGATCTCCGAGTCATGCCAGACCAGCGGATTCTCTGGTATATGGTCTGCAAGAGGTGGTGATAGCCGCTGTTTGCGGGCTTTGGAGGGTGAGGAAGCGGGACTCTGCTGCTTGCGAGACGACGGCACGGCCTGCTTTCTTGGAGGTGAAATCGCCGCTGACCCGTCATCCTGTTCCGTCTGAGCGGCGACGGCTGGTAAAATGTCAGGCTTGGGTTTCGGGTTGTGCTGGCCGTCCGGCAGGCATGGTCCCGAAACTGGAGGCGTGGTCGGGCGTATGTGGGGGTCCGAGGAACGTTCGCCGTGAATAGCTAATTCTCCAAATCGCCCGGCCACGGCGGCGCGCGGACTGTTTCGGCCCAGATCCTCCTCCTCGCGAAGCCGGGCCTCCTGGTAACTGGTGACGGACACTGTCGATGTAGGAGAGGCGGCGGGGCTGCTATAGTAGTCTGACTCGGAGGGCTCGCGTTTGCGCTTGGGCGAAACAACCGCCTTGTGCATCATCGCGGGGCCTGACGGTGATCAAAGAATGTGGGCGTCACGACGGATCAGCCCAACGTCAGGGAACAGTCAGGCCATTGACCGTCAGTTCATGCATCCATAACTATCTCGGAGGCTCGAGCGGCGATCAATCAGAGTGTCGGAGGAGGGGGAAAGAGATGATCGGCGGTGTGTGGGCATAAGCCAGCCAGCCAGCCAGCCAGCCAGCCCTCTTACTCTACTGTACGGGTACAATAATGTTTAACACCAGATGAGCTGAAATATGAATGATAGCAACGATCAAATAAGAAAATGAAATGGCCTGAAATCAATAATTTACACCCAAGCCAACAAACCCAACGCCGTACGAAGACTCCCGGTACCAAGCATTTTTATGCCTTCTTCTTCTTCTTCGAGGGCTCTGCGTCGGTGTCGTGCTTGCGCTTCTTCTTCTCAGACTCCCCAGCGTCGGACTTGCGCTTCTTCTTCTTTTCGCTCTTCTCCTCCTTCTTCTCTTTCTTGTCCTTCTTCTCCTTCTTCTCCTTCTTGGGCTCAGCGACGTCCTCCATCTCAGCGTCGCTGCCGTCCACATCAACGTTGATGTCAGCGAGCACGGCGTCCATGGCGGATTTCTGCCATTCAATTAGCGGGGGCGTCGGTGATGGGTTTAATATGACATACCATAGCGGTCTCATTCTTAGTAGGGGCAGCGCCAGAAACGTAGAACTCCAAACGCTCCTCAACCTGCTGCTTCAGGGCCTCGCCAAACTTGGTTGATGGCGCCTCGGAGAAGTTGTCAATACGGGAGGCAATGGAGCACTTGTTGGCGAGGAAACGCGAGATTCTGCCCTTGTTCTTGGGACCAGCGCGGCCAATGAAGGACGAGTGGTACAGCAGACCATACTTGGGAGTATTGCCCTTGGTCTTCAAAGCGCGGAAGAGCGCCTTCTCGGCACCGAGAATCTGAACCGTCGAGGCCGGGTACTTGGACAGGTTGGTCAAGCTGCCGGCATGGGAGATTAGGCGAGCACCGACGACTTCGCCGATCAGGGCAGCCAGGTTGGGAGCGACGACGCTCATCTTGGCCACCAGGTAGTCGTAAAGCGACTTGCGGTACTTGGCGAGCTTGACGACTCGCTCGGCGAAGGAAGTGACATTTTCCATGTCAGATTCGGAGATCTCCTGACCCATGCTGTGCTTGGCGGCATCAACGATGTTCTGAGCAATTCCCTCATCATCCTCGACAAGGGCTGCCAGATCATGCAGGCTCTCGTCCGTCAGAGACTTCTTGTCCTTGACGAAAAGCGCCACCTGAGCATAACGCTGATTGTCGGAGACAATCTTGACCAGCTCGGGGAAATGCCACGAGTACCACTCGCGCACACGCATAGAGAAAGTATTGATGGCCTTGTCGAGCTGGTCGAGAATGGCAATGGCCTGGATGATGTGGTTGTCGTCACGCTGCACAGAGAACTTGACCTTGGCACGAGAGTAAGCGTGACCGAGACCCAGTTGGGCAGTATCCATATCACCCTCACGGAGCTGCTTCAGCAGCTTGTCGGCATGGAGACGGATTCCGCGGAGCATATCCTGAACGACTTCGCTGGTGTCGCCGGTCTCACAGTCCACAAAGTCAAAGGCGGACTTGATACTGCCGGCCAAGGCCTTGTCTGCAAGACCCAGGACTACCTTCTTCTTCTTGTTCGGCTTGGGGAGGTTCAGTTCCAGGAAAGAAACCAAGGTCTCGGATGCGACACCTTCGGAGATGTCGTTGATTTCGCCCAGCGCTTGCTTGTTGTTTCTAGTCCGGTCAGTCAAGAAGCCAAGAAAATTCGAGTCAAAACCTACTCAAAGGGCAAAAAACTGGAGAGTTCGACCATCTTGCCGAACTTGGCGAGGTCATTGACACCCTCCTGAACCTCCTTCAGGCTGTTGCCCACCGAATCTCCCTTGTGTGCGACCTTGAAAAGCGAGTAGCCCATTGGGCCCTCGAAGAGCAGAAAGTCGGCCATGGCAAAAGTCAGGCCGTGGGGGAAAGTAGCGGGAGGGTGAAGATTGGGGGTTGGGGAAAGAGAACCAAGCAGTAGTGAAGTTTTTTTTTCGTGCGCTTTCTGCCACCCGCCCGTCTCACCGCCCCCGCGCCAGCTCCCACACCCCTCTGTGTGCGAGACTCGCTGTGTTGTCTTTTCTTTCGAGCATTTCCCTTTCTTAATTCTATCGTTCACCTTGCGGCCATGTCTGCAACCCAGTTGCTCAACCCGAAAGCCGAGTCGAGGGTATGCTGCCACTCCCTACCGGTTGGCTTGCCGCACACTAACATTTCATGCAGCGGAGGGGTGAGGCCTTGAAGGTGAACATCAGCGCCGGTGAGGGTCTGCAGGATGTTCTCAAGTCAAACTTGGGTCCTTCGGGAACTTTGAAGATGTGAGTCTTTTTTGGCCATTTCTAGGCAATGTGCTGACTAGATGCAGGTTGGTGGACGGTGCCGGCGGAGTATGCAACTTGCCCCTGATCGATTCGCTCCAACGGTGTGCTAAGCGATAACAGATCAAGTTGACCAAGGATGGAAACGTGTTGTTGCGGGAGATGGTAAGTACCTCGTCGGAAACTATCCGAGAATCAATGGCTAACTGGTTGGTAGCAAATTCAAAACCCCACGGCTGTAAGGCGCCATTCCCGCAAACCCCGTCTCACTCGTTACTGATAATATGGAAAGGTCATGATTGCCCGCGCTGCGACGGCACAAGATGATATCACCGGTGATGGGACAACGTCGGTCGTGCTGTTGGTGGGAGAGCTCCTGAAGCAGGCAAACCGCTTCATTTCGGAGGGGCTGCACCCTCGAGTGATTACCGATGGCTACGAGATTGCAAAGAACGAGACTATCAAGGTATTTGCTTCTAAACGTTACGCCTGTTTTTCTTTCTGACATGATGACCTAGTTCCTCGATCAATTCAAGCTCGAGCGCACCATTGACCGAGAGCTGCTGATGTCGGTTGCCCGCACCTCCCTCTCCACGAAATTGAACAACGCCCTAGCCGAGAAACTCACTCCCGACATTGTGGACGCCGTGCTCGCCATCCACCGGGCCCCTGAGAAGCCGGATTTGCACATGGTTGAGATCATGACGATGCAGCACCGGACATCGTCGGACACACAGCTGATTCGCGGTCTTGCTTTGGATCACGGCGCCAGACACCCCGACATGCCGAAGCGGGTGGAGAATGCCTTCATTTTGACACTGAACGTCAGCCTGGAGTACGAGAAGTCGGAGATCAACTCTGGTTTCTACTATTCGAATGCGGAACAGCGCGACAAACTCGTGGAGAGCGAGCGCAAGTTCGTCGATGCCAAACTGCAGAAGATTGTGGAGCTCAAGAAGGCGGTTTGTGGCAACGACCCAAAGAAGGGATTCGTCATCATCAACCAGAAGGGTATTGATCCGCTCAGCTTGGACGTTCTGGTCAAGAACGGCATCATGGCTCTTCGGAGAGCCAAGCGGCGGAACATGGAGCGTCTGCAGCTGGTTTGCGGTGGTGTTGCCCAGAACAGTGTGGAAGACATGACGCCCGATGTTCTCGGGTGGGCCGGTCTGGTCTACGAGCACCAGCTAGGTGAGGAGAAGTACACCTTTGTCGAGGAGGTCAAGGACCCCAAGTCTGTGACCATCCTCATCAAGGGCCCCAACGGGCACACCATTGCCCAAGTCAAGGATGCCGTCCGCGATGGTCTGCGGGCCGTCTACAACACGATCGTGGACGGCTGCGTCGTTCCCGGCGCGGGCTCGTTCCAGGTCGCAGTCTCCGAGCACCTGACGTCTCAGGAATTCCGCAAGACCCTTCGCGGCAAGACGCAGCGGGGTGTGGACGCGTTTGCCGAAGCCATGCTGGTGATTCCCAAGACGCTCGCTGCCAACTCGGGCCATGACATTCAGGACTCGGTGACGGAGATGCAGGATGAGGTCCGCCAGGGCAATCTGGTCGGTCTGGATCTGACAACAGGCGAACCCATGGACCCGGTGCAGGCCGGTATCTTTGACTCGTACCGTGTGCTGCGGAACTGCATTGCTTCTAGCACGGGCATTGCCTCCAACCTTCTTCTGTGTGACGAGCTGCTCAAGGCCCGGCAGATGAGCAAGGCGGGCGGGCCGGGTGGTATGGAGGAGTAATGCACTTCTCATGTAAACCATTAGAGTTCGATGTTTACGCTCAAAAAAATGAAAGTACTATATTGACCACTTGTCGTCTTCGTTCAGGTTCAAGTAGTCTCGGAAAGATTCATTGTCATGATCATCATAAAGTAGCTATGCCAGGTATCATCTCTATCGTACACAGGTTGGTTGGTCACTCAGTCTTCGGGCTCGGAAGAAGTGCGCGGGCTCTCTTCTTCCAATCTAGTCTTCGGCGCCCATTCGCCTAGAAACCCATCCTCTCTAACAGGATCATCCAACGCAAGATTGTGAGTCTGTGCCCACTCCCACACATCTGACTTGCGGATATTCACGGCGATGTCGTCCGCGGCCAGACGGCCCATCTTGCGTTTCTTTGGCGACAAGCCACCTTGAGCACAAGGCGTCGGTGCCGGAAAATATATCAGCCGACAGCCATTGCCAGAGCTTTCCAAATAACTGCAAACAATCCAAACACAACAATAGGCGGTAAGGGCACCAAAGCTCAGGCTCCTCCTTCTTCTCTTCCAATATTATCTTCTGGCTGATTATCTTCAGGCTGATCAAAAATTCCATTACCAAGTCTTACATATCATTGTTGCGGGTCTTACGGGCCTTCATACTTCTGTCTTCCTAGGTTCCCCCAGTGGGTTTCCTTACCAGATTATCCTTCGTGATCTAGGATGTACCGCCCAGCCACGCGAGTTGTTTGCGTGAGCGTCTACGAGGAATGGAAGAGCTAATACCCATCGTCACGGGCCGCATACGAAGTAATTTGGCACAAGTCATAAGAATCCGGCGATTCTGCTCACCAATACAACCCTTTTTTTCGAGATATACCAACGCTCGAGGATCCGGACTTCCCAGTCTACTTTTCAACACTACGCTACACTATACTACAGCGCCAGAAACCAAACGCTGACCCATACCCAGCTATGCAATCAGACAAAGCAGCGGCATCTCCTTACGAGTCTGAAAAAGTGCATGAAATGGAAATAATCCGCATTGCCTCATATCATCGGCGTGACTTCGATCTAGCGGTTGTCAGAACAAATCCCCGCGACCATGTTCAGGTACGCAGCTTGCTGCTTCGAACTATCCGTGCTACTTCCTCAACTGTTGGAACTCTTCAATGTTTACCGCTTGAAATTGTCTATGAGATATGCTCCCTTCTTGATATTCGGTCTTTGCTCAATTTCCGTCATGTCAATCGCCGTGCCCAGCAAATCGTCAGAGTAACCCGTGGCTACAAAGCGGTAATTACCCATGCTCTTGAAGCCCTCTGCGTCACCTTAAAAACCAACATTGCGTCTTGTTTCACGCTATCTGACTTGTTCAAAGCGCTCTGTACGAGGGACTGTCATTTCTGCGGCTCCTTTGGTGGCTTTATTTTTCTTCCATCATTTATGAGGTGTTGCTTCTCTTGCATTCGGGAAGATTCCCTTCCCTCCATCTTACCATTTTCTGTTCTGAAAAAACGTGTCCAGTCGAGCCCGGGTTGCCTATACAGCTTAGTGCCTATTGTGAGGTCATTGCCTGGGATATACTCAATGGACGAGATTGTGCGAAAGAAAAGGATCCAAATCATACCGACAGGATTTGTTAGCAGGTTATCTCTGTGTGGTGAAGACGAGGGGACGCGAGTGACGCAGGCAAAGGAAACAGCGCTACTTCGGTATATGATGACTACCTCTTTACCCTATCTCGATATTGAAACCGGTGACATTCAAAGTGGGATATGCTGCAGTGGCTGCCAGGTTGCCTTGGAGAAGGCTTTGAGGTCATCAAGGGTTCAGTCTAATGCATGTGCTCTGCGAGACAAAGTGTACTCCTACGACGAATTCATGGAACACTTTCGGGAATGTCGAGAGGCTCAAAACCTATGGAAACTGAGCAATCAAGGGGTTGATGTCACTAACCTCTCGGAATTCGTTAGACGTGGAGGTTGCTTCAAAAAAAGGGATGTTATCATGTCTTTCAACAGCAAATAGCACGCGGAATTTCTATGAGCATTTCTTCCAACGGAGCAGTAAATAGGCTACTAGCACTTTTTAGGGCAGTAAATCGAGTGGTGCTAACTCCGACTGTGGCCTTCTTCAGGCGCTTAGTAACGCAAAGCTCACGAGCAAGTAACAACTTAACTTAGGAGTTAGCAGTCAGCCATATCCGTAATTGACTAATGGTCCAAATTGAAGCCCCTTGAGCTCATACACCTCGAATCATTTTCTCGAAAAAAAAAATAGTTCATTTATACCAGGAGCGCGTTGCGTAAGTACATTTGCCCCCAAGAGGAGATATCGCCTATTTATATTTTAAACCAGGTTGTTCATTCCTGCAACTCCTCGTCCGAAAAATACTTCTTAGGGGCGTCAGGATTGACAAGATGACCTCTACAATAGTTCACAGAATCTTTGCCTAGCTCCTTCCTGATAGGCTTGCATTTCACATTTGTTCCTTGGCGGTCGGTGCACTGGACGAACTCCATCTCTTTCTTGCACCCACAGGTATACTGTATGTAATAAGAAGTACACATTGGGACACCTGGAGGACGTTAGACAGAAGCATTACATTAACCACAAATTGCGTTGACCGCGATCTGTAAGTCTCCAACAATCAGAACGAACTCACCAGGCGATGGAATGAATCAGATGTGCTTTTTTTTTTTTTTTTTTTTTTTTTTTCCTGGCGTTCGTGTGAGGGGAATGGAGAGCCCGGGGAGAAAGGGTCAACCTGACAGGCCGCAATGGAAAATAAGCAGAGCGAGTTTAGTTGTGTTCTACTTGTAAACTTGCAGGCCTCTCTATTTATGTATATACGCCTGAGCATGGTGTCCGTCAATTTGCTATTCTGCCGCCGTGAGTTGAGCGATAGGTCATAATTGAGCGCTTAAACTGCCCATCACCGTGCGCTAAGATCATTATTGCTGGTAATATGCAGAGCGATTCACATCACATGTATCTCATCACATGTATCACACTTTGCTATGATTCAAAATGGGCACTTATCATCGAAGTTAGAGGATACACAAGGAACTTGAAAAAGATTGTCTGCGCTTTTCCTCTGACCTATTTCCGTCTGCCAGGCTAGGCCTTTCCATGCTCGCGGAATTCCGTACGCCACTGCATTTATATGATTCGGGGACTGTCGCGACTAGGTCCATTCATTTGTTCGTGACTCTTGAAAATAGATACTTCCCCTTGGCATCTTCCTATACTGCCGCTTTCTTTTTCAGAAACTGTTTTCTTGCCGTTGTCCAGATGAGCCACACATCCTCACCTCCCGTGGTACTTTCGATGGAGGTGTCGAGCAGGGATGACAGCGAGTACAGAATTTTGGTAAAAGATCGAGTCAGATATTTAATAATCAGCGCCGGTACATTCGAACGATCAACGCTTTCCTTCCCCCTCAGCTCGTTACCCAAATTTCCCGAAGATTACACTTGGAATGTGGCGTACGTCAATCGAGATCCGTCCAGCGATGAGGTCGTGATGGATCTACAGCACAGAACCTTCATTGGCATAACAGACCTTTGGCATCCTGTGTTGGTTGACTGTCTCGAGTTAAAAAGGAGAAAGCAGTTCACTGCTACCACGTACGAAGCAACTTACTCCGGCAACGGGTCATTACCTACTACGAGGTCGCCGGTTGTGGTTGCTAAAGTCGCACGGTTCGAGTGGGAGCTGCCTCGTTTATCGTTGGAGACCCTCATGTATAGAAGCTTGGAAAACACAGGCCTTGCCCCCCGATTCATTGGCCATGTCCACGAGCATGGCCGTGTAATTGGCTTTATGCTAGAAAAGCTCGAAGGGCGTGAAGCAAACATCAAGGATCTTTCGTCTTGTCGATCTGCCCTCCAGCGCCTACATGACATTGGCATCCTCCATGGCGACGTCAACAGATACAATTTCATTATTCAAAATGATACGGCGCGCCTGATTGATTTCGAGAAAAGCAAATTTTGTAATAGCGCTACTGCATCCATGCAAGCTGAGATGGATAGTCTACGTGATCAATTGGTGGAGGACACAGGCCGCGGTGCAGGTTTCACACGGTGAAATCTACTTGATTGTGAAAACAGTAAGCTCTACTTGGCCAGATTTCAGCACCATGCTAATCAGTCAGCAAACCTTCCCTCTGTTACGCCGACTGCCGTTGCTGATAAGCCAAAACGTGGTCGCAATCATGCTGTTTGATTCATATTCACCACCTAGCGCAACGTTCATGCCAGTTCCGGATTCATCAAATGTCAAAAATCTGGAGTAATAGAGAAATACGGTGTCTGTTAGCCACAATAGCCGTTTTGCTCATATCACCTAGTTTACATAGACGGATCTAGTTGTGATAAGCGGGCTGCATTCAGGCGGACGGGCTGGTCTCATCGCGCGTGGCACCTATCCAGATTTTCTATTTCTAGCGGGGTCAACGATACCAGATTCTTCCTGCGTATTGCCAGAATGGCATTCTGATGACGCGAGTTTTCCGAGGATCGACTAATGATAGTATGTTCGAAGACATTGCTGGGCAACTTCTGCGTTATTGTTGCACATGGCCAGAGCCAAAATCTGTCCTCATTATGAATCACGCGTCTTCTCATTATACTGATCAAATAAGTACTATTCTGTCCACTTGTCTTCTTCGTTCAGTTCAAGTAGTCTCGGAAAGGTTCATTGTCATGATCATCATAAAGTAGCTATGCCAGGTATCATCTCTATCGTACACAGGTTGGTTGGTCACTCAGTCTTCGGGCTCGGAAGGAGTGCGCGGGCTCTCTTCTTCCAATCCAGTCTTCGGCGCCCATTCGCCTAGAAACCCATCCGCTCTGACAGGATCATCCAACGCAAGATTGTGGGTCTGTGCCCACTCCCACACGTCCGACTTGCGGATATTCACGGCGGTGTCGTCCGCGACCAGACGGCCCATCTTGCGTTTCTTTGGCGATGAGCCCGTCTTGACAACGCCCATGGTCTTGAGGGCAGTGATGACATCTTCATTCAACATCCCAGTGGCCTTTCCAATCTCCTCAACAGTTGTGGTCTCGCGAAGGGGTCTCTTGCGGGCAGATTTGGGGCTGGTCGGTTTCTTCTGGTCCAATTCGCCGTTTTTGCTTTCACCGTCCTTCTTCTCCCGTAGCAAATACCGCGCAACGCGCTCCGCCCAGAACCGATCATAGCTCTTCTGGCCGAGGTCACTGAGCGGCTTTTCCGGTCCACCAATGTGTCCACCGCCGTCCTTATCCCATCCGCTGAGCTTGTAGCTAACGCCCATCAGCAGCTTCCCGAGCTGTTTGCGCTGGTACGGCGGGAAGATGAGAATGCAGGCGAGATTGTTAGCATCCCAGGACAGTTTCTCTTTCGAAAAGAAGCCGAGCACGTGGTAGGTATCCGAGTTGTCGGGGTCGGTAAAGGTGAGAATGTAGAAGAGAAAGGTAGCCACGTCGAAGAACACGGTCTTGTTGTCGAGGAAGAGCTTGGCGAAGAGAGACAGGTTCTGTCCGAAGAGCTTGTGGTCCTGTCCGTCGACCTTCCACACCGCGTAGCCGCCGTGGTCGTAGACCTTCTCGCCCGGCGGTGTTGTGCGGTGCTCGCAGACGCGCGTGTGCTGCGCGAATGCGCCGGCGTCGCAGGAGTAGCGGAAGCACCACCGGCATACGTACAGCCGGTCGGTGTCCTTTGTCACCAGATCAGCCGGGTAGATGGCCTGGTTCCACGGCTTGAGAACCAGGTCGCCCAACACGACGTGGTTGACGTTGCGTGCCGGCGTCTGGACGCGGGACGGTGGCTTGGTGGACGCCATGGGATGGATCAAGAGAGGTGTGGAATTAGGGGCGTCGACATGGACGGAAAAGGGTTTGGTTAATCATGTGGGAGACATGGAGGGTAGTGATTTACTGTCGTCAATTGATCTCTTGCAGTCTTCTCGATCGATCAAACCGAAGCAATAGAATCCTGGCGTCATGTGACGGGGGGCTTATCTTATCCCGGATAAGCTGTTGCCTATTTGACGATTCGCAAGCACGGGGGTGGATGCCAGCAGGACCTTGAGCTTTATTACTTGTTTACCGAAGGAGGGTCACCATCTGAGCAGGCAGCAGTGTCTCCTTGCTACAAGCCTGTGTGCACACCCATCCGTGGTCTCTTATATGCCTCCACACGCCTTCCTTCCGATCGTGTAACCATTCACATCCACCCGGACCACCCACGTTCACGATCATGTTGAAGCCTTTCCAGATCAGGGACCTGGGGTGCCAACCCGACCAGAGTCCATCCGTGGAACCCTCCTCTCCAGCCCTTTCCGTCGTGGATCAGACGGATGATGTTCACCATCACCAATCCGATGACGAACCTCGTTCTTCCCCCAGAGTCGTGCAGATCTCGGCGGGCGACTACAATGCTCTCTCGCGCAATAACCCGCGGGCCAGGTTGACTTACGTTGACCTTGATGATGGTGATACCATCACGGTGAGTGGATGTCTCTTTCTTTCTTTCAAGCGGGGTCATCATCATCATCATCAGCATCTAACGACGATCTATCTAGGTGGGCTCTGCCCTCGAGCTGTCCCAGCGTCTAGACGAGCCTATTGCTTCTTCCATCCAAAATGAGTCCCTACAAGCTTTATCCTCCCAGCATGATCCGACTCCCATGCACATCTTTGATATTCGCCGATCGAACTCAGTCACTGAACTGTGGAAGAAGTTTGAGTCCAATACAGATTCGCAGGGTTGCAAAGACAAGCCTCTGCCTGAATGCACGGCCGATGATAAAGACCCAGGCAAGGTTTCTACCGCCGAAGATGCCCAGCCGCCCCTTCTAGCTGCGTTTGAAGCGGAGCTTGCGACTATTCTCCATTCTGCCGAGTCCGCTGAAACTCAGCCTCCTCGCTCAGCGTCTCCTCCCGTGGTGGAACCCTCGGCGGCTCAGGATTCCGAGCAAAACACTTCACGCCCTATTGAAGTTCTTGCGGCACGTATTCTGCACCATCTGGTCCATGGAGCCGGCATGGTCCAATCTGAATTAAGGACCAGGCTGCCCGAGATGCAACGCCAGTTTCACAGTGCCCAGAGCACTCTGCCTGAGAACGTGAGAACGTCTCTGCAGCAACTCCTCACATCTCTGGAGAATCAAATGAGAAACCTAGGTGCTCATCTCAACCACCTACCTGACGATGGACGGCACCTCGCTGGAGAAGCCCTCAACGTAGGGCGCCCCATCGCTGAGAACGCGGTGGATACTTTGCGGCAGGTCGCATCGGAATTAAATGAAGTTAGTCGGTCCTTGTTTGCAGCATTTGAGCATGAGGTCCGGCGAGCTGGCATGAACCGGCCGGATTCATCGGCAGATGGGCTGTACACTGCACCGGCGCCGCAGCCAACAAACAATCAACCCTCGTCGAGCGGCCAGAATGGCGAGCAGCCACCAACAGGCTCCACCGGGAACGAACAACAAGCGTCAGAGTCTACTACCAAAGAGGAATCGAACCCAACGAGTGCGCCTTCCGGCCCTACCTCCCAACCCTTACCTTACCGACCACCTGGTGCCTGTGCTCCTCCGATCTGGCCGCCTCCTAGACATCGGCCTTTCTTTTACCCTCCACCTCCTCCTCTACCACCACAGCTCCCGCAGTGGCCATTCCAGTGGCCGCCAGGTCCTCCCCATCACTGGTTTAGACCTGGCAGACAGGATCCGCCGAATCCCAACCCAGCACCTCCATTCAACCCTAACTTGAGGAACGCACACACTCAAACGGGCCCTCATACAAGCAAGTCGCTGTTTATTGGAAATGTCGGCTTCAACGTCACTGAACGAATGATTCAGGATGTTTTTGCTTCCAAGGGTTTTATTGTCGATGTGGATCTTCCAGTAGATGCTACATCTGGCAAGCATTGCGGGTTTGGCTATTTGCATTTCCCTTCGATCCATCCGGCTATGGCTGCTATGCAGGCACTCCAGGGAACCCATATCGATGGACATGCCATCAACCTTGAATTCAGTGATCGTTCGCCCATTGAAAATTTCAGTGCTCCGCCCAGTCCAGCAGGTATTCCCACTCAGTCACCGAATGTCTCTCGTCGCGAGAGCGTGAACAATAACAGGAACACTGAATTGGCTGAGCGCCGACCTTCCCGATCGAGCGCATCCTCAGAGGTGCCGTCTGCTCGACGAGCGCGCACCGGCCTACCTGTGCGTCGGAAGTCCGTTACCTTCCAAGAGCCTAGCCCGTCTACAACGAAGAGCGACCAGACAGCTGCCCTACTTGATTCGCCAACCGACGATCCAGCCTTCGCCGCGCGCTTCCCATCTCTTCTTCCACAGGGGAACCCGCAAGGTCAAGATTCGACGGGACCAGACAATCTCTCAAGTCTGAATCCGGAAAGGGAGATGGCTCGGTTCCCACCTGTGTCCCAGTTGGAAGCTCATCTTCTAGCGAACCAACGTCAGGATAAGGATGCTGAAAAAGATAAATCTCAGTCTAGTGACAAGGGAAAGGGGGTGGTGCAGCCTACCATCCACAAAGGTCCGTCCCATGAAGCTCCGGAAGCCCTTCGAGGATCTCAAAGTCATCATGACACGAGTATTGGCAATGGCCATGGGCTTCGCCGTGCCAACACCACGATCTCTGCCCACTCAAACCTCACTCCAGGTGGTCCTCCCATTGCTCCATTGAGGCGCCGCGCGACTGAACGCCAGTCTCTGCGTCCGAACGCCCGTCCTGCTTCCGAGATGGACACATGGGCTCGTCTCGACAGACGCGAGCGTATTAGACCAACCCCTACCGAGAGGATTCCCGGCAGTTTTCCCGAAGAAGAAACAGCGGAAGTCAGTGGACAAACTCACGATCCTATCGAGAGTTGCATCACTACACTTCTCGATCTGGGCTATGGCACCGAGCAGAATGGCGGGCGGTCCAGGATGGCCGTGTACGCCGCCGCAGCGGATGGGGATCTTCTAGAGGCGATTGAGATCATTGAAGATGAGCGAAAGGCGTACGTGCGCCGTGGTTCGCAGTAAGAACGTGTGGTGTTTTGCCGCTTTCGCTTTCGACTTCGCTTTCGCTCTTGCTACGCTTCTGGCACCGTTGTTATCACAATCGCTCCTTTGTGTCTGGAGACTTTTACTTTACGCTTTATGACAATCACTTTATTCCCCCTAGTACGAGACTGCTCCACTCGAAATACGCAATTCAATTTGGCTTTATTTAAACACTCCCTCTTCTATTCTTGAAATATATATCTGTAGAACGGGGCTGTCAAGCTCCTTCAGGAGAAGCTACCATACCTCTGCATCAATACAAAAGTAAACCCCATTGAAACAAATAAATAACAAAACACCTAAGCATTCATGATTATTTTATTTCAATAATGCCTGCATTTACCTAGCACGGTGCTGTAAATAGTCCATATCCATGATGTTGTTCACCGCCCGCCCGTCCAGCCCGCAACCTCCGACCGAAATAAGAAACAATTCCACACCGTAGCTCCAACGACCTCTCCCAAGCAATGCGGACATGGCGCACCTTCGCCACGTCCGTCGCCAGACTGGGCCATAACTCCGCATCTCCCGGTACCCGTCCCAGCGTTGTCCGATGCGCGCAGATCCTCCAAGCCAGCAAAGCCGACGGTCCCAACCGGTTTGAAGACAAAGAGGTCAAAGTCAATGGCTTAATTCGGTCTGTTCGGAAACAGAAGCGCTTTGCTTTTGCAGAGATCTCAGATGGCTCGACGGTGGAGCCCTTGCAGGCGATTCTGAAGCCTGCGCAGGCAGCTGAGTATGCTTTTTCCCAGCGCGAACCGGACTCCTCAAAGCAAAGAGCTAACCCAATCGCCTTCTTCTATATAGTCTGACCACGGGAGCTGCTGTCGAGGTGTCTGGGGTGTGGAAGGCTTGTCCGCCAGGCAAGGAGCAGAGCCATGAGCTTCACACAACGGCTGTGAATGTTGTAGGCGCGGCTGATCCAGAGGTTTGCGACTCCGTCACCACCCCGAATAGCACAGGGACTGACTGACTGGTTGTCAATTGCCAGACATTTCCAATTCAGAAGAAATACCATAGTCCCGATTTCCTGCGCCAGATACCCCATCTTCGAATCCGCACGCCGTTCAATTCCCTCATGTCGCGGTTCCGCTCCGAGTGCTTATTCCAACTGGGGAACGTTTTCCATTCCCACCCACATGGCGCATTCACACAGGTGCAGCCGCCAATAATCACATCTTCCGACTGCGAAGGAGCCGGGGAGACATTCACATTGGTGCCGCGGGGTGCGGCAGCCCCCGAGACAGACCACTTCTTCCGAGCACCTAAATACTTGACCGTGTCGTCGCAACTACATCTTGAAGCCTTTGCGGCCGAGTTGGGCAATGTATGGACCCTGACGCCCGTTTTCCGGGCCGAGAAGAGCGATACACCGCGCCATCTCAGCGAGTTCTACATGCTTGAGGCCGAAGTTAATTTCATGGATGATATGGAGTCTCTGACGGGGTTGGTGGAATATATGCTCCGCGACTTGACACGTCGATTGTACAATACTACCGTCGGCCAGGAGATTTTGTCAGCGAAGCGAACGGGCGAATCTGGGAATGAGGGCACGACCGAGGAATCATCTCTCCGGCAGCGATGGACCGAGTTGATGGACGGGCCTACATGGGACCGCATCACCTACACGGAAGCAATTGCGATGCTTCAGCGAGCGGTTACAGAGGATGGTGCTCAATTCGAGCACCCGCCAGCTTGGGCGGATGGTCTACAACTCGAACATGAGAAGTACATTGTCGAGCATCTATTCAAGGGCCGCCCAGTTTTCGTTACAGACTACCCCAAAGCAATCAAGCCGTTCTACATGGCTCCGACCACGGTCGCCAGCGAGGCCGGCAACTCCTTAGAGACGGTCGCCTGTTTCGACCTACTTCTACCAGAAGTCAGCGAAGTGGCAGGTGGATCTCTGCGCGAGCACCGTTTACCAAATCTCATCCAAAACATGCGCGACCACGGCCTGATCAAGCCTCGCGCGCTCCCCGAGTCGGGTGACAGTAACAGTGACAGTCTCTCTCTGGAACCATTGTACCCTCACCTCACACCGACGGAGGATCTCAGCCACCTCCAGTGGTACGCGGATCTCCGGCGCTGGGGATCTGCTCCGCACGGCGGCTTTGGGCTGGGCTTCGACCGGTTCTTGGGCTACTTGGCTGGCGTCTCCAGCGTGCGGGATGTGGTCTCGTTTCCGAGATATTTCGGGCGGGCGGACTGCTGATTCTGGTTCAGTTGTACGATAGCGATGTGTAGTATCAGATATGATTGTTCTATGGCGTATCCCCAAGGCTGTCTATAGAAATTATGGTTCAGTGCTACAGCCTTGTGCACTAGGTGCCTAAAATAGAAACACCTCTGAAACCGAGTCATGGAGAGAGAGGAGAAAGACATCGCCGCCAACCGTATCTTTCGTCTTTCACTTGATACCTACCTCTTTCCAGTTCATTACACGCCCCAGACCAGCAACCTGATAGATTCCCTGTCCAGAGTAACATCGTCTTGCATAGCATGACGAAACGAAAGCGATAGTGATAGTCATGTAGAAAGCACAGACAGAGGGCGAATTAAGCCGTGTTAACCAACACCCAAGCATCGGCCCCACGCTGATCCCAACTAAAGGGTGTGTAATAATAGAATCTCGGAGTCTCCGAGGTTAAAAGGCAAATGCTTGCGCTAAGTTAGTTATGGCCGGTTAGGTCGTCGTTCAGCGTCCACGACAAGGAATAGGATCAGGAGCTTTTGGATTGGAGGCAGGAAAGGAGCCCTTGGCTTAACCTTGGTGTTTTGGAATTGTTCTTGTGGATGTTTACTGTTTTAGCAAAGAGATTCAGGGTCCAGGATGGTCCAGGATTGTTTAGGTGCCCAGTATGTGCCCAGTGGGAGCCCAGCAGAAGCCCATTAAGGGGCCTTTTTTTGGGTAAGCTATGCCTCAGTTTACCCCAGAAACGATGCACAGGCCAGGGGAAATAAATAGCAACATGAACTGCAGGATGGCCTCAGGGCCAACGGCTAGTTAATTTGTAGTAAGAGCTTCGCAGGATAGAGGCTATGTACGTGGGTCTAGACGGTCGAGGAGGAGTTTTGGGAAGAAAGGGGGCCGAAGGATTCGAGTTCTGGCGGCGGTCTTGTGTTAGATGATCGTAGTGTAACTGAAGGACGCCTTGCGAGGCTAGATTGGGTGAAATTCAGTAGCTAGCGGGGTTGAGAAAGGAAAATATGTAATGAGTTTTTGGCTGCTAGTCTACCATTGAAATGATGGCTCGTTAGGGGCTGCTTCTATTGAAGTTATATTTACTTTAAAATGGGTACAACTGGACGTGCGTGTTACCCCATACGTACAAAGACATTAATGCGCTCCTCGATTGATTAATTGATTGATTTCCTCTATTATAGTCCGATGTCCTGTCCAACTGTCCTATTGTTGCGGCGGATACTATGCTATCAATGCGCTGTCAGCATTCTTACCGCAATAGGCAACACAGAAGGCCAAGCATTTGACCCAACTGGAGACCCTCTCCCCGGCGGGCAAATCAGACCGACCGGCAACTCTGGCCGAAGAAATACATTAATGCTCCTGAGAAAAAAAAAACCCTATGACCCACTCGCACCGGAGTCAACTCTCACTGAATGGGCGAATAGCGGGGCTCGCTTAACCCTACCGGGTGCTTTCACGCGACTCAAGATGAGTGGGTTTGCGCATCCACCGTGGCTTGATGTAAAGTGAGCACTAATGGGCCAAGGTATTTCAAAGTCGCGCCAAGGGGGCCCAACCTTACCGGGGTTAAGCATAAGCCATTAGTCGGGCAGTGTCCGTCCCGTTCTGTACGAGTCAGCCACGTATTATGGAGCTGACAGTATTTTATTTTTATTTTTTTACCTATCGTGTTCGTATTGGCGGAAGAGTGCAGGCCACATGGTCAACTATGTATGGTGAGACAACGGAACCCACTGGGCTGGTTTTAACTGAATCGCCTCTCCGTATTCTCCCTTGGTCCCAACTGGATCTGTCTCAGTGGCCGCTGACTGGTGCGATCGTATAATTAGGATTAGGCAGCCTTCCTGGGTGAGACGGCGTGGCTTGGCTTTCCTCGGATTACTTAGCAGCCTAGGTTTTGAGTACGCACTAAAGAATGGACTATAGGTGCATAGCCATCCCAAGTGTAGGGTGAGAAAAAGAAAAAAAAAAAAAAGGGAAAAGAAAGGAGCACATTCCCGATTCATCATAGTAAGCGGCTAACAATGATTTGGCTGACAATCATTTAGCAGCTTAATTATGCTAGTGGAGATAAGCTCGAGCAACGTTTCACAATCTTATTTATTTCCAAGGTTGCAATGAATGTATGACAATACATAACGCGTCGCAACCATATCTCAAGTAGAGTTGATCGGAGTAGAGCAATGCCAGTTTAGGGCCCGCCATAATGCAAGGGCACGTCATCGCCCCTCACCCCAGGCCGAAGATCGCCAGCAGCGGGCGAGCGATTGGCACGCCTAATAAAAATACGAGCAGGCCGATGAAAGTTAGTTCTGGGACACTATGTGACGCTGGGAGGCTGGCTATGCTAGGCTGCCGAATACGCGGTGGAGATCACGACAGTTAGTGCACTTGTTTCATACAAAACGTCTATACGAGGTAAATGAATGAATAATGGATTTAAAAGCGTGGAGACGGAATCAACTCAAAATTTAATGCAAATCTTGGCTAAAACCCACCCACGGTCGGCAATGGAAAAAATTAAAAGTGTGGCGGCTTGGCCCGCAAGGGTAGAGGGCGATATGGTTAGCGAGCGGGTGGAGTCTGATTTTCAGGGAGACCCACCAACTGAGTGGAAAATATCTGATCTGATGCCCTGGTTATGTGAAACGGATCAGCCCAACAAGGCCTGCGAGGGCAGACTAATAATCAAATAAAAATAGAGCTACGGGAAGAGACACTGCCTGAATGTAGTAATGGGCAACTTCGAAGTACACACAAACGCAGCGCCGACTTTAGTGCGGCCCAAAAACAAGAAACAACAGACACCTGAGTCATGGTGCTTATTATTATTTTCTTGTGGTGCTAAACTAGGAGCTAAGCCCTGGCCCTTGTCCGTGTTGGCCAATAATCGATGTCCCCTGGCCTATCATGATGTCCGGAGTACATTTTCCAGTTCACTAGTGCCTGCTCTTATGTATTACGTCGCACTCCATTTACCGGGTAGTCGGAAGTCGGAGAGCGAATGGTTGCACGGTGTGAAACTCATGCTGCAAGCCTCACCGGAGACTAGCTGAAGCCAAAGCCTACCATGATCCTGATGAGAAAGTTATAACTAACACAAAACCCATGCTAGTATCCCCACCCCCCTTGTGCATATGCACTGGACAGTCTTGTTGGCGATACGCCTGCTCGGTGCGGCTCTAGAATTAACCTGTGCACAACAAGAGTGGGAATCACCCTCACGTTTAGCGCCAACGCGCAATACCCTCCCAGACACCTCATCATTCCAAAGCAACAGATTGGCTGCTCTCATTCATTGCATTGCCTCGATCACCGAGGCTGGCCTGTGGGGAAAGGATCTAAGGCTCCTTAGCGAGGCGCATAGTTAAATGTTGTATTACTACGGCGAAGTGAACTGTAATCTGTATAGGGTAGGCTGTGCTTGGCCCCATTTGTTGTGCTATTATTAATGATCTTCAGCGGGATAGAGGGCGAAAGGAATAGAGCCAAGTCTCTCCGGCGTAATCCTTTGTATAGCGGAAACCACATCCTTATTATTACGTGTTAAACGACGATGTCACATCGTGTTCGTCGCCACTGTAAATTAACATTCGAAGCCTGGATCTTCCGCCGTAGCCGAACGATCGCATTTCTTTTGTATACGTACAACCACAATGTTTGGGTCAGCTCAGTTCGAATCGCAAGGCCGCAAATCCCCCCTCCCCTCCCAAAAATTAAAATTAAAACTGAATACGAGTACGGGCACGCCCCATACGATCGCTGCTTTAGCTTAATTTTCATTAACTTTCCTATTTGGGGATAGTCGAATATTCTATCATCCTATTCGACGATCCAAGTCCAGGGTTGGGGTCTCATCCAGTTCAGCGATCATAATACATAACATCTCTGTGATCGACATTGAATGGTCTGAGGGCTCCCTCAATAACAATGGTCCTGGCTGGTAATACAATGTGTGACCGGCTAGGCCGGACGCCAAGCACTGAGTCAAGAAATGAATTTAAAATCTCTAAGCGAGCATAAAGTTTCAGCGCCGCCTCGTGTCGGATTAAGCTTAAGCTTCAGCGCAGTCGACGCACTAACCACTTTTTACACTGCGATCTGTGCGTCGTACCGTATGTATGTGTATTATTTATGGGCCAGGAATGGGCCGCCCTGCGAAAGGGGGGGCCCTGGCCTCCCCCCTCTTCCTGTTCGGATCAAGGCTCGGTGCTCAGAATCCCCTGAACTGCACTTGATGTCATATCCTATTTAATATTCTGGTCCGATTTCCGACACATTGCCTTTATTATTATTATGATCTTGCCACACGGCCTCGCTGTCCCATGGTTCGGCAGACAGCCTTTGCTCCGGATTTCGAATAATAACAGCTAGCTTTCAAGCTTAGTTGCCTGTCTCCACTCGGCTCAACTCTGTTCCCATTCCTTTTTCCACAACTCGGCGTTTAGCAACTCCGTCCGCCCCGATCTATTATTCTGTGGCTCCCTTATTTAACCTTCTTTTGGTTTTAATAATACCTGCGTCTGCCTGGCTTGGGTCCCGTGGAGAAAACAGAAAAACTAGTTTTTCTTTCTTACTTTTCTTCTCTCCTCTTCCTCCCTCTTCCCTCCCTCCTTCGCTAAGCAAACCGATCCTCAACCTTGTGGGGTCCAAAGCGTGAGTTCCTCTCTTTTACCCGTTCTAGTCTGTACGGCTTTGTGTGCCTTTCATCCCAAGCCCCACCCACCCTTCTTTCTTCTTCCTTCAAAGGAAAATTACGTCCACTCTAAATGCTCGGCCTGATCCACTCCTGGCGCTCTTACCTATATACTTTGGCTACTTGGCCCTTACCCCAAACTCCCTCTATCTATTCGTTTAATCTCTCTCTCTCTCCCATTTCTTCCTCCTTCATTCTCCCTTGCACATAATCCAACCCACCCGCCAATCAAATCTCCACGACAATACTTATTATCAATCAACCCAAAAGCGATTTTCTGACTTCTTGCAGCCTACAACAAAAGGCCAGTCGTCCTCACAACTTCAGCTTCTCAGCCCGTAAACCTGGCCATCAAATCTACTCCCCCACTGGGGTCGTCCGTTGATTTACGAGGGTGGATGGAGACGTACTACGGTCACGTCCGCACTCCAGCGGACGCTATTATCTTGTTTGAGGCATGCCGCATCGGTCTGCTGCCTCGTGTGCAACGACGACTGTCAGAGAAAGAGCGCCAGTCTATTCGCTCGGGCTCCGTGTTCGTCTGGGATGAGCGCGAAGCGGGCATGCGCCGGTGGACGGACGGAAAGTCCTGGAGCGCCAGTCGTGTGTCGGGCAGCTTCCTGACCTATCGGGAGATGGAGGGCAAGCGTGGTGGTGGCAGCGTTTCTCAGAACTCGGTGTCCAGAGGCGGCAAGACGCCCGAAAGTCGGGGCAGCGATGAGGACCGAGGAGATGGCACCGATGAAGGCCCCGATGGCTACCGGTATAAGCCCGATGGGTTGATGAAGCAGTCCTTCAGCATCACCACTTCTACCGGCCAGCACCTTCACCTCATCAGCTACTACTCTCGCTCTCATCCTTCCGCCTCCAACCTGCAACAACCCACCACAGATCCCGCACTGCGCCATGTTCGACCCCAGAAGGGTCTGTACCCGGAGTCCACGGTCAACGACCAACAAAATCTCCCGGTCGTCACTCGCGGTCCCATGCCCGGAGCTGCATACGCCATCACTCCGCATCCTATCGGCGGATTCACACGAGGCACACCGGCCCCGCCATACACGCCATCGTACGCTTGGCCACCCACTCCTCTCGGCACCCCGCCGACTGTCGCCGTGCCCTACGGCGCATCCTATCTCCCGCCGGTGTCAAATGGGTCTTATGCTCAATCACAACAAGTCCACGCTCATGCGTTGCCACCTCCACCTCCGCCGAACCTGCCTCCTGCATTTGACCGACCATCACATCCCGAAACATCACTTGCTCCCGCCGGTGCACCGCCCGGTATGGCTGCCTTCCCCGGCCGATCACCCCGCCCAATGCACGAGCAGCCGCCACACAGAAGCCCCCCGACCTACGCACATCATCCCCAATCTCACTTGGGTGCATCACCACGAACGTCGGGTGATGCTATTGCTCACATCAATGGTCCTGCGCGCAGCCCTCACCTGGTGAAGCAGGGTTCTCCCGCTTCATTACAGCCTCTGAACCCCATCGGCACGCCTCCCAAGCTCCCAGAATCATCAAGTTCCGGCACAGTCCCCAGCATCGGTGCTTTGATGAACGGTGCCTCGCTGGCTCCGTTGTCTTCGGCGACTGGCACTCCCAGTGGTCCTGGCTCCAGTCCAAATGCCAATGGCGGCAGCAGTGGCGAAGGACCTCGGGATATCCCCAACGAGAAGCTTGGATTCGGCGGCGAGGACATGAGAGCCCTCCGCCAGCTCGATCGGGTTTTCATCTAAAAAGTAAAAGGAAAGGAGAAAAAAAAATCTTTTACGCCTCGACCCAACCTCTGGTTATCATTTTTATTTTTTATTTTCCCGGCCGTTTCAACCGTGTTATTTCTTATGATTGAGATTGTGTTTTCTGTGATATCCTTCCTCGTTTGCTTTTGTTCTTTTCCCCCTTTGGATCTTCCCAGTTGTCATGAGCATTTGTTGCATGGGTCGGGGCAAATATGCGCCCTCTTTTTCCTTCTGTCTTTTGCGTTAAGGTTATGGCTCGGAAGGTTTCAAAGGGAATCTATTAGGGGGCCATTTCATACATACTTCATTATCTTGCATTGGGATCGGTCTACACGGATGGGATACGGTTCTGTTTCTTCCGGTATCTACTTAGTCAAAGGCTTGCTTCTATGTTTATTGGTATGTCTTGTGCACTCCATTTACTGTAATATTCGTGCCTTAAAGCCCCCGCCTTGGTAGCGATCGGCTCTGCGATCACGGGGAGAGCCGCTCTTGAGTACTCAGAGATGACAACCTCGCCTTCTCCATTTCCACGAAGGTCGGTGTGCATATCGCTCGAGCCGGGCCGGGGGGGGGGGGGGGGGAATGGCTGCCTCGGGCCCCCAAAATACTGGCCGTCAGGCTTGGCTAGTCAGTTCGCTAGGCGGAATCCCCATCTTCTGGGCGTCCTTGAGGGGTGCGACATATTCTTGCACGGGGAAGCTGGGTGTGCGGGAGTCAGCGAAGTATCCCAGTCCAGAGCTTGCGCCAGTATAGTCCTCCGGGCGGTTCAGAAGCAGTTGGACAATTTCTTGATCCTCTTTCTCAATGGCGATTGCCAGAGCAGTCTTTCCCTCCAGATTTTGAATTGTCATAGATGCCCATCCGACTTTAAGTAAGTAGCAATTTCCTGATTGCTAGCTGTAGTGCAATGTCTCCATTCTTATCCGGGAGATTCACATCTACCCCTGGATCAGTGAGAAACATTTTGACAATACTATCATCTCCAAGCTTGACAGTCAGTGACAGTGGCGTGGTCCCATCTGCACTGCAACAGTTGGGGTCAACGCTTTCTGTGCGAAGAAGTATCCGGGCAGTATCAGCATGCCCTCCTTCACAAGCCAACCATAAGGCAGTCTGACCCGATGAGTTTTTGGTGTTCAGCTCACTCGAATCGATGTTGGCAAGCACTCGTTCAAGAATTTGCGTTTTCCCGAGCCTAGCAGCAGCCAAGAGAGTCTCGGGATCTGACAAAGACGGAAATCGCATGTCTGGAAAGCGGCTCTTGATTTCATCACAAACCTGCGAAGCAGGTAAGGCATATGAAATATCCGGTTCCATATCCGCTACGATCACTCCGAAGATTGAATCGTCCTGGGCATTTATAACCCATGATCCGCAGTTTCCAGACACTGAGTTCAGTTAGTGTGTCGTTTTGTTTCCGTTAGCTAGTGGGCACACTAACCTGGCGCCATCTTCAAGGCCCAGACGTCTTGGAACCCAAATGTTGGCACGTACAATCCGCATTTTGTGTCAGAGGCAGTCGTTTCAACAGGTGGTCCAGTGCCAACAGCTGCCCATAGAGGCCTGTCCGAATGACCAGACGAAGCTTTACTAGGGAAAGCAACAGTATCCTTTAAAATAAGGGAGTTGAGGAGAAGCTTGCTTTTGTCGAGGTTGTTCAAGCGAACAAGAGCCCAGTCAGATTCCAGGGAATAGAAAGATCGCTCACGAGGAATCGATCCCAGCTCTTTAGAATCCGAAGGGTAATAAGCCGTGTCTGCTTCGATCATCGTCTCAGGATTTCCTGCATCTGAATGATTGCTTGCGAAATCGCTTCCCACACTGTCGTCGTCGTTGTTGGACTCCTCTTCATTTGAAGAATCACCTTCGTCGTAGGTTTTGAGGAATGGGTGGACCACTGTGAGACCGTATATTTCCCCTCCAACAATAACTGTGCCTCCCATGGTGGCCACTCTCGACAAACGTTTACCCTCGGCACTCCCAACTTGGAATTGTTGCCCACAGAGATTTATTGTATCTTTCAGTTCCACCCCTAAGGCGTCATAAGGCGAACCCATGTTCAAGGCAATTTTGCTCTCAAAGCCATAAACCCGAAACCCCCAGTTGAACAGCCCACCATGCTTTTCAACAAGCTTAACAGCCTGTTTCGTGACTTTCGCGTTCGCACAGATGACAACCGCAGCAGGATGACTAGAATGCCATTCGCGGCCGATCATCCAACAGGTGACGGAGTAGGGACTCTGTTTTTTGATCTTGTGGTAGATCTTTTTGCCGTTGTCTTTCAGAAGAGGCTTGAGGATGTTGGGGTAGACGACCGTGTTCCACGTCTCGCACACTTTATTCGCGGGACTCCAGGCATATTGGCCGTTGAAGGCCCATGAGCGTTGCTGGTCGACCGATGCCTTCTTCTCGTCCGCGCTTAGCCCATCCCAGAATGTCGGTACTTTTGTTGTTCTGGGTGCCTCGGTCTGCACGCCCCAGTCGGAGATTCGACCGAATAGCGTTTGCGTTTGTGTGCGGACGGCCATGGCGAGAGGAAGCTGAGGCTGCCGTTGCCACCTCGTCTCTTGGGTGTGCTAACATTCTGCAAACCCAAACCCCTCGTCTCTCTCAGGTAGGCTGCCTATTTTACCAGGGTGTGTGAACGCTTTCCCAAATCTGGTCATTAGAAGCGGTGATCCTTCAGCCGCCGCCACGTCCTTTAGGAGGCTGTGTTGGGGAAACAGAACGGACTTCAGGGAACGACTATTTGAGAGATGCAACTGCTATTACTTCTCTGATATGAGGGAAGATGGACAACAATCCGGAGTCAAATTTGATAGATCTCTCGCAATTGACCCTCGGGAAATCCGCGACCGACTGCAAAACCTCAACCCTCAAGGCCAGCTTACTCCCACAGCTATGGAACCTTCCCGCCGACCAAAGTCTAGAAGCCTCCGATGCGTGCGTTCGTGGAGTACTACATGAGCCAGCGGGTCCTGATCGAGGCCCAGGGGCTCAATCTCCACACACACCAGGACCTGATCGACCTGATCAATTTCGTTCGGGCTCGGATAGGCATCCCGCAGAGTCAGCTGGTCGCCAATTTTCGCAAGGAATATGACTGTGTTGGTCCGGCGCTGCCGGCTATCGAAGTGGCGGTTCGCATCTGGCTGTTAGTCTCTATTGATGAGTGGGAACCGCGCCAGTCGCTGCAGGAGTACATCTGTGTGCTATTTCCGCGGATCGATCCTCCTCTGTTACCCGACGAATTTGCTTTTCCTTTGTCGTTTAATATCACCAATCTTAGACTGATCGGCGGGTTTGAGATTGTCTGGACCGAGTGCCTGCATGATCATCTTTCGTTCAGTGTCGATGAAGAGCAGAAGAAGGAATTGAAGATCTTTCATTTGTCTTCGTTCCTGCAGGGGTACCGTTATAGTTCGTGGTACGTACATTCCACCCACCCCCACAAAGCGTAATAACTGCATGTAGTATTATTGTCTCACTAGATGGATCTGGTTCTATAGTTCCATATTCCCTCCGGGCCTCCTCGAAGAAACAGCCCAATCTCTCTCCCTCCTCTTCCCATCCTCCAACCTGAAATGCCAACGGTGGCTGCGCAAGGCCCGTCGGCGCGAGGATATCGACCTCGAAGCCGGACTGCTGCCTGCGACATCACGTACTATCACCCAGTACCCCTACTGGGGGCGGCAACTGCTCGAGCTTCGGGATGAGTACGACCGAACAGAGCCGACAACAGTTAAGCAGTGGATTGCGGATAAGCGGAATCCGAACCAGCGGTATACGTTTTGGATTGCGGTGGTAGCGTTGGCCCTTGCGCTCGTTTTTGGGTTTATTCAGTCTGTCACCGGGATTCTACAAGTCGTCCAGCAGCAGCGGCGTTGATTACGCATTACTAGATTGGGAATGGGGTGTAGGGTAGAGTTCAGGGCGCAGCGAATACGGAAAATCAAAGTTATGATCTGCTACTAGGAAAGCATGCTAAATTGGTAGATTGGAATAAAAATGGGAATTGAAAGGAAAGTAATTTAGTTTGGCCTTCCCTACCCCGAACTTCGTTACTTCTGGCCCCCGAGCTGCTAGCAGGGGTTGTTCAGCTCTCCCGAAGTGAGCCCGTTCCAGACTCGGCACACTTTCCTTTTGCTCCCGCCGGGTCAGGTGGACAGGTCGCACAGGCTCCCATTAATCCGGTGCCCGATCTTTCCCCTGTCTTGCTTGCCCCCTGCTGCCTCCGCATTCCGCCCATTGATTTGTCCTCCTTTGTCTTGTCTGTCTTTGTTGCAATATTAATTAATGCTGGTCAGGCTCCACAGCGGGAGACGGACACGGGAGGAACCTTGCCCTAACGAACGAGACCGGGCCGGAGACCCGCCAAATAATCACGTCGTAGTCTGGTAATAGACAGACACCTACGCGGGCCATGAGTGAAAATGCCTCCTTTCAAAGATGATTGGTGCAAAAGCGATCTCCGAGGGTTTCGCTTCTCCTGCCCAACCGGTCGCTGAAGATGAAAGGTGGCTGGGCCAGACTCCGCCATTGCAGACATGCCTCCCTGCCCCCTCTCTCTGGTCGGCTAACGCACTAGGATCAGGCAACTAGCAGGGATGCCTCCGACATCCCCTAAACTCTCGCGGGTTTCCGCTCTGGGTGATCCGGCCTCAGCTGGACCCGATGACGGGTAAAGGAAAGCCCAAAGGTTAAACCGATACGAGGGCGTTTCCCTGTTGGTCTCCCGGCAGATCCCTCGAGCCTTGCAGCTCGTCGAAACCCCACCAGCACGAATCGCCACATTCCGACGGTCGAGTGACAGGCTGCTGATCTGGGCTTCGTAATAGGCCCCCCAACCCTGTCTATTCCCTGCAGCGGACGTCCGTGCTGGAGTCGTACCGAGACGATCTGGCCCACTTACCCCAGATTGAGCAGGGAGGCAGAGAATTTCCGTCCCGGCTAGACGGCTCTGGAGGATCCTGGAGAGACCTAGAGTCCGGAGCGAGTCGCCTGGCAAAGAGGGGAAGCGTAAGCCGCTCGGGGTATCCCGGTGAGAGAGCAAGGTGACATAAATACATTTGTCGTTGGTTAGTTAGTGTGGGGGAGGGGAGTTAGTGGCTGCAAGTGTTTGAGGCACAAACATGACCCGATCTGCGAGGAAGTTTAACCGCGACGATGATCCATTGAGGAAGTTGACAAGTGAAGAAGACCCCCACGTTCGAAGCTAAGAGCAGCATTAGTTCGTAACTACTTAACGACGCTCTCGTCAGCGTGTGGATCGAATCACTTCCCCTCCTCCTCTCCCGCATCCCTCCCATGTCCATCAGCCAATGTTGTCCATGCAGGGTTCTCCCACACCTGCTCGCCTGAGTGACCTCGATCCCTCTTCTTCTCTCACGCTCACCCCCTACCGAGCGAGCACCTCTTTATCCACCAGCACGGCTAGTCCCGATGATGGTTCCAGCGAGTCGCCCGACAGCGGCACTAGCTCGTCGAAATTCTTCTCGCCGGTGAACGACTTCCCTCCGTCGCTGCAGATGGACCTCATGTCCCCCAAGATCGAGGAACTGGATGACGATGACCTCCAAAACATCAAGTCGGCCAGGGTGGAGACCGCCCCGGGCGCATCCGTGGCTGTTCCACGGAAACGTGGGCGCCCGCGCAAGCATCCGCTGCCCACTCCCGGGAGCCAGGCCAAGGTGACCAAGGGCCGCTCCAAGACGGGGTGTATCACCTGTCGGAGGAGGAAGAAGAAATGCGATGAGACTAAGCCTGCGTGCCTCAACTGTCAGAAGAATGCCGTCGTCTGTGAGGGGTATCCGCCCAAGGAGATCTGGAAGAGTGGACGACAGAAGCAAGCGGATGGTCAGTCTGCTTTTTATATCAAGATGTGTAAATCCCTATGTCTGACTTTGCTCCCCCAGCTCGAACTCACTCCCTCGCCGCCGTGCCACGCCACCTGCCCCTCCTTATCGACGGCATCGAGACCGATATCGATCGCCGCTTTCTCGATCACTTCGTCTACGGCTTCAGTCGCGTGCTAACCCTCATCAACGATGACTCGAACCCGTTCAAAGAGATCCTGCTCCCCATGGCCACCCAACACCGCGGCCTGATGCACTCCCTCATGTGTCTGTCGGGGTCGCACTTGTCCGGGCTGGATCCCGAGCCGAAGCTGATAGACCGCAAGTACTTTCACTTCCATCGCGCCATCCAAGACCTCAAGGACAATATCCTTGCAACATCACCCTCGTCATCATCACCGCAAGCCTCGAGCGAGGACCAAGAGCTGCTCGTGGAAGACCCGATCATTGCATCCACCATCGCGCTCAGTCTCAACACCATCTGCGAAGGCGAGACTAACGGCGAATACCGTCCACACATGGATGCCGCCCGGTATCTGCTCCTATCGCAGCAACCACGCAATGAGAAGTTCCGCCAGTTCATCGTCGAGTTCTTCCAGTACCACGATGTTTCGAACTCTCTCACCTCGCTCGATCGCAGACCCGCCCTGCTGCACAGTAACCTGCGTCTCCCCGAGTTCGTCCCAGGCGCTCAGGCAGGCATGTTCCTGGGTGTCTTTGACGGGCTCTTCAACTATATCTCAGAGGTGACCCAGCTCCGCGACCGAATCCGCGAACGCTTCGACCAAGGCTACGAGCCCGCAGTGGACTACCAAACCCTCAGCGAAGCTGTCTCCATCGACACCGCCGTCCGCAGCTGGGAGACGTCACACGAGCCCGACACGCCCAACTGGTTCCTAGCCCAGTTATACCGCCAAACGACCTGGGTATACCTGTACCGAACAATCCGGCCCTCCCGCCCAAGCGACAAGATCAGCCAAGTCGTCGACGACGGCCTATCTTATCTAGACCAGCTACCGCAGGATGCAGGCGCATATAGCATTGTTCTCATGCCGCTGTTTCTGCTCGGTTGCTCGGCATTTATCCCCGAGCAGCGCGAGCGCATCCGGAAGGGCTTCGATGCGCTCAAGGCGTACTCGAATCTGCGCAATATCGAACCTGCTTTCAAAGTAGTTGCGCGCGTATGGGAAATTATGGATACGAAAATGGAAGATAGCTGGGATTGGGAGAAGATTATCCGTGATATGAACATGGACTTCCTCATCACCTGAATTCTTTTTGCATGTTGTTTCTGATTTTGATACCCGGTTTCTATCTTTCCCTTATTATTTCCCCGACTTGACGAAATGTACTTTGGGATCGGGCTGTACCACCTGGCGTTTGATGTTGATTATGGGTTTTGCATTATTGGTTGGTTGGGCTGGTTTGAGGCGATATCGCGGAAGGCCAAGGGGAGGGCAAAAACACACCAGGACAATATCCTGGATGGGGGCTATCTGTTTTCTCGTTCTTCTTCCACTTCCGCGTCAGTGATCTGAGCTGCCAAAATTGACTTGGGTTGGTGTTTGGATGCATGGATGGATGAAGAGAAACCCTAGTTAATAGTTTCGACAAATAATTTGGCTGCGCAGTTGTATATACTCCCGTCCATCATCTGTTCAAATCTCCACCTCTCCCCTAGTCGCATCTAGGCTCCGCAGAAACAAGCAAGAAATATGGCCGATGCCTCTCCCTCTCCCACTCCTTCTTCGCCGCCACATCCTCCCTCGACGGCGCCCACTCCTTCAGTCCCGTAACCACAAACCCACTCTCCAGCAGCAGCGTAACATACGTTTCAATCGTGCGATGATACTTCCTCACTCTCTCGGAACCTAACCAGCTCGTCTCGCGCAGTCCTTCCTCACAGTAGGAATTTAGTGGCCACACGGTATATGTAGTACCTTTCTCTTCCTCGCCTTGTTCACCCCGCTCCCTTCCTTCCTCCTTCACAGCAGCAACAGCAGGAATATCCCTCCACTCTTGCGGAGGGTATACAGGCGCCGAGAAGACAGGATGCTCAACCGAGAAAACCAACTTCCCTCTTTTAGAATTGTTTTGACATGGAGAACCCGAACTTGAACCTCCCTTAACCAAACACGCGTGAATCTGCCGGAACAGACTCCCCAGATTCGATATGTAGTGGAATGCCAGCGAGCTATACACGACATGGTATGTATCGGGATCGGTTTGGTCGAGGGTGAGAGTCTCCAGATCATGGTGCTGATAGGATATCACATGCTTGGATTTCGGGGCACTGTCATAACCACCGTCATCGCTGTCGAACTTCTTCGCCCGCTCAATCATCCGCTCTGATACATCGATCCCCCTAACGAAGTCTGCGCACGCGCTATCCCGTGCCCAGCGGCTGAACCAGCCATATCCGCAGCCCAGATCAAGGACTTTGCAGTTTTGTAGTCCGTTCGTTGTTTCGGGGTTGGTGTTACTGGTGTTGGCATTGGTGTTGCTGTTATTGCTCAGAACCATATCACGCAGAACGGGCCATTCCGGAGCCCCCCTGAGCCCGTGTTGCGAGCGGGGGAGCGTGCTGTACGCAGTGAAGAAGTCGGGGTTGTCGTAGATGTTTTGCGTTTGGGGTGGCATGGTGGTGCTGGTGGTTGCTTGCTTCCTGTACACGGTAGTTGTTTACTAGTATTATTGATAGAGGTGTAGATTTCTGTAATGGGTAGATAGAGTGCCGGCGGCTTCACCCGAATTTAACATTTCCCTTATTGGGTGCCCGACATAAAGTTGTCATTCCATCATTCCAACATCTTCTTTAATCTTAGATCTAATCGCTGCACAATCCAGAAATAGGAAGCGACCTTCCTCAATTTACAAATTATGTCTGCGTCATGTCCGTCGAGGTAAACAATACATCTAGCCAAATTGATCCTACTAGAACACAAAATGGCACCGGAAAGCCGACTAAGCAGATAATCGACGTCGCTGAGCGCTATGACGAGGTTAACGGGAGGTTCCCTTTCTCTGGAACAGTCGTCGTCTACCGTTCCAACGGACATATTTTCCACTGTTGGCTTAAGGGCGTGCAGAAGCCACCATCAAGTGAACTACAGTCTCGTCGACATCCAACCGGTGCAAGTGACACTGATCCCTCCTGATACGTACGCACCAGTTTATTCTCTAGATGGATCGCTCTCAATAGCTCCGGATCCTTTACCACCAAATGTCTTCGTTAAGCGCGCTTGCCTCACGAGTTTCGATGGATATATCTACCGGAACCGCTCCAAGGATATTGCTAATGCCGTTTTGGCCGAGGAGGAAGTTCTGAAATACTTAAACGCAACCCACACCCAAACATTGCAAAGTACCCCGGCTGTGAGGTTTCCTGCGATTGGTGCATCATTGGACTTCGTTGGACGGAGCTAGGCGATTCATTAATGCAGCGCAAATTCATAGGAAAGAGAGCATCCAAATATATCCCTGGCAAGTTAGGCGACAAAGATGGGATTTTGGAGAAGATCAAGGCCGGTATCTTACACCTTCACCGATTAGGCCTTGTCCATAATGATATCAACCCCGTGAACATTTTGCTAGACCAGGATGATAGTCCGGTCATCTGTGATTTCAACTTCTACACACCTGTTGGACATAGCTTGGATGCTATTGGACGAACATATGAGTGGTATGATGAAAATGTACAATTTGCAGATCCAAGGAATGACTTGGATCCTTTCGAGGAGATATGTGAGCGAGTGGCTACGTGAGGATAACGGAAGAATTTCCTCTTCGCGGCATAGCCAGCGGGTATATGTATCGATGAAAACCGTTACGTAGCGAATTGTGGTAGTTGTGACATACCAGAGCAGCGTCTACGGTCTGTTTGAAGGCTTTGAAGTTGATCAGCTACTGATTGCCGGAGGTGGCAAATTGGAGAATCAACAGACATCCCCCAAGCCCCGTAGTTCATGGATTGTTCGAATATTCACGTGTCATCCACGCGACAGACTGTCACCTACCAATCCAGTTTAGCGCAAATAGACAGGGTCTTCCCATCCGGATCGCAAGATATCCGAACCAATCACACGGGCCGCGTTAGTGACTATCCTTATTCCCTACTCCTCGCTGTTTTGTGGGGGTCGCAACCCCGTGTGTTCATGTCTTCTGGTGAGACCAAATGAGCAGTCGTCGGAAAGAATCTACCTTTCCACCGCTCTCAGCTCTCAGGCGTGTTGTTGAGGATTGCGCTGGGCCTGGACCTCGATCATCACTTGCGGTCACCGTCGCTAGGTTCTTCTATCTCAGAACCCCAAAAATCCCCCAAATTCAGGAGATGACGGGGCGTCATAAATAAATACCCCACACTGGTATGGATAACGACGATAGTATTACCGAGCTCAGCGTCCAGAAGGAGGCCGAGATCAACGAGGTTGCTGCACTGCAGGACGCCGTGTACAACCTCGCTTTGCGCGATGTCGACCCGGTCAATGTCAACGTGAGCAATCTGTCGCTCGATGTCAACACCGCGCCTCCACTATGGGAGACCTCGCCCTCGCAGTTTTGGCGCCGGATTCGCGGCCAGCAGCAGCCCGAGGCCATGAGAAAGACAGTCCTCAATGGCGTGAATGCCGCCATGCCCAGCGGTAGCTTGACGGCCATCATCGGCAGCAGTGGGTCGGGCAAAACGTCGCTGCTCAACCTCATGGCTGGTCGGATGGCTGTTTCTCGGGCCAAGGGCTCGGGAACGACGACTTTCAACGGCAGTACGGACATTGAAAGTATCCGCAGCGCCTATGTCATGCAGGAAGATGTTCTCATCCCGACGCTGACGGTCCGCGAGACTTTGCGATACTCGGCTGACCTCCGGCTGCCACCGCCGACGACCCAAAACGAGCGACACGCCATTGTTGAACAGGTGATCCTCGAGCTGGGCCTGAAGGAGTGCGCGAATACGCGCATCGGTACCACCGCCCACAAGGGCTGCAGTGGCGGCGAGAAACGCCGCACCAGCATCGGCGTGCAGCTGCTGGCAAATCCATCGGTGTTGTTTTGCGACGAGCCAACGACAGGACTAGACGCCACCAGCGCCTTCCAGATTATCAGGACCTTGAAACGGCTAGCTCAGGATGGCCGGACGGTTATTGTCTCAATTCATGCGCCACGCTCCGAGATTTGGAGCCTCTTTGATAACGTGATCCTCCTAGCTCGAGGCTGTACGTTGTACAGCGGACCAGTCAACGGATCACTGCCTCATTTCGAGGAATGTGGACACACCCTCCCCCCGTTTGTGAATCCAGCGGAATTCCTGATTGATTTGGCCGCCATCGATAATCGAACTGAGGCATTGGAGGCTGCGTCTCACGTTCGGGTCGACAATCTTCTAGAGGCCTGGAAATCCAGACAGGCTACCACAATTGACGACGACAAAGAAAAGAAGGCACCTACAAACCCCGAACTGAGCTCAATTGAGGCCACCTCAACGAAGAAAGTCTCGTTTCGTCGCCAGTTCCGTGTGCTAACCTCCCGCACATTCAAAGTCACCATCCGGGACCCGATGGGAGTGGCTGGAAGTCTCTTTGAAGCTGTTGGCATGGGCGTGATCTGCGGATGGATCTTCCTGCAGCTCGACGAAAGTCTTGCAGGCATCCGCTCGCGCCAAGGCAGCTTGTACACAGCCAGTAGTCTGAACGGCTATCTCATTATGTTGTACGAGACATATCGACTGACGATCGACATTCGACTCTTTGATCGGGAGCGGAATGAAGGTGTGGCCAGTGTGCCAGGGTTCCTACTCAGTCGACGCGCTGCGCGTCTCCCACTGGAGGATCTGCCCGTGCCACTGCTGTTTTGCATCATCTACTACTTTATGGTCGGATATCGTATTGACACGGCACAGTTCTTCATCTTTTTCGTCCTGACGGTGCTCACACACTACATCGCCGTGACCTTTGCGGCTGTTGCGATCGGAATCGCCCGAAACTTCCCCGGCGCAAGTCTGGCGGCCAATCTCTGTTTTACGATTCAGTCCTTTGCATGCGGCTACTTTGCGCAGGCCAACCAGATTCCGGTTTACGTGAGGTGGATCAAGTGGTGCGCTTATACCTTCTATATCTTCGGAGCGCTTTGCGCAAACGAGTTCATTGGTGTCAACACTCCCCCGTATGGCCATTTTTACGACTGTCCATACTCCAATAACCCACTCGACCCAGCATGCAAAGAATATACTGGTCGCTATATCATGGACAGCCTGGGGCTGCCGTCTAACTGGATCTGGCGGCCAATTGTTGTGATGGTTGCCTTCGCCATTGGCCACTCCTTGCTGGCAGGCTTGTTACTACAATACAACCGCTTCGCGATGGACATTGCTCAGGCTCGACGATCCGAGGGCGATCCCTCAGGCAGGAAAGCTAAGATTGCAGTTCGTGCAGCCGAAGAAGTCCGACGTGTGGCCATATGTCTCGACCAGTACTCACTGGAGATCCGCAAGCGAAGGTTCCCATGGAAAAAGGCGCAGAAATTACAGATTTTGCGGCCCATTACTGCGGAATTCCATTCAGGACAATTGAATATCATCATGGGCCCTTCCGGGAGTGGCAAGACGTCGCTGCTTAACTCAATTGCTCGGAGGCTGCACGGGTCCATGGGAACACAGTACCGCGTCAATGGCAATATGCGTTACAATGGGGCTGTGCCATCAGAGAGCGTGATTCGATCTGTAACATCTTTTGTAACGCAGGACGACGATGCCCTGATGCCATCTTTGACGGTCCGGGAGAGCTTGCGATTCGCGGCAGGACTACGACTGCCGACATGGATGTCACGCGATGAGAAGAATCGCCGCGCAGAGGAGATTCTATTTAAGATGGGTCTCAAGGAGTGCGCAGACAATCTTATTGGCAGCGAATTGATCAAGGGAATCAGCGGCGGCGAGAAGCGCAGAGTGACCATCGCCATCCAGATCCTGACAGATCCCAAAGTGCTGCTGCTAGATGAGCCCACTTCCGGGCTGGACGCTTTCACGGCTATGTCCATCATCGAGGTGTTGCAGGGCCTCGCTGCCGAAGGCCGGACTCTGATTATGACCATCCACCAGTCCCGTTCCGATCTGTTCAGCCATTTCTCGCAGGTCCTGCTCCTGGCCCGCGGCGGATATCCCGTATACGCGGGGAAGGGAGAGCAGATGCTCCCGCACTTTGCGGCATTGGGACACGAGTGTCCCAAAGCAACGAATCCAGCAGACTTTGTTTTGGATCTGATTACCGTCGATCTGCAGCAGGAAGACCGTGAAGCCATTACGCGCGAGCGTGTCCAGCATCTAATCGGCTGCTGGACGCACGCTACCCCAGAACTTGGGCGAGTGAACTCCCAGATCGCAACGCCGGCGGAACTGGGCAGTCTAAAACGCCAAATGCTGCCCTTCCGAGTCACGTTTCCACTGGTACTGCACCGTTCGACCATCAACTTCTGGCGCCAGCCACCGCTGGTGATGGCGCGGTCGATGCAGGTTGTGGGAATTGCGATTATCATGGCACTGTTCTTTGCGCCGCTCAAGAATGATTATCCGGCAGTGCAGTCGCGGATGGGCTTCGTCCAGGAGATTGCGGCGTTATACTTTGTGGGTATGTGATTTTCTGTCCTTGGTTTACTCTCGACCTATTTACTAACAATCTGCCCAGGCATGCTCCAAAACATCGCCATATACCCCAGCGAGAGAGATGTGTTTTATCGCGAAGAGGCAGACAACTGCTACTCCGCAGAGACATTCATCCTATCTTATACAACACTCGAAGTGCCCTTTGAGGTCGCGTCCGCGCTACTCTTCGGAATCCTCGCCGTCTACGCCGATAATATGAAGCGCAGCGTGAAAATGCTCCTCATCGCGGCCTTCAACTGTTTCTGCATCATCAGCTGCGGCGAGTCCTTGGGGATAATGTTCTGCACGCTCTTCTCACATGTCGGCTTCGCCGTCAACGTGACCTCGATCATGCTTTCTATCTCCACAATACTAGGCGGAGTCATGAGTCTCAACGTCAACAACGTACTGCAGGGCCTCAACCATCTCTCGCCGATCAAGTATTCCATTGCCAACCTGGCACCCTACTCCATGCACGGCCAGCATTTCGACTGCACGCCCGCTGAGCGCCTTGCCAGCGGCCAGTGCCCGATTACTTCGGGCGAGCAGGTGCTGAAGCTTTATAATCTCGACAAGAACGGGCCTATGAATATCATGGCTCTGGGCGTGTGCACTATCGCCTACCGGGTCGTTGCCTACGCTCTGCTCAAGGTGGTGACATCGCACCGGGTCATGGAGCGCTGGCGCGAGTGGCGGCGGGCGCGACAGAATCCATAACTAGTTCTTTGTTTCTATGATACCCGAATCAGAATAATAGCAATTTTTGTCTCACTTGCCGTTTCCTTTTCCTACCTTGTAGTAACTATATAATTATACAATGGGATAACTCGGCCGGAACTAGTTCTGGGGTCACACATACACAACCCCCACATAGATAATCGCCTCCCTCTCATGCCGGAGTATGTTTCAAGATCCCCGGACGAGAGCACATGGCCAGACGTTTTACCTCCACACTCTTACATCTTAATTCTCTCTTAAGTTCAATCTGTAAGCATAATCTGTAACATAGACCTAAAGCCGAAGTGCCCGACCTTGGGGCCAAAACACCTGGCTTTTTGAGAGCCAACAGCCCCGATCCTTTAGGGGGCCAAGAGCGTAATACAGATCTAGAGCCAAAACACACGATATTTTGATGGCCCATAGTCCCGATATTCCGGGGGCCAAGAGACTTGATTGGATGCTCAGGACCAACTCTGGCGATGAAACCCTTCCTGTTGTCTACTATATTTTATGTTTGGCTACGGCCTCTCAAGCCCGCAGGTGAAAACCCGACCCCTACGAACGGCCTTCAGCCTCAACCTAGGAGCTCCCAGGCGGACTTGTGGGGCACACGCTCACTGCACTCCCCTGTCTCTATTCCACACGTCTGGAATGAGGTATAGTCAACCGGCTAACCGCCGCGCACTTTGCTTGAAATGCCTTCTAAGGACGCAATTATGTACATAAATCCATAGCTTGGCACGTCCCTATCCCATGGGGTTTCAGGAGCTCAGGCTACGCCAGCGTCCCGTTGAACGTTAATAATAACCAACCAACCAACCAACTATTGTTTCATAAAACTAGCGGACCCTAAACTTGGCTACCTACTATTCGCAGTCTTTCCCCATAGGTTGATCTTGCCCGGTGGGATTGATCCTTCACTCCTTCATAAACTAGGTCTACGGGCCAAAAGCCTTGATTTGATGCTTAGGCATTCCAATTACCCCGAAGCTCGCGTGTCCCATGCTGCTCCTTAATAAACTCTAAAATTATATTTTTTAAAGTTCCCCTTGGTATTCACTAGTACTTACAGTACTATGTTTATATTTAGATACATAGCATTAGTGTCATACAGCGGCTCCTCTTAGGTCCCGCACCTCCCCCACACTGCCATTCTTCCTAGCGTAAACTAAGGACGCATAGGATATATAAGATAATAATAATACAGCTAAGTATTGGAGATAATGATGCAGGCGTACCACAGAGAAATTTACCATGTAGTCAGATGTGACAATGATGGAGTGTCGATGGTATTCAGTCTATCTATCCTGTCTATATTTATAGGTGCAGAGAAGCGAGTAGATTCTGCATTGTAGGTATTGTATCGGGTCACAGTTTCCTTAGTAGGAGGATCAGCTGATTCAGCATCAGGATGCAGCGGTTGGACCACCTGGTAAATTACCTGCAGAGAATTTACCCTGATACTAACCCTTTACAGCGGTGTTCCAAAAGTCTGAAACCCGTTACCCGCTTAGGCGGTGCGTTGAGGGTTTCAGACTTACGGAATGTCCCTGTAGACGCTCTCAACGAAAACCTTTGTATTGCCTACAATGATCTACTTTCTAAAGTGGATCATAAGGTTTATCATAATTTTAAAAAAAGAGGCGAACCGCAGAAGGTCATCGAAGTAGTTTATCATTGATCGGCTACGCTTAACCTCCCATAACAATTTGCATTTGTGCTGAGGCGGCCGTTTCTGGCGTCAAAGGAGGCTATGATCAAGTCCGTGTCACGGGCTAGAGCCTGTACTATACCCGTACCATTTCGCGGCTTTGCCGCCCCCACCGTCGTCCCGTGCTACCCCCACCCCTTTAAATCTAGCCTATCTTAGCTAGTCTGGCCTTCTCTCTTCAAGCTTCTTCTGCACAGTTTGCGGCGTAGTCGATTTGAACCCTTGTTGACCCTAGCCCTTCCTAATCATGTACTAATTCATTGTCTGGGGGTTTCTTAGAACGCTTTGAGCGTAGCGAGGGCTGCGAGGCCTGACTGAGAAGTCCGAATATTACCATTTCTGTAGAAGGTTATACCCACTCACAATAGAGGGATACGGCTGTAAGCGTTGGGAAGGAAGATGATGTTGATTGCTATCTGGATAAGTGCGTACATGACTCGTTAGTTCTCTGCACTATGAAATGGCTTCTCGCGAATATAATTAGTTACTAACTCTAAGTAGTATACCGCAGTGCTACTCTTAGTAGATGTACGGCTGATCTATGCTTTCAGCCCGTAAATTGGGGGGCGCCGCAGCTTGGGCCTCCTTGGTCCAGCTAATCCCCTCTGTTCTTCTGAGCATATCCTATTTTACCGATTTGAGATAGCGAATCCCTGTCAACCTCACACGAGATAGAAAGAGTTGGGACGTTACTTAGTCCCTCTAGCAAGGGTATAAGCCTTCTCAATAGGGAAAGAGTCCAGTAATCTCTACGAGCCTTGCGTATACCAAAATAGTATACCTATGAAATATATAAATATATAAAGGGGCCATCCGTCCGATGGCTAGCCTATTTACATCTCTATTATTCTCTCCATCCTCTATCATTTTCTCCATTCATCATGTATCTCTTTACCGCCTTTATAGCCGTTGCTACCTTGCTTTCGAAGCTAGCTTCGGGCTCTCCTATGCCAGATATAGGAAGCAAACATCTCCCTGATTCTGTTCCTTCTTCTCAACCATCTTCCTACATACACGGTTCTACTTCCCCGATAGTTTTGAACATGACTTCGGAGGATTTTGCTGCTATGGGACATATCATCGTGGATTCTAAGGGCAACCATATCGGCAGCAACCTCAACGATATCGATACTGCCCATGTTCGACGGGATGATCAGTTCACTGCTTTTCGCCAGATCGACGATCCAAACCCCCATCAGAACTACATGATTACCCAGAAGGGCGGGACAGTAGTCAATTGTCCAGGAACGACAACTTCTGGTCTTTCTCAGGGGTTTTCATGGGCAGTTTCCGGCGGAATCGTCGCTTCATTTCTCAATGCCGGATTTTTCGTTAGTGAGACAACAACTGTCTCAAACACGGCAAGCTTCGAGTGTGCCTCCGACACAGATTCTATTTGTGTTTTATTCTACCAAGCTGTGACTGCCTATACCGTTGAGGTGCAACGAGGAAGTTTTATGGGTTTCTCCTCCGACATCTCGTGGTACGATGATGGGACGACAGTTATATATGCTCCTAATTCGGGGTCTCTGGGTAGTACCACGGGTCGTGGTATAAACGTCAACGCGCGGGGCATCACACAATGTTGGGGAGACGATGACAGAACCGTGACATTTGCCTGTGGTCCACCTGGAGATGCTGATTATTGGAACTACCAGGATCCTGGGCCCTGGAACTCTGACTATGTCGCTAATATGGAACCGGCCGGCTGTGCCATCCCTATCGAGGCGTTTCGCTTCACTGATGTGTAGGATTCTGCCACCTACAGTACTGGGTTATTTGGCTTCCGTTTTTGTTTTGTCAAGACATAAGTGATTTAGTCACTTTACAGAATCAGAGATTTATTGCTATTCGTGAATTTCACATCTAGATTGTTCTGTAAGTATCCCTTAATTTCACGCACTAGCAGTGATATGGAATCAGAGTACCCGTCCTCTAGAAGTCAGACCCTCACTGCTCTCGCTGGTGAAGCCTCTTCACAATCTAATGGAAATTCGGTCTAATGGACATTTTGATTTTGTATGGGATTCCCATACAAAAGGAAAATACAACTTTCTTAGAGTAGTTCAACCACCATAAATCCATTCAAATCCAAATTTTGGGAGTAGATCCATAAACCAGTCTATCATTGTTTCTAGCATTTAAATTATATTTACATTGACATTGTAGAAATATTGAATAAATGTTAAAATCGAGTATGCAAAATGGTCTCCCATTTTTAAAAATGCATGTATAACCTATTTGTTTAATTCATTTTCTGTTAATAGAATATATGTACGCTTCTAAGATACTTCTAAATTACGCCAGAAGATCTTGGAACGGTTGAGTTATTCGAAAAAAAATCGTAAGCACCTTGTGTCTTGGAACCCCTTACAAAAGGTACAATTTTCATTAGACTATGGAGAGCTCTCAGTAGCGAGAGAGGTGAGGGCCCGACTTCTAGGGTGCAGGGATTCCTTTTTTCGTCTGTTGACCACCCAACACGACGCGGTCCTACTACGGGCAGATTGGGATAAGAATCCAGACGATTTTCTCGGCGCTCAAGGAACAAGGGCCAGTGGTAGAAATCTTATTCACTTGAAGATAAATTTAGGACGACGCTGCCTTTATGTACACAATATCTGGAAGCTCTTGTAGAAATTCCCACCGGCACCACCTAATTCCCCCGCACCAGCTGCAAAGATACAGTATGGAACACCGAAGGTAATATTTAAAGTCTGCCTGCGAACACCAGAACAGTTCTCCTGTGCATAGGCATAGGGAGCACAGTTGTGAGCAAGTCGCGTCACCCACATATTCCAACTGTCTGCAACGGTGACACATTGGCCTGGGATTGATGTCTGGCCAGTGATGGATTCTGCCGCGAGATTTTCGCATGATGGGGCAGACGGCCCACTATTTGCAATGGCGTATACCGTGCTGTTAAATGTGCGCTCAAGGTCGGTAGTGAATTGCGAGGACTTGAAGTCCGTGGTTGTACGCAACGAGACCGAGGCAATAACGAGCCCAGCTATTGCACAGAAAGATGAGAGGATCAGGTATACATTGAAAAATGAGATACGAGCCGCAGATGGCTTTGAGCCTTTCATGGAGATTGATTCCTCAATAGAAAGATGTTCAACCATAATGATTTTGTTCGTAGGTTTTGTCAAGAAGACGATATTTCCGGGGCTGTGGAAGTGGGGTATTCTTCATTATTTATCATGGTGGCTGCGATCCCCCCTCAATTTAGGGGGCCAAAAACCATGAGCCAGTGCAGTGCACAACGCACAGACCTCCTGTACAACGCTATATCTATATTTGTGATTAGTTTAGTTGGACAATGAAACGGGGCGCTAAACCATGGTCTGGGGTTTGGGGGCCATAGAAAAGTTGGGGTCAAGAACCTTGCTGAACCTAAACATAGAGACTTACGGGGATAACCTACCGCTGAAGCCGCCTCGTATGTAACTAGCCGTAACCGGTCTGTCATAACGAGGGGCATACTAATAATGTAATTTTAGTAACTGTTGGCCTATTAGGAAATTGAGCGGCTTGTTAGCGCCTACCTCAATGTTTCGTGAAGTTGAATAGAAGACCTACAAGATTGTCGCCTAAAAAACCCGAGGGTACATTACTGTTGTTTCTCCACTGCCCTCTGAAATGAGAGGAAGAGAGAGACTTGAAATCGATTGGTCAAACGTTACCACCAATGCCACACTCTTTCCTAGATCAAGTGCATTTGGTAATAGCCCAGTAGCTCCCGGGTCTACTGCTGGAATTTTTTTCCGACCTTAGGTCATGGACTGCACAACTTAGGTAATACAAATGATGAGACTGAGGGATGTCATGTGGTTTGTATTAGGTTTACCACAGCAACACCATATAGCAAGTTAACGCAGCGAGAGCGGTGACAGCCCCACTACTAGGCGGCATTTGCATGTAGTGGTAGGAATACCATTTACTTTCATACAATTTTAATTGAAAGGATTCAGGTCCAAGCCAAGAATCTTTACACCATTAGAATCGCCGTGAGGAATTTGGAAACAGGGACAGGAATCATATGGTGCATAAGTGCGGAGAGGTCGGAGATGGAAGGTGGTGTAAGGATTGGATTGCTTTTCAAAAAATGCGCTACTTGACATTTTTACTGCACCCGGAATGTGTTATGGAATTTCTATGAACCTTACAGTGTTTTAGATAATATATAGTCTTAACGCCTCCCCTAGCCTTCTAGTTTCTATGTTCAATTAAGCTGTTGTGTTTCTATTTGATAATCTTAAGTTTATAGAATCTTCACCTTTGAAAGCAATAACTGCAGTTCCTTTGGGTTATCTACGCGATCTTATTTACGACTCCGATGGCTGCACAAGCTGAATTATCACGTCGTCAAGCAGGTGTTGCTGGTGATGTAGAAAAGGTCGCTGATGATCTTCTTAGTGGCGTAAGTACTTGAAGATCCCTAGCTCTGTTGAGATATAAAATAAACAGACCGAAGGCTTTATTGCTAGTTTTGAGAAGAATGCTCGTTGAACAAGTGCCCATCTAGCATATTCGCGTCCCAGCTCAGGTTATCCACTATTCGTCACATTCAAGGCGTGTAAGTCTATAATGTCCCCGGTTTCTCTCTAGAAGCTCAACTTCTTAAGTCAATAGGCTTTACAAAGGAGCTCGGGGTGCAATTCACGAGAATAGGAAATCGGACATCGATAGGCTTGCTTAAATGTCGTGGTGGGGATAGAATTGATATGTGTGACTGTTGTGATGTACAGTCAAAATCAGAAATGGTTTACCTCTCAGATGCTCCACTTTGGTTCTCGGCCCTTACCCCGGAACCAGGTTTATCCCTTTTAGACTACTTCAAAACCAACCCATGTTTAGCCGTATCGGGGGTTTGAGCGTATTAGTCTTTATCATATTATGAGTCATCGTAAGTTACCGTACTCTCCAATGGAATGTTCTAGGGAGACATCTAGAAGGGATGGGGAAGTCTGGCTATTCTGATGACTTTATCATAGCTCTATGACTACGAACCGGTCCTGCATTTGCAGTCCCTATGCTTCGACGTCGTTCAGCGAAAGAACGGGAGCGGAGCGATGGATACCGATGGAGGCGCAAGCCTAAGAAAAAGGGTTGCTTTGTGGCTCCTCCAGATTCCGTGACAGGAAGATGAGAGACCCGCATGCCATTCGTCCGAGGACCCTGGCGAGCCTCACCGGAGGTATCTGTCGACGAGAAGAATACTGCAGTCCAGCGACACAGCGACAGCATGCTCAAAGTCACATCAGAGTGGCCCCTGATCATTTATACTGACGAAGTGGCTACGAAAGCAGAGGAGTTGCAATGATCGTCCCTAAAGTGATTATTCCTTGATCAATCAATTAACTTAAGGAAATACGCATGTGACATTTCGCGCTCAAGTCTAGATATAGGACAACTTCCTCTCAAATTTGCTACTTAGGAGCAGGCCGCGTACTGCGGTTTACCATGGACGTTTTTCCAAGAGTAGTAATCGATCTCAGGGGTATTGCCGTCAAATTCCTCGATGGTTGGATGGCACTCAACTCTTATTTTCAAACCACCTCCATTGGCATTAGTCAACTCATTTGGAATAACCATCTGGAGTTTATCGAGTTTATCGAGTGGTTCGAATTTATCGCGCCGAGTATCGATTAAAGACATGCGGATGGTCTTAGCCGGGTCAAGACCGAGGCTTTCAAGATATTTCTTCTGAGCGAAGAGATGCGTATCATCTCCCCAGAGTCTGTTTCCATCAGGGCCAATCTCAGGGATCCAGGCCTTAGCGATCGCGTTCCAAGCATTAGGATCAGCCGAAATAGCACAATACCTATTTGAAGTCAGAACGATCAAGAACAAAAGACATGCCAAGGGGGTCGAACTTGTAGTCGGACGCTCCAATCCAATCACCAATCACGGGAGACGTGTAGGCGCCCTCGCCAATCTGGATACCGTTCACGTTCTTATCGGGTGTAACAGTTCCAGCTCTGATCCATTTAGAAGCTTGGGCCTTTAAACAGTTAGAATAATACCAAGCCGTCGAATAGCACCTTATGTGCAACATACCGGACGCGTAGTGCGGTATCCGATGAGCTGGCCTGAAGGGAGTCGGGGGTAGATTGGACTAGCCGCAATGCAGCTGAGAATGGACAAGCCCAAGGTTAAGACCTTGGCTCCAGAGAAAAACATTGTATCCCAAGATGTCAATTTAAGGCGTTGAAAAGGGAGGTAACGAGGGAGAACAGAAGAAAAAAATCGTGTGTCCTTGTGAGCAGAGAGACTTTTATTCACTTTTCTCTCTATCGCTCTATATACACTTGGTGTGGGGGCTTCATTAATTTGGGGCCAGAGTCTTGTGCTGAGCCATCAAACCCTAGGAGGATCAGGGGGAGTATCTAATAATAGTCGATGACTGGCACCAACGCAGCAAGAAAAGGTTCTGGGGCCTCCAGGATTACTGCAGGATCTAGAGGGCCAACTCTAGCAAGGCTGGCAAAGCTAAAGGCTTAGCCGTGGAGGATTGCCGAGCCTAAACAAAATCTTATGCCTTAAGTTTCAGCCAAGCGACCTAGTACGTTAAATGCGGTTATGTGCTCCCTTAAAGATGAAAATAATTAGTTAGTAGTTAACTAGTAGTAACCCTGACAAAGCCCAGGAGATCGTCCGTGTAATCCGAATTTTATTTGAGACGTTGGAAAAGCACACCCCTGGGTTCGATTTCTACCCCCCTGATTAGTTACATTGAGACTAGCGTAGTAATGAATTACTGGGCCGTACATTTAGAAAGAATGTAGATCAGGGAATTGGGAAACCCGTATATAGAAGCTAGAATAAAGGGCTCTCTCTACCTCCCACATTCTAGTGAGCTTTGTTTGTGTCCCTCCTATTCTTTAGCTACTAGACCTGTCCGTCGCCTATTATTCTGCCTATAGCGATTCAATGATCACAGCAGAATTGATTCTTGATTGAAGTTATGAGCTCTCCCTACACTATGAATCCCACGACCCTCTACTCCCTCATAGTAGAGAAACAGTTATTATCTCAAGTGCGGACGATCATCAAGCAGGAACCCGCGCTAACTCTTTGCCACCTCCCTAAACGCTACAGTTTGGAGTCCGTTTAAGCTGTAATCGACTATATCAATAGATTAGCCTCTAGTTTTAGATATTCTGTAGTCGAACTACGCTCAAAATAATCTAAAAAACCTCTGTGGACCGAATAGAGAGTATGGCTGATGTCTGATCGCGGATACCCTCTTTTACTAGATGAAGAGCTACTAACGGCTCTATATGTTTAGTGCGGGTGGTTTTAGGACTTGTAAATAATGATAGCAAATATTATATCAGGGTATTAACATTAGGAATGCCAACGTAAATGTATTACTTACACGGTAGTCCAAATGTAATTAGGGAGTGTAGAAATCGTACTCAGGGTTGTACTTTTCCAACGTCTTTCTTTTAGGGTCCGATGTTGGACCAAATCAGAGCAGTAACCTGTTTAGGTGAAGTGTAAATCCTTTAGCCCCTGGGGCTGTACTGATAGTCATGCACTATCTATTTCCAACTATACTCAGATCGCAGGACTACCAGGCTTCTGCTACATCCCTCAGGTCAATGTTGTTAGACAACAGGTACTCAGCGACCTCTTTAAGGGATAAATGACATAAGCGGCACTGCGGTTAACTTGGGCATATCTTCCCCCATTGCTGAAGAACTCTCTGCACCAGCTGAGCTAAAACCATCTCTATTTTCCCCTTCGAATTTCGCAAAAGAATTCGCGCTAGCAGCGCCACCGGCCCCCCGCCCCAAGACCTGACTCTGTTACTGTCGTTATATCAGGATGGAGCAGCTCATAGTAACGATAGCATTCCTTCCGCTACTTCATGGGGTCGATGCATCGAACCACGCTCAATTCGGTTACAGTAATTCAGGAAGCTTTTGGAGAGCGACCGGAAGCCCCAATCTCTTCCCGTCCCTATGATCCGTCGTTACTCTGTACATATTCTTCGTAGTGTCTTATAGACGGTCGTACGTGAACAGTGATTTCTCTGGGATAGTCCAATTTGTCCCAGTCATCAAAACGTTCCACACTATCCCAATCTTCGCATTCCTCTACATGTGACATCCCATTCGGTCCAAATGGTACTCTCGGCATGTTTCTATTCACGCGATCCAGCAGTAATGGTTCCGAGTCAGAATCATGGATGGATAGCCATTTATGCAATAGTGAACAACCAAACAGTAGATGGATCATCATGTAGTCCTCAATTTGGAGTCAACAGCATTTTCAATTACACATTCCTAGACCAAAACTTCACGAACCTCTTTGCCGGGGGACTCGAGAGTCTCGAACAGGCATCAAAAGTTTCCAGTATGTGGCAATCAAATGTCCTGGTTTTTATAATATACCTGTCCGCGTTGTTGACGACTTGGTTTACATCCCTAGTATTGGTCAGGCGTTGATGGATCTAGCTAGCGGTATTGACGCGTCGGAGTACTATCATACCGATAACCCTGTCCATGCGCGGACTATAGTTATACGTCGCCTGATGGGAAGGCGGAGAAGTTCACAGACTTCGTATATCAAAGTGCCAACGGCAGCTTTACGGGTTGCACGGTTCAGGGGATATGTGGTCACCAGGCGAAGGAAATAGTACCAATAATTGGGGTTACTTGTCGCAGTGGTGGCAACCACCTGGTACAATCATCATCAGACAGAACCAGTAACTAGTTCTTCTTTTTTTCCCTATTATATCGGAATCAGATAATAGCAATTTCTGTCTGACTTGCCTTTCCCTTTTCCTCCTCGTCGTAACTATATTATCATGCAATGTGATAACTCGGCCGAAACTAGTTCTGTGGCCACACATACCCAAACTGCATAACGATAATCGCCTCCCTCGTGCCGGAGTATGTTTCAAAATCCCCGGACGAAAGCACATGGCCCGCTGCTGTCATGGTTGCGTTGTTTCGGCCGGAAGGTTTTTTGCCACTGCCACTTAATCACGTGACATGTTCCCTGGTTGCGGGCCTCAAAGGGTTTGAGAAGGGTTCAGGATATGAATCCATCGAACGGAGTATGGCGAGGATGTATGCATTATTGTATCATCGATACTTCATTAGATGCATAGGAGCGTAGCTAATGTAGTAAGTGCAGAATAGATGCTGATAATGTGTAATCCAGACCTTCCCGATCGAGTGGTCGGCCCGCTCGACACGTTCAGGAAAAAGCCTTTTAGCCGACGCGCGAACCCATTGGATGAACCACTGCGCGGATCACCACGGTTGAGGGCCTCGGCTACTGGAGAAAGGAATGGAATAAAAAATAGGAACAAGTAGGCGGGCTTGGTAGGGACAGCATGGCAAAACATGGCAAAATCGTGCCTATGGGTCTGGTCTCTAACTATGCGTCGCTTCGCCACTCTGTCTATCCGTCCATACTGACTACTGCAAGCCTTGTCCCCGTCTTCTCAGTGTTCTTCCCTGAAGTCTATATCACCTGCGGGTTACTTGCTAGAAAGTACTACTACTACACATATGAAACAGATCGTTAGGATGTAGAAGATAGACCTATCTAAGCAGAAGTAAGAAGTGGGCCCAGTACATGGCCCCGTTCAAGTGATTCGCCCATCGATCGACCAGTCGGAATGCTTATCGTCGGAAATGTACGCAAGCCCCCCACAGAACAGAGACCCCTGTACTAGTCCTACGGTGTTCTAGAATCGAAGCCACAGACCCACTTTTCTGTGCTTGTTCCTCGATCAATAACGACCGACGCTTTGGGGTGGTCAATTCGGGTAGTCGGAAGAGATGATGGTGGGTGGGGAGGAGTGAGTTTTTCTCTTCGATCTCGGTCTTAGGATTTTTGCCCCCCCCTGGCCCTTCTTTTGAGTCCCTGTTCTTTCTTGGGCTTACAGGTCTTTCGAGTCCCGGAGAATTAGGGGAGGGGTTCATCGGGAACATCCTCTCTAAGTCAGATACCTTACCCAAGTCGCCTTTCTTAGGGCTGGTTCTTTCAACGACTCAAAAGGGGATTAAGAGGTTTTAAAAGTTCACTACAAGGAATTGAAAGTATTTTTGAACGTTGTAAATTCAGTCATGACATTCTATTCATGAAATTCTATAAGATCAACCCCCTAAACTCCCTCGTTGCATCCCTGCAACTTTCATATTCACATCATCCTGGGGGTATTTCATAACAGGAGATTTTTTCTTGTGTAAACGTGGGAAGGCAAAAAAGAGGGTCACCGACTCGAGTGAGTCAGGTGAAACGAATGGAAACTGCTCGGTTCAACCGGCAAGGGAAAAATCAAAAACTCATCAACAACCACCACTTTACTGGCCGATGGTCAGACCCATACCAGTGTCGATGGGGCAGCCGTGGGTAGCATGGTCATCAGTGGGCTGGAGGTAGGCAGCAGCGCAAGCGGAGTCGCCAGCCTGGCAGACAGCGGAGGGGCAGCTGCCAGTGGTGGTGGAGGGCTGGACGGCGAAGCCGTACTGAGTGAACTCAGAGTCAGTGCCCATGTTGATGCAGGACAGGTCCCAGTAGATGGTGTCGCCGCCCTCGGTGTACTCGAACTGGAGCACATCGGACTGGTCGGGGGTGGTGGCCAGCTTGATGGAGACACCACCGCCGTTGGGGTTGGTGCGCCAGAGCTCAGAGTAGGAGCCACCGTTGGCAGACAGGGTCTGCATGGGGCCAACGTCGTCGGAGACGGACCAGGCGTAGATGTCCTGGCTCAGGTTGTTGGTGATCTGAACGCCGCCGCCAGCGGGAGCAGTGCCGTTGCGGCGCATCATCATGCCAGAGGGAAGGGCAGAGGCAGCAGTAGCGAAGATGGCGGCAAGGCCCATAGTCTTGGTGAACATCATTTTGATGGTTTGTTGGAATGTAGTGAGAGTGATTTGAAAAGTGGCTTCAAAGAAAGTATTGTCTGGTCAACAGACAAGTAATGAATGTGTTTGATAAAGAAGGAGTGTCTTGAAGAAAGAGAGTGTTGATGAACGAAAGGAACGTCGGCCAGGGCATCGAGGGGGTTTATATAACTTTTTGGGACCTGGCTATACATCCCCCGGATGGGTCGCCGACGAAAAAAAAACGTGCAATCGGTCAACCACGCGCCCACCACCGACCCAAAGGACGAGTGTCAGGAACAGTGGGGCAGAAAGGCAAAAAGAGACAAGTGGATCCCACCGAAGGCGAATCATGGTGGGGGTGGAAGAAACTGAACCACCTATCGTCCGAGCAGGGCTTCGTTTCATGGAACGTCAGCCCACGGTCTGGACTCCAGGAACGAAAGTCTCTCGGTCTCCGCGGGATGTGTCGCGCGACCGAGAGAAAGAAAGAGATGTGTATCCAAATGCCTCTATGTGAGCTGTACATCTCCGATTTCCAGAGCTTCCGAAAGGGTCATCAGAAAGTAGTCTGCATACGAAATAGCCCCAAGATGATCTGATCTGGCTGCATCTCTGCAGACCAGCATCATCTAGTATGTTTCGGGCGATTAGATTTAGGGCCAGCGCTGGTGCGTGAGCCGAGTGAATGTGGTGCGTGGCCGGAGATCTCGGGCGAGGACTGATGGCGGCACTCGGCCTAGTGGACGTGGCAATACACGCGCCACGCAGCGCATCGTCCCGTTGGCTCAGGACACGGCCCAAGCCCTATCTCTCTGGTTCTTGAGGCGAAAAAAGGGCCGGCAACATGGCTGCACAGATCAACCTGTTGGCCACTCGGCAACCAGGCTGTAACCATGGGGCCCTGGGAGCCAGTTCTCAGGCTATTTGCTGACCATGATACTGATTCAGGTGCCACCGTGAGATACGATGTTGGTTTGGCAAAACGGCCTGCCACCAAGTGAGAGAGTTTCGGTTCCTGAGAAAAACGCGCATGTGGGTTTTCAGCCACCACCCTCAGGGTCTCCACCCCCCAGCGCGAATTTGCCCTCTGACGTTGTCGCAGTCCCTGTTGATCGTCGACTGAAAATGGTGGCGCTGCGCTGTGTTCCTGGCTCTAGCGTTGCAGTGTTTGTTACTCATCTTAGCAAAGTCGGCACCATGTTACGATATCTGCTACCTGCTGCTCTGCATGTGCTGGCTGCTGTCCCATGTCCAACCGCCCAGATCAAGGGCCACTCCGGCCGGCCCGGCGATCACTAGGCTGGTCCGGGGGATGCGTCGAACGAACTAAAACTACCTTAAATGGACAAAGTGGGGTAACACGAAGTTCTGTTCGCTCAGACCGGTTGACGATCTCGCCTTCTAGACCGCCGGCTGTAGGTGTCCACTGCGGTCTGTTTGGCTGCTATGTGTGTAAAAGCCTGGACAGACTAGGCAGAAGAGCTCCACCACCACCAACCCCGGCTAAACGTGTGACGTTGGGCTGCAGACTAGTCCCTGCCCAAGACATGGCCATGTGGACCGGTGGCGTCCATTGTGGGTGGGACACGGAGGGCAAAGACTCAATAAACGAACTATTCTGGTATACGACTGTACTATACGGCACAGAAAGAATTTTCGGAAGTCCCACTTCGGGCCCTTTTGGCTCCAGCCTCCGTCCCTATCCGATGGCTTGTAGCTCGCTCGCTCCACCTGCCAACTCCATCGTACCACAGCCACTGAAATCACAACCCTCCGCCAGTCTAGACAAGCTGAGCAGCCGTCATATTCTGCGCGAGGCGATGATAGGCCAGAGCCCGGACCGCAGACCGGCCGAAAAGGCAGGAGCGGCGTTTGGTCGGAAGTCCGCACCGCACAGCACCCGCACGAGCTTACCAATACGACGACCCCATCGCAGATAGGCTGGCCAGAGTGCTCTCGCCCGTCTCTTCCTTCTTGCGTTGGCCGGCTAGCTCCAGGTTGATCTGTCGGTGGATGTGCACCAGCCAGTCCACGTAGCTCTGCGCCTCGTTGTTTCGGTCCTCCAACAAGAGTCGGGCAAACTCGTACTCCGCACCGTCTAGACCCTGCCTAGCCATCTGGATCGTCACAGCCTTGGATCCGCGTACCGTCGAGAGGTATTGAAGCAGGTTCCGCACCTGGGCGTTCAGGTGCGTCTCGAGCACTGGTAATGACGAGAGGTTGGGATTGAGCTCCTGGAGGGAGTTCTGGCCAGGCCCGAGCAAATCTTCCAGCAGGTTGGGCGATACCTGCGCATGTAGCCACAGCAAGATTGTCTGACCGTTATCCACCAAGTATGCGCCTCCATCCTCGATCTTGGAGAAGCTAGCCCTCAACGCAGGCGGCACCTGAAGCTGACCGTGCTCATTCGGGAATCCGTCTTCTGGCTGCATGTTGTGGATGGGTATGATACGCGGGTAAAGGTAGAGGGATAGCTCAGTAGCGCCAAATGATCGAAGCATACGCATGTCATGAACCCGCCGGTCTGACGACTCATTGCCACCTGTGGAAAGGTTAGATGAGAAAAGTCGTGTCACACACAGAGATAGATATTCTCACCTTTGAATGCTCTCGACTTGACCAAGCTGAGCATGTACATCGAGAATTCTTTCAGATTCTCAGGAAGAACTAATTGTCCAGGGGGTGGGATCCAGAGAAGATCTTGCGATATCCGCTGAAGATGTCGACCGTCTTCTCTGAAATGTGGCCCCGGATGTCCTTTAGCGTCTTGTCGAGTGTTTTGGAGGCGGCTGCGGCTAGGGGTGAGTATACATGTTTTCATAAAGAGAAGGGCACTAATCTCACCTTCCTTGGCGATGATGGATACCACGGCATCCTGGTCAACATACTTCATGGTCTCCATGCCGCCTTCGTTGACCGCCGCCACGACGTTGATACACCGGACACGTCGCTGTCCATCCGCAGAAGTATACAGTAATGCCGCCTGGAAGTGCGCATCCAGCTTGCGGTCGAGCTTGCCATCGTAGCTGAAGAGCACGCCAATTGCCTTGTCCGCATCCACGCCGCCAATCTCTAGATCAGCGCCCAGTGCATGTTGCACAAAGTTCCCATGATAGGAAGAAACCTGGAGGCCATTCGAGCACCGGACCTTCATCAAACATTGGTATCCCGTCTCTCGGCTGACGACGTGAGCGATCTCTCCCCGCAGCTTTGAGATATCACGTGGCGCATGGAAGTTTGGATAGAAGAATGTCTCGCCGCCAGTAAGCGCCGATACATAGCCTTGTAAATCGAGTTAGAAGATTTTCTATCTTGATTGTGTCTCAACATACCGATCGTGGCAACATCCATATAGACACCACCGGGGGCGGCGATGAAGAAATCGACGCCCACCCCAGCCTCAGCCATTTTGCTTGCTGTCTTCTTCCAGTCCGGATTTTCTGTCGTGAACAGTTTTCGCTCTGCTTCTGTTCCGTGAATTTTGGGGTCCTCCCGATTCTCCAGTTTCCCAGGGCCCCAAGTGGGCAAGCTGGAGAGCGCGCAGACGACCTTGCCACCCGTCGCCTGCAATGCTGAGAGGGCAGCATTCAGTGTAGGCAGCACCACTGGTTCGGGTTTCTTGACGTGCGAGAAGATACTAGGTATCCGATTCAAGAGCGATGTGATCACGGACTTGGATTCGTACGGGTCGACAAAAAGACCCTCGCTCAAGGGAACAAACGGCTCTTCCAAGTCAGTCATCACCATCATCTGTGCTTGATCCAGCGAAGCCTATCAACTTGTCAGCAACAAAAGGTGTTTTGTCCGCGGCGGGTCGGCACACGTACCGTGAGGTTGTAGAAATGCACTTCTGTGTCAAACGTCACAATGCCAACCGTTGCCCCTGGTGCAAGTCTCCGTGACGTCGAATCTTCACCCTCGGTGCCATCCACCGATCCATCCTCTCCATACAACGCTTCGGCAATTCCTTCACAAACACCCTTGAGGAATCCACGATGGACGGATTCCCGGCTGACGTCAATCAGGAACAGAGTCTGGAGGCCTACCGGCTCCTTGTTCCAGTATTCCTTGGGGACCAAATATTCCACCGTTCCCATCATCAGCTCCGGTCGTTGCATGCGGTCAACGCGTGCCCCTGTCGGGTCCAGAGGCGCAAAGTACTCGCCTGGCGTGTCATTCGGGAACGTGCACATGTTGCAAACAAACTTGTTACCGCCTGATTGGAAGGACATGAAGGGGTTGACGTATGTTCGACAGCGTCGGCATCGCGGAGGGCCCACATCTCCAAAATCCAGCACGGGTATCGGTTGCTCGCCGGGGTCTAATGGTGCAAGTGGCTGCAGAATCATGCCCAAGGGCAAGCCGGTCGAGGAGAGAAAATCCGAGGTGGAAGGAATATTGTTGAGCGTTAGTCGAGCGAATTTCGGTGACGAGTTGCCTTGATCGTGAGCCACGAACGGGATCGCCGCAGGAGGTGGCAGATGGCGGTCCATCGTGGGATATACATGATTGAAATAGTACTGGGCGGGCAGATCTCGCGAGCGCGGCACGCTGGGGATCTGTTCGGGGTCAATTCGGCCCTGGGTAGGAACAGAGCTGACAGTGCCGCTCAGTTCTGATGGTTGGTGACCTCCCAGCCCTGGCACCTGGCCTCCGGCCTGGGGAGCCATTGCAGGAGAGACTGGCTGTGGAGCTTGATTCAAGCCCGTGTTGAGGAACTGCGACGTCGGCTGCATATTCCCCTGAGGAATCCCACCCTGGAATCCTTGTGCCGGGGGCGCTGTAGCAGCGCCCAGATCATGATGGGCATGGCGGTGCTTCTTCCGGTGTGTTCTTGTCCCCGCGTCCGCCGCTATCCCCATGCCGCCCATCTGAGATGTCAGGCCGGCCATGCCTGGATCGACCGGCGCGCCCATGGGTGCCTGATGTGCTGCATTGTATATGGCATCGGCACCCGTGGCCATGTTTTGTTGCGGCGAGCCGTAGGCGGGCCATTGGTTCTGAGACGGGCTGGGGTAGGCAGCTCCCGGTTGCGGAGGAGCTGCACCGGGAGGGTAGCCGGCAGCGGGGTAGCCTTGAGGAGGGGCGTGCTGTGCCATGCGCTGATTTGGATCTTCAGAGCCCATTGCGTGATACATGTTCGGGTCGGCCATGGGCGATCATACCGCGGGGGGATGGATGATGGATGTATAGATGGCGGAAGGAGGGGAGGCAGTCGAGCGCGAGGGAGACGATATCGAGGGGTTCACAATCAGCAACAGCAGCTCATCCCGGGTGGTTGTTTATCCAGGACCAAGACTAGAGGCAGCCGTGTCTCTTCTGGATGTTGACACTTGACGAAGAGACCACCGTAGTGGGAAGCCCGGACTAAGGTTGGTCCGGGCCCGCACGTGGTGGGACAACAAATATTGTCGCGAACTCATACATCATCGAGTAAACACGATGTTGAACTATCAGATTCAAACTGGGAAAAATAATCATGTAGTGAATTGGATAATGGACGGATACTAGATCATCGATTTCATGCTCTCCCTCCTTTGCCCTCTTTTGTCTACTCCCGCGAGAATCTCTCGGCTCGCGGCCACCGCCATTTCTCCTACCCCCTGCTATCGCCACCCAATCTGCAACGGTGCCAGGATGGACCTCCGTATTTAGGGGCAGGCTAGAAGGACCAAGTCGGCGGGAAATTGCCAGCGAATGTACCGGGGGGAAGTAAGCCTTGCTCCGATAAGCTGGCTGTTACATACGTCCAACCCAACCCAAGCCCCCTTGGACCGTGCAGCTTCTCGAATAACACCCGGCCCACCCCTCCCATGAACCCCCCGTTCGAAAAAATTAACGGGCGCCCACCAAGAACCTGCTTGGCCTGCCCTCGAGGCCACTTGATTCGAGCGCATCGTCTGGAGCTCCATTGCGCGACTCTCCGAGTGGCCTGATAACGTTCCACTTAGGGCTTTGTTCTACTCACCGTCTCTTTCTCCGTGCCGACGCCGAGGGATCGGGTTGACACGTTAGCTCCTCTTGTGTCATCGCTGGGGTAGATCCTTTAATTCAAGTAGTCGGGTAGGTTCCGTAAGTAGTGCGGCTGCTCGCAGCATTTTTGCTTTTTTCCCACCTTTCTTTGCTTTTTCCTACAGTTGCTTGTTCCCATCATCCTATGAGATGGATCTGACTGGTAAACCCTCAGACCCAGACCACAAGGTCAAGAGTACAACAAGCGGCGCGGAGGAATCTCCCGCTGTGCCTCCAATGGCTACTATTCGTGACGATGATGAACTTTTGCTAGCTCGAATCGGTTATAAGCAGGTACTTCCAATCCGCGTAACAATACAAAAATCCCTGCGGTCTGTGCGTCAGGCCGAAACTGACCTTCCTGGGACAGGAATTGCGACGAGAATTCTCCAAATGGTCCACCGTCTCCTATGCCATCTCCATTCTTGGAGTCCTGGGCTCTGTCCCGGCGACGTTCGGCTCGCCGCTGGCTGCGGGCGGCCCGGCCACGGCTGTCTGGTGCTGGTTGATCGGCTCCTGCATGGCGATGTGCATCGGTAGTTCGGTGGCGGAGTTGGTGTCTGCGTACCCCACGGCGGGAGGCATGTACTTTGTCACTAAGCATGTCGTCCCTGCTGATCAGGTCCCGATCTTCTCCTGGATCCAGGGCTGGTGCAATCTCCTCGGCCAGACGGCAGGTGTCTCCAGCGTGGCCTACACAATCAGCCAGATGCTGCTTGCATGTGTGAGCATGAATTCGGATCTTGTTGATGGCAAATACTCGTATACACCGTATGTGGCCCGCCTTCCCTAAGTTGAGTAGCACCCCGACTAATGCGCTTGCAGAACTGCACTAGAAACCGTCTTGGTGTCGATTGGATTGCTGTGCATCATCGGCATCATTTGCTCATTGACTACGAAGACTTTGCATAGAATCATTCTCTGGTTCGCTCCAATTAACAGTGTGTATATGCAAGTCCTGATTTTGTTGATATGGTACTAACGCCGACCAGTGACGGCCACAGTCTGCATCTGCATTGCACTTCTGTACCTCACCCCCGATAAGCAACCCGCATCCTGGGTCTTCACCCACTTCACGGATGGATCCGGCTGGGGCTCAAAAGTATTTTCTTTCTTTCTTGGGTTTTTGTCGGTGGCCTGGACGATGACCGATTATGATGGGACGACACAGTAAGTGGATTACACTCTCAAGGCTCTTAAAGTCTCCTGACATTCGTTTAGTATGTCTGAAGAAACACACGACGCCGCTATACGGGGCCCAGTCGCTATTCAAACAGCCGTTCTTGTCTCTGGCGTGTTCGGATGGCTCCTAACCGTCTCGATGTGTTTCTGCCTAACTGATTTTGAATCCATCCTGAAAAGTCCAACAGGTCTCCCCGCTGCACAGATTTTTCTTAACGCTGGCGGAAAACGAGGGGGCACAGCCATGTGGGCATTCGCTATTCTCGTGCAATTTTTCACAGGCTGCTCTGCCATGCTGGCAGATACAAGAATGGCATATGCCTTTGCCAGAGACGAAGCACTCCCATTCTCTAAGTAGGGATACCTTTTACCCTAAGATCGGATTCATGTCACGCTAATGCTTGCCGTTCGTCTAGATTTATCTCTAAGGTAAATCCCATGACCCACACTCCAGTCAATGCTGTCTGGTTCGTGGTTTTCTTCAGTGTCGCCTTGAACTGTATTGCCATCGGATCAACGCAGACGGCCACGGCCATCTTCAGTGTTACGGCACCGGCACTCGACATTTCTTATGTGTCTGTCATACTCGCACATCAAATCTACAAGACCAAGGTGAAGTTTATTGAAGGGCCATTCACACTGAAGAAATGGGGGACTCCCATTAACTATGTTGCTATCGTATGGGTTATGTTCATCAGCACCATTCTTTTCTTCCCGTCACAGATCCCCGTCACAACCGCCAATATGTAAGATGTCCAGATGATGTGTCTGTCACAACTTCCGTATGGTACAATATAATTGACAACGGCCTATAGGAACTACGCAGTTTGTGTGGCTGCCTTCATTGCTGCCTTTGCCTTGATCTGGTGGTGGTTGACCGCTCGAGGGTAAGACTCATTCACATATCAGTTCTTCAAGCAGATGCTAATTCTTTATTCGTTGGTCAGAAACTACACTGGCCCACAAACGAACGATGTGATCCAAGAGCTTCCCACAGAAGATGACGGTGACGACTTCGATCACCATCAGGCGGAAATCACTGTGTAGGGCGCTAGGCGGAGAACTCGACAAGGTATATTTAGCGGGTATATATGGTACAAATAGGGTATATAGATAGACTAGGATATTTTGTTTGGAAATTAGAACAAACTTTTCATGATATTACTTTTGGATCAGCTCATACCTGCCTGGTATATATTGCTCTACGCTGTTTTGGACTATGGTAGTTTCACTGGAAACCCCGTAGACAGTCGACTCTTATTTATTTCTTAAACGACTATGCAACCGTTCATTGCCATATTTTGGGCCGATATCGCTTCTTGCGCATCTTTGTAATTCTCCGGTGAAGATATTCAAGCTCAATTTAGCCGCTTCCGATTTTCGGCAGTTTCGACCGCACCACACCTTTGGTCTCGGCTCTTCTCTGATTTTAATTTTTGGTAGAAGCTAGAGCGTCTGCTTTTCGGATACAGGCAGTGAATTCCATTCCGATAATGCAAATTGAAGAGAAATGTCATCTGCCGGTCTAGGAAATAAATAAATGTTCATGCTCAACTTCCCCAGGTTGACTTGGTTGCCACCGCTTGGACCCGCTTTTCGCCCTATCCCGCTTGCTTTATAAAGTTGTCCGGAACACCACTTCTACGGGTCACCTTTGTCTTTCCCTTTCGACATGCTTCACCCTTCCTCTAAACGACTCTTTTCCATTTCTCAAAGAAGTTTCCCTGGACTATCAGCCTGCCACAGAACAATGGCCACTTCAACAGGGGCCAATCCCGCGCACGACTGGAGTGCAGCGCAATATCTCAAATTCGAAGATGAGCGCACTCTGCCAGCTCGGGACCTTCTCTCTCGGGTTCCGCTGCAATCTCCCAAACATGTCGTCGACCTGGGCTGCGGCCCGGGGAACTCGACCGCCGTTCTAGAGTCCCGTTACCCCAATGCTCACCTGGTGGGCATGGATTCGTCCCCGGATATGATCCGCAAAGCCAAAACTGCTCTTCCGCATCGGGAGTTCTCCGTGGGAGACATAACCTCTTACTCGCCGAAAGAACCTGTGGACCTTTTCTACTCCAATGCCGTCTTTCAATGGCTCAAAAGGGAAGAACGATTTAGCATTATCCGGAAGCTGATGGAAACTCAACCATCCGGTGGCGTGTTCGCCATCCAGGTTCCCGACAATCTGATGGAACCATCCCACGTCCTAATGCGTGAGACAGCCCGTAACGGACCTTGGGCGGGCACCCTCGCAAATATTGGTCGGGATACATTCCAGTCGCCGCAGGAGATCTACGATGAGCTAAAACCCCTTTGCTCGGCGGTGAATGTCTTTCACACGAGCTACTATCATGCCCTCGAAAGCCACGAAGCTATCATCGAATGGGTAAAGGGCACGGGACTGCGACCTTACCTGGATCCCCTGCGGCCGGAGGAGAAGGAGGGGTTTCTGCGAGAGTATTTGAAGCGTTTGCAAGCGGGTTATCCCGTGTCTGTTGATGGGAAGGTTCTACTGCGCTACCCACGGCTCTTTGTGGTCGCCATCAAGAAATGAGCACTAAATTCTTTCTGGATATCATGTACAGCTTTACTAAACTTCTTTCGCAATCTGACCATTTCTCTGAGAACGTTCACATCCATGTCTGGAATTTAGGAATAGGCATAAATTAACTCATCAATCAGATTTACTGGTTCCTCAAGCCCTCACCACAGTTCCGCGTTCCGATTGAGCGGCGGCACCCCAACCTAATAGGGATTGGTAACTTGGGCCTGAATCTGACCCCAAGTCCCTTTCCATTTTCATATTTCTTTGGAACCATAATTTGAGTTGGTACGCCGGCTTCTTGAAAATAAAACAATCTCCGAAACACAGCCGCCACACTCAACATGCCCGGGGCGACTTATTTTGTCAACCCCAGAATTTCTGACTGGCCAGAATGGTGCAACTCGTTCGCCAAACCGATGACCTTTCTGTGCCGATTGATTCCAAGCCCATCCAACCCCCAAGTCCCAAATAACCCAGCTCGGTCTGACTGCCCAGCCGGCCAGGAAAACAACTATGGTCTCTTCGACCTCTCCTACAAGAACGTCTGTATTCAACACAGAAGACTCATGATCATCGCCCTTCTCAGTGGAGTTGGAACCGAGGGAAATACAGGGCACATGATGATGACTCTTGCCCGAGATATCCAGACCGATGAAGTCTTTGTTCTGAAGATTGGATATGAGTAAGTCAAGTGGGTTCAAATGAACCAAGAAAAAGACACACAACATACTGATCTAAATCTCCAGAAAACATAGATACCACAAAGTCAAATGCCACGCCGACCACGAGTGGATTCTCGGCCAGCTGCTTGGACAGGCTGGTTATGGGCCTGTGTACACCAGCGAAGACGTCCACGAACAAGACCTCAGTTATCCATTCATGGGCCGGCCGGTGTATTATCAGCTGCTGTCGCCTATGCCAGGCCAGTGGCTCGGCCACGTTTATCAGCTTCTGTCCTACTCCCAACTGGCCAGTATTAGGGCTCAACTGACTAACATACTTAAGTAAATAGACTCCTTCTGAAACTGAAACAAGATCTCTAATGTCAGAATTTTGATAGGTTTCTTCGTCATTGGGGGTATGAAATGCATCACCCAGATCCCAATTCCTTCGTTTACAACGAGCGGGCTGACAAGCTGTAAGTATACATCCACCCTACCTGTTAAGCTTGCTCTTAACTTTTGGGGTTTTTAGGTATCTCGTCGATCTGTCCTCCCTTTTTTTTAAGGACATGGAGAGTCAGCCCCCATTCTGGAGGATAGTCCCTGCATTCAAGCTCTTCGCATCTGGTGTGGAGCTCCCCAAACGCCCGCTCCGCCAGTATCCTTGCCCGTCACTTTGTCTCCAAAAGACGATAAAGTTCGTTTGGTAAAGGTCTCTAAGACACCTCGTTGGCTGCTTGGCAACAAAAAGAGCAATGATTTCTTCATGAAAATGGGCAGAGGTGCAAAAGTCAAGCTGGGTGCTATCAGCATCAAGAAAGGACGAGATAGAGTCAACCAACGTTGAGATGTTGAACTCTCTTTTGCTAGTATTGGATTTTTGTTTGGAAAAGTATAGCCATTGATTGAACTTCTGCATAATACGAGATACAGTAATCAATGATCTGGCTTAGAGATCGCAATATCAGGCGCGTTTGTCTCAAGAAATCCTGTGATTTTGTAGCATAACGAGGCATAGACTCCAGTACTTGATCAATCATAAATGCCATAGTGATTATAGACTATAAAGGTACAAGTACATATGCGAATTTCATCAACTACCAGAAACCACAGCAAGACCCTCATAGATCTTCCTTTTGACAGCGAGGAAGCTCCCCGCACCACGCCCCAAGGCTGCTTGGTTCGTGGCAGACTGTGCCGCCGCTTCAACCTCAATCTTGCCGGTCCCAGACTTGCGCACCGCCACTGACTTATCAATCAGCAACGTGCCCTCGCCACGGAACTCCGCCGTGTGCCCGGCAGCCTGCATGAGCTTACGCAGATCAGCCAGTCGTAAGTCACCGACATGGAGAGGTCGGGTCGCCGAGCGCGTCCCTGCGGCCATATTCGCAGGCAGAGTATCGAGCAAAGGATAGATGTCCGCTTTCTCAGCGGTGGACTTGACGCCATCCAAGGTCGGAGCAACGGCCGAGGAAGCAGCTTCGTCTTTGAGCTGCTTCATCTTCTTGGCCGATTCTGTGGTCTCATCTTCTGCATCGGAGAATGGGATCTCGGGTCCTCGTAGCTGGGCTGTCAAAGCCACGACACCCAGGCTACGGACGTGTTGCCAGTTCAGACGCCGGACGAGACTGTTGCTCAGCTTGACCATCCACGCATTTGTGTCAACACTTGCGTCAACGACTTCGCCGTTTGCCGGTGTGAAAATCATGGCAAGCGAGTCGGCGGCAGGAGCAGAGACATCGATACCAGCTTTGGCTGCCAGGAGCTTCTTGCACTCCGCTGCTAACGCCGAGGTTTCTTCCTTCATCCCGCCGACGAGAATCAGCTTTTGTGGTTGAATGAGCGGGATTAGCATTTCCAAGCTGCGCTTGTCGTGCAGACCCGTGAAGTCAATGAAGGCGAGTCGAGCGTTGATCGTGATTGTCTCCTTGGTATACACGGCCTTCGCAGGACCTTCAAACTCCTGGGCGTCCGCATCGTCCTCTGAAGATGCAGCGATATCTGCAGCTTCATCGCCGGAGGCAAGGCTGAGGTCATCGGCGGTGCTGGAGTCTCTCTTCCGGCCGTCTCGAGACAACTGTTGGCGTTTCCGACCTCCAGCATCGCGAGATAGCCTGCGTCCATTGGCCCCTATCGTTTCATCCCATCGCCGCTTCTGTCCTAGCTTGGTCTCAGCCTCTGTGCGGCGTTGCTGCATATCAATTTCCTCCCGTTCCTCCGCTCGAAGATACTCCTCAGGTCTGATGAACTCTCCGTATTCATCGCCCTTCTTTCTGGGCGCCACGTAGGGGAACATGCGCTCGCGGCCCTTCTTGCCACGCACATCATAATCGTAGACATTTTTGCGTCGAAGAAGAACATTAATACCGAGATCCTGGTCACTGAGAGCAAGTTTATTTCGGTTCGAGTGGGCGAGAGATGTCGAAAAATTCAACGCCCTGCCTTGCTGCTCCGAATCCGAGTCTTCCGACGATGTTGAACTGGATCGATCATCAAGCGCGTCCGCTGCATTCTCAAGGTTTTCTTGGCCCCGCGCTTGAGAGGTATCCTGAAGTTGTTTAGTGGCGAGGTACTGTTGATAAAGCAACTGATCACCGGGATCGAGCGGAGCTCGTTGCACATCTGTCCAGGTCAGGTCTCTTCCGCCGCTGTGAACTTGCTCAAGCATTTCTCCATCTGATGCTTTCTCCAAGGCAACACCGTCTCTCCGTTCTTCATACCACTGCCAGATAATGCTTCCAAGCGACATGATATCTTGAGTCTCCTCCACTGATTCTTCAATCTTCTCTTTGTGGAATGATTCGGTCAACAGCAGCAGATTGTTAGGGCCTTCAGCAATCTGCCGAAGAGAATGTTTTGAAAAGCCCCAAGCCAATGATGTGTCAGAAGCAAGAATGACCTTGGGTCCGGGTTCTGTAAGCAGCTTCTCGAGACGTTTTTGGCGCTCGACGGTCTTGAGATGCTTGAAATTGAAGGGACCAGTTCCCTTACTGCCGCCTTTATCCTGATTTTGTCCGCCTGTTCTGGTATCGGCACCTTCGGCCGCTTCGAATTCGCGAACGATGTTCTCGTCCATCCACTCCAGCATGCTCCGGGCCAATCTCATTGTCGTGTTGACCTTTCTGCCGGCCAAGTACAGTCCAGCACCGTTGAGCACATCGTCTTTTTCACTTGCCGCAGCATCGCGCCATGAGTGCTCCAACGCATATGCCAGCTCCAGGACCCGTGAACTCGTATCCGTTGGAATAAGCACAGTGCCGCCCTTTGCGAGACTGCTCCGAATCATGTCAAGAAGGTGATCATCTCTTTTCTTCCAGCCCCCGGAAAGCCCAAACTTATCGCCTCCCTTGGCACTGCAGACCAAAGCCGTCGGTTTCCGCAACTGTTCAATGACTTCTGTTCCGCTGGCGCCAGAGCCACCAAACCATGCAGCACCTGCCACGACGCTTTCACGCGCCTGATTCCAGTCCGTCGCGTAGACGATCGATTCCAGTCCATGTTGAATGTGCCATATTGTCCCACCAACCGTATGTCCAGCATTGTAAGCGGTAAGGGTAAGGCCGTTCAGTGGTGGCGAAAACGGAGATGGAAGCGGCTGGTGGGGTTGCGAATACTTGAGTGGCTGAATGAGAGAGAAATACCGTGCGATTTCCTCGGCAGTAGGGGGCTGAAGAAGGACCTGGCCTGTACTGCGAGCAGCTCCTCCGGACTCTCCATCGGCCCCTGTGACAGCAAAAGCTGCCGCGGACGCTGCCGAAGAGGACGCGCCGGGCTCTGAAATCGAAGCCTTCGGAAGGAAGGTAGAAGCGAGCGGCGCCGAAGCATATAGATCCTGTAACAGTGTACGGCCAAAGGCGATAACGGGGCTTGTCGCGTAGACGGGAATTTGGGTAAAGAGAGGGAACGTTTGACAGCAGTGGACAAAAGCACCGATGTGCGCCGGTGTCGCGTGCGTCAGAAGGATCAGCGAGAGGGTTGGGATGTGCCTGATGAGAAATAATATTAGACAAAATATCGCGAGGATGGACAGCAATTGCGAGCTCACTTCTCCAGTTCTGCCAGATCCAGAGGGTCAAATGTATCATCCCAACCAACATCCACAAGAATCTTGATGCCCCCGTCCAGTTCCAGAATTGACTGCGACGCCCTTGCTGTTGAGGACTGCGCCCCAAGGAGCGGAGTGAATGTAAACATCGTGGCTGGCCTCTGTCACAGCCAACGAGACAAGCTGCTGCGACCCCAGGTCAGGTCTAAAAGGAGCGTGCGCGCGTGACGCAGAAAGAGCGCGTCCAATCCAGTGGCGGACCCAAGTTGTTGTTTAGGAACGACTTCAGATCATTCGGTCATACTGACAGGCGGGGGAGGCATTCAAGGGCGTTTTGTGGTCATACAATTCGCGAGAAGATGAAGCAACTCGATCAAGTCGGGTTCCCAACGGGACCAAGTTACGCAGTCATGTGACTTCCACCAGCCAGTCAGATCTATACGGTCTAGTTCAGGAAATAAGAACATGAATTCAGAAACAAAATAGAAGTAAAGAACCAGAAAATACATAGGAAAACCAAAAAGCGTCTTTATCCGGTCTTTCCTTTCCTGGGCTTCTCTGCTATCCTGTTCGACCTTCTGGGCCCTGTTTGCGCGGGCTCTCCTGGTTGAGCAGACTTTTTGGTCGAGTATCCTGCGGTGGTTGTGGTGTAGGGAATGGATTAAAGGATCGATAAGAAGTTGGCCAGTGAGACACTCTAACTTTCAACTGGTCAGCGACAGCCGGTGGGATCGTGCTACCTGCCCAGGTCCTGATCCGGCGGAGAACTTCTGATCCTGGTCGAGGATTTTTGTCGGTATTTGGTGGTGGTGGCAGTGGAGGATCATTCTTTTCTTGAATGTCTTTCTGTAAGGACGTTTCCAAGGCTCGCTGGAGGTCTTCATCGTCATTATCGTCTTGGGTCCCTTGCTGGGCTCGGGATTCTCCGTGATTTTGGCGATTTGTGGCTTTTGTGGCCTGTGGTGGCACTGGATTAGGTTGAGGATCTTTTTATTGGTCAGTTTACCCCCATAAATGAAATCATCCAGCCGAGTGAATAGCTTCGCTTGATCGAGGAAAACTTACCGGTTGTATTCCGTACCAATTTGGAGAGCGAGTTCCCTCTTGCGTCTTGAAAATGTCAAAGTCAGCATAAAGTCCATCCTGCTCACAATAGAAGATATCACGTACACTGTCCTCTGTCTGGGTAATACCCCGCTACCTGGTTTGGACTGAACAACCCGAAGTGGTGGTCCTGAATCGTCAACTCCGCCGGAGTCTCGACATCGGTGAGGGGACTGTTCAATAGTGAACCATCGTCCTCGGTAGAACAGTGCTGGCGGTACAAGTATTCATCTGTAGACGTGGTCAGAAAGCTAGCCCTAAGCTGATTTCTTCAACGAGTATATCTCATGTAAGGACCAAGGGGAAACGTGAGCAAGATTTTCGTCTCAAGCTGTTTCCAATCTCTTAACTAATGATGAGGTTCGCGATGAGGTCTTCCTTTCTTGTTTCCCTTCAAGTTCGGGGGTGAAGTACACGATTGTATGGATGCATTCCTACCCCCATCACCTGATGACCCCGAACAGATACAGAAGCAGAGGGACATGCTGAGAACAAGGGCAACGACAACGAATCAAACACAATTGTACTCACCAGTCTGGGCAATTATGCCTCCATCATCAGGAGGCAGAGAAGAAAGCTGCCCCGTTAAGGGGACATCTTGCACTGTTTCCGGGTCGTACTGCTCTCCGAACTGGGAGCATGGCCCTGACTGATCGGTGGATTGGCTGGCCGTACTATTGACGTTGAGAATGGACATTTCATCTGGTTCACTTTCTGTTATCAGTGGCGCCAGGGTTCCCTTCATGTTGTGGAACATTTTGATTGCCATGGTTTGCAGATGCGATTCTCTGGCATGGAGACCTGGGCGGGCTAGGCTGACTGCCATGACTGGACGGGAGTATTTCGCAAAATAATAGGTTGCATGGTCGAGATTTGTCGGGGCCTCTATAATCTCATGCAACCCGGGCTGCGTTCCCAGGTAGCATGTCTTGGGCGCCGTTGGCATCAACGGCAATGAATCCGACACGTTTGTGATAAACGTCGGGAACAGGTTGGTCACTGCGAAGCGGAAGTGTTCACGAGAACTAGGGTTGCCCAGTGCGTCCTCAAGACACTTGTATGCGTACTCATATAGCTGGTCTTTTTTCAAGTTATTCCATCCTGAAGACGGGCCGGCGTCAAAGACCCATATAAGGCCGTGGAGACCACCGTCTAAGTTTGTCTTGGACGAACTAGAAGAGACAACTGAAGAAAGCTGCTCCGACAGTATTTGTGTTTCGAACAAGCCACTCGAACCGTTTATTTCTGGGTTCTTAGTAACCAGCCAGCGAGGATATGGTGCCTCATCTCCAAACCCAACCTTTGGCCATAAAAGACATCCGAGATGGCCGGTTTGCTGAAGTATTCCATCCTTGTGCGTCCCAGATGAATCGTCGGCACTCTGTAGCTCCTTCTGGTTCATCTTTGCTGCTGCCTGAGGGTGCTGGATAGACATATACACCTTGGGACGTGGATCGCGCGTCGGCGTGCTGAAATTTGGGACGAGCGCTTTCCGTGATCTCGTCATCGGAATGTTGGCCACTGAGTCAGGTCGATGAAGTTCTTCTCGAAGTGCATTAGCGCTCTGGCCGGCTTCGACGTCGCTGAGGGAACGTTTGGCTCCTCCTTCTGTGTGAGAGGACACAAGCTCCTGATGTTTGGTTTCTGCGATGTCCATAGGGGAGACATATCGCTTCCTCTGTGACCGCAATGGTCTAGAACGCTTTGCAGGCGGCTGTGTCATCTTTCGGGGGCATTTATTAGTGAATAGAAGAAATCAGGAAGTCCCATGTGCAATGGAAGACTCACATTGATTGTTGATGTTTACAAATAAGCCTGACGTTCAATTAGGGACCTGCAAATGGAGGTGCCTCTGTTTGGTGATTCTAAAAGTCAGATTCGAGCAGATTTAAATGTTAGCTAAGGGCAGCCTCGTACTAAACTGCTACTCGGGAGTTGTAAAAAAAGATCCTTTGTTAACCCACGCGCCGTCCGAATTGGCCGATGGGAACAAAGAATCGCGCGCTCAGCTCGAGGGCACGCAGGAAATATTTTCTTCCGCTAAGAATACCAGGTAAACTGAAACACTCAAATAGACGCTGGTATACATGCAACCCAACAAAGACGAATATTCGTTTGTTGGTCAGGATTGTAGTGAAAATGATGGTGACCCAACAAAGTTGATCCAAAAAGAGTAATAATGAGCGAGTAGGGCCAGCAAGCCGCATCTCGAGTAGGAAAAAAAAGACAAAGCACATTCCCAAGGGAAGTCCGGTAGTTGATCTGATTGATCGAGTTGCGTTACAGGAATAGGAATCTAGTTCTTTGTCATATTTTTACGTGTAGTTATTCTTAGCATGCAGTTCAAAGAGCACCAAACTAATTTATGTCTCTATAAAGGAGCCTTGAAAGAAAGGAAGAGATTCCATGGCGCACTATTACGGCTAAATTCCTCGTCTCTCAAGCGTTCAACAATGACCATGATGCTGGCTAAGGAAGTCAAAAGGCGGCTTGACCTGTGCAGACTGCTCTTTGTACTTGCCCTCTCCCACATTCATGAGCCTCTGTCCAGGTCATGTCAGGTTTGGAGACTTGATTTATGGAGTTAAAGGAGTCGATATAAATTGGTGGGTAGGTGGTGGGTGCATTCTACTATGTATATATCGAGTAAAGGCATCGTTAGATATACGGATACAAGCCCTAGTTACATAGCTAGCCCAAGAAATGAAATGGAAACCAAAAAATCTTGTTTTAATTCATCATTCGAAAGCAAATAATCTTCTTCAGCTGGCGGTATCCAACCAGCCACGGGACAAGCTCGCTTTTAGAAGGTCCACACTCTCTTCGTATCAAATTAATCACACCATGCACTAAGACAGCCCTTTCCGAGTTGAAAAAAATTTACAGCCAGTACCTGGGTTCATCAAAGACATGGTACCGGTGTCCGCGCACACCCTCGCCGTGGAACAGGGCAGGGAATCTCCGGCCGACGGGGACGTCAGATTCGAGGATACGTACGTCGTTCTCTGGCTCGGGTTCGCCGATGACGAATTTGCCGACCTGGTTAGGTTATCATACGTTAGCAATCAACCCGTTGTATAGATTATAGAGCACGACAACAAAACTCACCTGAATTTCCGTGTCTGTGATAGAGTCGCGGCTGATGCGGGCATAGCCCGTGCGTTTGAGGTTCTTGTAGAGAACATATTCGCACCACCTATCCCAGTCGGAGGAATCGATATCCTTCATACCGCTCCGCTCGCTCACGTATGTGTTGTAGTTGCCTTCCAAGGGCCGGGTGACTAGGTAACTCAACAGAACCAATGGGCGCGGCGACGAGCCCATCAGGTTGGAGAGGTACTCAGACTGAAGACGACGATCCTCGGGGTCCTCTTCCTGGCCGGAGTGGAAGACGACCACGTCGATCATCTCGCCGTACATGTCGAGCGTAGCATGGATGGCTGGGGCCAGCTCGCCCACGGGCGAGGGGAGGAGGTGGTGGGTTGAGTTGACGATTGGGAACTTGGAGAGCAGGGCGGCGCCCCAGGTGTGCTTGTTTGGGCCCGGGCCGAAATCAGCGTACATGCCGAGGTCTTCGGCCAGGGACTGCGTGACATCCTTGTTGCCCATGATGATACGCTGGTTGTCCGACTCTAGGAGACCGATGACGTCGATCTCGAGCTCTTCGATGACCTGGCGCATGCGGCCCTCAGAGGACCACATGTCGTTATCCAGGCCGAAATGGACGGTCCAGATACCCATGGTCGCCACCTTGTCCTCGGCGTGATACGGCTTGTAGTCATTGGTTGGGAAGCGCAGGTAGGCCACCGAGACGGAAAGCAGTTGCAAGGCGGCGAGAACATAGATGTAGTACGACCGCGCGCGCTTGCTGTTAGGGCTGATTGGCTTTTTGGCGCGGGTGCGCGACGAGTTCGAGATCGCCGCTGAGAAGACACCTGCGCCGATGCAAAGCATGGTCGTGATCATAACCCAGTCGGTGTGCTCTCGGACCAGAGGACCACCCGGCACGAAGGCATAGGCGACAACCCAGACGTGGAAGAGAAGCATGAAGACATAGACAAAGAAACCAATACCGAAGGTGGTTGCAGGAGAGTGTTTGACGGCGGAAGAGACCATAACCGGGGCAACAGCCATGATATAAAAGGCGAAAGTCAGGGCACCGTAAAATCCGCTCCAGTGGTGGAAGCAAGTGAGGAAAGTAGCGCCAAGGGAGCCAATTCCAAAGGCAGTCCAGCTTCCAGCCGCGGCGGGGTGGAAGGTACCATAGATGAGACCAGCACCCATGGCGAAGATGGTCAGCGCACCGTGCGGCACCGCAATGGGACCACGAACAGGATAGCCATCCCAGACCCAGGAGATCATGGTGCTAGAATCAGTCAAAAGAGAGACCATGGCAAAGAAAAGTCCACCAAAACCGAAACCGGCCAGGATCGCGGAGCCCTTCTTGCCGCTCGATGGCAGGAAGTCGTTGCCACTGGTAAGCGAACGTCGCTGAGACCGGAGGACAGCGAACACGGCAAGCGCGAGACCGAGCTTGTTCCAGCCGCCATTTTCGGCATGCACAATGGGCCAGAGAGGGTTGTTGGTCCGGCAGGCAAACTTGGCAATGGAGGACATGATCAAACCAATCCCCCAGGCCAAGATGCGAGTCTCCAGGCGCGGAGTGTTTCCCCGCTCGGAGAACCAGCTGGTGGTCCACGCGACACAGGTGGTGGAGAGAGCGAAGCTAGTCACGAACAGACGGTTGGCGGGGTCTTGGAATCTATAGGCAAGGAGACCCAGCAGTGAAAGAAGATGAAGCAGTCGAAGGTTTTTGGTCGCGGCATATTTGACGCCTGGGATGGCAAAAAGGATGGGAGACAAAACAGCAACAATCGCAACTTCGTAGCCCGAAATGCCCATGTGCCAGAGAGGGAAATCTAATACGAATGAGCAGCGCACACATATGGAAAGAAAAATCACTCACACCACACGAGAACTGGGAGAGCAGTCACGATAGTCCAGAAGACGAACTGGAGCACGTCAGCGAAGAACGAAGGAATTGAAGATGGTCATAGTTACCCCGTTGTAGACATCCGACGCAGCGTCAATGATTTCAGTCCAGAAGAAACCCTCGCCGAAGGTGTTGCCCACGGACTTGCCCTTCCTATACTACGTGGTCAATATGATTGTAAACGGCACAGATTTATGGGATTGCACGCACTCTTTCTCAAGAACAGCGTCCGCAGTCGTCTTCAACTGCCTGATTGCAAGAAAATTTAGACAGAGACTCTTATAACCAACGTAACCCTTTGTGGCACTATACATTTGTTGCAGGCGGTCATTTCGGAAGCCACTGTACATACCCTCTGCTGATTCCCTTGATGTCCCTCACCACAAGCTCGAAGCCCTCGAAGTCGAGTGCCGTGACGGCGTCAAAGCCCACATCGAACAGAATGAGAGACCATTCGAAGAAAGCATATTTGGTGTAGGCTGGGGGGAACGATCAGTTATCGGAAGAGAGACCGATTCTTCCAGGACTTGACTTACCACCAGGAACTTTGTGAACCTTGTGCTGAATAAAGTAGTAGATCAAAGGCACTAGTGTCCCGAAGAACAAGCTGGCCATGATCTTGCGGTACTTGACCGCGCGGCGGTTGTTCGGACTGAGCGCGAGACAGCCAAGCGTCCAGGGCAAGGTCGCCACCAGATACGAGATCATGAAGATATCGTGCCAATCGTGATCATCCGTTGATGTGACATATGTCCAACCACCGCAAGTTAGAGTCCGGAAGATCCCCACGCCCGCCACGATCTTGGGGAGTGTCGAGTTCGGGCGCGCAGTGAGGATGTACCACAGGAAGACGAGGGCGAATCGGGGACCGGAGGTCATTGCAATGAAGACCTGGAAGAAAGACCGCTCGGGGTAGCGATCGCCAATTGTCGCAGAGACGGAGGGAAACCATTCATCGGGGTAGCCGTAGTGTTCATTTTGGACGATCTTGTGGTAGTGCAGGGCCACGCCGACGACTAGGGCGCTGAGGAAAGCGGCATACGCGACGACCGTGTGAGTATAGGACACCCATTTGCCGTTGAACTAGATTTGGACCGAGTCAGTGATGTGTCCAATTAACCACGGACGTGGGAAACGCACGGCAACCACGGCGTCGCCGTCCTTGTACCTGGGTGCCATGGCGAAAATGGCAAACCAGATATATAGGAAGATCCCAAGGAAAGGCGAACAAAGGAGTGTGGGGAAGAACGAACGAGAGGGAAGGAAAGAGAGAGAGAGACGGTAATTCATCCAGGGGAAAAGGGAAGGGAAAAACAACAACCGCGGATCTCCGGGAGACATGGCACTAAACTCCTTCGGGAAGGCGGGTCTGGGCGTCTTTTTTGATCTGGCGATAATCCTTTTTTTCTCTCTCTGCAACAACACGATTGGACCACTCCGCCATGTCGTCCGCCACAGACAAGGCGCGCTTCTACCTGGAGAAGTCAGTGCCCGAGCTCAAAGAATACGAGCGCAAGAAGATTTTCAACAAGGTACATCCGACCAGACAGCCAAGAACCAAAAAAAAAAAAGGGTTAGCTGACCAGACCACCACCAGGATGAAATCAGCTCGATCATCAAGAAACGCTCCGACTTTGAGCACAAGCTCAATGCGCGCGGGGCGCAACCGATAGATTTCGTGCGCTATGCCGAGTACGAGATGAACCTCGAGATTCTACGCAAGAAGCGAGTCAAGCGGCTGGGGATCCGCTCCGCAGGTTTCAGCGGCCATCGGCGCATATTTTTCATTCTCGACCGGGCCACTCGCCGGTTCCAGGGGGATATCAACCTGTGGGTACAATATATCGAGTATGCCAGGAAACAAAAGGCTCACAAGAAGTTGTCGATTATCTTCACGGATGCACTGCGCCTACACCCGACCAACCCGGACCTATGGATCTACGCCGCCAAGTACGTGCTGGACGACCATGCCGATATGACACAGGCGCGGAGTTACATGCAGCGCGGACTACGGTTTTGCAAGAGTGCGCGGGTACTGTGGGTGAATTATGCAAAGGTGGAATTGATTTATATTGCCAAGCTGGTCGCTCGGCAGAAGATCTTGGGTCTGGATGAAGAGCGTCCACAGCCTACAGAGACGAGCGGGTTGGATGACGATATGATCGCGCTGCCTCAGATCACGGGCGAGGATGTTGCTCCCAGCGAGGGCCGGGATGGTGACGAAGTCGACCAGGTGGCGCTACAAAACCTCAACGCGACGCCTGCGCTGAGCGGCGCCATCCCGCTGGCCATCTTCGACGCCGCAATGAAACACTTCAACAACGACGACGGATTCGCGTTCGACTTCTACGAGATGGTGTCGGAGTTCCAGGGCGTGCCGTGCCTGCAGAAGATCCTGGGGCATGTGGTCGAGGTCATGCAAGCGAGCAAGCCCGCCAGCCCCCGGACGCAGATCTGCTACATCAAATTCCCTACGGCTGGAATCCCAGTGACTTCGTCCGAGTTTCCGCGCGCGCTGGGTGGCTCGCTGGCGCGACTAAAGGAGTTCCCGCTGGACGGCCCGCTGGCGCGCGAAGTGGTGAATTGGCTGCAGCCAGTTGGGCAAACGGAGGACGTGGATCCGTCGCTGCAGAAGGTGATCGCAGCCACAGTCCGCAATGCGGAGCGGGCGTCGCAGGCGTAGCATCATCGGGTGGTCGAGCATGGATATTTGTTGCACATTATGAGGCGTTGATCGGATTGTATATGAACCGGCGAATTCAAATCCAAATTAATCATCGTATTTCCCCCGTCGACTACTCTTCTTGCTGCTGTGTAGTTTCTTGTCCTTGATCCGGGCTTCGTTCTGGGCCCGCTGTCTGTAAGGGAGTCAGAGACAAAATTGAAAAGGCCATCCAAACAGATCGACATCAACGCACAATTTCTGGACCCGATCTTTCTGCTCCGGCGAGGTTTCCCCGGGGATCACCTCGTTAGCCATGGACTGGAGGAGCTGATAGAGCTTGTCATAACAAGAGTCCACATTAGCCGCCTGTTTGCGCGACTCGTCAGACTGAATAATCAGGCTCTGGGAGCGGTCCGTGGCATAGCGCGAGGCCCGCAACACGGGGTGCAAGAGACGGGGCACCAGGGGCAGCAAGTCCTGCAAGGGCACTTTCAGGGTAGCCTTGGAATTGACTCTGGGGGGTGGTCGGTCGTTAGTTCGCCCTAACCCGGAAAAGCGTGTGGGGGTTAAAATAGTCACTTGTTCACGTTCTGGCCACCGGGCCCGCTAGCCCGGCTGAACGACACCTGGCCTAGGCGGGGGATGGATTTAGGAGAAAGTGCCGACAGCCACTGGCGCGCATCGTGGATCTCCTGATCGGGTCGAGCCGACTGGGAGGAGGCACGGCGGTAGAAGACTAACGAGAGTAGCCTTCGTCGCGACATGGGGCCCTACTCCTAGGAGGGAGGTACTTGGTAGAGGTCAAGTTTAGGTGGAGCTCTAGTTGGTCAGGGATCAGCCCCATGACTAATGAATAGGATCAGGTTCTGGGCCAGCTGGAACAAGTCGGACGACGTAACGGAAGGATGATGGGTGCTGTGTTCCAAAGTTTGTTATTGGCGGGTTGTGCCACCCTGTTATTCATTCTTCCAAGTTTTATATCGTTCCTTATGGGGGGAAATACTGTCATGTAATCGGTCACCATGCCCGGATCCTCCAGTAGATCGGCTATAACTACACCCCCTGCAGGTGATAAACCGACTCTCTCTCACTCGTCGACGCTCTTCTGCTCATCAGAAAACCTTCTGGCGGTGTTCGGCCCTTCCCCCGAACTCACCGAGTCGTGGTCGAGATCCGCCCCACCTTAGCTTCCAATTGCGAAAATTCATCTGACGGCGTGACCACACTTCTTTCCACCTTCCCTTTTCTTTCTTTGTCCCCATCCCCCAACGATCACCTATTCCCCTGACCCCCAGCCATCCATACACCCAACACGTCCATCCCCATCCTCCTGCTGCCTACCGTTGTAGATGACTCGACCTGCTCTGCTCTGTCTACATGACGCCCAGTCCTCCTGATGAAGCGCTTCACTTCCGCGGCAAGACTCTGACTCCGGAAAGCCCCCGTCCACTGCACATCCCGGAGCCAGCCAACATCCCCGTCCTGGAGAATCAAATGGACCCCGTCTTCAACGATACCGCGACCTACGATTACGGCCCGGAAACAACAGCCCCGCAGAGACAAGATGGATGGTCGGGTTACTCGCAGGATGGACATCACCGCCCGAGCCAAAACCCAGATAGCTTGTCGGGCTCGCAGCCGATGCACAATGATATGAATGTTTCTGCTGCGGCAGACTACTTCCCTTCCTCCGCGCCCGCGATGGCCAGCTCGGGGGTCCCCAGTGACTCCCACGCGCCTCCGGACGTTCCGGTCCCTCAGGGCTTCGTGCCCCCCAACGAGATAGACACCTCGCAGCAGCACCGCTTAGATGGAAAGCAGGAGGATCCGGGCCTGGGCGGCGTGGATTTCCAGAACCTGCTGGACAATCTCTCTGCCGCGCCCGCGGCCGGACCAGCTGCTGCCCCTCTAACGGCAGACTCGTCGCTCCATCAAGCGCCACCGACGGACGAGTCCCCCCCTTCCCAGCTGCCAGTCCGTCCCCACCCCATTCCCTCCGGTGATGAGAGCCATCCATCCCATCACTTCCCTGCCCACAACAGCACTGCTGTGTCCCACGCAACCCACCCCAGTAACCAACAACCCCTGCCCAATGCTGGGGCGCCGGGCACTGTTCCGGGTATCGGTGCTTTGCCTCCACCGCCGCTGGCTACCTTTCAGCAATCCCCTCCCACGGGCGCAGACTCTGCTGCCTCGTCCCAGGAGCCGCCGTCCAAGAAGGGCCGTGGCGATAAGCAGACCGGTCGGCCCGGCGGCAAAGTTTGGAGCCTGGACGATGATGCTCCCTGGGGTCCCGAGGTCCAAAAGAAATATGACGAGTTTCTACACGATGAGCGGGTCTATGTGACAGAAGGTCTCTGGGACCGATTTCCGATCGGATCGCGATTGTTTGTTGGTCAGTATACTGCCTCGAGATTCTTGTTATCATTCTAACTCGGATGTCCGCAATGACAGGCAATCTCCCCACGGAAAGAGTCACCAAGAGAGACATGTTCCATATCTTCCACAAATACGGCAAATTGGCCCAGATCTCGATCAAACAGGCCTACGGGTTCATACAATTTTTGGAAGCGAGTTCCTGCCATTCGGCGCTCCAGGCGGAGCAGGGAGCTCTGGTGCGAGGCCGCAAGATACGTAAGTTGCCGCAATTGGCCATTGATAAGCAATCCCGCTCACACTCTTCGATAGACCTGGAGATCTCCAAGCCACAGCGGTCTACCAGACCTGCCCCCGCCCCGGAAGCATCATCCCGTGCACCTCCACCGCGTCGATCGAGGTCGCCCGAGTTTGTTCGAGGGGGCCCTGCCCGAACGACCCGACCCTACGAGCCAACTCGACTGCCGTTCAGCGATTTCCGCGATGAGCCGCCCCGCCGGCGGGACGATTATCGGCCTCCCCGCTCACCTTCACCTGCACCCCGGTCCTTTCGAAACAGGGAGGGCTATCGGTCCCGAGACCGGACCCCCGAACGTAGTGACCGTCGAGACCGCAGACGCTCCCGCTCTCCTCGATCTCCCCGGTCGCCTCGATCCCCTCGGTCTCCCTATGCAAGGGATCGTCGGTATCGCAGCCCAAGTCCGAGGCGGAGCGCTTACGAGGGTGAGGCGAGTCTGCCGGTGCCTCGACGCGCTGCGCGAGATGTGCCAGAAGTCCAAATTCTCGTGCTGGAGGAACTGGATAGGTGTGTTTGACCCGAATTTCCGATCTTTGAAATATCACTAAAGGCAGCTAGGAACTTCATTCTCCATGTCGAGAATGCCTTCCGCAACCGTGGCCTCCGGGTGGATGTGCTGGTCCTTGGTTCTCGAATTCCTCTAGCGGCAGCGGTTCATCGCCAGATCGTGGAAGGGGTTCTGGCCGTTGTGAGATTGGCGCGCTCCAACCAATATTCCCGCAAAATCTCTCTACAAGTCTTGGATCGAAGCGCCGGGTTGGACAACGTTCGCTTCAATGGTAAGTCCTAGATGCATGTGTACTGTTGTTGTATCATACTGATTCCTGTTTTATAGATTATCCGGAGCTCGACCCCAACATTGCTGCCGAAGTAATGTTCCACCAGTCTCAGGCCATGCAGCGCGGTGGTCCCCCAGTGTCATTTGCACCTAATCCTGCCTTTGGCGTTCCGCCCATGCCACCCATGGCAATGGCTCAACCCGGCCTACCGACGCTCACCAATCCCCCCAACATCGCCAACCTCATCAGCTCCCTCGACGGTCCTAGCCTGCAGTCCCTGCTCTCGGCACTTCAGCAGCAGCAGCAGCATGCCCCAGTGTCGCAGCCTGTCTCGGCCAACCAGTCACCGTTTGCTTCTCCAAACCCTCCGCCTCCGGCCAATCTCGCTACTCTGTTGACAAACGCAACTCGGCCACCGCCTCCTCCTATGCCGACAAACCCGCAACAGCTACCGCTTCCCCCTCCGCCCTATAATCTCCAACCCCCGCCAGCCACCGGCGTCTCCGATCCAAACCTGCTCGCGCTCCTCGCTAAAGGTCTGGGAGGACGCCCGCCGCAGGGCCAGCCAGCCGTTGGTTCCCAGGTGCAAAACATCATGGACCAACTGGCCAAATGGAAGCAATGATTTATGACTCCCTCTCGTACAGCTTTTTTCCTCGAGCTCGACCCTCCCCCGAATATTCTGCAGTTTGGCGTTTGAGCAATACTTCAGAGGTGATTCGGATTCGGTATTACTCGAGCCCACCCACACCCTGCATGGCATCATGGCTCGACTTTTCTTTTCTTCTTTCGTGCTGGCATCCCATAAAAACCAGCAACAGCAACAACAGGCGCTTTGGATGTTTTCTTTCTTTCTTTCTTGTTAATTTGAGCATGGTTTCAGCAAGATTTCTAGATCCTCGGGCAACGGTGTGGTGTCTAGGTAGGACGGAGTTGTGGTTTTCTAATGTTGTTTTTCTTTTTCCTTGTCCCTACTACTACTTGCTATGTCTATGACGGTCATGTTGCTCACAGCGGGGAAGTTAGCTATCTAGCCCTTTTTTCTCGTTTACGTTTTGGGAATGAATGAATGGCTATAATATGGGCTTCGTCTCGGGGTTGAGACATGCTGCCTTGCAAAGGTCGCAACCTTCGACGGATGTTCTTGCTTTCGTAAGTGTATCCTGTATCCTGTGTCTGTGATGTTCCTAGATAGATATCCCAGATCGCATTACAGATTTATAACCCGCCTCGAATGAGTGAATGAGTTCATCGTCAGGTATACGTGAGAAAAAGTGGATATGATATGCTACATATATACTAGATAATGTCTGGCAATTCTTGGCTTTCTATTTCCATTTTAGTGCTCACACCTTGCCGCTTTTTACTCACCAAGTAAAACTAAGCACGCCCTAGAGTCTTATATAAGTAATGAAATGGCTCCCTAAGAATCACCTAATCGCTATGTAAGCTAGTGGATTTGCTCACTAAGGCGCATAGTAGTTAAGCGTGCTTCGAGAATTTGACCTACCCCTTCCTTTCGAACCACGATCAGTGTTAAAGTCCTTCGTTCGACCTATGATCATCTAAATCAGTTTTAGGTAGAAAATGATATTTCTCTCTCTCTACTATCTGTACATTATTGATTTATCTGAGACTAAGTGATTGCATGCCCTTACAATGTTCTTGATGCCTAACATTTTAAGTATTAAAGTAGTTAAGTAGGAGTTATATGACCTCATATATAGATGAATTTATATAATATTAGGCCTAAACCTCATAAAAGCCTTTTAGTCGTCTTTATCTTTAACTTCACCTTTAACTAACTTTATCTTTCTCTCTTACTATCATCATCACGATACCGTATGGAATCTAGAATGCATAGAGAAAACTATTGATGAGTCCAATCATTTTTAATGAAATTCTTACATATGTAAGAAAATCAGTAAGCCCGGGTAGCTCAGTTGGTTAGAGCGTGAGACTTTTACAATTATGGTATCTCAAAGTCCGGGGTTCGACCCCCCGTTCGGGCGGATTTTCTTCGCACCTTTTTTTGGCATTTTCAACCCTTTTTTTGGATGGGGTAAACATCACGTGCCTCTGGTTAACGGTTAGTAAGAGATAGTAACGTATAAGTTAGTTAGTTGATTTAGGGTCACGTACAACTAGGGGTACTACTATTATGCTAAGGCTGATGTAGAGTGAATTGTCCTCATTTATGTTAACATGCTAATTCTATCAACTAAGCTTCGACTTCAATATCAGAAGTAACCAACGTCTGAATTGAATTTCTATTCATAGATTGTAGGCTGATTCCATCATAAGTTCACAAGTGACCATAGTCTTAGTAGTCTACTTAGCACATTTTATTAACATATTTGCCCTAGTAAATTTCTCTAGATGACCCAGCTAAGATTCAGTCTATAGTTCTAGCACAAAATACATAGCAACAAGCTGATCCCCATCACGCGGAGCAACTCTTAAGGCTTAGCGACTAACGAATTTGACTTTGTCCTCATGGCCTCTAGGCCTTTCCTAGAGGAATTAAACCCAAATTTAGCTTTGAAATATTGTCTCGCTTGCGCCCCAGTCTTTAACACGTCTGACATTTGATCTTGGAACCTAACCCAGTCTTGTCTTGGCTCTGACTTCTTCTGCTGAATAGCCTGAAGTCCTTGTAGAAAACCCTTCTGACATCGAGGGCCGCATGCTGCTAGGCCGCGTCTCGCCACCCATGTCCAAGAGGGTCCAGACAGCGAGCCACAGTGCCCACAAGGAATCTCAAGGTGTAAGATCTGAGACTTGCAGATCGGCAGGTAGTGAGAGTTGCTAAGAGTCATCGAGCACTGCTGGCACAGTGACCCCTGTAAGATATCATTCCAACAAGGTTGTGTGTTCTTTCCATATGTAGGTCTTTTGCACCAACAACAAGACAGATCTTTTCCCTTTCTGTCAGAAGGGGCCACGGCGTTTGTTCTCTTCTTAGCTGGAATGAACGAGATAGTGGTCGTTCTTGTTTCCAAGTCATCTTTGATTGTTTCGACATGTGCATGTTTTGTCGTGGGGTCTATGGACGACTCAAAAGCAAGTTCATTGAGAATAACACCTTGTTGATCTTGACTTTGTGAAATCTCGTCCTCGTGTAATAAGTCATCATCTTTTTCCTCTCTAGGAGGTTCTTCCCTAGCATGCCGTTCAAGCTGTTTCTGCTGATGAATTGCCTTCATCTCTTGGTGCTGCAATTGAGTGAAGCTGTGACAAAAAAGAAAGTTGTCCTTCGAAAATGGCTTTGGTCTTGACGCGACCAGTCGATGTTCCCCCTCAGGGCGCCATGGGCTGTTGATCATCGCGAGTAAGATACCCCGACTAACAGAACCACCAAGGATTTCTAGATGGGGTATATCAGATGCTTGAAAACCCCAGTCATGAAGCCAGGACCAAATATTGTCGGTTATTGAGTCGATTGTCATCTTATACTCGCCATTCTCCTCACGTAACCTTGTCAACACCAACTCGGACAATGCTACCCGCGATCTAAAATAGGACGGATAAACTCTTTGAGTCCGGGTTAGGCAAACCCCTACTTTGATTGCAAGGGAAGCCATCGTCGCACTTTTCTTGAATGAAGTGCCGACAAAGGTGCGGGGAGCTTTAGATAGACTCGCGAAAGCACAGATTGCGGTTGTTCTATCTGCAGATATGCGTCTAATGACACCTTCCCAATATCAATTTTGATCTTTTTGATAGAGGGATCAGACATCACTATCAATCTCTCTGTGTTGGTCCCGCATAGAATGACAACCTGAAGATTGGACATATCAATGATTTCGCTGTTGATCTCGCTTAGGAATTTGTCTTCAGGTCCAGCTAGCTTGAACTTTCTGGGGGTGTATGGAACCTGGAAATTGAACGGCCAGACAAGGCAGTTTTGCTTGTGGAAACCAATATATCCCAAGGCCGACGGAAAATGCACTGGTAAGGTACTCTCTCTATTGTGTTTGAGAGAGAAGATATCAAAATCCAGCACAAAACCAATGTGAGCCTCTGTCATTGAACCGAATGGCAGTGCATGTAGATGCTCCATAACACCTTGCTGGTCTAGGTAACGAGCCACTTTGTAGTCTATTGTTGTTGGATCAATAGGCCGTCGTGAATTGTTCGATATTCCAATTTTTGCGTTATCGCCGACAAAGGGACTTGAAAGATGAGGCGAGATTGCCACATGACATGCCAGTTCAATTTCCTGAGGGTGTGGTCTTCGCGAACATGGTTGGAGAGCTGATCTCTTTTGTTGCTGTAACTGTGCTTGCCGAGCCTTTGCAAATTCTTGAGTTTCATAACTCGGAGAATGTGCGAGCCAACTCCGGCACTCCGCTCTCTCTTTTGGGGTCAAAATGACATTTTGTAAAAGTGGAGAGATGACATTGAGTCCTTGTAGCGAAAAGCCTTCAGTTCCAGCACCAAGAAAGCGCTCAAGTGTTGGTAGTGGCAGTGATTGAAAGGCGAGACAGAATACCATCTCAAGGAGATTGTTTAGGAGTTCAATAGACTGACGAGTGTCTTCGTCCTCTTCAATAATCTCCCAAAGCCTTATAAAGTTCAATTGCCGCCCGGGCTTTGAAGCAACCCAATAACAAAGTGTGTTGTTGCGTCCGTGTAGAACTTCCGTAATATGCTGCGGAATTCGGCGTTTCAGTAAGCTACCTTGACCAGCATATGGCCTCCAAAACTCTTCGGCCTCACTAGAGGTGATATACAACAGGTATCCACCAATAGCAGGCCATTTGGTTATAGGACCCTGGTACCCTAGAACATCATCCAGCCTCATATTTTCAAAGTTAGTAGAAGCTCCTTATACTTCTTATAGATGCTATAGGCTCACATTTGGCGCGTGACGTCCTTCCCTTCTAGTGCTCGTACTTCGGGAAGTATGCATTTCATCATTCTGTCCTTGAGAGGGTGTAGAGATCCAAAACTTTCGATTTCGTTTTGGTAAGACTTGAGACGGTGTATAACAAAATGGGGCATAACAAGCTTGTTTAACAAGTTATCTGTCAGAGTATCAAGGCAGGCGAATGTCACGGTATGTGGTTGAAGCTGCGCTTGAATTGTTAGACATATGAGGACCACGGGATTTAGGTCCAGGTACTAACATCTGTTGTCGTGACTTCTGAACTAGGCGTAATAGGAAGAACCACCTTCCTGGTATCCACTTCAAGCTCTAACTGACTCTTTTTTGGTTTATTCCGTGCATCTCTGACTCCATCCCGACGCTTTTTCGATTTCTTCCGTGCGTCTCTGACTCCTTCCCAAGTGCGGAGTATCAAGTTACTCAAAAAACGCTGGTTCACCTCCCCACACTTCATAGCTGTCTTCAAAGCCTCTTGCTTCTGCTTGGTATCAAGACAAGGAAGAGAATTGAAGCCAGTCATTATGCCCACGCGCTTTAGTGAGCTCCATATCTCCTCGTTGATTTCTTTTAGCGTATCATGCTGGTCAGCAGACTCTTTATTGCTCTTGGAGTGCTTTCGAGAATAAAGGTCGTCATTGTCAAGATCTTCAAGATATTGCATGACAAGATATTCCAGGATCTGTTGTACTACCAGGGCGTCGTCCGCCTCAGACCCAAGATCATAAACCTCCTCCATTGTTGACATGATAAGGGAAGGTGCTGAGGAAAAGGGCGGAATGCGTATCGATACCATGAGAAGAGAACAGAGGATTTTTAGCGAAAGTAGGTAAAAACGATGGCTGAAGAAGTACCTCAATGCGTGATTGAAGCAAAGAATGGTTGAAGTACAAGCAACGGCTGCCACGAATGAGCAAAAAGGACGTGAGTCAGGTTAGGGATTACCTGTTCGCTGTTCAGTTGACCAGGATAGACGGGCAGAGAGCAGAAGAAGGAAAGCAAAAAGAAGAAGGGAGAGCGAAAGAACAGAACTAAGCCAAGCCACCGAGACGCCCACAGAACGAAAAGAACAAAGATAGTCGGGTAGGCCGTGAAACAGAATGGCTTTTTTGCCAGTGTGTTCATCTCGTCACTCTGACAGCAACAATCTCTTAGATGAAGGTTCCTTCCCCGCACCTCAGCACATAATGATCCAAACGAAATATCGATCCCTAATGAAGCCCTCCAAAAAGTGAAAAAAAAGTCCAATTCAGAAGAGATTGAGAAACTGCAGCTGCGCGCCATCCGGCGTAATTACACGGTAATTGAGGTGAGCAGTGAGTCGGCGTCGCTCAAGGCTCAGGTGGCGCTTCGACGCGAAGGGATCCAGGTGGCAGACGGCGGAAACAAATCGGCGATATCGTCGCGTCTCATATGTCCCGGCTCGACGAGCGTGCCCTTGGTATTAAAGCTGACGACTTCGTAGAGCATCTTTGATACTGAAACGTGTGCGTTCCATCAGGCTAGCGCTGAATCCCAGAACTTGGTAGCTAGTAATAAGTTGTCAATGTTTATGGACAAGAGAACAGGATTTAATTTGGGTCTCATAAGGTGCCGTAGTATTCCACGGCAGCAGAGACCCCTTATAATACCACAGGTAGATCAGAGCTACATACTGCTCTAAATTTACTGCATGTGAGCTTCTTGGCTCTTCGACTTGGATGCTGAGAAGCTGATGAAAACGACTGACGCAGGAAATCCCTAAACAGACTCCTTTATAATGAAATCAACAAGAGAAAGAGACAAAGAGAAAACAAGAGAAAGATCAAGATCTGTGATATGTGAAATGGAAGGCGTACATATGAAGCCCAATATCTCTCTTTTTAGCTCAAGTACTCTCGATCTAATATAACGCTACGAGAAAAAACCTCGAATCTACTCCGGAATGCTACCGAAGGACGGGTTTTTTACACTACCGGCTACGTCGTCAAGACTAGCCGCTGGCCGTTATAGGTGTTCCTTCGTAAACAATGTATTGTTAGGTGCTTGGTGTAGTTAGCCGCATCATAGATCTAGGATCGAAGGAAAACTCTTTATTCTTCAGTGATCCTGAGCCTGAGCACCCTCATAACGCCGCGGTAGCTCAGATAGGAAAGGCCCCACCCGGCAGGCATCATCCTGTCTATATAGTTACATATTATACAAAAATCCCGTCTGTCCAGCTTCTCTATTTCGACGCTCCCCAACCCTTCGACTTCAGCTCCTGCACCTTATCCGCATCCTCCTTCTGAATGCGCTCAATCGTCTTGTCCCGATTATACTCCATCACGCGCTTCTCCTTGAAATATTTCACCTATCACCGCAGAATATATATCAGCACATGCGCCAACCAACCCATTAGGTGGTACTAGGTAGGTAGACTGGGGTAGATTGGAGGGTAGGGCAGAGAAAGTGTCTGTGAGAGAAGGGAAAGAACACACCCAAGCCTGCGAACAAGCCGCCTCAAACTGCGCCACCTCCTTCGCGCACTTCCTCCGCGCCTCCTTATCCTCCTTGATGCCGTCGAGGATACCGTTCCGGTCCAGGCAGCTGAAGAAGAGATCCCGGCCTTCGTAGCACTTGGCGCGGCTGCTTCGGTCTGGCGCGATGCGGCCTCCGTCGGAGGCTGTTTTATCGGCGTCCGAGGAGGAGGAGGACCACGGGAGCCAGCCCATTTTTGGTTTGGTGGGTGGTTGATTGGGAGGAGGAGGTGTTATTATGGGGGAGGGAAAGTGACGAGGTGCGGAAGAAAGTCACGGCGGGAATGACTTGCGCCAAGACCGAGTGTTGATCCCCGGCAAAAAGACACTCGGTCTCTTGGATTTCTTCCTTCAACATCAAACTATTTACGTACTTCTTTCGAGTCTTGGATATCGGCCCTTGGTACCATCTCCCACTCAGTCAGTCAGGCAGGCTATCGCCTCAGCTCAACTCACCAGTTACCAACGCAACCACCCCTAGCCCGGAGCACTGAGATCAGCCACCACCATTACAGACCACACCTCGCCCTCCCCATCTCTCCGCAAGAGCGCTCCGCTCGCTCTCAGCCTCTCTCTTCCTCCCACCAGGGAAATACCCCTCAAGTCGCCTAGTTCATGCCCCCGCGCCGGCGTCACCCAGCGGGGGCGCGAACCGACCTCCCGCCACTGCTCATCATCCGCAAGATCATCTTGCTCCAGGTCGCCTGGTATGTCTGCGCAACGGTACTGATACTGTTCACGACGGCGGTGTACGGCGCGCCCTTTTCGCTGGATCTGGTCTTTGGATGGGACTATCTGCGCGGAGATACCACAGTTGGGTGGATATTGGGGTTGGTGTGGATTTTGAACTGTTTCATCAGGTATGAACCCGACGCCTCTTTGAGTCGATCGTCCTTCCCAGAAAGGGTCCAGAAATAAAAATGACTGACATCCTTCTTTTCCTGGGTAGTGTGATTTTCCTCCTCCTCTTCGTGTCCCGGTCCAAACTTGTCCCCGACTTCGCTCTCACCATCCACTTCCTCCACCTCGTCGCCACAACGTTCTACACCCGCTCTCTGCCCGCGAATCTCCTCTGGTGGGCTCTGCAGTGTGCCAGCGCGTCTGTGATGACGTTTATGGGGATGTGGGCTTGTCAGTGGCGCGAGCTGAAGCCCATCAGCTTCGGCGGTATTGGAGGTGGCAGTAGCAACAACGACGGCCACGCAGCGGGGTCATCATCTCATGCACCCGCCGATGGGCAGCAGGAGTCTAGTTTTGGTCGCGGACGGGGCCGAGAGCGCAGCATTAATGCTGGGATGGGGGAGTATGAGATGGATGAGTTGAAGGGTGACCACGCTGTATGAATCTTTCGGAGTACCGATGTTGGTTGGACGGTTCGGTTGATCCATCTTTGTGTTTCTCTTTTGTTTTGTTGTATACCCTGCCATGGTTGCATCTGTCTAGGTGGCGTTCTTTTGTGTTTAGGAGGAAAGGAAAGCAAAGACTTTCTCATGTGTCGAATATATACCAACCCCCTAATACAGTCTAGGGGTTGTAACCCTTCTGGATAATCATTCAAAGAAATGAACATGCTGCATCTTGCAAAATTATTACTGCCATGTACTTTCCCATCCAGGTCAAAACATAGTTATTCTCATTGCAAAACGCGGCCATTCGTCTCCTCAACAATCAACTCGAACTCAGGCTGGAACTCCGTATAGAAATTATGCTATCAAACGCACGCAATCATATGATTAGCCCCATCATTTTCTCAAATCAAACAAATACCGCTCTAGTTACTCACCGGATTCTGCGCCGTCTCGGCGGTATATTTGGCCACTTCATCCTTGATGATCTTCTTCGGCACCCCATTCGCAGCAGCAGCTTCAGCCAGCAGTTGTGAGTGGCAAGCGTTTTCCAGGCTGGAGAAGAGGAATGCTGCTTCATCGACGGTTTGGCCGACGGTTAGAAGCCTGGTAAGTAACGGACAAATGTCAATATGATAGCACAGCTTCTCAAGATGATACTCCAAGAAGGGGGGATATTTACCCGTGATTCTGCAGAATGCAAGCAATGTTCTCCTTCCCGAGTGCCTGCGCAATCTGCCGACCTTCTTCCTGGGAGAGCGCAATGCCGGCGTGGTCATCGTACATGCCGAGTCGGCCGTGGAAGTTGCAGGCGTCTAATCATATCACCGAGTTGTCAATATTGTATGCAGGATATATAAAAGCGAGAGAAAAAAAGCCCACCTTGAGAAAGCATCTCAATCGGCCTCCCGAACGCACTCCACGTCTTGCCGTAGATACTATGTGTATGCGCCGCAGAGATAACATCGGGCCGGGCCTTGTGGATCTCCGAATGGATCATGAACCCAGCCTCGTTGATGGGCAATTGCGCCCCGCCTTCAGTGACATATCCCTCGCTGTCGACAAGAACCAGGTCCGAGGCTTTGATGCTGGAGAAGTGTTTGGCGAAGGGGTTGATCCAGAAATGGTCTTTCAGGACGGGGTCTGAACAATACCGTCAATCAATCAATCAATCAATATTTCCTGTCATGCTAACATGGGGGTAGCTCACCTCGCACGGAGATATGTCCGCTCACACCCTCGCCATAGCCCTGTTTCCCGAAAAACCGAAACGCAGCAGCCATGTGCTCCTTGACCCACTGGCGCTTGGCGTGGGCATCTGAGAAGGTCGGAATACCACGTAGCTTCAACGTGCCGGCGCGGTCTCCGCGGGCGACGGATTGGAATTTGGTGTCTGTGGCGGCGGACGGGATGTGGTGGTCTTCCCCGGCGGCCAGGCGGACGGAGTGGTCCGTTTGGGTTGTGGTTGAGGTCGACATGTTGTGGTTGAAGGATGTAATGATAGGAGTTCAATTAGGAACCTGGTATAGAAGAGATATGTATGTTAAGGTTAAAAGAAAGAAAGCAGAAGAAGTCCATTCCATCTCTTATCTGCCCGGATCCACCCTCCCCAAACCCCGCTTGGATGTCGATGGAAGGCGTGACAGCGGAATCTTGTCCGCTCGGAAGCGCCGCTAGATTGTAAAGGAGTGATCCTGATTGACTAAGATAATGTACTGTTATTCCTATCGTATAACTAGTATGGAACATTAACTGTTTTGACAAAATAGTATTCTTTTTCTGTCTATATACTTCATTCATGCCTGAGGCATAAATTGACTAACTTGCCACGTGACCCGCTATCTGCTATCAACAATTGTCTTTCTCTCCAAGCAACCCTTGAGAGCAATGGCCGATATTCCACTGTCATGAAGACGGCCGGTCCAATTGCATGAAAAATCACCTCAACTCAATTAGCGCGGAACGGCCACATGTCTCCAGCCTACAACAGTGTCCTCTAGTTCCACGACCCCCGCGCCCCCCAACAGAGATGGCCTCGGGCGAGCCATCTTACATAGACTATGAGGCCTTCCTAGACCCTGAGTTCTCACCGGCCTCATTCGCCAACTCACTTGTTCAAAGCACCAACAATGCTACCGATACACCACTGGATCTGTCCACTCCGCTGTCGCGGGTCCTGTTCGACCTCCAGGAGATCGACACCCACATCCATGGATTGACGACCAAATCCGCGCTCCCGCTTCTGGCGCACACAGAAAGCCAGACCGCCGCCGCAGAGAACGTGCTCAAAGAAGCAGGCAACCAGATCGCCTCCGTCAGTCAGGGGTACGAACGGCTAGAGACCGAGGTGCTGCGGAAATGGGAGGCCGCCGAAGAAGCCCGCATTGCAGCAGAGAACTCGCTTCAGACTGTCCGACTGGGCCGCGCGGTGGCTCGGTGTCTGACCCTGGGCCGACAGCTGGAAAGTCAGGTTGCCGAAATCACCGGTCGAGGCGGTGGTGCTGCCAGCGGCGGGGATAAAACGGTGACCAGTGGGAAGGAGAGCTTTCGGGCGCTGGAGCGTGCCGCGTATACGATCTTGAGCTTGCGGCAGATGCTCACGGCGTCAAAGGAAGGAGAGGAAGGCTACGGCCTCGACCGGGTGAAGGTCATCCGCACGCTGCGCGGCGAGTTTGTGATTCCCGCTGAGAACATGGTGAAGGCACGAGCGCAGCAGACCATCAACCGGTTCTCATTGACAGCAACCACCAGCAATGCCTCCAACGGTCAGTCCGTGCAGTCGGGCTACAAACAAGCTCGAGACGCACGGGCCCGACTGGCCACTGCCGCGGCAACTCTATATCTACTGTCGCCCATGCCCAGGGGCACAGGCACGGTCTCGGTCTCGGAGTACAAGCCAGAGCTGCTCCTGTCGACGCTGCAGGGCTACATGCACACGGCGATCATGACGTCCGCAAACACGCTCGCCAAGGCCCTCTCGCAGCTCCCAACGCTCGACCGGACGCTAGGCGACATCTCCTCGCGATGCCAAGATATCGTCGCGCTGGAGACCATCCTCCGAGGTCTTCGACCCCCATCCCATCCTCTACTGGCTACTCCTCATGAAGACCACCCGCCCATAAGCGAGTCCGAGTCCGAACCTACTGCCACGCCCAACAAAGCGAATCTCCTCCAGCTGCTCCTCCAAGCGCTCGACACTTCATCGCTCCCCTCCTACTTCTGGCGCTCCCTCGCCTCCTCCCTCACCTCGCGCGTGCAGGAAATCGTCAACCGCGGGGGAGTCTCTGCACGCACGTTGCGATCGAATCGCGACCGCCTCAAGAGGGAAATCAAGGAGTGCGTGCTCCGTGCCTCCGAGGTTTCTGCCAGTAGTCATCTGGCCGACAAGGGGCGGGCAACGGCCATGGCGGAAGGCACCTGGGAGCGCGAAGCGGCAGTGATGGTGAGCTCGGTGGTTGGGCCGCTAGGACGGTAGATTTATTCATGTGTATGTACATATCCGTGCATAATGTCATCCAGGCATGCTCCAGGTACCTGTTTCAGGGCCAGGGATCGACCCGGATGGGTCACACAGTGTTTCACAGATATCCTCCGGCAGTCGGAGAATAACTAACATGGTGGCCTGTCAGATGATTTCTAGAATGGGACACAGATAACTCTCTACACACCGCTTTTCCGCCTGGGTACATTCTCCTCGTAGACCCATGGATGCGTCCAGTCAACGACGTCACGACCGATCCCCCACTTAGGACTAGTCCACTTATCGATAAGCCCCAGCCTGCACGGTACCTGGCTCTACCTCCACCGTGCGCCATCTGCGCCGCATCATCCGCCCTGCAGTTGTACCTACAGGTACCCGATCCACCCTGGCCTTACATCCAAATTAGGCCTCAGCGTATCACCCGCAGGGCACCGCCGCCAATGAGCGCCGAACCTCCTTGCTCGGCAGACTTGCACCACCAACCCCTTGAATGTGGATCAAGGGATCCCAGAACACCGACCATTGGATCGTCGATCGTACTCGCGCCCTCTGTCCCGAGAACTCCGCCGAGGGGGGTGGGGGAACCATGTCTCAGCGTGGTGTATCTCAAACGTTGTGCCCGGCCAATGGAGTTTCTTCGCACAGCCTTCCACCCCAGGCCGGGTGCATTAGCAGTAACAAGTAAAGCACATCATCTGCTCGGAGCGTGGCGTCACATCATTGCAGTTCCCCCATCCATGGATATCGAGGGAACTGGCCGTCATGCCCACCCAGTGTACAAACTTCTAGGTCCTGCCGTTTGCAGACGATGACGATTCCAGCTCGCCTAGGGCCCTCTCCGTGTCTCCCGCTGTGGGGAAGGAGAAAGAGTCTAGGCAGTCGATTAATGCAGGCACCATGGGAAGGTTTCTGCCTTGTGTGGCTGCTCTGCTTTCTTTGACGCGGACTGGACTCGATGCACCGTCCGTGCTCGGGTATACATATCAGACGCGCTGACTCTCCGCATTATTGGACGTGGTGATCGTACTCGTTGCTCACGCTGGAGGTGTCGGCTCTCGGGTCTCTGACTCGCGCACTGGTCGATTCGCCTCTATAGATCGTAAAGACTAACTACGATCCCTCGCACTGTACCTCGAGCTTACCTAGATCACGTCAAGACTGTGCCTGGTGCCTCCGGCCCAGCGTTCCTGGTCGTCAGGCCTGGATCTGGTGAAACCCGCGGTCGGTTCTGCCGGAGGGTCAAGTAAGCTGATAGTTATAGTCGTCACCATTCATGCCCCCCACATTATTATCTTTCCTTCTTCTTCCTACTTACTTCTACTTGCCCTCGAGGCGATCTTCTTCTCCCTTGCGTCGCCACCCAGCCTTGACACACCTACGGCATTCCACTTTTGGCCCCTCCATCTTACCTCTCTTCGCTTCTCCCCCTGCCTTTCCTTTTTCTTCTCTCTCGCCCCCCAGGCACTAACTCGGCCCTTCCCCGCCCCCTTCCTTCCCTTTTTTTTTAAACTGCAAATCGTGGAAATCCGTACGTCGACCTGTATTTATTTTTTGGAGGATTCCCTTCTATAGGCGCGGTTACTAAATCCTGTGCAAATGTTGACAGTCAGCCTGGCCATCCGTCTTCGCCTCGTCCTCCCCTCCGACCTTTCTGGCGTAGCGCTGCGGTTCCTACCACCCCTCGACATCCATAGATCGCCGACCGAGTCCGAGGTGAACCGCCCTGACCGATCTGCGGACTTTGCGACCGGTGGATAAGGGGGGTTCCTGGGAATATCTCAGCTTTGACATCACCGCCCTCCCACCTCCACCCCCTCTGACGTCGCCAACATGTCGTCCTTCCTCCCCGTGAACAACTCGACCCCAGAGGATCACCCCATGGACGGCGCGACAACTCCCCGTGCAAACCCTAACGGTGCGCCAGCCTCCCCGGCAGGGTCGCCGCCGGAGCAGCACCCGGACCCCAACTCCCAGACCATCGACCGAGGGGCAGAGGGGCCAGCGGCGTCCTCACACACCAGAAACTCGTCGACAGCGACCGACGACCCGATGCATGACGACTCTGAAGAAGGAACCGACCAGGAAGGCGAGCCCGGAAGCACTGCCCCGCCATCCAAGAAGAAAAAAGGCCAGCGCTTTTTCTGTACCGACTTCCCACCATGCAACCTGAGCTTCACGCGCAGCGAACATCTCGCCCGGCATATCCGGAAGCACACGGGCGAGCGGCCCTTTCAGTGTCACTGTTCCCGGCGGTTTTCTCGACTGGATAACCTGCGTCAACATGCTCAGACCGTACATGTCAACGAGGAGATCCCGGGAGATTCGCTGGCGGCCACTGGCACACGGTTCCAGCGCCAGGTCCGGACCGACCGAGTACGGCCGCCGACTCGCGTACGAGCAGGGACGGTGGGCAGCCAGGGCGGCCACAGCCGTGGTCATAGCCGGAACCTATCAACCTCCAGCATCACTTCAACCGCCTCGACATACAGCCAGCCCCAGGAGCTTCGACGACGCCCTCCTCCGCTGATCATGGCCAACGATCCCACATCTCGGTCCCGAATCCCGATGGATACGATGGGAGAGCCACCCACCACGCCTCCGGGCCAAGTCCGCGGCGGCGTCGCTGTCGGGTCTCCCTACACTCCGTCGAATGTCTATTCAACGGGCGCTGGCAGCCCTCATCAGTTTCAATCGCCCATGTCGGCCTCCCGACGTGGTTTCTGGGACGGCAAGACAGCAGCCCGTCGCCTCTCCGTGCCCACCGGCAGCAACCCTTTTATGACACAGCATGGCACTGCATATCCTCCCTCATACACCACCTCACCGGCCAGCACGGCCTTTCCAACTTCTGCAGGCGTGTTCCCTAGCCCGACCAGTACCAATTACTCGGTGTCCCGAGATGAGAGCACCATCAGCGCAGCTGAGGCGGAGATGCGCAGGCGAACGTGGCATCCCTCGTCTTACTCGGGATTCGCACGCCCAGTCACCAGTGGCCTGAACTATCCTGCGCCGGATACCATCCCGGCTCCGTTGAGCGGGAACGGACCGTCCGAGCAGACAACTCGGTTGCCTGGCATCGAGAGTTTCGACAAGGTCATCTCCCAGCATCGACCTCTGACTCCTCCCACCCGAAAGTCAAGTCCGATGCAGATTGATAGCCATCATCGCCCACCGCCCCCTCCGGGTCACGGCTTTGGGTCGGGCTACACCTACAACCAGCCAGCGGTGCGTCCACCACCGCCCATGTCTGGACCAGGCCATCGCCGGGGCCATGTCTCGTGGGACATGTCCCTGCACACCGGGATTACGGGGCTGGATATCCGAGACCGCAATTCCTCCCGAGACTGGAGCCAGCAGACCATAGCCGAACTCCAGAATGTCTCGTCCCGGCCATCCTCCTCCTACCAACCCTCCCTCGGCCCAACGGCAGAAAAGAGCCCCGAAGAGCATCGCAGCCACCACCACCACACCCACAGTTTCTCATCGGCCAACCGGCCTACCCGCACATCCCCCGAGGACTCCAGCAGCAGCGACGGCGTCCACACTCCCTCCACCGCCTCGGTCGAGTATCACCCGGCGATAGTGCACAGCAGCGGATATGTCGAGCCGCATGAATCCTCGCTGCCCTCCGACGCCCCACCGGTGAGAAACCTTCTGCGAACGGACGGCAGTCGCCCTTACTAATGCCGTCATTCATACATAGATCTGTGGTCGTCGCGAGTCTAACGCCGATGGCTACCGCGCTCCACCGGCGCGCGAGCCCCGCTCCGAAATGTTCCCGGATCCATCTGCCCGGAATACGGGCATGGGCCGTCTCGAGGCTCTGGTGGCTGTCGCTACGAGCGAGAATAAAGGGGCAGCCAAGTTGTTCCTGTAAATTGTTTCTTGTCATTCTCGACGCACGCACGAACACACTTCTCAGATATTCATTATCCTTTGGATATACCCCGATTCAACTATCATACCTGACACGACACTCTTTGAGCCCCTCCCTCCTCCACACGGGCCTTTTTATATTTCCCCCCCCCCCCCCCCCCCCCCCCCAACTTCCTGATCTATTTCGGGGGTTCACCACCAGCCCATTTTATTTATCTCTTGGGCGGCTGTCTGAAAGACCCTTGATGAAGTGATGACTTGATGACCTGATAAACACCATGCCTGAAATGCCACCACGTCCCTTCTCTTGTTTTTGTTTCTGGAGGGGTTTGTTTTCTTGTTATTCTGCATGTCCTGGCGTTTCGGTTCGTGCGGGAAAGGGTATGGATTGAATCGTGTGCATGACGATACCCCGGCCTCGATCATTGGGTTTTTCCTTTTTTCCTTTCGCTTTGGTCGTGGTATTGACTTTCGATCGTTTCGAATACTCTCCGCTTGTTCTCTCTCTCTTCTCTCTCTATCTCTCTCACACACACACATTCTCATTTCCTCGTTTTTGTTTCATGATTTTTGTCTAAGTACCTTGGGATTGTCTGTTCATGATTGATGGTATGCTACCGCGAGATGTTTATGTCTTTATGTCTGAATGATTGCAAATATACATTTTATTTCTGTCTCTTTTCCTCATGTTAGGGATTAGATCTAGTTCATACATGGAGTGTGTGGGTTGGTTAGGGCTGGCCTATTAGTATGACGTCTATCTTCATTTTCTTCTACATTGGTGACTTTAGACTAATACTTTTACACCACAATGCTAAGTTACGGTAAATTTGCCTCCAAAAAAAGCTAGTCTAATGCTGCGAGTTCGGCGTCATGAAGGTCCAGCTGTTCATGGATCTTCAACTCAAGGTCTAGTAGCAGCCAATTTGCCAGTCCCAAGAATATCGCCATCCTCCTCCTTTCCAGCCTGTGCGCGATCAATGCGGAATTGACTTGTCTGGAATAGACGGGGCATGCTGGTGTTTTCAAAGGGAACACCCTTGGCAATCATCTTGGCCAGTTCCTTTGCTGCTAGCCAGATGACTGGCATACCATGTCCGTTGAAACCCGCTATGATAAATTGACCTTTCCTCTCTGGAACGTGTCCGATATGGGGATTCGAGTCATATGAATAGCCCATGACACCTGACCAAATCTTGTCCACCTTGGCACCGGTATCTTCCCATCCACGATACGTTCGCTGCATATATCCATCGTAGTAGTCTTTGGCGGAGTCGATGAGGACACTGTCGTCCACGTTATCGTACCACTGGCGTTTGAATGGCCGGAATACGGCAGCCGCACCACCCACGATGATGCTGCCATCAGCACGGGGGACAAGATAAGAAAGCGTATTGTCTTCGGCTCGGTTTATATATGAATTGTTCAGAAGTGGTGGTGTAACCCCCTCCGGAACAGTGATTCTACAGCAGATACCCTTGCAAGGAATGATGTTCTTGCGGTACTCTGGGAGTAGCCCGGAGACATAGGCATTATTGGCGTGAATGATGTTCCTTGCATGCATCTTGCCTCGAGGTGTTTGCACAATGAAACCGCCTTTCGGGTCTGGTGTAATGGATGTGACTGGTGTATGTGTTTGTAGATTTACCCCGGCTGTAAGGAGGACTCGAATAAGATGGCTAATAAATTTGAAAGGAAACATGGTGCCGGCAGTAAAGCTGGCACACGCTTTTGCGCCCTTGACACCGCAGATCTGGTGGATGTCAATGGTTGATTCCGTCGTGCCAAAGAAATGATACAATCACTTACCCCTTCGACTTGGTCGCCGGTATAAAAGACTGCATCCTCCATGTACTCAAAGCCGGCAGCAACCACCCTGTCATAGACTGCTTTGGCTTTCTTCGCGGACTCCTCGTTACACCAGACATCGACCGACCGCGCAAGAGTGAAATCGCAGTCGATCTTCTCCTGCTCGATGACCTTCTTCAGTGCACGAAGATTGGCTATTTCGAATTCGGCAATTTCAGCACCTGCCCGATCCCCTGCGCGGTCCATGTATGTCGGAATATGGCCATAGAAATCGGGTCTGCAATGGCCACCGTTGCGGCCGGTTGCTCCCGAACATGCGCCTCGCGCTTCTAATATAGCAATTGACTTGGTCGCGACGCCGGCCTTCATGAGATGATATGCTGTGCTGACACCCGCATAACCCGCACCAATGATCACTATATCACTGTGCTCGGGCAGTTGGTCCGTCGATCGGTAATCACTGAGTTCATCACGAGCTGTTTGCCAAAAGCACTCGCCAGGGGTCACGGAAGGCAGACACTTAGATGTGGCGGCAGTGGGAGGGGTGGCACCGTTGGCACCGTTGGAGAGAGTCATGATTGTTAGCGAATGAATGCAAGGGGAAAGAATCTCGTCAAGCAACTTTTAGAAAATTTGACTTTTATTGTAGCAGATAAGAGTTCATGCCGCTCTGCTCACCAGCAAATCTGCTTCTCCTTATCGGTGCCGGGCCGACGTTACTCAAACTGGAAACCACCGGCACATTGACTTGCCCCCGCACTGGAATAGGGACCATCGGGTTTAGTGGCAAGGATTTAGGGTTTCGCTTTTCCTATCAGGGGCTGAAGCCTCATAATTCGTGCCGGTCATGATCCGGTCCTGTCCACCAACAGCATTCCCGCGGTTTCCAATCAGCTCCAGATAGTAGCCACTAGTCTGTGATGGTCCGTGCAAGGTGCAAAAGAAACATGGGGAGAAAGTACAAAAATTGAGGTGTAGATCCTCATCCTGGGCAATCACTTTCCCTCTGAATTGGTTTGCATGCCACAGTGTCTTCAATCATGCCAGCTTCTATGACAATCCCTACTTTGGCAGACAATGGCATTGAGGCCGCAACTCTCTCTGAAAAGAAAATACCGGCCTACGACGCCGAGATGGCAAAATCTAGTGATCTGGAGAATGCCGCAGGTCAACTCGAGGAGATCAAGAACTTCAGACAAGGCCTTCACCAGCGACACATCCAGATGATTGCCCTTGCTGGCACAGTTGGAACCGGCCTTTTTCTCAGCTCAGGGCGAGCCATTGTGACTGCTGGTCCGTTGGGTGCATTTATTGCATACTCTGTGATCGGCCTCGCGGTGGCAAGTGTTGTCTTCGGTGTTGGAGAGATGGGAGCGCTCGCTCCGCTTAATGGTGGTTTGATCCGATATGCAGAGATCTTCTGTGACCCTGCTCTTGCATTTGCCAATGGATGGAACCAAGTTTACTCCTACATTGTCTCTATCCCATCCGAAATCGTTGCTGCTGCCGTTCTCATCGAGTTCTGGACCACTATCAACAACGCGGTTTGGATTACTGTATTTGGGCTCTTGATGCTCGCTACCGCCCTGGTGTTCGTTCGAATCTACGGAGAACTCGAATTCGGATTCTCGATCCTCAAAATCATGCTAGTGATCGGTATTAACCTCATGGCCCTGGTGATTACATGTGGTGGAGGACCTGACCATAAGTCAATTGGCTTCGCCTACTGGAAAGCCCCATATGGACCTATGGTTCAGTATCTGGGAATTCCTGGCTCACTGGGTCGCTTCTTGGGATTCTGGAAAGCATTCGACAGCGCACTCTACGCTTATTCAGGCATTGAGAACATCACCGTGGCGGCTGCGGAGACCCGATCTCCCCGTCATGCCATTCCTATGGCAGCGCGCCGTATATTTGTCCGTATCTTGCTCTTCTACGTCATCACAATCTTTATGGTCGGCCTAGTAGTGGCATCTACCGACGATTCTCTCCTAGGATCATCAGGAACAGCTACTCAGTCACCATTTGTCATTGCTGCTCGTGAAGCTGGCATTAAAATCGTCCCCTCGATCATCAATGCGGTTGTTCTCACCTCAGCCTGGTCATCGGGTAACTCCAATATGCTAGGCGGGTCTCGAATCCTTTACGGAATGGCAGTTTATGGACATGCCCCCGCTGTTTTCAAGCGTATCAACCGCTTCGGCATCCCCTATGCGGCAGTGTCTCTCTATGGTTTGTTCATGGCCCTCGGGTATATGACCCTGTCCAGCTCGGCAAGCACAGTGTTTACCTGGTTACAAGATCTCGTCTCTATCTCTACCCTGGTGAATTGGATTTGTATCTGCATTGTCTATTTGCGATTCCTCTACGGTTGCAAGAAGCAAGGGATCGATCGCCACAGGGAACTTCCGTGGGCGGCGCCCTTTCAGCCATTTTCGACCTGGGCCTCATTGATCCTGTTTATTCTTCTTTTCTTCACCGGAGGATTCACAACCTTTATACACGGGCAGTGGAGCACCGAGACCTTCATCTCGAGCTATTTCAACTTGCCTTTTATTGTGATTATCTATTTTGCCTACAAGTTCTGGATGAAGACCAGAATCATTCCGCTGGCGGAAATCCCTATTCGACCTTTCATCGAAAGCTACCAGAACAACCCCGAGCCAGAGCCCAAGCCAAAGCGCGGTCTCTGGAGGCTTAATATCTTATGGGCTTGAATCAGCAAAATCTTAGCAATCAATTATATAGCAAATCTATGGAATTTTGAAACTTCTAAAGCCAAATACGTGTCTTTGTTTTATCTCTCATCATTTTCTTGGATGAAAAAACCCGGTTCCCAAGGTTGACACACCTGCCCACAATAGTTCTTATCTTGCCTATCTTGGTCTTGTCTCACAACAATAACACAGCTGCACATGTATGGGACAGGAGTTTGCTTTTCGCTATCTGAATGTAGAAGACGATGGCAAGATTCCCGCAAATCCCCACTTTCATGATAGCTAGCAGCTGTCCAATAAGCGTGGGTCGGCCCGGGTTTACCAGATCTGGAATGCCACGAACATCGAGTTGAATTGGCCTATGAGATAGTTGCCGGTGCGGGGGACAGCTGCTTGTTCGTGTAGTTGCATAAATATTTCCAGTTCTCACTAGGTAAGCTACACATAAGGAGCTCTCAACTCCAATTGGAACTACCAGACTGATTTTACCACTATTTTCTAGCCCAGGTTCCCTTCCAAACCCCTCACTGTTTTCAAAGGGATCAAGATCACCTGCTTTACACCTGCCGAGAGATCTAGCAACAGCCTCGGACAATTCTCAACCCCAAAGCCTTCCACTCCCAAGGAACCTCCTTCCACTTTCCACTCTCACCATGGGCAACGAAAAGCATGTGGTATTCGATGTCGTCGGGACATGTGTCTCCTTCGATGCATTTTACAACTGCATCGAACGCGTTATTGGCGACAAACTACTCACAAAAAGCATCACCGCTCGCTCCTTCGGATTCACCTGGATGACAGCCGCCGAGCTGGAATTTACTTTCCTGTCAATCTCAGAGCGCTACCGACCTTATAAGGACGTTCTCACAGCTTTATTCTTCCGCACACTGTATATGGCTGGAGTCGAGTCCCCAAGAACATTCGCGACAGAGGCGGAGCGCGATCAGTGTGTTCAGGGATATTCAGAGCTGGAGCTCAGGCCGGGAACAAGCGATTGCTTTGCGATATTGAGAAACGCTGGATTTACCGTCTGGTGCTTGACCACCGGGGATACTAAGCGGGTTCGCGGGTACTTCGAGCGTGCAGGCGTGGATATGCCGCTTGAGAACTTCATCAGCTGTGACACGCAGGGATTGGCCAAGCCCGCTTTGGCAGCGTATAGACCGACTCTCGCCAAATTTTCTCCTGGCGATGTAAAGTGGTTCGCAGCTGCGCATATGTGGGATGTATCGGCTGCTGTCAAGGTTGGCTTCCGTGGTGCCTACTGTACGATATATGAGAAGGAGTCTTGCGAGGAGATCTTTGATACTAAGATGGAAGTTATGGAGGATACACTGCCGCAGATGGCGAAGAGGATTGTGGAAGCTTCTGTTTGATTGTTACAAATTCTTACAATATTCATGCATAACATACTCGTCAAGTGATAGACCTGCGACTGCAAGTTCCACTTACTTTGTCAAGGCAATGTAAACCGTCACAATATGAGCTTGGTACTGTTCATACACAGTCATATTCTTTCATCGGTCACGAAGTTAGGATTTGTGAGAAATTGCCCAAGCACCTGTGCCTCGTTGTATGTAGGCCACCCGACGGAGGGAGACAAATTTTCGGTGCCAAACATAGACATCTCAATCGAAGGATCGATGCCATTGAAAATATCGCCACCAAAGGTGAACGACGGATGGGAATATGAGTCCAAGGCTATAGGCTGACTAGATGATAGATCAGTTTCTCCAACCTGGCAAGCCAGAGGATCTGGAGCCGACGCAGACGAGCGCGACTCGCTTCTTTCGCCCAAATTTGCTCCCCATTTCTTGAAAGCCTCGTAATCCGACATGGGCTTTCCCTGAATATGTCCCAGCTGCCTATGTTTTGCTGCAGTGTGTAAGCGAGCAAGCGCCCGCTCGAGTGATTCAATCAATGACACTTCAGATCTCGCCGATTCCCCTGCCGCTGACATTTCGCGAATCATGGCCAATCCGTCCCATAAGGGCTTGCGGAATTGCTCAGAGAAATTTTGGATTGAGTAAGCAATCAGCACGAGCAAAGACGCCCGACATGAGCTATATTCGATGTATGAGGCTCGTGCAAGACCTATTCCGCTATCTCGTAATCGCTGGCAAATATCCAGTGCCTCGTTCGCGGCCTGAATGCAGTCATTGATTAAGTCGTTTCGGCCTAGCGTGGATCTATGTGACCCTCCCTCGGTTCCCTTGGGGTGACTTTCGGTGGTATTGTTCGAAGGAGCAGGTGAACTTGTGTTGGAGTCGTCTGACGTTTCTTTTTTGAGAAGGAAGGGTCTTCCGACAAACATCCGAATCAAACAGTATTCCAGTCTTAGATGCATTGCCGAGCGAACATGCGTGGATTCCAGCGTTTGGTCGTTTAGAGCATCACTCGGGAGGGAGTCCCACCATTTTGTGAGAGCACCCTTCATCGCCAACAAACGCACGACAATCTTGGGTGTGCCTTGCTTTTGGCAATGCCGCAGCATGTTGCTAGAAGATTGTTAGCTTCACGACAGCTTATTAGGTTTGGGAAAAGGGGATGGGGCTGGAAGGTACATTTCGTGAAAGAGATCTTCGAGAAAATGAACCAACTGTATCGAGATCTTAGCGCGCCCAACAGTCCCCGGGCAGTCTTCTGGATGCGAATTTCCTTGGAACGAAGGAATATTTGCATCAACATCCGTTCGAAGTACTGAAAGGGGCCGACCATGAAAGATCGATATTTTCCTTTATGGCATCAGCAAATGTTCTGCGTACTTGGAGGATGAAAATAGATCTTACCTCTCTAGTGCATATGCTGTCCACCAGACACGGTTGCGGGTTTCGATCATGGCCGGACTGAAGGCCTCATTCTTGCATTTTCGATGCATCCCGTTCTGCATCCCAAGCCGCATAGCGAGATTAATATAAATAAAACCTAAGCCCGATGCATCAACAGGTAGCGCATAGTAGCCAAACAGTAAGCACGCCTGGACGCTCAAGAGAGAGGATATCTCAATGATTTCGGGTAGTAGACGGATTGCATGTTGATAAAACGTGGCGCCTACATCATCCTCTGAGAATGTTGATTCCGGGGCGCTGATCGAACCCTGTCTTGCAGACTCAAGATGGGAATATTGTGTTCCAATGGCAAAGACAATGAGAAGTATACTAATCGTCACTTCGCTGCCATTATTGGAGAAGCTTTCTGGGTTGGTGTACAGCGAATTCACTGTTTCAAGGACCCAAGATTCCTCAACGAAAAAGTAATGGGTCTCTGCGTACTTGAAAAATGTGTTCACTAGGAAATTGGCAACATGTCGAGGAGGGCAGGATGAGACCGCTCCTGATAGATGGTTGTTCGCAGGGCGTAATTGATGGGCGCGGGGAAATCCAAGGTCCTGATCCTGTAAATGCTTCTTCATTAGCCAACGAGGGTCAATAACGGTGGCCAGCATAAAACATACTCGGCTCTCTATCTCCTTTATGTGGCTTTCTATGCGACTTTTAATTCGCATGGAAAAGTTCCAGTATGAGAATTCCCCAGAGAAGTCTGCAATCATTTAACATGTATCTCAAAAGCCAAAAGGTAAGTTTTCCAAACGGACGGGTTGTGCTATCACCGACTGGTTCCATTGTACAAGGCTCATCATCTATCCCCAATCCCTCCGAGTGTTGAGGGTCGGAAGCCACCGCCGGTGTAGTCTCCTCATCGGCATCAAGGGCGTCCGCCAACTTTCCCAAGCTTTTCGTATCCAGCGTGATCCCTTCTATCGTGCGTTTCAGGATTCGCTCCATATATCTTGCGCGCTCCATCAATTGTCGGAACTCGGACCTCTCGGCTTTTTCCCTGATCATCCTTAGATAGGCTCTGCTAAATCATCGCTCATGGTCGGTCACCTTGGTATATAAGGCCGAAATTCGCGAGACCTCGGCGGGAGACCCCGGAACTCACATACCCGCTGAAAATGAGCACATCTCCTGCAGGGGGGCCCGCCTTCACACTTCTCCTTCAACCGTCGGCACTCATCGCACCTGCGGGCATAGTGTCAGTAAACTGAATCACGCGTCGAAGTTGATGTGAAACCTTACGCCCGGGCGGCGCGCTTCTTTTGTTCCATGAACACGCCTTAGACACTCTTTCAGTAGGAGCAATTCAATTCCGAAGTTGGAATCGAGCAAGACGCAAGCGGGGGAGGCCCCGTGATGCGGAGAAGGGATAGATAGGCTTCTACCAATCAACGCTTCCCACTGAGGTCCTGGGCAACGAGACCAAGGTGGTAAGTCTATTTCGGCGATTTTGCTTTTAAAATCCCTTCGGGACTTAGAACCGATTGAGCTGTAGAGCAAGGCGACCTTACCTAGTTGTCCCTTTTCTAATAGGGCGACGGCATCCCAGGAGATACGCACGAGAGGCCTTATGTTTCATCTTTTCGATCCTCTTTCCGTACTATCAAATCAAACATTTTGTAGTAAGGTTGGGCATGTCTAGTACAACAGGCAGTGATAAGGTCAGGGATCAATAATGATTTATTAGAGGGGAAGGTCTAGGGGATTATCAAGCAGAGAAATGCCTGTTTATGCTACTCCTCAAGAGCACACTCTATTTGCCCGTCCTAGTCACGTAATAGTAGACCGGTTGCATTCACCTAACTATTCGATCTAGACATATTAGATGAACTACATAACTTGATTCATTAGGAATTTGACAAAAAAAAGTTATGGGACGAACCGGGATCGATCCGGTGACCTTTAGATAAGATGTTTCTCTCAACTGAAGTAAGCTTCAGTCTAACGCTCTCCCAACTGAGCTATCGTCCCATTGGATGGCTTATTTTCGGACAGTTGCATAAACAGTGTAGATTATATAAACTGGTAACCTAGCTCATCTGTGCCAACTGAATCGTCCTGTATGTTAGTTTAGCAGACTTGAAAAAAAAAAAAATTTTGGTGTGCAGCATGACACTGCGGCCAAGCCCGCCTGTGCCCAAGTAACATCTTTTTTACCATTTTCTCAGGTTGCCTCCCTTCCTTCCTCTAACTTTCAGACACAGTCTTGACTATATCTACTCTTTTTCTCTAAGGATTTTTGATCATCACCAGTCAAATCCATCCAACACTACATCCCAGCCCAGCCCAGCCAATCTCTATCGGCTTACCTATCATCCACTGCCTCCCGAGCTTTCCTAAGAAAATGTCCTCAACAGCACTATCATTGTTGAACACAGACCAGTCATGGCTCCTGACAAAGCTCTTCCCAAGAAGCGGCGTCGCGAACCAACTACAAAGCTAGTCGAGATTCACGAGGACATTGCCAGCAAAAAGCATGCGATCTGCCTCAAAAGCTGCGTAGAGCCTCGTGCCTTAATTTCACCCCTGATGGAAACCCCACCGACGACCAGATCTAGGAGACGCAGTTAGAATTTGGCGAATCCTCATTGTGTCTGAGACTACCAGGTATGATTGAAGTCAAGGTGAAAGAGGAAATATTCGAAGGGGCTAGGCGATGTTACCAAATATAGCTCTCCTAAGTTTCAGAATGCGATTTCAAGCGTCTTTATTTGAGCTACGAGCAAGGATCCAAAGCAATACAAACTAACAAGATATCGATGTTCACCCGAAAAATCCAGAAACAACTCTAAACCTTCAAGCCTAGCATTTAGTCTTCCAAAATCTCAAGTTCTGGGACGGACTCAGCGGACTCAGCCATTTGTTTCGCCTCTCGCCGCAATTGCGCTTCTAACTTTGTCGCCCTCATCCAGGGAATGTTTTCATCCTGAGGAATAAGCCAAACACGGCCAACTGTGCACCATTCCGGGCAGTTGATTCTCCTAAGAGCGATGTATTCGCCTGTTTTGGCATGCCACTTGGGATTGACATTCTGGCCACAAGGATGTGCACACTTCTCGCACTTGAGGTCAACAACCTGAGGCTTTGTATAGTCCTCCACTTTCAGGTCACCCACTTTCAGCTGACGAGAGAATTTGCTTTTAGCAGAGCAACGGCCATCTTCCTTGTCATATGTTCCCTCTTCTCGACTGCGTTTCGGCTTCCTAGGGAAATGTGACGCTGAGTTCTGAGCATCTAAGATCTCAGTCAACGCCTCGGTATCCATGTATGAAAATCGTTTGACGAGGCGATCGAGAGTCTGCTTGTTGATAAATGGGATTTGATGATCAACTGGCACAAATTTCTGACTGCTGACGCCACAAGTCGCACAGGGGAAGCCACGTGGGACGTATTTCGCTCGGAACCCCAGAGTCCATCGAGGGTTTGCATCAATGGCAGTGTTTTGTCCGCTTTCAATACCGGGAGCCCCCACCACGGTCTTTCCTTGACAAAAGCCGCACCATAACTCGACACTTGAAGCAAGATGTCCGCAGTCTCCGGCCTCTCTGAGACCCTTTTGCCAGTCCTTGCTCGATTCTGGTGCACAGCCGGCCAGGAGGTAAGGCAGACCATTCAAGGGAAGCCCATGTCGCATTAATCCTTGACATATCTCAGAGGAACACCTCAGTGCACGCGCCAAATATTTGCCGTCATGCGTCAAAGAAAACAACGGAAGGGGGTCAGGGTCCATGGGAGTCTGGCAGGTATCGCAAGCCCGTGGGATCATTTCAAACGTTGGGAATTGCTGGCTCAGTTGAGGATTTGAATGAAACTTTTTGACGCCGGAATTGAGTAGTCGTTGCTGAAAGTTCATTAACGCTCGAATAATTTCAACGGTCTCTATAACGACTAGGTCGTTGGAGGTTCCATTTGTGCAGTGCCTTGCGTAGGCGGGGATGAGGTCGGCGGGCTTCTGAATAGTGCATCCGAAGAAGTGCTTCTGCTGCTTTTCGATCCACTCACGGATGAGAGGTGGCAAAGAAGGTAGGAACTGAGACTCGTCGATGATTATCTGTCTGTATTTCTGTTGGAAGTTTCTTTTGCCCTTTTGTGTCCCCTTCTGCGAAGATAAGACCTCCATTAAGATTTCATAGAGTCTTTTCACGGACATCGCAGAGCTGGTTGGAGAATCCCCTGTCGTCTCAGTGCCTGAGAGCCTCTCTTGCTCTTCGGAAGAAGACGCTGTTGTTTCTCCTATGTTGCTTGTGGCTGGTGTTTGGGCTTTCGAGGTTTTCAGGAGGGAGAAGAGTTGGTTTGACTGATGTCTCTCAGACTCGCCTAACCGACTTATGGATGCCTTGCTAAGAAAATCTGCCTTTGAAATCCACGGCATCAGAGAGTAATATTTGTCATTGAAGGGAAGTCCCGCGAGCTTGTAGGCACAACTGATAACCTGATCTTGTCGGACAGCTTCTGGGTTAGATTTCATATTGAGGCTAAGAAACCTCTGTGGGTGTAGGGCGAAAAGCAAGATCTTGGAGAGCTCCTTTCGATTTGAATTTCCCCATTCGAAGAAGAGCCAAACGTTCTCATAGTCACCCCACAAGCGAATATTTGAGAGGTTCAGGGTTTTCAAAGCCCATCTGCGGACGTCTGCGCCGTATAGAATTTCAACTTTGGCGTGGATTGTCTCTCTGATCCAGTCCGTTAGGTCCTGATGCAACCTCCGGATATCATCTGGGTAGAGCGAGAACGGCTTGAAGGGCAATGGTGTCCTTCGGTGGAAGTGATCGAAAATGAAATGTGTCCTAGGATCGAACTTATTTTCAAGTACAATCGCAGTGCAGGGACTGGTGATATCGCCTACTTCCCCGTTCGCGATCTTGAGGGAAGTAAAGGACGGCACATGTAGATGGTGGGCTATTTTTGCCTGCCAAGAGCCCGATGGAACCACAATGTGTTCCGCGACCTGCTCTGTGAGCTCTTTGTAGGCCCTCCAGCGCTGCGTTTCTTCGAAGCGGAAGGCTGATAGTCGCCTCTTTATCCCCACATCTTCGGTGGCTATACGTATGTAGTCAGCATTTGATAAACAGTTAGAAGATTGTATAAGCACTAACATGATTTTTCGCGACTTTCAAGATCTCGAAGGTATGGTTCCAGTTCCTTCAGAGCGTCCACTTTGGTCGGTGGAGGCTGATCCAAGAAGAGATCGCCAAACAATCGATACATGCTGTATGTAAGGGTGCGAGGAATCCTGCTTACTTCGGGTCAGGGTTCTGTTGGCAGCGAGAATAAGAGTACCAACAAAAGAAGGATGGCGATCAGAATCTAACAAACGAGATCAACTCATCTCAGGGTACATGGGGTACGTGTATAGAGTCCGTCGTAGTGTGTAGACAAGATGGATGGTCCGAGATCTGACTCAAGTGACAGGGTTTTGCTGCTGTTTTGTTTTTGTTTTGGGGGGTGGGGGGTTGGCTGCTGGAAGAGACAAGATAGACAGAGAGTGGGAGGGTGGGAGGGAGTGGGTCAGAGAGCGAGAGGGTCAGAGAGGCAGATATTTGGGAAGCAGACGATGTCAAACCTGCTGGAAAAAAGGCCAGAAAGAAGACGGATGGAGTGCGAAAACTCGTTCAATACTAAAACTGGAAATATTATTAACAATGAATAAAGCTAAGTGCAAATAGTCAATTGTCACATAGCAAATACAAGGGACGAGGATGGGATAACAGAGTAGATCTGATTGCAGTGGCACTACACTGATTTCCAAAGAAAATAGAGAGTATGTAGTAAAAGAGGTAGCCCAGTGTAATAATGACGCCGCTTCAAGCTATACTAGTGACCTTTCCGCATTGATTTCACAGATGCTGGTATATATTATATATTCTTCCTATTGCACCTGCTCCGAAGGGAAAAGGAAGCGTACGTTACGTGATAATACGTGATTTAGCAACGCCCCCTACCGTTGTCTGTCAGGGCTCGCAGCGCGGCGGCCTGAAAGTATGCGATACTACTATATATATTTTGGTCCTAGGTATGACGAAGTAAGACGTCGCCATAGTGGTCTTTTTGCCTAGTGGTAGAATCGAGTGGCCAGGGACGGTTCCTCACACTGTCGTGCCGCCTACTTAAAAGTTTATCTAAGTATCTGAACTACGAATTGTTGGCAGAATAGCTAGCGCAGTATATATTCAAAGGCTTTTTTATTTTCGTAATCCCACGGTATATATGAAGTTTTCGCGCATAGGTCCCTAGGTGTGGGCGTTCGGGGCCGGGTGGGAACACTTCGACAGTTCCAGGTCATCGAGTGAAGCTCGCGAGGTCATGACTTGCCTAGATATAAATTATTAAATTGATTGATCGAGAGATTCGAGCAAAAAATAAGACTATGGTATGAAAATAAGACACGGGACAAAAAAGATATGGGACGAACCGGGATCGATCCGGTGACCTTTAGATAAGATGTTTCTCTCAACTGAAGTAAGCTTCAGTCTAACGCTCTCCCAACTGAGCTATCGTCCCGTTCGATAATTTTCGCGGCAAAATGGCATGATATCAAAGAATTCTTAGGATCATGAATTCTAATACCCGACCCCAGAGGGCAGGTAGTGTGATACTACTATAAATTAATATTGGACCTAGGCATGACAAAATTAGCATATCTTCCCACAATATTTAATATCGTGAGAAACCACCATATGACAAGAAAAAATCCACTCACCTAGCTATCATATCTAGAAATAAATTTGATTTAGGAGGACAATTGACCAAAAAAAAATTTGGGACGAACCGGGATCGATCCGGTGACCTTTAGATAAGATGTTTCTCTCAACTGAAGTAAGCTTCAGTCTAACGCTCTCCCAACTGAGCTATCGTCCCATTGAATGTTTCTTAATACAAATATTCAGCCAAATAAACTATATGGAAGATAGAATTTCAATAGCCTATATCATCTGTGCCCTAAGTCATGTCTCCTTTCTTTTGTCTTTATTAGATTGCCTTCTTCCTTCTTCTGACTTTAATATAGACTATGTATTACCCAGAAGGGGCACCCGACAGCCCGTTGATCCTTCCTGCACCACGCATACGGCCCACAGTTGGGGCTGCCGTGAGCGGCTGCCGGCCCTGCTTACCAGCTCGTTATTTAGTGTAGTGGTACTAGTTGATCTCTTGTCTCTTTTCTCTTTTCCTCTAGTTCCACTTCTTGACGAGCAATAGGTCTCAATAATGCCCGACAAGAGCAGTCCCATAGACGACGACCACTTTACTCCCCAATCCGAGATCAACCCAGCGCTCCAGCCGGAGCACCTGCTTCGTCATGCTCACATCCATCAAACAGCATTTGCCGAGCTTGGCCACGACGATGACGTTGACTACGCCAAAGATGCCTCGTTCCAGAATGGCAAAGTCCCGGACCCAACCCCGCTGAACCATACCTCCAAGAGTCAGAGCGACGATAGCAACAACGTCGAGACCACGGACAATTTTCCGGCCCCAGCGTCTGTGGTACCGCCGTGTCAACGCTCTTGCTAGATAGAACCATGGAGCGGACCTTGCAATATTGTACCGCAATAATCTGCTCGCCTTGGGCCACAAACAGCCGTTGCTGGTCTTCCGCGCGCCCATTATAGCCGAGCAGTCTAGGACCGACTAGATCACCAGATGGCACAACAACACCTGATGCCGTTAATACGTTTGGAATCTCTATGTGAGCTTTTCATCCAAAACCTTCTGCTCTTGCGAGTGTTCGACAATGGGAGCTGGTGCAATATGGTAGCCAACCACAAGATATATATATCCTCTCCTTCATCGATACCACACTCAATCCGCTTCTGTGTATCTTCTAACCTCAAAGCATCACGAAAGCACTGCGCATTATTGTCCAAGTAATAAGACTTCACCTGCTTCGTTGGGATACGAATCGAGGTTTTCGTACGGCATTAATCCGGAAGGGGTGTGGTTTCAACTACCTCAATAATGTTGAAGCGATTACCTAGGCCTGGATCATGGTAATATCCGTGAGGTTCGTCGCTATTAGTGACAAAAAGATTAATAGCGGACCGTGGTATAAAGACCTATAGGAGAATGCTAACAAGCTTTTTGGAAGGACATTGGATCCTTGCAGAAGGGCGAATAGGATGGGGCAACTTGCGTCGGCAGAAAGACAGAATAATATGCTTGTGAGAGGAGTACAGTTGGTGATGTGGCAGGGAGACTGTAAACACACATTTATTTCTATCTCTTTTCCTCATGTTAGAGATTAGATGTAGTTCATACATAGAGTGGGTGGGTTAGTCAGGGCTAGCCCATTAGTATGACGTCTACCCCGCATCGCCCCAAGCTCTCCTCTGCTTATCCTCATTTCCTTCCTATAAGGATAGGCATGATCCCATATGTTTTGTTATAGAATAGAAAATAACATATCCTACGAGCCCCTCGTATATGTCAATTATTTGATTGCGTGGAACTACCCGTGAGTAATTGTAATTCATTGGAGCGGAGTCGTCTAGCTCGGCGATGACACCTAGTGACGTCGACGGGGCAAGCTGCAAGAACTTAACCTAGGGAGGGGATGGTTAGACTTTTGGGTCGAGGAGCTAGGCTGGGCTTTCTTTGCTCGGCTCAGCTTTTGAAATGCGGAGTGGCTTAGGAACCTGGGTAGAGAAAAGTGCGAATTTTTCTGGATAGCTCCATCTATACTCAGGGAGTATGATGTTATGGAAGGGATGCGGAGCAAATGAAATATAGCTACAGACTAGCACTAAAGGTCTTTCTGTCATTCTCTTTTAACTAATACTTTTGCGAACATGAGAGCAAGTAACACCCCCCAAAAAAGAGGAAAAGCCCGACCGAGCCACATGCAACCCCAACGAAGACGTCATCGCCCGCACGCGGGAATAAAAGCAGGGATCCTACCTTCTACCTCGCCCCAGCTCTACTATCACGCACTTCCCATATCCTCTGACTCTGCCAGACAACAGCCCAGAATCAACAATCGATTGATCGCTTAACCCTGCTCACTCACACACACTCACCATGTCTAAGAACCGAACGGGCCTCTACCTGGGTCTTGCGGTGGCGGGCGCAGGCGGGTACTATCTGTACCGCTCGGGGGGAGATGTCGAGGGTGCGAAGAAGGAGATGAAGTGTGGGTTCTCATCTTTCTTTATTTTTTATACTTTCCCTCCTACTCCCAAGGAGATTGCTTGCTATATACATACTACTGTGTAGAGTGGAGCATATCTGTACTAACACTGTACAGTCGACGTGAACAAAGCGCGTGATAAGGTCGGCGAGACCGGCGAGAGCGCCGAGAAGAAGGGCAAGAACTTCGGCAAGGAGGCCGGTGCTGCTGTGGATGATGCTGTGCGTCCCCCACCGCATTTTCCTTTCATACGACACTCTATGGGAGCATATCTACCAAAACAAGATACTAACCGGCTTAGGTCAACAAAACCCGCACCACGCTGGACGAACGCATCCCCCAGAAGACGCAGGAGGGCATCAACAAGGCCGAAGAGCTCCGCAAGGATGCCCGCCAGAAGTTCCATGAGGGCGTGGACAAGATGGATCGCACAGTTGAGCAGAAGGCGGCGGAGACGAAGGGGACGGTGTCCGGGTGGTTCAGTTCGGGAAATAAATAGATCATTGTCATTATGTCTTTAGTGCGCTTAGTTAGGTCTCGACTCGATCGAATCCATTTGTCTGGTATGGAACGGGCGGTGTTTGATTGGTGTGGTAGAGGCCGAATAGGACATTCCGATGCTCGGGAGGTCACCATAGTGACCAGAATGCTGAGGATTATTCGGTATATACGGTGGAGAGTATCTTTTTGATTTCTCTTCGACTCATTGTGCTTTTCATTCTGTTCTCTTGGCTTGATTGAAAATAATCACTTAATCACTAATAATTGTTGAAATCGCTTTAACCCCTTCGGGTGGTGTACGCGACACGACACGCCTTGGACGCGCCTCTTCTCCTTGTCGCGTCTCACACTTCCCATCCTTCTTTCCCCGTCTTACTTTTCACCCACATCATATTCCCGGTATCTCTTACCCTGTGTGATTATCTTCTCCCATTCCTCCTTCCTCATCCTTTCTGTTCAATAAAAAAGAATAAAGGGGTAGTCGCGATGCCGCGCACCGCCAGACAGAGCTGCCTCGCCCAGCAGCAGCCAGCCATCCAGGCCTTCACCAGAGCCACCAAAGCCGGCGCGTCGCAGCTGCCAACCACCAAAAAGTCCGCCTCCTTCGCCTCCTTGCCCGTCTCGCCTTCCAAAAAACGGAAACTCCAGGAATTGGAGAACGTGGAAAGCGCCAGCCCACAACAGACTGCCGAGGAAAATCTGACACCCTCCAAAGCCCTCAAGCTCAATCAATTGTCCGTCTCTTCACCGCGCAGTGGGCATTATGCATCGCCGAAACGAACCCCGAGTCGACGCGCTCGCGCATCCAATGCCAATGTCCAGGAAACCACACCGTCGAAACAGCGGACCCTGAACTTCGAGAAAATCAAGGCGGAGCCCGCCATTATCCCGCGACCGGCGTGTTTTACCGAGATCCTGGATCTACACTCGTGCTTTGTCCAGGCTCTGTCGCTCCACGCAGCCCACAATGGCTCCAACAACCCAGCGGATCTCAGACAGTTTCTTCCCAGCGTCACTCGCATCTGGAGGAAGCGCAAGGTGCAGCAGAAGGATCTGCAGCGGCTGGTCTGGATCTGGGATCAGAGCACCAAATCGAGTAACGTCTCGTACCGTCTAGCAAACTACGGCCTGGGCAAGATCTGTCTTGAGCGGCAAGTGCAGACGGAGGAACAGCCCCCGCGCTGCAGGAATCGTTTGAGCAGGCCCTTGATTTACTCTGGGAGAAGGCCCAGGAGGCATTCGATGGTGCCAGTGACGAAGATCGGGCGTCGCTGTTCATTGAGACGCTGGGCTTGTCCCCCGTGCACGAGTCGCTCATCCCATTCGCCTCATTCCACAAGGGTCAGCAGCGCTTGCAGGACTTGAAGGGTGGTATCATTCGCATGAAGACCGAGAAACTGCGCGCCGAGTCCGAACAGTGTTCACCCAAGACGCTAGCCGCCACGACAAACCGCCGACAGGGCCTCTTGGACCGCATAAAGAACAAACAGCTGCACCAGTCGACGTTACCTCCGCCTCCCACCAAACGCGAGGTCATCCGTCGCGCCGCAGCCGACCGCGTCGAGGAGGTCGCCGGCATCTTGGCGCTGCTGCGTCCGGCGGGTTACGTGGGCACGGGGATCAAAGCCATGCTGGCTGCGCAGCGCAAGCCGTTCAAGCTTGAGATGATCGTGCAGCATGTGCAAGACTCAATCCGCAGCCCGATTGCCTCGGAGGAGGTGGTGATGTGTATTGAGATCCTGGCCGAGGCCGGTGTGGCGGGTCAGTGGGTTAGCATTGTGCCCATCAACGAGATGCGCTCGGTGGTGTTGAAGTCGTGCAGTGATGTCTCTGCTAAGGATATCGGGGCGAAGGTCGCCAAGCTGAAGGCCGAGTGGGATGCGCCTTGTGGGCAGAATGCTCTGCTCGCACCTGTTTGATATGTTGTTTCCTTTTTGCATTGTCCGTCTTGCATCAGCGTTGTGATACCCTCCTGTACAACACCACCAGCATCATCATGTTAGTAGTTATCCTAGCCTCAAATGAATTAATTAATGATCAATCAATCATTCCATCATTCGAGTTAAAAAAGAAACCACTTAAACACGCGACGCGTCTCACGTGACGGCGTTGCCACCAAACGCGTCGTCTGCGCGGGCTACACCCCCTGCTCTACAACTGATCTGTGTTGCACACTCAACCGACACAATGTCTTCTCGGCCTGACCTAAGGGTATGGATGCTTGCTCTATGCTACCACAAGTCACTAATTTATCTGTAGGTCGACGACGAAGTCGGATTCATTCGATTCTTTCACTCCCTCCCTACACCCGACAACAATGAGACAATCCGCGTATTCGACCGAGGTGAATGGTACTCGTCCCACGGCGGCGACGCAGAGTTCATAGCTCGTACCGTGTACAAGACGACTTCGGTCCTGCGCAACCTCGGCCGCAGCGAGACAGGCGGCCTGCCGTCCGTGACCATGAGCGTGACAGTCTTCCGCAACTTCCTGCGCGAGGCGCTGTTCCGACTCAACAAACGCATTGAAATTTGGGGGTCCGGGGGCACGGGCAAAGGGAACTGGAAGCTCGTCAAGCAGGCCAGTCCCGGCAACTTGCAGGATGTGGAGGATGAGCTGGGCAGCGTGGGTGCCTTGTCGATGGAGTCTGCGCCGATTATTCTGTCCGTCAAGATCTCGGCGCGCGCCACAGAGGCTCGACATGTGGGTGTCTGCTTTGCGGACGCGAGTGTGCGCGAGCTCGGTGTCAGCGAGTTTCTCGATAACGATGTCTACTCTAACTTCGAGTCGTTGGTTATTCAGCTCGGTGTGAAGGAGTGTCTGCTCACGATGGATACAACGCGCAAGGATGTCGAGCTGGGCAAGATCCGCGCTATTGCGGATACCTGTGGGATTGCCATTTCGGAACGCCCGGCCGCCGATTTCGGGGTCCGTGATATCGAGCAGGATCTGACGCGGTTGCTGCGGGATGAGCGCTCGGCGGGCACGTTGCCACAAACAGAGCTGAAGTTGGCGATGGGCTCTGCGTCGGCCTTGATCAAGTACTTGGGCGTCATGTCCGACCCGACCAATTTCGGCCAGTACCAGCTCTACCAGCATGATTTGTCGCAATTCATGAAACTGGATGCTTCGGCGCTTCGGGCGCTGAATCTTATGCCGGGCCCGCGGGACGGGTCTAAGAGCATGAGCTTGTTTGGTTTGTTGAATCACTGCAAGACGCCTGTGGGCAGTCGTCTGCTGGCGCAGTGGTTGAAGCAGCCGCTGATGGACCTGGCTGAGATTGAACAGCGGCAGCAGCTGGTCGAAGCCTTTGTCGTCAGCACGGAGCTGCGGCAGACGATGCAGGAAGAGCACCTACGCGCCATTCCGGACCTCTACCGGCTTGCGAAGCGGTTCCAACGAAAACAGGCCAACTTGGAAGATGTTGTCCGCGTATACCAAGTTGCCATTCGGCTGCCTGGATTTGTCAGTGCGCTGGACGACGTGATGGATGAGCAGTATCAGTCACCGCTCCAAAAGGAATACACTTCCAAGCTTCGGAGTCATTCTGATAGCTTGGCCAAACTGGAGGAGATGGTGGAAACGACAGTCGACCTCGATGCGCTGGAGAACCACGAATTCATCATCAAGCCCGAGTTTGATGAGAGCCTTCGCATTATTCGAAAGAAGCTGGACAAGTTGCGGTACGACATGGATATGGAACATCGCCGTGTTTCTAAAGACCTCAACCAGGACATGGAGAAGAAGCTGTTTATGGAGAACCACCGTGTGCATGGCTGGTGCTTCCGTCTCACCCGCACCGAGGCGGGCTGCATTCGCAACAAGAAAGAATACCAGGAATGTTCAACGCAGAAGAACGGCGTGTACTTCACCACATCGACTATGCAGTCCCTCCGTCGCGAGCATGATCAGCTCTCCTCCAACTACAACCGCACCCAGGCCGGACTGGTCAACGAGGTTGTAAACGTCACGACATCGTACTGCCCCGTTCTGGAGCAGCTCGCCGGTGTGCTCGCTCACCTGGATGTCATTATCAGCTTTGCTCATGCCTCGGTCCATGCCCCGTCAGGCTATGTCCGCCCAAAGATGCACCCGCGCGGGACAGGGAACACCGTGCTCAAGGAAGCCCGCCACCCGTGCATGGAGATGCAGGACGACATCTCATTCATCACCAACGACGTCTCCCTGATCCGCGATGAGTCCTCGTTTCTCATCATCACCGGTCCCAACATGGGCGGCAAGTCCACATATATCCGCCAGATCGGCGTGATCGCCCTCATGGCGCAGACGGGCTGCTTCGTGCCCTGTACCGAGGCCGAACTCACCATTTTCGACTGCATTCTGGCGCGAGTGGGTGCCAGCGACTCGCAGCTCAAGGGTGTCTCGACTTTTATGGCGGAAATGCTCGAGACTTCCAACATTCTCAAGTCCGCCACCTCGGACTCCCTGATCATCATCGACGAACTTGGTCGTGGCACCAGCACCTACGACGGATTCGGTCTTGCCTGGGCGATTTCTGAGCACATCGTCACCGAGATTCGTTGCTTCGGCCTGTTCGCTACCCACTTCCACGAGCTGACTGCGCTGGCGGACCGGTACCCCAAAGCCGTGCAGAACTTGCACGTTGTCGCATTCATCGGTGACGGTACTGCGGCTGCCACTGAGACGGAAACAAAGAAGAAGCGTCAAGTGACTCTTCTCTACCGGGTGGAACCCGGGATTTGCGACCAGTCATTCGGTATTCACGTTGCGGAACTGGTGCGCTTCCCGGATAAAGTGGTGAACATGGCACGCCAGAAAGCCGAGGAGCTGGAAGACTTTTCGACCGCCGAGAATAATGGGGACAAGGCACAGGCGCCTGTTTCCTCGCTCGACAAGTACTCCCAGGAAGAGGTGGAGGAGGGCAGCTCCCTCCTCAAGGAGATGCTGCTGAAATGGAAGATCGAGATCGAGGGCAAAGACTTGACGGCGGAACAGAAGCGTCAGGCTATGCGGGATCTGGTCAACGGGGACGCAAAGCTGCAGGCCAACAAGGTCTTCCAGGGTATTACGGCTTTGTAGATGAGGTGTGTCCTGCTTTCATGGGCTCGGCGTTTCTGGAGGAGGGCTCTCGGTGGTCTGGCCATGTCTCGGATATGTTTTATTAATTTCTAAATCCAAAATCCCTCTATGCCACCTCTACTATAGTACTTGTCCGTAACATTTACTGCTCCGAACCAATCATGTGGATGTCCACCTTGGTCGTGGTACGGGAGGCAATTGTCGCAAAAAGGCCAAAACTTTACAAGTCTAGAATCTTTAGACGAACGTGTTTGTGTTCTATAATTTCTTAAAATTACTTAAATCTATATACAATATGTACCCCAAAAGCCTCAATCCCAAGACCTCGCCACTATTATTGATGTACTTCCAAATGTGCCCAAAGCTAAGGGCCCTAATTTGAACTGACTTGATCTTCCCAGGGTGTCCTGACTTGGATGCCAACCTTCCCTACTACCTTAGACAGTAGATTGGAAAGAAGGTGCTCAAGAAGACCATCCAAACCGAGCGTTTGCGGACCACCTTTAAGTCCAACCATCCTAACAGCTCCGTCGACATGGCGCTTCAACATGGCCTCATCATTGATGAATAACTAGCGGTGGTCAGCGTTGTTACTTATTCATAGAAGATGTCTTACCTCGTCATAGGCTAGCATTATCGCCTTTGCAACAGTCGAGTCACTATAGACCGGTGTCTCCGCTGAGATCGCGTCTCTCAATGACTGTAAGCTTTTGAGCTTATATTGAAAGCCTAGCTGCGTGAAGAACTGTTTTTGTTGTTCTTGGTCTTGGTGATGATAGCTCGCAGATAAATTCCGACACGACGCAAGAAATAATATATCCAAAAGATTTGCTTCCGTCAGCGCAAGCGGTACCCATACCGTTGTCATGCGTTGGGAGAAGTCGACAGCGAGCTCGGTGCAGCGCATTAGGGGGATTACACCTGTCACATCTTTGGGGAAACGGTTATCTTTGCAACAAAACTAGTGTTCCGGCCAAACATACAGTGATCAAATAGCCTTTGCTCCAAGGGCTGCAAGGGCCTTGCGAAGCTGGTGAATGGGTCTTTTCGGGAAGCCGGAAGTACCGTGACGATCTCGGTTAGCCTGTTGAATCTACGACTCGCGTCAATCAGCTCTTCGCGCTTCTTCTGGGCCTGGTATTGCGAAGTCCGAAGGCGCCGCGCCTTGGCGTGGGCAGTGCGCGCGGCGTGCGCGCGGGCGACTCTCTGCTGTGAGCTGGATGATGCGCCAGCTTCGGGCGCTGTAATAATAAATTGTAGTTCCCGTGACGGCATAGTGAGACAATACCTCTGCTATGAGCAGAGTAGCAGGTTTCGCAGGGGAGAGGATGGGGGGCTGATGATACTCTGGTACATCAACTGCTGATAAAGCACGAGCTAACCATAACTAACGTAATTCCCAAGCGACCCGCTCACCCAACGCGTCTACTTCCTCATTTCAACTACCCGCCATGCCTCCTATTCGAAATCCAAATTTCTAAAATTCTATCAATCAAGAGGGTAGAATCCAGCTTGCAATCAAAGCCTTCCAGAATGGCGAATTTCTATCTTCGCGAAGCTACGCGCGTATTTGCCCAGCAATAGACGTCGCTCTGCGATCGCATCAATAGCCACCAATTTCGCAAAGATATGCGCGCAAATAGTCATAAATTGACTCCTAAAGAAGAGCAATCGCTTTTGCAATAGAGTATCTCTACGGATAGGTGCGGAGCTGCCCCTAGACCATCAATAGTTAGGGAGATGGCCAATATTCTATTACGGGAGCGCGGTAATCTGACTATTAGAAGTAATCGGGCTACTAAAAATATTAAGCGCTATCTAGAGATCATATCGCGCTTTTCTCGTCGATTGGAAAACGGCTTTATGCGAAGATGCGCGCATTATTATGCAATAGTTTAAGTTTGTACGACGCACAATCGACGAGAACGGTACCAAACCTAAGCATATCTACGATTCTGATGACACTGGCTTCGCAATGGGCCTTGTATCTACTATGAAAGTAGTTATAAGAGCCGAATACTACGGTCGGAGATCGGTTCTATAGCCAGGCAATCGCGAATAGGTTACATCAATTGAATGTGCGAATTCGACTAGATTTGTGCTTCCTACAACCATTATCTTTAAAGGGAAAGCCTACTACTAAGAGGCTTAGTACGATAGCCTACCTAATGGTTAGAGAATCGAAATCAGTGATAATGGTTAGACTATAGACGAAATGGGGCCTAAAAGAACGCATTGCCCTAATAGGTCTGATAGGTAGAAATTTGAAATTAATGGCGTTGGTGGTCTAATGAATCGATTTAAAATAGTGGTAATTGACTGGGTGGGCCGCTTGGGAATTACGTTAGTTAACTAGTGCAGCCAGGCTGACGGCCAGCGCCCACGTGACATGCTTTGGCCTTACAGGCAGGGCATCGCAATGGTTGGAGGGCAGAACTATAGTCTAGATTTTACCATATACAACACACTCGTTATTCGATTATAATAAGACGTTCGATTGCTTCATTATTCTATTCGGTCGCAGCATTCGGCTCCGTGCCAGCCAGAATCCCCTGGTTCTCCCGTCGGTCTGTCAGTCCTGATCTGACGCGCCACTGTGCAACACTTCCCGCTCCACTGGTTGGGGGCCGTTTTGACTTTCGCCAAGACCTGCGCCTCCCAAATGCGGTGTAGATTTAGATGCTTTACTATGTAGATGCCAGGAACAACTACCTCGCCTCATTGACTATGGCATGGACAAAACCAAACACCGAAAATAACGGAAGTTAGAGGCCTAAATCCGAATGGGTTTGTGTCTAGACAAGACTTCCTAACCATGACCCTTGTCTGCCACACCGCGCCAAGAGCGCCGCCTACTAATTACAGGATAGATTACCGACCAAAAACCGCAGTGTCTTGCCTGCTGAAGATAATGCAACGGAGATAATATGACTGCATTTATAATCCAGCTGTAGCGACCTGTTCGTAAATCTATATAAATATCGAGCATCTCTCAGCATTATTCACACCAAGAATCTCACCCAACAAAACTTGCCTACCATGAGCGGAACGGTTGTCATCACCGGAGCCAATGGCTCCCTGGCCCTTGGCTTCGTCGAGACTTTCCTATCGAAGTATCCTCACCATACACTGGTAGCCACCGTTCGAAACCCATCTCCAGAGAAAGACCCCAACACGGCCAAGCTTCTGAGCCTAGTTTCCAAGTACCCAGCAGCCAAGGTTCACCTTGAAGCCCTCGACCTCGGCAACTTAGCTGGTGTTCGTTCCTTCGCTGAGAAGCTAGCCGTCCAGATCTCCTCAAAGGAACTTCCGCGCATCGCAGCGATCGTCTGCAACGCCTGCACATGGTCGCTTGAGTCGGGGCAGAAGTTTACGTCGGATGATTACGAGGCTACCTTCCAAGTTTGCCATCTATCTCATTATTTACTGGTCCTGAAGCTGCTCGGTAGCATGGACACCACATCTGGACGCATCGTTATGCTCGGCTCCATCACTACTTATGCCGATAAACCTAATCCCTTGTCTTCGCTTGGACCATGCTTTCCTAACGACTTTGAAGAGCTGGTTAAGCCGTCAACGGACCCACCGAAGCTTGTCCACGATAGGGGATTCCAAAGATACGCAACCGCAAAACTTGCAAACGTCACGTTTGCAAATGACCTCAACAAACGACTCCAGAAGGTATGCATGATCTGGTTGTGTACATCCAAAAGCAATTCGCTCATATATTCCAACAGGATTCCAAGCTATCAAACATAACCGTAACAGCCATGGACCCCGGTGGCCTCCCCTCATCCAGAGCCCAAGCAGGCCAGAAGAAATCTGCTAGGATTCTAATGGCGACAATAAACCAGCTCATGCCGGTCCTCAAGCACTTCATTACAGCATTCCGCACTACGGAAGATGCTGGACGAGACCTGGCCACTGTGAGCATTGATCCGGCATTTCAGGGTAAGAGGGGGTATTATGTTGGCCAGAAGTTGGACACTGCAGCGCCGGTTAGTCAAGATGCTAGTATGCAGAAGCAGCTCTGGGAGGGGTGTTGGAGGTGGGCAGGCCTTACGCCCGCGGAGACAGCTCTTCAGAATATCTAAAGTTGACATGCGGGAAGAGTTGTTAGGCTGTGTGCACCTGTACGTTCCGGGTTTTCTTTGCCAGGGGCCTTGCCTATCTGGGTGGCCGCCCTTCAGTGAGGGCGCTCAGGCTCTGGCTCACTAAGTAGATTTCAGCACGCAGTACACAGTGAGCACTCCTTGGATGCTCACTAAGTGATCAGTGGCGCTTGATGGAGGTCATTCGGATGAAATCCTGGCTACCACGGCAATCTTGTCGGTGTATGAGTTTCTGGATCGAGGCATGCAGCTCTTAGCTTAGAAGTCATTGACCCTAAGTTCCTCAAACTAAATCATTCTAAAGAAACTGGTCGAGTTCAATTCTATGTTAATATAGCCCTTAAGTTTGATTCGATTAATCTCTCTATGAATAATATTCCTATAAGTTGTTGTTCACAAGGCGAGCAGATGTGAATTTCTGCAGTGCAACTTCGTATAGTTCGTATACGGCGCGTTCTGCAATGCAACACCGTATATTTCATGCGCGGCCAGGGATAAAAGGACAAGGGAGGAATAGAACACAACCATTTTCCACCATTAATCAACCATTTTCGTTCAAAACCTGAGCAAGGCCGTCATCTTTTACCGGTAGAAGGACCTCTTCTGTATCTAAATCCCTCGAATCAAGCACAATCATGATCTGAGGGGAAATATCATCCTGGTTGTACAATATATGTTGATTCCGCCAATAAACGAGTCAGTAGTCTCAGAACTCAACATATAAAGCCCCCTTCAACTCCCCAGACAGATCCAAATATTTCTAATATCATCCAGAATTCAGTCTTAGTCTCAAATCAACACACAAGTCTTGCTTCTTCTTGAAGAAACAATCCATCCATCAAAATGCGTTATTCTATCCTTAGTCTTGTTGCAACAACCCTCCTCAGTCTCACTGGAGTTAAAGCCTCGTGCACCTGCGAAGTCGGCACAGCTCAAGGCGAATACTGCGGTTACTGCCCCCAAGTCGTCAGTGGATGGACCCTCGACCATGTCTATGAGTGCAACTCTGGTGGAGGCTGCCATGACTATGGTGTTAGGGACAGCTGCAAGACGGGTTATTCCCAGTGTCCCGTTTAAACGCTCTATCATTTACTCTCACCTGTGAGTGGACCCAGCTTCTCCTGTCTTTGCAGTATATAATATCCAAAAATTATTGTCATGGTACATTATTGACTTGGAAAAGAACTTGCTTGAAAGAGCATTTTGGGTGTGAGAAATGAGCTTGAGTTTTGGAACATCAACGACAAAGCTCGTGTAGGGGTGCGGGTGTGGAGAAATTTTTATGATTATTGGGTTATTGTTTCGGAGAGATACGGGGCCTGTCGCATCTCCCTCTCCTAGATGATGCGCATCTCCTTCAATTGACAACTCTGAAGCGTATAAGGAGCAATAGTCTGCCACTCATTTGACGTTTCTTATCAGAAAAGACACAAATTGGAAGAGCTAGTTCTCTCTGACATTCGCTTTCTGAGCTTTCGTAATTTAGTAGCGCAGAGAACTGTTAGGCTTTGAATGGGAATAAATTCCTATCCTATACGGAATAATCATGAGTAATTGCTAATCAATCTGGATGCTGGATGCTGTATATGGGTCCCCAAGTTTCTGTCTGAACATTTTTCCCTATAGCGTAGTTAAGCATTACTACGACATTCGTTACTATTTATACCTCCTATAGCAGACGGTGTTAAAGACGATGTTAAGACACTTTCTGTAGGACTTCAACGCTGACTTTTAAGTTTAAACACTATCCAGTACGTTTGTGACAATATAGCTCTATATTTTTGTTTCTACTCTATGTAACCACTCATCCATCATCCCACCGTCTTCAAGCCCCATTTGATCCATCTCATTTTGTAGGTTTCAGGACTAATGGACCAAAAGGTCTGGACTATGTGGTTTGGCATAATGTCATTTTTCTTGGTCGAGGGCGGACCTCAGGGCGGTAAATCTTTAATTATGGGATTAGTCATGTTGTCCCTTTTGCGACGATCGGCTGCCGTATCCAGGCGCGGAATCCAATCGCTGAGCAGGCATCAATCATCGCCGCCGATACGCCCACCAGCAGTGACCCTGCTGATCCCTCCGTCCCTCCAGTACTTCTCATTCTCAGTTCGCTCGTTTATCTACTACCTGCCTACCTCATCGCACCGGATTGACAACTCCCCCCGGAAATAATTCTCCCTCGAAACAATCTCAGCTATGCGCGCCAGCTAAAAGTGGACCACTGAGCGACCTTGAATTCATGCACCCCTTTTCCGTCCTCACCCTTGGGATCTTCGTCGCGGGCTACACCACTGCCAGGTGGGATCTTGTTACCCGGCTTTACGAATTGGCTATCTTTGCGTGGGATCACGGCGTCGTGGTAGGTGTTCCTTATTTTTCCTTGTCCGTGTCGGTCTTTGCGTCTTGCTTGTCTTGTCTTCGGCCCACCCCTCCGTGGGCCTGACCACACCCATCCAAGTGCCACTGCCCGTTTCGTTTTGTGCTGGTCTGACTGATACATGTTTTGATAGACACGCACCGCGAAGGGATTCCTCTTCCTCTCTGTCTTCTTCTTCCTGCTCGTTCTGCCTATCAACCACCTTGCGGCGAAGGAGGGCAAATTGGTGAGCTTCCACCACCTCCATTACCGTCTTTCGAGGGACCATGGATTTGGCTGACGGTTTTTGTGATATGCTAGCACCCGCGACACATAAATTTCGGCGTCTCGGCTCGGGAACAATTACGCCGGCGCGGTTCGTTCTAATACTGTGCGGGAGGATGACAACATGCTCATGAGCGATGGACTGCTGCGGGTGTTCTGGCCGTATGATCTCCCGCGATCTTCGTCGCCGGGGGTGATTATCGGTTGGCGGAATTCGGAGCTTGATCTTTTTGTGCTCACGGTGCTCGAAGATGTGGAGCCGCGTAAAGTCGACAATGCGCTTCGTGCCGGGATCCTCTTTCGGAATAGTCCGCACCCTATTGTGCGTATCTTCACTCTCTGTGGTCGGTCTCAGATGCATGTCCTGGGGTCGACAAATTCGCCTGATCCACCAGCTGCGTTTAGCCCCTCCCATCTCTATGTGACCACTCATCCGCCATCCAAGGCTCCGCGGATCTTCTGTCCTCCAGAGGCGAATTTGTCTGTTCAGGTTGTCATGTACCATCGTCCGCATCCGACGAGAATGGAGTACATGTCTCTGGAGCCGATTTCCCTTGCTCTGGGTGATAAGGCAGCTACGGCGAAAATATGGGGTCCGGTTGTCAGCAAGATTGAGTCCGAGGAAGAGAATGAGAAGAGCCGGTCCGAGATGCTGGTCGAGAAGTTGAAACTTCATACGGTGGTCAAGCATATTCCGTCACAGAAGGAACAGGCCCTCCCGCTCATTGTCAACCAAGTCAACTGCGCCTATGAGATGGCGCAGCTCATGCACAAGAATAGCCACCTCATTGGTATCCGGGCTAAGAGGAGTATGAGTGTCGGCGAACGCGTGGTGGAATCCGCAACTACTCTGTGGGGTCTTTTTGTCCTCTTCGTGGCCCATATCTGCTGGCAATGGATCTGGCCCGTTATCACAAGATTCTTTGTCATTGGTCTCGTGGTGCATCGATCTATCGCAGAGATTGTCCTGCAGGTCCTCGAATGGCGGGCGCGGCCTGATGCTGCTGCTCTGAAGGACATTTCGGCGACAGCGCAGCAGGTCGATATACGACTGCAACAGTTCTGTTACTGGCCGATCCAATACAGCAAGCTTCGCCAGAGAAAGGATAATTGGGAGAGTGTCACTACAAGCCACCCGGATTATATTCGATTCTACAACAGCTTGTGGCTCGTTGCCAACGACGTGATTATTGGGATCGCTCTGGGGTCTTATATCATTGACAACGCGAATTGGGTGGCTTCTCAAATCAATACCGTTCTCACTGGTTGGACTGTCGAAGGGCTTCAGCGCACTATCTCATGGTTGATGGACTGGCCAGCCGGTCTGAAGTTGAACAACGAACTTGCTGCCTTCCTGGGTGACTTGTTCCTGTGGGTCATCGAGAACTGGGCGGGTGAGTACATCTTAATTTGCCTATTGCTGTCAGCGCTAAATATTTGTGGATCTAGCTTGCATTGCCAACCTACAACCTTACCTACCTCACCTGATCTACGTTGTCGGATGCTCCAGCTTCGCCGGAGCCAGCATGCCCATCGCCGTATTTTCCGACTTACTTTCCATCCTGACAGTCCACATCTACTCCTTCTATATTGCATCCGCCCGCATCTTCAATTGGCAGCTCACCATCATTATCTCTCTGTTCCACCTTTTCCGCGGCAAAAAGCGGAATGTCTTACGCAACCGAATAGACTCATGCGATTACGACCTCGACCAGCTGCTGCTCGGCACCATCTTATTCACCGTCCTTTTCTTCCTTCTGCCTACTGTCATTGTCTTCTACCTGACCTTTGCATCGGCTCGGATGTTGATCATCTCTATGAAAGCGGCGTTTGACACGTGTCTTGCGTTCCTGAATCATTTCCCGCTCTTCGCGCTGATGCTGCGAGTGAAGGATTCGCGGCGCCTGCCAGGTGGTATTCGATTTGAGCTTCGAGACGAACCTGAAAAGCATGTCCCAGGCTCTGAATCATCCGTCCGGGCTTCCTACATCCATCTCGAGGTATGCACCTATATGATCCGATGTCCCAGCGCACCCACTAACTAAAGTCTATCTAGTCCGTCCCACTACCGCTACGGGCCATGTTCGACCAATACTTCCAGCTAGGTCATCGACTTCGAAAGCACTACCTTGCACCGCGGGTCATATTCTGTCTCGTCACCGGCCGTTTCGTTCCACCCATCCACCGCCGCAATCTGTACAGCATGCAGTATAGCATGCTTCCCGCGCACCGCGCAGGTATGGCCGAGGTATGGGCGCTTCTGACCCAGCCCAAGAAAAGCAGCAGCGGTGGTGGTGCAGCCGGCTCGATGGGAGGAGGTATCGGTTCCTTGGGCAATCCTGTGCCCAAAGTTCCCGCGAATTTCGTTCAGGGCGATCTGAGGAGACGGGGTCACCGCTGATGCCGCTTTGTCTCATGGTATATAGTGCTCGTGCAGAATGCTCAACCGAGATGGTTAACCGAGCATCAGCATGTCCCAATCAAGGATATTAATATTTTTTCACTTCAACCAATCTTTTCCGTCAATATCCTGGTCGTGCTATGCAGCTAACGTGTGTGTAGAAAATTAAGGTGGGTGGTAGGCTCACCATCCCAGAGGTACATGTCCAGAAAAGTAAAATCATGCTGATCACGCTGACGAATTCAGACTTAGGTGCATGTTTGCTGTGGTTGCATGGTTTCCTCATATAGCGTATTTGGGTACTTAGTACTAGCTATAGTGATGCGTTGCATAGCGGGCGCAGGGGAGTTGAAGTTGATCAAATCGGAAGTTTGTGTAGCCATCCAGAACCCAGGTCTAGTTCTTTATTGTTGCCCCCTAATAACAACCCAAGTGGTAGAGAATGTCCAAGCAGAAAGGAGAGGTCGGTCTATGCAGACGGAGATGAGATATAGTATATACACGGTAAATGAAGCCAAATCCAAACGCCCACCCATGGAGTCAGTCAACCATGGGAAATGCTCGTCATCGCTGAAACCAACTAGACGGATTCAAAACGCGGTCATGTATTCGCTCATCTTACATGCCTCGCGGAGAAGTAAAAAGGAACAGACTAGACTAGGACTTTTTGAGAAACTCCGAGTCCGTCTCGCTACTGCTCTTCCGGGCGTCATCTAGCATCGATTCAATGCCTCTCTCCTTGAGAGATTTCTATTCTCGCCGCAATCATGTCTAAGTTAGCCGCAGATTCGTTTCTTAAATATTTGGTTTTTCTTTCTTTGGCAAAGCGCAAAGCAAGAACTTACATTTAGACAAGACTTGTACTTGGCGAAGAGTTCTTCGCAGTCGTTGGATGATGTGTTGCCACGCAGGTACTCTAGCATATAGTTAGTGATACTTATTCATGAACTGTTGAAGATATATACATACTCTCGCTGTACCATTTTAGGAAGCAGGTGTCATATTTCCTGTATGGATTTCATGGTTAGCCTTTGCATTCAGCTAGTGGCCATCTTCGGTGCTGCTCGTCTGTTCAAATCGTGTAGTCGAAGCTAGGGAATCAGATCTGACTCACTCTTTGATATCGTTGCATTCTGGAGCAATGGAGGCAGCCATAATGTCGACAGCGACAGAGGCAGAGAATGGGAGATCGTTGAAGAGAGCCGTGGAGTCATGCGAATAGTCAAGGTGTCCGGATCATCCGTTTATCCGGGTGACTTTTTTTGCCGTTCGATTTCATTTGGGTTCAACTGCAAACTACACACTACCCAAGTTACAGCATGGATTCAGCTGGAGGGTTCGCTCCCTTCCAGGACAGACTGTCATCGTCTCTGGTCCAGGTAACCCGCACTGTCGGACAGCTCTCGTCCGAAGACCTGAACTTCTACCGTACATCCAACGCTGAGCTTTCCGAGTCACTCGACGAACAGAGCGAACGCATCCTTTCCTTAACCTCTGCGGTCCTCAAAGCTGCAATTTCCGGAACCGACCTTCCCGCTCCGACCCTCCACAATGAGGAATCGGTTGAGGACAATTGGCGCGGCGTGGTGGACGTGATCGATGCGCTGCTGGAGAAAGCGGACGCCTGCTTGGATGAATTCACAGGAGTGATCAAGAAATTGAGCCCCTCGCAAGAAGAACGAGCGCCCGCGAAGAAACCGCCACAGAAATTTCCCACCATCTACGACTATGGCCCGTCCAAGATCCCCAAGCCCCAACTGCTGTTCGACCACAAGCCCGATAACTACGATCTCGGTCCCTTCCGGCCTCTGCTCAAAACAAAGCCGCATGCAATTGTCCCGCTGGAGGAATCATTACAAACTCGCGAGGTGGATGGCAAGACGGGCTATCCGTCCCCGTACGAGGCTGAGATCCGCGCTGCGAAGTACCCGAAATCGGTCTACGAGGTCTCTCCTCCGATAGACTACCTCCCCTTTGAAAGTACGGCGGCTACGTTTGTTGATACACTGGAGGGAGCCAAGGAGATGCTTGAAGAGCTCAAGAAGGCGAAGGAAATTGCGGTTGATCTGGAACATCACGATGTGCACTCCTACCATGGTCTTACCTCGCTGATGCAGATCAGCACTCGCGAGAAGGACTGGGTGGTGGATACCTTGCAGCCGTGGCGGGAAGAACTCCAGATGCTCAACGAAGTCTTTGCGGACCCAACCATCCTCAAGGTCCTGCACGGATCCACCATGGATATCATCTGGCTGCAGCGCGATCTGGGCCTGTATCTTGTCGGGCTCTTCGATACTTTCCACGCGGTATCTGCGCTGGGTTGGCCGAAGCGAAGTTTGAAGGTTCTTTTGCAGAAGCTGGTCAACTTTGAGGCCGATAAGCGCTACCAGATGGCCGATTGGCGGGTTCGTCCGCTTCCAGATGGTATGTTCGACTATGCCCGCTCGGATACACACTACCTCCTCTACATTTACGATCTTCTACGCAACGAACTTGTCGAGTCCTCGACGAAGGCAGCGAACCACATCGATTACGTGCTGGAGCGCTCCAAAAATGAGGCGTTGCAACGGTACGAGCGGCCGGTGTATGATGCGGCAAATGGACTCGGTCCAGGCGGCTGGTACGATTTACTGTCACGCAACCCCGGAGTTCTGCCCAAGGAACAGTTTGCCGTTTTCAAGGCTGTTCACCAGTGGCGTGATGAGGTGGCACGAGCTGAGGACGAAGGCTGGCAGTGCGTGTTTCCTAGACATATGCTCTTCAAACTAGCCCAGACCATGCCGCTTGACATGGGCGTCTTACTCCGAACTCTGTCCCCTGTGACGCCCATCACGAAGGAGCGAGCTCATGACCTCCTCGAAGTGATCAAGAAAGCGAAAACCGAAGGTGCTACTGGTCCGGAATGGCGCGACGTGGCGCCACCGCCCAAAGCTCTTGCGAAAGCTGTAGCAGCCATTCCTCAGCCAGAGATCACCGATTTTCCTGCTGCCGAGCGCTACGAAACGTCCCAGTTTTGGGGCAATGTTCTTGAGGCATTCGAATCACCAGCTCCGCCGGCATACTCGCTCGTTGCAGCGGCTGAGGCCCTCCGACTTTCTCTTCCCCTGCCGCCCATGCCTTCGACTGTCTCTCAAACGCGTGAGAAACTGGGCACGACTGCCAAACCACCTCCATCGACTACATCTGCTCCATCGACTGTACCTGCTCCAGCCCAAGAAGAACCGAAAATCTTTACTGTAAAGGAACTCGGCGGCCCACGCAAGCGGAAGGCTGCACCCGCTGAACCGACCGAGCAAGCTCCCTCGACACCAGACGAGCTACTGGTGGAGTCGAGCAACGAGCCCGAATCCACGGAGAAGCGGCGCAAGAAATCGCGCAAGGACAAGTCCAAGAAGTCTTCACAGACGGACTCACAGCCCGAGAACGAAGAGACCCCCTTCGACTATGGCGCAGCGGAGTCCGTCTTCAACGCTGCACCTGCTCAGGCGCCCAGCAGACGCCAGAAAAAGCATTTCAACCCGTACGCCAAGGCGATGGATGCTCCCTCGGGCGCGCGGAAGCAGAATCGGGAGATTGGAGGTAAATCGCACACGTTCCGCGAATAGATTCATCTTCGAGCCTTTCCTCCTGGCGTTAGTTGGTCCTTCTCTGGGTCTTTAAAAGCATCATCGGTGTTTTGGGTTTTGATCTTTTCCGAGCATAGCGATACCTCCCATTCTGTGTAGGGGGATTAGAGTTTCACTCTTGATGTCTGTATAATATAAAGAAATGATGAGAGAGTTACTACTATCACCCAGATGGAAAGTTTTTCAAATAGACCATATTATGTATTAAGCTATCACTGTATCAAAGGAATGTATCTATCCCCGTCGCCATGCATAACAAAAAGGAGCGTGTAATCCATATCAATATTCAACTTCACAGTGTGTTCCTCCCGTATGAGCGTATGCCAGAACAAAACGCCCCATTTAGTTCAAAGGAAATTACGAGGCATTGGGAGGAATAACGCCGAGGTTCAAAGCCCCAACCCAGTCACACTTCTCTGAGAAAGCGCCATGAGCAAAGTTCTTGCACTCCCAGTCCTCGCCCTTTGAGTTAACCGAGTACTGTCCACTCCAGGTACCGTCCGAGCGAGCCACCTTGAGAGAGAAGTCATCGATCGAGGTAATGGGGCCCAGAAAACCGAATTCATAGGTGTCATCGTTGCACTTGACCATCGTGCTCTTGGGGGGATCCAAGCCATATTCCCTAGATTTGGCATTCATGTGAGTCTGGTGTTTATTGGTTTGTATATAACTGTATGTATGGAGATATGAAGATAAAATGAAAGAATGGACTCACCAGGTAACACTACAATCGGTGCTAGTGTTCGCGTTGGGGTCGTTCATGGCGAAGACCATTGTGCCGCGGTTGAAGTTCGAGTAGTTCTCGGCGGACCAGTTTTGGATGATGATCGGCTTGAAGGTGGTTGCGCGCTTCATGCTGCTGGGAGCAGCAATGGCAGAGCCAGTAGCAAGGAAGATGGTGGAGATGGCGGTGAACTTCATTTTGAATGATGATGTTGTTTAGTTGGACTTGAGCGAGTGATTTCTTTGCTTTGTTTTCTTTGAGAAGATCGAAGAGGACGTTGATGTTGATGATATTCGATCTCGGGGCATTGCATACACTCCCATTTTATATCTTTTCCACCGCATTAGGCGTACTTCACATTTGTATACAATCTCTAAAAAAAAGGCACAGAGTGAATATAAATGAGGCTATGTCCATCGGATTGAAGAACCGAGATACACCGGCAATGCAACGAGAGTATGTTACGTATGTAGATCCAACATGACTGACACAGCTACAGCCAACAACAAACACAGGATGTAAATCGATCTCATCGAAGGCTGGGCGCCTCTTTGTGGGGCCTGCGGCTGGAGAGAGCGCGCCTATCGGTTCGGACTTGGGAAGATCGTCGATCGGATAGGCGTCCAGCCTCTAAAGATATTTTTAGATGGGCCCTGGGAATGAGATGTGGGGTTGCTGGATGCAGTGAATCGCTCGTTAGACGGGGAAGCCAATACATAGCTGGCCTTAATAGAGATCGGGACGGAGTTACCTCGGTAGCTCTGAGAATGGAGTTTCACGGTGTACGTCCAGGATGAGCGGGCCCCAAGGCAGAGAATGGCTTGGGTTTGTTTCAATTCATATCGTAGAAATTCTTTCCAAGGTGAGTCTGCTAGGCCTAAAATGTCTAAGTATTAGCAAGTCCGCGTCGTCCGCATCTCTTGTAAGGCCTTCTTCAAGCTGTTGGTATGGCTAGCCTGAGCTCCCATCTAAAAATGGAATACGGCTTCTTCCTGCTGATTTGGATAGCCTTCCGAGCGTTTTTTTCAGCACGCCATAATGGGATCTAAACACCTTATCCGCGTTGGACGGGAGCTCTTTGTCTTTTGTATTATCCGCATCCGAGTCTGAAGCATTGCTTCGTTGAGAGAAGTGATAGGATGTTTTGATTAGCTACTGGTGAATATTATTAGTGTTTACAAGTGACTCCTAAATTTACTCATCTGTAGTGGTGTGTAGTAAATAGTTTTCTGTCCAGTCTAAGGGAGAAGTGGTGGATATATATTCTGCTCAGCGGCCTAGTCAATAATTGTCTTGAGTCACATCATCCTCATGGTAGTGAGCCCGGTTTACTTCAGAATCCGACTAAGACATCTGTATGCAAAACGTGCAGCGGATAGCTACATTAGTTCACGTGGCAGAGGTGGCTCAACTGTACTCTCTGGGGATAGGTGCTGGTGATTTGATTTGACGCTATGGCTTTGTTGAGCCTCCACACGGAGGACCCGTCATCTGTGGCAGTACAGCCACACGGCGGGTATTAATATCGAGGGTGGCACACATGATTAACTTGCCGGTCTTCAAGGCAGATTGTAAATCTAGGTTCTTATTAGCTTGCAATGAGTCCGCCCGAATAAGTGTTCTACTTATTTTTTCATGCTAGAAACATGGTGCTTTCAGTTGATCCATTATTGCAGCTACAATTATCCATGGCTGTGATCAACTGCGATTAAGTGACCCTCGTCTATACTCTGGTGGCCTGACAAGCCCCGCAGCAGCTATAATCGCTACGTAGTATTTCAAGACTATTGCGTCAACCCGCACTA